AGAGAGTCGGTAGACTACTAAAATAATCTTAAAATAGAGGTTTAGGTATAATTATAAACTAAATAGTAAGATTAAATAGTAAGTTAAACGCTATTATACAAACAATAATATCGTTCCTATATACAAAGGAGATTCGTTCCTCATCTAAGCAGTCTGGGTAGTCTGATTACTAAGCAGTCTGATCAGCCTGAGCAGTTAGGCGCTCGGTTGGGCTTTGGCCCCCAATGCTCAGTTCGGGTCACGTGCTAGGCTGCGCCAGCGGAACGTGTCCGTAACACTTTATCGTCCATGGGCATAAAGGGTAGGAGGTCAAGATGTCTGGGAATTGTTTGCCTACTGTAGCAATTCAACAACAACTATTAGTACTCCAGAATCAAGATCAAAGGACCCTTTTTATAAGCTTTTTCTGTCAATACAAAAGTTCAGTAGTAACTCAAGTCCCCATCCCTCGATCGCCTCGATATCTCATCGCACGAAACAGTACCCAGTATTCCATTCGCCTTCGCTCTCCAGACCATCCCAATCCCTCCTCAAAACACTTACCTCCGACCCCTCACAGGATTCTGCATCACCCCTATCTCCCCGTCAGCTCGTCCCCACACTCACATAGACCTGGCAACGAACAAAAGAAAAGAAACTTACAAGTATGATACGCACTATACGCCGCCTGCAGCAAACAGCCCCTCTCCTTCTCCCCAAGTTTCTTGGTCCCATCTCCCTCCTCACAGAGGACCTTCAGATTCCGCTCGAGCATCTTCTCGAGCCCGTCCTTCAGTCGCAGAAGCTGGGCTTTCGAATACAGCCCCTGGTGTCGTCCGACGATCTCGACTTGGACGGAGGAGGTGGGGAGGGAGATGCTGCAGCGAGCGATCTGTTCGATCGTCTCGCGCTTGCCGTTCCAGACGGGTCTGGGGTGGTACCCGATGTTGAAGACGATGGTGCTGGGTCCGGGGGTGCTGCTGAGGCTCTTGAGGAAGAGGGTGGTTTCGAGACAGTGTTGGAGACTTGTTTTCTTGCCTGGGGTCTTCTCGTAGCAGTAGTACAGATTGAAGACCGTAGACTGGTAGAAAAGTGGCAGGGCGTCTTTGCGCAGCAATCGACAGCTGAGTGTCAGAGGTGGCTGAGTTGGGAAGGTGAGAGAAGAGGGGAATTCGGCCATATAGAACTCGTAGATCCTCTCGCGCAGTTCCGGCGGGGGGGGGGGGGGGGGGGGGGGGGGGGGGGGGGGGGGGGGGGGGGGGAGATCCACGAACTTCTCGAACTTCTGCTCTTCGTCTGCTTTCTCAAGTACTTCCACGCACTCGGCTCGACGGGGCGTCTCGCCGGACGACTGCAGACGTCGGTCACGGATGAAGCGCTGGAGTTCCTCGAGGCTGATGGCTTCGCTTTCGTATGGTAGGGAGCCGCGATCGGTGAGGTTTTGCTTTGTGACGAGTTGAGACTTGGGTGTGTAGCGGGTTACGATGCGGCCTTGTTTCTGGACGTGTTCCAGGATGTCTGCCTTTTTCTTGCAGTACCACTGGCTGAGGCGCCAGTATCCGTCGTACTGGGGGTATTCGGATAGCATTGTGTTTTTGTTGAGGTGGTGCTGTTAGTGAGATGTTGGATAGGAAGATGTTCGAGTAATAGTATTTCGATGATGTCGATGTCAAGACGATTGTTAGTTGTCAGAAGTGCCTCGAAGTTTTTGTTCTTCAGTGGCCTCGATGCGCACGTGCCTGCTTTCTGATTCACATGCAGCGCTTGTAGTCGTTAGCCCTCGGCTCATAATAGTAATATACTTATTCAGTTCTGGTTGACCTAATAGCATCTGAATGGATGAAAGCCTTTTGCAAAGGGGTTTGGTGCAATGTATCCAAGAGCTTTGCCTACTTAGTTTTACTTGTACTGTGTTAGTGCCATTCGACACACCCTTGAGATTCTCAAATGGTGCGCTTACCAGTTGTGTCAAAGAGCACTCACAATTTCCACCTAGTATCAATACACGCCAAAAACACCCTCCGAGCTTCTAGCACCCTCAAAACCTCCTTCCAACTCATCCTCTTCCTCACCCTTTCCACCAGCATAAACATTCCCTCTACAACCACACTATTACGATTCGCCCAGAACCCCTCCCTCCTCTCCGGCGGCGCACATCGCTTCAAATACACCATCTCAAGCCATTTGACCAAATTCGCCCAGTTCGGTTGCCCGACATACGTCAGCACCAAGTCCTCAGGCCTCCCATACACGCGCTGGTACCGCAAAAACCTCGCATAAGGCTTGACGTCGTAATTCAGCGCAAACACCCGAAACTTGTTCTTTCGGAAGTAGATCGGGATGGTCTCACACCGGGTCTGACGACATACGCGGAATAGAGCGGGTGGGTGGACTTTGAGGAGTTGGCCGCCGCGGTTGGGATGGCGTCTCTGGCTGAAGGAGATGTAGGGTTTGTTGAGGTTGACACGGTTGGGTGAGATGAGGCAGAGTGAGTAGATCTCGATGCGTAATTCTGCCGGGAGTTTGAGGAGAGGCGAGTTGGCGTTGTGTTTGGCGGTTTTGCGAGGGTCGTTCCAAGTTTGAGCGCCCATTGTGTAGAGTCGGCGGGTGTTGATGAAGGCTTTGAGCGGAAGATGGTATGTTTGTTGGCTCAGTCGAGTGTTTTGTCAAGAGATGGAAGAGTTCTGCGAGTCTTCTGCTCACTTTCATCCATGACGAGGGAGGTATGTTCCAGAGCCATGGAAGCTGTCCGAGTCTATTTTGGAAGAAGCTTCAACATTGAGCAAAGGCACGTACACGAACCCTTCATAGACTCTAGTATTTGAGTCCACCTCCTCGATCAGACTGCGAATCAAAATGGCTGGCTTTGGATACTGCTCGTGTCAATTTTCCTTCTTCCTGTCCACCGCGACTTTCTCTTCATCCTCATCCTCCAAATGCGTCAACCTCTTGAACAACCAAAACATGCTGTTGATCCAGAAGTAATAAAATAAAGTCCAGAGACAAGTCCGAACAGACACTGGCAGTATCGATCTTCTCGCACCCTCATCGAACGAGTCCCAGAGCTTTGCTAATGCCTCAGGATCATCGGTGATGATCCCATCCAAGCCTCTTCGCGCACACCACTCAATCTGATCTTGATCACTGACTGGCCATGCTATGACAGGAGGAGGCCCTGCTCTCGTCTTGGAATCCTTAACGAAGCGTCTTCCGCCCGGAGCCAGCATTGTGTAGATCATGAGAGCCACTCCCATGTGAGAGGCCTGTACATTGCGCTTTGCGTGGCCGAGGTGGTATCCAATGTGCATGGCGGAGAATCCTCGTAGATGCTTGGCTACTAGAGGTATCTGTCTCGCTGCCCAAATGCCCATCAAGATGCGTTCGTTCCATGGCAGGTCAGGGGGTGCCTGTACACTGTCGATCGTGGACCTAGTCAGTCGAATGACATTCTCGGCCTTACCATCCAGTTTAATGTCGAGGAGAAGCCATATCTTCGTCCTTCCTGGTTGAAGAAGGAATTCCAGCAAGTCTTGAAGACGTACTAGGGGAACATGAGGTGGATCCACAGTCCTGAAGTCCTTGATCTCATCCCATGTGCAGTCGAGGATCTTCTTGTCGTGGCCGAACCTCTTGAGGTCTCCATGATGATTCAATACGACCACCCCATCCTTCGTGAGACGAACATCGGTCTCTAAGGCAGAAGCGCCGGCTTTGATGGCTTCCTCGAATGCCAGCAGCGAGTTTTCAGGATAATTGCTCATGTATCCACGGTGGGCTATGATTTGTGGAAGAGGTCTTTGCTCGCCATCTGCCCTAGGCCAAGTCCTGGCCTTTGCGAATTCAGGAACCGGGAATGTGTAGTCTTGCAGAATGTCGGTCGGCATGTCCAGTCTATCGACATCGAGGGGCGTGACGACAGTTGCTTCATCGGCCACCACTTTCAGACCAGAGCTTGCGGCCATGTTGTCGGCTTCGAGCGGCAGTCAACAGCTGGTCCGGACAGAGGTGGCGAGCGGGCTTGAGAAGACCGCTCCGAGCACCGTATGGAAGACAGCTTTGATTCTGAAGGCCAATGTGACAGAAATGGATGTTTTGTATACACTGTTGTAATGTTTACAGTCGACTCCATGAATGGCGTGAACCGGGAACATGCTCCGGAATCCATGTCGCATAATAGGCCTCTTTCGCTGTAGCGCCGTGGCCGGCTTGTACGAAACAAATCGATTGCAGCTTGAGACTAGAAACCGCGTGTATGAAGGTGATCTGAGCTGCAGATGGAACAAAAAGCTCGAGAACGTACCTGTTCGCATTCTACATTCGATTCCTTCAAATGCCAGGACAAACACGCAGGAGGAGTAGACTCAAGCCCAGCCGCCAGATTCGCCCTTCTTATGACCCAACAAGGTACGAGAGAAGCTATTTTATGGAGTATCCACAGAGAGGCCCCACGTATGAGGAGAGATACTGACCTGAGTAATGCTGAGAAGCTGTAGCAGAGCATTCAACTCCGTCCGAGCTGGAGAAGAGGTGATGTTGAAGGCAAGCTTTCCGCCCCGGCCGCAACAGCCACAACCCCTGCATCAATCGACGATGAAGATATGACCTCACCTCTTCGACACACCACAAGGCCACATCTTCGAGAATTATTTGTAACGTCAGAGACATCGATCTGACGCAGTATCGATGCACCAATGGCACTGTACCGGCTTTGACTCCGGACGGACGAATGCCAGATCTAGATTCCGAGCACATGTAGGAGCACAGAGCTCAGAGCATGGCAAGTACAGATCTCGATACTTAAGACTCAGATTTCGCCTTCATTTCTACATTTCCTTTCGTCGGTATTGTTTTACCTGTGAATTCTTAGTACAGTTGCCAAGATGGATACCGAAAATGAGAACAAGAAGCACAGAACTACTCCAGAGTACGCTGAATACCAGCGAGAGAACTTTTGGGCGAGCAACGAAGGAAAGACTCCAGTCTTCAACACCGGTATCTCACTGACAGCACGTTCAGCTACGCCACTGATCTCTGACACGACGCTCACCAGATCCGAACAAACTCGAAGAACTAGCCCATGAGAAGCTCAGCCAAGGCGGCTGGTACTACGCCTCATCCAATGCCGGCGAATCCCTCACCCACCTGGCCAACCGACAAGCCTTCTACAGACACAAGTTAATCCCACGAATGCTGGTCGACACCAACAAGCGCGACACCAAAGCCGAGATCTGGGGCCACAAAGTCAACGCCCCCATCGGCTTCTCCCCCATCGGCATCAACAAAATCTACAACCCAGCCGGCGAACTGCCCGTAGCAAAAGTCGCAGGCGAGCTAAACCTTCCCTACTGCCTCAGCACAGCAGGCTCGCAACCCATCGAAGACGTAGGCAAAGCCAATGGTGACGGTCCGAGATTCTTCCAGCTGTACATGCCACACGACGACGAACTCACCATCTCCCTGCTGAAACGCGCGCACGACTCCGGCTTCACCGCTTGCATTTTGACTGTGGATACTTGGCAACTCGCCTGGCGCCACGACGACGTCAACACCTCCAACTACGCCTTCTACCACGGCATCGGCGCAGACCTCGGCCTCTCCGACCCGGTCTTCCAGAAACGCCTCGCGGAAGAAGGCATCGATCCCAAAACACAACCCAACGAAGCCGGCGCCAAGTGGATCGATAACGTCTGGCACGGCCGGGCGTGGACGTGGGAGAAGATGCCGTGGTTGATCAAGACGTGGAAGGAGATTAGTGGGGGCAAGCCTTTTGCTATCAAGGGGATCCAGAGTGTCCAGGATGCGAGGAAGTGTGTGGAGATTGGGTGTGATGGGATTGTGGTGAGTAATCATGCCGGGAGGCAGGTTGATGGGGCGGTGGCGAGTTTGGATGCTTTGGAGAAGATTGTTGATGGTGGGTACAAAAACTTATCACTGGTTTGAGTCTCGTTGCTGACGGTCCCCGTAGCTGTCGGCGACAAAATCTACATCATGTTCGACTCAGGTGTGCGAGGCGCCGCAGACGTCGTCAAAGCGCTTGCTTTGGGCGCCAAGTTCGTCTTCGTTGGACGTCTGTGGGTATGGGGCTTATCGATTATGGGCGAGCATGGCGTGCGACACGTTATGAAGTCATTGCTAGCGGATCTGGATATCTTGATGAATGTGGCAGGCATTCAGAGCATTGACCAGCTGGATAGGAGTTGGCTGGAGAGTCAGCCGAAGAGTTATGCATTGATACCGGAGAGGAGTAAGCTTTGAGTAACGTTGGTAGAGAAGGAAAGCAGGCATGCATTGTTGGGTTCTTCGTCTTCAAGGCGAGTCCGTTCTCCTATTCGACTCTGATACGCTGTAATAGATCCGGCAAGAGTCCTCAGACGACTTCGAAGGTTGGCCTGCTTGTGATGTCTCATTACCGTGTAAATCCTTACGGAATGATGTTCATCAAACAACTGTATCCTCCAGCTTTCTCCTCGCCGCGTAGACACCCTCGATGGTCAACTCCTTCTTCCTCTGGCTCTCTTGATTGAAGAAGTCGGAAAGCGCGACCTCAATGCTTCTCGTTCTCGCATTTTGCAACATGAATCCTTTGAAACGTTTCTTAACCTGCACTCCCGCCTTCTCGCTCTTCTTTAGTTGAATGTCGATCTCGTGGCCCATGTAACTCGCGCTGCTCCCTAAGGAGCATGCAATATGAAGACTGTGGATCTCCGCCAAACTCTTAGGGGCGAGAGAGTTGAGGAACAACTGCGAATCATTGGAGAACTTCAAGATCTTCCTGTCCTTGCGCTGCTGTTGCTGCAAATGAAGCTGGATCTGGCACCCGTGGTAGAAGATAGGCAACGACTCGGTTCTCAGTAGTTTGTTGACCTTTGCAATCGGCGGTTGTGCTGGTACTTGCAGCTTCTTGGGCAGGCTGGCTACATAATGCTCATAGACCAGACAGCGTAGCTTAGCAGAGAGGTCGAGGAATCCCGGGAAGGTGGCAGATTCATCAGCTGCCTCCAACAGTCGAACTAGCCGCTTGTGATCGCCATCTCTGACTTTTCTTCGAGACGGAGCGGCCGGGGCAGTCGCGAGTCGGCGCTGGATGGCAAATGTGCGTAGCTCGTTGACATTGCAATTGCGATAGTTGAGTTGCTGGCGGGAGATCCGGTGGAAAATGGCGATGAGGTAAGTCTTGCGAGAATTGGTGGGGATGTCATCGTAGTCGGCCGCTTCAGCATTCGTCTGCAAGACGTAATTGGTAGTGTCTTGATAGTCGTCAAGTCTCCGGTAGTTGTCCCAGCCGACGCAAAAGCTAGGATGGTCCATGTTGATGACTGGTGAGATGGAGACTTGAAGCAGAGTGCGCGAATCGAGAAAGTATTTAAAGGTGGGCGCAGATACATTAGCATGTGAGTTTGGCATCCATGTGATAGCAGGTGAATACGCCTGATCACAGGCACTGCACAGCACGTGGAAAGCATGCGGCATAGGAAAGGAGCCAGAGGATCTTGGCGCGAAAGTTACGGCGGAGACGATTCTTTTGATGGTATGATTGAGCGACCTTCTGTTGACGTACTTCACTTGCCTTGTCAGCTCCTCAAACATCAAGTCGTGAGCCGTAAAACCCTCTGCCCTTCATCTGGCCCAAGGTTTTATCCAAACACCGCATCCAACGCATCTCCATAAGCCGTATACGAAGAATTCTGCTTCTCAATATCATAATCATTCCAATACCCCCCGCCCGCCACCTGCTCCGTACTATACCAATTCTGAAACTTCGCCTGGCACTGCGCGGGAGTCATGCCATACTCGGGTTTCGCATCATTAACCACCCACAGCAACGGCACGACTTTCATGTTCAGGTCGGTCTGCCACTCGCCGGGATCGTTGCCCGCGCCGCCGTCGTAGCATTGCAGGTACATTCTATCCAGGAGACCGCTGACGTTGCCGTTGACCTGGCTGACGACGGACTGCCAGAAGGGGATGTTGGTGTAGGGTGCTCCGGAGTATTTGTATCCGATCTGGCCGAGCATTTTGGCGAAGGAGACGGTGCTGGGGACGTCGTAGAGGGATTCGTCGTCGTTGTTGATGCCGTCGAGGTTCCAGGCGGCTTTCAGCGTGGCGAGGTTCTTGTAGAGGAGGGTGGATGGGTCGGTGCCGTTGGCGTTGATCATGGATTGGATGAGCGTCGCGGGGCCTACGGTGGCTTCGGTGCGGGTGATCTGGGTGTCGCCGGTTTTGTAGCCTTTGATCAGGTCGGCGTATTTGGTGCCGCCGACGTATGAGCCGTTGCTGACAAGTGTCACGTCCGGTGAGCCGCCGCCTAAGGCTGAGAGGGGGTATACGAGGTCGCCGTTATCCTGAATGTTGAGGGCGAAGACCACCGCTGTGTTGAAACCGGATGTCTTGATGGCCGTGTTGTTGGATAAGGCTGGGTCCTCGAAGAGGTATATGATCTTGACGTTCGAGTCCTGGGCGAAGCTGGTCGTGTAAAACAGCGTACTGAACAATGCCGCCTTGGCAAGGCCGTTCAAACTCCTGAAGGATACCATTTCGAATTCTTTCCGGCTTCTGTTTGGGGTCGAGCCTGTATGCAGGACGCCATATGGAGGCCATTCTATCCATTTATCTTGTACACCCAACTTACTACAGTCTGAATACGACCGTCCCATCCTCAGGTATCGTCGCCGGCTAAAGGTGGTCGCCGTTGGCCTTGATAGGCAAGGTGGACCTCGAACTCGGCCAAGCTTCGATGCGATCGACAATCTTCCGTTTACGAAGCATTCATTAGCTCGACTAAAGCACCTGTGGAGAAGGTTGCATTGTTAGCATCGTCACCTTACGCTCCTATCTTATTATCGCATCCTCACGTACCTGTTGTTGTACCATGTCTTGCTGTAACGCTAGGAGTAAACATGAGTCTGCGACTTAACTTGGTAAAATCCCGTTGTCACTTGCAAGAGGGGTGGGTGGTACCGGCTGGTCTGTGGTCCGGATAAAGTGGGTGTTTCGATATGCGAAGAGTAAGTCAACAGAGAGGTTCATTCGCAAGTCCTAAAGCCTGAGTTTCATGCCGCAGTCATGTTGCTGCTGAATGTCGTACCCAAGACATCGATTATCGCCATGACGTCCAGCTAGAAATAGTCGTGCAAATGCAACTGGGAAGTGGCCATCAACCTTGCAACGCCCGGGAATGAACAATTCGTGAAGAGCGCGACTGGTCGTCCTGCAGACCAGGCTTCAGGTTTCTCCAGCCAAAGTAGATCCTCAGGCCGCACATTCTCAAGAGTGTGTGTTGGTTCGAACGTGTGTCGTGTGCACGAGAACAGAACTGGCCAATATAAGTTCATCCCATGAAGGGTCCAACTTCAAAAGTCTTTCGCTGCTGGGCATTGTCAACCTCCCTCTGCTCAACGGTCGTGTTTCCAGGTGTACTCACAATGTCGTCCCCGTCCATAGTCAAACCATCCATACGATTGCTGTCCATATTTCAGCCATCTCTTCTTCAACCGCAGCAGATCTGAAAAGGAGCAAGAAATGCATGTTGTGATCTTAATCAAAGATACGAGCCTGTCTGTATCCACTCTACATCCCTCTCTTCTAAAGGATCCTAGCTCTTCCCATCATCCCCTCCAACCTCACTGCCCCATCAACCCAAAAGACCAAACCTCAAAGACAAAAACTCCCCAAACGCATCCCGCTCGCTATCAAAAGCCCAAATATCAATCAAGAAATCCTTCATACCCCCATCTCTTCCCATTCTTCACTCCTCCAACTCATACTCCAACGTATGATCCTCACTACACTCGCCACAGAAAAACCGACTCAAGCCAAAACACGTCACCTTCTTATCTTTGCACATGTCGATCGTCCACACGTCGACCGAGTAGCCCGACAGGTAGCGGTTGGCGCAGAACTCGATCGTGTCCGAGAGGATGTAGTAGTCGTGGCCGCAGTAGTAGAAGAGGTAGGTGTAGGAGCACATGGTGGGCGAGCCGGTCGCTTTTCTGTGGGTGGGTGGGTGAAGCGAATGTGTGGAGTGGGGACGTTGCTCGTCAAGAGCGGACGCTGTGGTCGTGGGGACTGACTGAAAGAGTGACGTTGGTGAGCGAAAGATCAACTTTCGAAGTGTGGAAAGGATTGGGCAGTGGAATGGGAAAGATACCTCTCTTCTCTCTCTCCAGATATCACTCTTCCCCAAATCTCCAGCCAATTCAACTCCTTTGTCTCCCAACTCCCCAATCTTTCTCAAAAATCACACGAGCGAGTCCAAAGAGATATATGAGGGAACAAAGTAAACCACCCCACAAGATAGGAAACCGACCTATATATACCCACCTATCGACCTTTATCTCACCGACGGCACAACATCGATGGAACGCTACCGCTACAGCCTTTGTTTAGGATCCATCACCCGAAGGTCGGAGGCAGGTGGAAAGTGAGGCGCCGGTTCGAACCGAGTCTCGTCGTGCACACCGCTGTCGGTCGGGGTTGTCGGGGTTGTCGGCGGTGGGCGTGCGCGGTGAGGATGATCCTAGCATTGATGGTGGCTTGCCGAAGGGCCATTTCCCAAGAATGTCCGTCTTGTCCTGGTCGTTGGAACCACAAATTTGAATCTCAAAGCGTCTTCCTGCGATTCAAGACCCTCATCCACCTCTCTCGCTCTATCATCCTGCTCACGCGAGGAAGGGCGAGCAGAAGTGAAGCTCCAATGCAGGGACCACGCTTGTCCGGGAGATCGGCAAACCCAAATCCTTCCTGCCTTGCCCCGAAGGACATCCCTGCATTGGCTTATCGAACCTCACCTCCATGTTCCCCGACCACCAACCAGCCAACCAATGTCCTGTCTTTCACATGCACATCGGCACACCGTAAGAATATATCGAGGTCGGTGAACGAAACGAGGACTGGCAACCTTTGGTGCCATTGCTGTCTCTCTGTCTCTGCCTGTATTTTGATACTGCCTATGTTACAACCTTTTGTGAGCTTCTCCTTCCTGAAGCCTTCTGTCTCATCCTTCACCATCCATATATCTGCTCCATATCGAACGCCTCGGTCCTCGCTCTTTTCCGCTCGATGCTAGGATCGTAACAGGTCGGTTAAAAACTCGTGTGGGTATCTCTGTGTGAAGGAAAAAAGCCATCCCAGAGAAGATTTGGAAACTCATGCGCCTCCCATCTCCTTTCATCATGCAAGTGCTCGTTTTGTGCTCATTTCGTATCCTGACTCTTGCTGAGTCGCAGGCGCAGTACTGTCGTTCGTCGATCTCATTCGTTGGCGTGTGTGTCTCCTGCTCTTACAAGCCATTCTTGGTCCCTGGCGTGAAGTGCGCCTTGGTGAAGTTGAACAGCTCATTCGCAAAAGTCACCTCCGGCTCGGCCGTGCTGACGGCCACATTCATACCCATCGGCATGCTGGATGGGTTGCCGCCATTCAAAAAGCCGCTACGATTGTCGCTCTGCACCACCGTCTCACTATTGACCAGAATACCGCCCCAGTTGTTGGTAGCACCGGTACGCGATCGCTCGCTGCCACTGGGTGAGCCCGATGAATACTTGGACTTGTCAACAAGCTCGTACACGGAGGAATTGTCGTCGGTGTGCTCAGTGCTGTTGCCTCGGGAGCTGCCGTTGCCATTGGTCATGGCCGTCTTCGACGTCTTCACCTTCTTCAGAGGATTATTCGTAAGGGTGACGGAAAGTTTCGCCATACGGTTGGCCTTGGGCTGGCGCTTGGCGAACAAAGGACCGAAAGTCTGGTGGATGTCGCGGGCGAGAATGGCATGATCGGGAGAGCCAGTGTAGCAGCGGTGGCGAGCTTCGAAGAACGTCTTGGGAGTGCGGACGATGACGTCCGAATGGTCGATCTGAGCGTGCATGTCGCCAATGACGGTAAAGGAGTAGAGGTAGGTAGGCGTCGAGTTCTCGAACGCGTAATGTGCGACCAGCTGCTTGGACCAAAACCTGGCGTGGTTGATCCATTGCTCAGGGAAAGGCTGAATCAACGTCGTGATCGCCGAGTGCAGCGTCGACACGAAAACCCACTCTTGCGAACTGCTCGTTGGGATGGTCGACCTACCAGTACGGTCAGTGAGTGTATCCAAGATCCAAGCCACGTTTTTGCCATCGAGCTGGTTGAGGATCGCAGTCTGCCATGGCTGTGGTGGCCCGTCCAGTATCTTCGCGTCTGGAAGCTGATCGAGGTGGTCTTTCTTGACAGCCACATCGAACCCCTTGTGATGAGGCTTTGGAATCAGCGCAAAGAATGCCAGATACGTGCCTTGCTTCTCGACCGACTGCAAGTTCTCGACGTAGCGCTTCAGATCCGAGATGTGTGCCTCAAGCGTGGAGAGTGGTATCTGCATTGCATGGGAGATGGTTCGGCCAACGTGCTGGATGCTTGCGAACTTGTAGCCTGAGTTGAGAAGCCCATTTGATTCCGCTTGATCAACCTCGCGGGTGATGAACATGACCTGGCCTTTGCCGAACAGACTCGTCTTCGACGCTTCATTGTCTGTGGCCGCCGAGTACCGGTGGTCAGTCAAAGTGTTGCGCTTGCTGGCCTTGTCGTCCTTTGACAGTACGCCTGTCTCGACTATCCTGTCGTAGAGTACTCCGAGCTTCTCGATTGGCCAATTCATGGTAGACGCCATCGATGCAGCTGCCGTGCAGAAGCGTTCCTCGAAGAGGATAGCATAGTTACTGTAGGTCTCTTCGTCGTACATAGCGCTGGATTGCGAACTGCTTGGCCGCGAATCAACCATGATCATGCTCGTGCCTTTGTGAGCGCTCAGATGACTCTTCATCTTTGGGATGAGATCACCAACGCCCTGCCAGTTGTGCGTGACCCGGAACACCCACTGAAACACGGGATGAGAATCGTCGAATTCGTCGTCGAAAGTGCGGTGATTGTACTTGTGTGTGATCTTGCGAGATGGAAGAACACCTTCAGTCGTGACAAGGACGCGGCCAGCAGGGTCGAAGATGGCGCAGGCAACCGTGATCTGCTGCGAGCGGTTCTTAAACATATGGCTGCGCCATTGCGTGTAGATCAGAAAGCCAAAAACGAAAAAGGCCGCAGTGCCGCACATCACACCTGCGATGATGACCTGGGAGTTCCGAGATGTTATATCTGCAACGGAGTTGAAGTGACGCAAGGTGTAGGTGCAGTTGGTCGATGCGGTGAAATGCATGGCCGAGACTCCGCCAGCAAGCGACATGGCACAGAGAACACGCTTCCACCAGGAGCTGATCCACTTCTCCCTTAGGCTGTAGAAGAGGACCAGCACGGTGAGGCAGTCTCCCACGGCGATGACAAAGGAAGCAACCAAGTACCTAGTGCTGTATTTGAGGATGTAGTTCGAGACTCCGAAGTTGGCCACGTAGTGCATGCCGACGATTGATAGACCTGCGAACACGCCTGTGAAAATCTGCGTGAGATGGTGTAGCCAGGGTTTCTTGGTCGTGCCCTCGGCAACTGAGAAAGCGATAATCAACCCGCTGACAGGGAGTACGAGAGACAGAACGGTAAAGCCAGAATGGTATACGAGTTGGATCTCCGGTTGGTTCTTGTCGAGGACGATAGCTCGGTTGCCGATGAAATGCATGCACCAGATGCCGACAAGGCCCATCGCGACCGCACATGTAAGCGTCTCAAGCCTATCGTCGTGTCAGCATAGTCCTCGTATCAATGCCAAGAGAACGTACCAGCTCCGCCATGAGTGCAACGCCGTTCCACGGCGGTGCAGGAGCTCGACGGTGAGACTACATCCGCAGAGGCTGGCGAAGTAGGAGGCCGCAACGATTCCGGAGTTAAAGGAGCTGGGTACGACGTCGCCAGGCTCGAAGTGGTCCATTATGGAGGATGTTGTGCTTGTACCTGCGGCAGAAAACGGTCAGCCTGTTCTTTCAATGCTATCAACGAAGGCGAGGTGGTGGCGATGGCGTGTTGTCGAAAGTACGGTCCAGTCGAAATGAAGCAGAGAGTGATTGCATATGAGACTTTACACTACGAACGCTAGCGCGAGACGAAGTGAAGTGAGGATTTGCATGTGCAGCGTTTGCAGTGGTCGGAAGGTGGGGTTTGCAGAGTGAAAGATGCTGGCAAGAACGTACCTTTCCTTCACTCAAGGGATCTTCAAGTTAGGTAGTCGATACAATGATGGATGCGAATGCACCGCCTGGGGGAAGAGACCAGTCCAAAATCCAACCACAGAAGACTCCCGGAGATGTGAGGATCCGAAAGAGTGTATCCTGAACCCAGACGCCGTCGAGGTGAGGTCGGTTGCGAGCACTGTCGACTCATTGCATTGTCTTTAGGAAGGAATCAGCAGCCGCAAGAATGTAGGATGGTCTCTCTTCCAAGGCCAACAGGTGTAGTTGCAAAGGACGTTTCGATTTGGCGAACCACCAGACAGTCTCCAAGCCAGAGAAGAAAGCGGCGTGTCAAAAAGCTACAGGCAAATATGTCGTCCTCAGGGTATATGGTTGGATAGATTCGCCCCGGATTGGCGTCCGCAAGGGCACCGTATCGAGCGGTCGTACAACGCTGGAGGGATTTGGCGACGGTCAAGGATGCGAGGGTCGAAGGGTCAGGTCCCGGTTGGTACGAGCGACGGGCGACTGCATGCTAGTTGTTTCCCGAGCTGTCGACGTAAGGCACGACGCAAGTCACAGATGCGTCGTCAGGAAGGAAGCACAAGAGGTGGTGATGATAATAACGACGAACGAACAACAATGACGGTCGGTGCAGGAGACGGGCAGGACCATGCCGTGCCCGGCCGTCTGGAATATTGCTTGTAGCAAAAAGTCAAACGCCCAGCGCAGCAGGAAGCAGCCGCCGCCATGATGGATGTGGGAGAGTGGTGGTGGTCAAGGAGGTGAAGAATCCACACCCAACGCACTAGGGCGGCCGAAAGCCTGGAATGCGCTGGGCACCGTGGCGCTGGTGGGATGGCGGAAGCACGCAGCACCAAACCAGACGGCCGCCAGCCGGACGAAGCATTGTGCAGCGAGGCCCATACCAAGCGCGTCGCCCATTGGGCCGCCGTTCTCGAGCCACAGCTCGGCTATTCAGTTTGGCATCACCTGAAATCACGGGTGGGTGTTGGCGGGCGAGAAAGCGAGGGTGTGCGACCGACGCCCCTCCCAGACGACCACAGCGGCTGCGTGGGCGGACTGCATCTCGGCGCCTGCAAGGGATCGCTTTGGGTGGCTGTTCGACTCGCGTATCGTCTTGTCCGGGTGAGACGCTGCTGACTTCCCACTGGTGCTACGACTGCTAGCATATCACGAGACGGCGCCTCGTCGATGGGGTAAATGGTGGTTTCTTCTGCAGACTCTGTTCGATCCTCTGCACACCAAGTCGACGTTTGCGCAAGACGCACTGGCAATTCCAACCCATCCCTACCGCGCATCCGCGTCTATTCGTGGCCGCAGCCGATCCCAGGGATGCAGGTGGGTAGCGAAAAAGAGTGGAGTGCGGAGATGGCTCTGTTTCTGGACACGCTCATCAATTTCGACTTTGCGGGGACACGCAGTAGTGATGAACGGAGACACAGATAGATGAAGGAGTTGCACATACCAAACGCATTGGGAGACCGCTTGGGATGGTTGACAGCGTGTGACTGACTGCTGGGAGCCATGTGCAGAAGCAGCCAAGCCTTCTCAAACGCGCTGATGCTGGTCACTTCGCTGTCCTGTGCGACATAAGGCCTCGCATCACCAACAATCGGGTACGAGGAGCGAGAAGCACGCGTTTGAGAGCACCGCCCGTCCCTGACAATGCCATTTTCTGCCCAGCCTCCGGTTCGACTGCAGATTCAGGACAGGATTCCATCAACAATCGCTGTGGCGCTGCCATATGTGTGTTTGGCTTTTCTCGTGGCAATGCTTCGTTAGGACTTGCCTCGAGTTTGTGGACGTGTGAGGGAGTAGCGATGGACAAGACAAGCTAGAGTCTGCAAGACGGTGATGGTGAGGTTGGATAGAGTTCGGGGGAACGAGGCCTGACTTTCCGCTTGCGCCATTGGCGTCTGGAGAGAAAGTATATTTGACGGATGCGATGATCTTTTCATCCGGACCACTGCAGCAAGAAGCCTACGCATGTAAAGGGAGGGAGGAAAACGTTCTGGAAGCATGGAAAGTGCTTTCACATGTTCGTGGCCTGACCGCATATGCATTGCAATTCTCCGACGCCCTCTAGATTGGCATCATCTCATCCATCTCCATTTCTCCATCGCTCAACGACTCAAATAGGTTGTCCCCCACCAGATTCTCGGGTGGCATGAACGGTTCTTCCGGGCCTCGCAACGAAGCCACATCCAGCCCATCGTCCACCGCCAGTGAATCAGCGCTGCCGCACAGAGACAAGATTTCATGCTCGTGCACCGAGCCCACGTGAGGTCCACGTTTCCAGTCCGCCACGTGCTCCGCCGTATGCTCAAGTACGTCGTCGTCGGATGCACCAGTGTCGTTCCATAGTAGATTCATGGCATGATCGGCTCCTGGTTCCGGTGTCAATGGCAACTCAGTCTCGTCCAGCATGGATTCATCGCTATCGGACAATACATCGTCGATGTCTTGGTCTTGCGCAGAGTGGATAGCGATGCCTAATGAGTCCGCCCAGATATTCTCGTCGTCATCGATCATCTTTTCGGAAGGGAGTGACAACGGCTTCAATCGAGTGATGGTATCCCTCTCGAAGAGCGAGCGCTCCATCGTTTCCCAGAGTGGTGTAGTCACTCTCCCTTGTGCATCTGAGAGTGACGCCTTTTCACTGCCAGGTGTGTTGGTTTCACGGCCATGATGGGATGGGTTAAGCCGCCTGTTGAGCTCCGCAAGCTTCGCACGCAGCACCTGCCCTTGCGCATGAACACCGCAAACATTTGCAAGCGCATGGCTTATCGTGGGCAAGAAGACAGCGCGGCTCGACAAGGCCGATAGATGTCCTGGAGACCACAAAGCCGGAAATGTGTCTGCCAAGTGCTTAAATGACTCGTTCGTTACCAGCTTGACACCTTTTGGCAAGCGACTTGAATTGGAAGTGATCGCGAGTCGAAGTCCGGCATCGAATAGCTCGAATAAATGTTCATGGTTGCTGGATGCGTCGTCATCATGCTGTCGAAGGTCGCCGGTATTGTATGATCGTTGTCGGATCGCGCTGGCCGTATCCACGTTCGCCTCTGCAGACTCGTACGGTGGCGACCTGGCCTCAAAAAGCATATCAGCATCGTCGCTGGTTATGCTTTCTGGTGCTGGACTCGTTTTTGATCTCCGACATGTGGCACCGCACTTTCCGTGATGTGACTTGGTCTCGAAGAATTGTTGTCGACGACCGCCCTGCTTCAAAGTCTGCTCAAAAGCACTTTCTGAAAGACCTGTCCCCGCCAGATCTTCATGAGGCGGCAAAGACGCAATGCACTCGCTGAGACTTGGCTCCAATTTTCGACGCTTTCGACACGAAGTCTTCGAGAATCGCATCGAGAGGTGGATCGACTTGAGAATGACAGCTGGCACACCAGGTGGTGGAGTGCGGTCTTCGTCCGGCACACCGTCCTCAAGCTTGTGCAGCTGGCGTTTGGGCGGTCTTTCATTGCTGTGATCCAAGTGCACCACGATCGAAGCTCCTCCTGCCTCGGTCGCTGAGTACACAATCCCAGCTGGGCGTAGTGGAAGCTGTTGCCATTGCTTGTCGTAGTCAGCTCAATGGCGACTGTCCTGTCCATGAAACGTACCTCTGTCCACCCAAGCCGCTGGGAGATGTTCCTGCTCAAAGTCTCTGGGCTCACTTCCGTAAAGTCCCCCTCAAAATAGAGACTGAGAGAAAGATGAAACTCGTGCCCCCGCCGGCACCATGGCTTCACTGCTGTCGTTAGTCCACAGGGATCAACTTCAGAGCCCTCTTCAGGCAAAGCAATCTCGGCATGACTGGTGAGGTCAAGGTGGAGGCCTGTAGCAGTTGATGCCAGGCCCAGCTGCCCCAGGTCGACGCCGTTCAATGCCATGATCAGTCGTCATTTCTGTCTCGTGATGGGTAGCGACGGCATTGGTGAATGAAGAGAGGAGAGAGAGTTGTCGTGGCTGTCTCAGAGCAAAGACGTGACGTCGGCGAGATTCGGAAGGTGGGGGGACGTGCGCATGAATCCTGAGGCTGCGCCTGCCATTGACGAAGATGAATCCTACTCACCGATCAACTTTATAGAAGGACACTGACGCTCGTTCCTGATCAAGTCGACTCCCTGAGAACGCTCCAAACTGCTCCAATATGGCTTCCAAAGGACCGCTACTCCGATGTCTCTCCCGAGCGAAGACGCCGATCCCACGCGTTCGCAGCCTCTATCAACCTTTCTCGAACTCATCTCGCACTCAAACAGACGGCGTCTTTCGAGCGTTAACGAACGAGCGAGTCGAAGTGCCATGGGTTGAAGCCTTTCGCAAGCAGCAGGCGCAAGGGAGTGAACCCCAGCAGCAATCCGGTCAACCACAAACGCCCAAAGATCGTGATCTTTCGCCCCGGAAAATGTCCGACTCATATCACAGTGTTGTGCGTACTGTGAGCGGACGGCTTTACCAGCTCACTGACTGATCCTTCAGCCTTAGGTTCTTCCGTTAGCACAGGATCCGTGGCTACTGGATACCTACATGAATTCGTCCGGCCACATTCGGATAGGGACCATTCTAATGGACTTGGATGCTCTGTCCGGAGTCGTTGCATATAGACACACGGGAGACAGCGTGACTACCGTCACAGCTGCATGCGATCGAATCACAATCAATCACCCTTTGACCGAAGTGTGCGACCTCCAATACAGCGGACGAGTAACATACGCCGCTGGAGGAAGCAGTATGGAAATCACGCTGCAAGTCGCCAAAGCCCCGCAAGCAGGCGCAAAGGTCAAGCCAGAGGACGTGATGATGACCTGCCAATTCACCATGGTGTCACTGGATCCTGGTACAAAGAAGCCAGTCAAGATCCCAGCCATCAAGCCAGAGACCGAGGAGGAGAGGCGCCTTTTCGACCAAGGCGAGAAGAACTCCAAGCATCGAAAAGACTTACTGCAAAGGTCTCTGCTCAAGGAGACACCAAATGACGAGGAGAGTGACCTCATCCACGCCATCTGGCAACGCCAACTCAAATACCACGACCCTAATGATTCTCTCCGGAAACCCAACAACGTCCACTTCATGGATGCCACCAAACTGACCACTGCCAGTATCATGCAACCACAATACCGGAATCGACATCAATTCATGATCTTCGGTGGCTATCTTCTCAAACAGACTTTCGAACTCGCCTTCTGCTGCGCCGCAAGTTTTGCCCATACTCGCCCGACCTTCGTCTCGCTGGACCCTTCGACCTTCCAGAATCCGGTACCTGTCGGCAGCGTGCTCTACCTCACCGCAACCGTGGTCTTCACAGATCCACCAGTCGTCAACGCAGGATCCGATTCTCCTGAAAACGGCGAGACCAACCAAACTCGGATCCAAGTCCGTGTGGATAGTAAAGTGAGAGACGTGGAACACGGACAAGCGAAACCTACTGGCCAGTTCAACTACACCTTCACCGTCGACAAAGACATCAAAGTAATGCCAAGATCCTACTCGGAATTCATGATGTACGTCGACGCCCGACGCCGAGCGAAGCGTGTCGCCGAGAGCGTCCAGGAAGGCCAAACAGACAGCGGGAAGCAGGAGAGAGTCACAGAGTAGGTAGATAAACACCTGAATTCACGTCCCCAGAGCCGCAACCAAAACATCCAACCCACTACACGTCGTACTCGCATTCCCACCCCCAAACGGCCCCGCCCAATTCACCCCAAGCACCCCATCCCCATCATTGCTGCTCCCCCAAACACTCTCCGCATTCCTCCTCAGAAAATCCCCATAATCGCCGCCTCCCGCCCTCCCCAGCCGTGCGAGATTCCGCGCAAAAATCCCCTTGAACTGCGTCCGATCCGTATCGCAACCCTCCGCATAACTCTCGCAAGGCTCATGCAGAATCCCGTCGGAATCGCTGAGTTGGGCTATCGCCGCCGAGGCTATCGAGCCGACGGTGCTGAGGAGGGAAGCATCCCCCGTGGCGCTCGAAAGCTCCACCAGGGCCCCGAGGATCACGCCTTGATTGTACGTCCACACGACGCCGCCGTTGTTCGCGCAACTCCCCGGATCCAAGCCGTCGTTTATCGTGTTCCCCTGATTAATCAACCCCGTCCCCCGGAACCACTCCCACTGCCGGCGCGCAAGATCCCTGTACTCCCCGCCGTCACCCGCGCGATTCGCGAGGTGTGCCGCAACGCTGAGGAACAGCTCGTTCGGGATCGCGTTTATGTAGGTGTGGTCTTTGTCCCACCAGATGCCTCCCTGGGCCCCGGAGTTGCTGCTGCACGGCGTGCTGCCGAAGGTGGAGCGCATTGAGGTGAAGATGGCGGTGGCGCTGGTGAGGTAGGCGGTGTTGCGCGTGAGGTCGTAGGCGGAGAGGAGGGCGAGGGCCCACCAGCCGTCGTCGTCGTAGTAGCTGCGTGGCGTGGCTTTGTCAGTGGTATGCGTGAGGGGGTGGGATGATGGGATGACGGACTTGCTGAGGAAGTTGGGATACGTCTTCGGGGCGTTGGCGAAGCTGTTCTCCATGACCGATACGATGTCGTTCTTCAAATTCCCATCGATCGTGGCGAGGTTCGCGATTGTCGATATACAGCTCCCGCTGTTCCACCATTGGCCTTGCCACAGGCCTGTGGATTCATCGTACCATTGCTGTAGTTGGGCGTAGACGGCTTCGGCGTCGGAGGAGGTGACGTCTCGGGCTATGAAGTCGAGGGGGTTGGAGAGGGATGGGGTGAGGAGAGTACAGGCGAGGAAGAGGATATACTGGAAGATGGCCGTCCTCATCTTGACTCTCCACGCCAAAGCACATGTGAACGAGAATCAAGTCAGAAGGAACAAGCGAGGTCGATACTCACACCCCGTCCCACCATCTTATACTCCTCCTCCTGCCACGCCACGCCATGCGCCCAGATGGCACCTGCGCGCTGGCAGTGTAGCATCGCATGCGACGAGAAAAGACAAGAAGAGAAAAGCATGAAATTGACTTTGCCTCCTTTTACATGCCCAACGGAAAGCAGTATTGGTCCCGACATCCGGCTTGGTGTGTATCGAGAGCAGGTTTTTGGGTGAAACGATCGCTGGAGTATGTGAGTGTAGGATCGTCGAGAGGTGGGTGTCTCGGGGTATGTAAGGCTGAGGGAGTTGAGAGCTGGAGGTTTGTTCGATGCTCGACACTTTTGTTCATTGTGTGATTCTCCAAGCGTTGTTGCCTTCGTTTGGTCAATTATGAGAGATGGCAACCCGTCATGTAACACCAGAAGCGAGGTATGTAGATGTCGTGGAAGCCATCGGCATGTCGACGCAGGCCAATCCATGCCCATATACCCCTTCAGGCACCGGCTCTCCACAACTCTCCTCGTGCCTGGTACAGAAGGGATCCTTTGCAACGTCATCGCTTTAGTCTCGTGAGCGTCTATTCTGTGCAGATGCGGTGAGTATTGACATCGATCCCTCGCGCAGGTCACGAGCGCTGACGCCCTATCAGGCAAGTTCGGGTGCGAATCAGGGCAAGTCGAAGTATAAAGCTGGGACTGTTGTTTTACAGTCCATCCCTTCGAGGTCGATGGTCGGGACCTGAGTGCACGTTGTGAAACACCGCAGAGGGCGGGCTGGTATATCGAAGTTCATCTTTCGTATACTATACACTCCTTCATCAATGGATATATATGCTATCCTGCCTGATCATTCGATCAACAGCGTCTTGGACTTTCTCCCGCTCGTCTTCAGGAGCGTCTTTCCACCTTGTCTGGATATCATCCCACACTTCCAGCATTCGCTTGCTTCCGGTGCATTTGTAGAAGGCGTGCACAGCTGCTAGCGCCAGGCCTTTGGCGAAGTATGTTGGCCGTTCGAGCTCGTTTGTGTCAATTTCTACGGGTTCTTCGTCCAAGTCGGGTTCTTCATGAGGACTGTTGACTTGAGTCTGCTGATGGTCGATCATCATGGCGCCGAGCATATCAGACCTGTCTTCTTCATCAACGCTAGATTCTGGGATGTCGTGTTCTGGAGCTTCGGCAGGCTGTATGATCTCAGGGGTCGCCAAGGACGGCATGGAAGCGGTCATTATCTCTGCCCAGAAGTCTTCCAGGCTCCTGCGATTCCACGCAGAGAAGGCATATCCTCCATGAGTCCAGAAGCCTCGCAGGATGTGAACATAGACACTCCCATGCACATGATGCTTATTTTCTCTCATTTCTTCGAGGAGCTCGCGGGTTTTGTCGAGGTGCCCTGATGTATAAGCGTGATGCTTGATCATCAATGCATACGTGGAAGAGTCTGGTGCAATGGGAGTCACCTTTTGCACGCCTTCGCGTCTCTCGTCGGCGGAGTATACACCCCCAAAGAACGAAGTTTCGTGCTGCTGCTTCTCCTGGCGTAGTCTGTGACCAGTGGTATCCAGAACCTTAGCGAGCTGCCTCCTCCTACGCCAGTCCTTGAGTGACATTACCCCGAATTTCTGCTCGTGCAGCGCTTTCATGCGCAAGAAGACGTTCTCTGCTGCCGCTGCTTCTCCCGCTCGAATGAGAGCCAGAATGACACAGTTCATGACAGCCGTGTCAACGATTTCGCCAGCATTGACCAAGTCTCGAAAGGCCTGCCGCACCCCATCGCCATCTCTTTTGACGCCAGCATAATGGATCATGCTCGCTCGAAAATAGCGATTGATCGGTAAGTCCCTGGATCTGAGCTCTGCGTAGATGGTGTCTGCAAGGGCGTAGCGTCCCGCGCGTACAGCAACACCAAAGAGGATGTTGAAAGTGACGCTATCAGCCTCATGTCCAGCATTCTCCATGCGCATCCATGTTTCAATGGCGACTTTGACCTCATTGCTAGTGGCGCTACGAAGCCAACGTGCGGCAAAGTTGATGGCGCCATTCCACACCTCTCTGCTCAGGGGTACGCCTTCTCCAATGCATTCGTCCAGGAGCTCGAAGTATCGTTGCATAGTGATTTCGGAGTCCTTGAACTGGATCCAAGAAAGCTGTCTAAAGAATCTGGCAAATACATCATCGTCCAGATATCGAGGGCGCGGCGACTGTATGAATTGGTACAATTCCCACACCTTGTCGTGCGAGATGCGACCCAATGGCTTCTTGAGCAATCGGACAAAGTTTCTGATGTTCGCTGCATGCACAGGACCTTCAGGTGGTAAGATCTCCCGTTGCCCTGGAGTTCGACTGAGCTCTTCCAGAGGCGTCAAGACTAGGCGAGGGGCCAGCGGTTGGTGCTCTACTTTCTTCCGTCGACGCTCTACCTTGGTGTCGAATTCAGGGTAGGTATTCACCAGCTCTTTGTACTCATGTCGAGATATCTCTGGAAGTGCAGGAAGTTCGGCGGCGGCTGCAGCACTCTGCTTCTTCTGCGGCTGTGACGAAAGCCATCTCCTGTTCGCATGATATCGCTGGCTATCTGGCCTGATGATAGGTCTCCGTCTCGTTTCCCCCAGTCGATAGTCCTCCTTTCTGTGTTCTCGACATGACGAGGCAGCGACTAGGGAGCGAATGAAGAGGTCTTCGAAGCTGCCGTCCGCCCTCGTCCCAGACGCCACAGCTTCGTATCCAATGTCACCGCCGCATCGTGTTCTGTGTAGACATCTCTCGTCTTTTCGATTGGGATGTCGTCGTTCTCGGGAGGGTAGTATCATGGATCGGGGCGCTATAGTCGAGGGCGAGGGAAAAGACTTGGGCCGGAGCAGAGGAGCGAGTCGGGACATGAAGCGCGCAACATGGTGCCAGCGACTCCATCAAGCCCGCAGTGGCATCGCTCGCTCTCAATCAAATGGTCGCTGGCTGTCAATGAATTAATTGATCGGGTGTCGCGTGAGATGGCGCCTCCCAATCGCAAAGTTCGACCGAGGTGGATGTGTCCCAAGTGACGGTCTCGTGCTCCGTACATGACCTCCGCGGCGACAGCACGCCCGTTCTTGAGCACTTGATGGACAGGCATTGCTCGTTCTACCACTTCACACGTCTAGACAAGGCGACATTTGGCAATGAGTAGTAGCTAATCCAGCGATCCAAACGTCTACTCTTTCCCTACCACCATGGGCCGCTACAACTTCGCCGCGCAAAACGTGCAGAAACAAGCCTCCCAACTCCTCCACGCAAAACGAATACCAGCGCCTCCCTCCTGGTACGATGTCATCGGCAACACTCCTCCCAGCACACGACTCGTTCGCCAGCCCATGCAGCGAGCACAGGAACCCGGCAAAAGACCGCCCAGGAAGCGAAGTCGAATGTTCCAGCCATTGAACATCACATACGAGGAGGACAAGTTGAGATGGGAGTACTTCAATGATCATCCGTGGGAGTTGGCGAGGCCGCGAGTGGTTCTGGAGAACGATGGACGGGATCACGAGAAGTGGGATTGGAGCGTGCCGTTGGATGCTGCTGTGCATCGACCAAAAGCGAGGTTCTTCGACAAGGCCTACGACGAGGAGCAGAGGGAGATACGAACGCTGTGGGATCGGACAATGGTGAAGCAGTCGGCGAGACCCATTAACGGAGAGTCGTACGTAACGAAAGTGCTTTAGGATGACCTACGCTAACTCTACCATCTAGCGTCGTTCAAAGACAAAACTACCTCCTGCGCACTGGCATGCAACCCGCCGCCGCATACGACAAAGCCCGAAAAGAACTCTACCGCATACGCCACGCCCAGGAAACCGAAGCCCGCGTCGCGCGAGAAGAAGCTCTAGCAACAGGCGCATATTTCGGCCCTGGACCTCTTCAAATCGGAATGCAGCTCGAAGACAAAGCCTACGAAGACTGGAAGACTTGGGCGGAGAAACAGATTGTGGCTTTCAAGCAGTTGCAAGGGTCAGCTTATACGGGTACGGAGAACGAGAGTGCAGACCTAGAAATTCAGGAGCCGCAGCAGGAGGAGCTTCAGGAGGTTAGCAGTGAGATACCTGCGACTAAGGCTGGGCAGGCGGCGCAGGGCGGTGCGGCTATACATCCTTGAAGTTGCTCGACAGGGCTTATACAGTAGCAAGATGTATGATACCCAAGGAATTTGAAGGGGATGATCTGTACAGAGCCACGAGGTTCCTTTGGCAGAACAGCCATGAAAAAGACTGCCTCATGCACACACAAGGGAAACCATGCGTCTAGCTCGCCTCTGTCCCAATCGTTTGAATGCGCCTGAGCCACCCACAAACAATCAACTGCCAGGACTATCTATGGTCATACGGATGAAAACATTCATCTAGATCGTCAAGCTCTGCCGCACAGACTACTTCACGTGCAATGTCTCAATCGCATCACATGCTTTGTCCAGCGCTCGAAAGGAACATCTAAATGGGACCTACAACTCTTCTCTTCCATCCAAACAGCAGCCGACCTGGTCCAATGGTAAGATCCTCAGGCGACGGTCTTATTACCAGTCCTGAGGGATGCTGGTTCGAATCCAGCGGTTGGACGATGAACATCTTTTTGTCGACGTCGAAGTTTTGAAATACGGGTTTTCTATGCTAAATCGTGCATGATTACCTTTCACATAAATCTATGGAATCCACCCCGTCCCTTTAGCTCTCAACTCCCTCGTCACGCGATCGATATTCACGCCCAAGGCTTGCTCGATATACCGCGGAATCTCAGTATTATCGAACCCACCCGCCATGTCAGCCTTCAATTGCTCACCCGTCCTTCCTGCCGCATATCCATACAGAGTCGTATCGACACCTGAGTGACCACCCGTCGACCAGGATATACCCGCCCGCTCGCTCAGAGCATCCGCAAGCCCAGCAGAGAAGTCTCCCAAGATGGCTTGCACTTCCGCATCTGAAGCGTCGGAGAGGCCGTAAGCAGGGAGGATGTCACTGCGGAGGTAAGATTCGCTCTTATCGGACTCGTCCCACTGAGAGGAGAGGTACTCGATCGAGTGTGTCGGAGTCTGCAAAAGACGAGGATCGTAGCCTGGAAGCGTCAAGCCGCCCGTCTCGTGGTCTGCGACAGAGAGCATCGCGGTGTCCGGGTGTGCGTCGATCCAGTTGATCAGCTTCTCCATGACGTTGTTGTATTCCAGGGTATCGTGGAGGTGAGCGGCTGCGTCGTGGGCGTGCGAGGAGTGGTCGATGCGCGAGGCTTCGATCATGAGGAAGTACCCCTTGTCGTTGCGGTTCCTGCAGTGGCGCCCTCGGCACTGTCGAGCGCGGTCGAGGGATTGGAGGGCGGTTTCGGTCATTTCGGAGAGGGAGGGTTCGCGTTCTGCTTGGGGTTGCTGTTGGCGGTCGATCTCGTAGCTTAGGTCGTTGTCGTTGAAGAGTCCGAGGTAGGGGAGGGTGATCCTGCTGCGGCCGGAAGACAGGGCGTCGAAGCTGGAGCGGTTCTGGGCGATGGAGTAGCCTTTGTCTTTGGCGTAGGCGAATAGGTCGATGTCGTCTTCTCGGCACGAGGTTGAATCTGACTGTGGCTTGAAATAGCAGCGGCCGCCGCCGAGGAGGATGTCGACACTCTGGTTGAGTGGATGGCTGTAGCCGATCTGTTGTTCTGCAATCTGAGGAAGTGCATTGCGGCTCACGGAATGTGAGGAGTACGCTGGGAAGGCCGTTAGCTTGAGGTTACTTAATGGCTGATTTGGACTCACCGGCTGGTGTAGCATGGTTGATGATGCTCGTGACGACAAGAGCAGTCAGATAGCCGTCTTGCTTCGCAGCTTCCAGGATCGACCCCAAAGCCTGGCCATCAGGAGTGACCCCAAGAGCGCCATTGTTGGTCTTGAAGCCACAGGCCAATGCAGTTCCAGCCGCGGCAGAGTCTGTGATCAGGTTGTTGCTCGAGTGCGTTCGAGTGTTACCAAGCGGCTGCACAGCCGCGTTAGCATTGGATGTAGATGAAGTCGACGTTAGGGATATGCCTTACGGTCTCGTCGATTGGCATGGCGTTGATGGCCGGTGCTTCTGGAGAGCCTCCATTTAGCATCGAGAGGTATGTCCTGACCAATGTCTGGGACGCAGGAGCCATGCCGTCTGGAATGACCATGATGAAGTTTTTGGGTCGAATGGCGGCCACTGCTGCTTGGGCAGATGCCCATAGCAGGAAGAACTCGGTACGCATATTGGAAGGCAATGGACTTGCGAGTTTTTGACCAAGAAAAAAGGCTCAAGAGAAGATATGCCAATGAAATGTATACCGCCCACCGTCTTTTATAACAGTCGTTCGCATCTTCTTGGACTCGGTCCTGCTGCAAAAACTCCCGTCTGCCTCTCTTCGCCTTGGAAGGATTCTACTCCTCGCATGTGGAAGGACGGCATATTGCCCAGCTCACATTTGGCATACCAAGAGCTCTTTTAGAAGTGCGATGTGTCGTTCAGAAGTTCTCGTAGGGAGAGGGAAAGTGTAGAAGACAATAGTTCCATCTTGGCTAGTCGGACGAAGGGCCTAAAGAGGCAGCTGAATATTCCTGTGTCTTGCACGTGGTGTTTCTCGATGGCTCTGTTGCAATGCTCGATGCAGAGGCGCGGAGAACCTTGATGAGTGGCCGAGAGATGTTGTCTTGGGGCCAAGTATGTTCTTGTTGAGGTCAATGGAATCGATCGCCGGATGCCGGCCTAATGAATGGTTGGCGCACGGGCCTTTGCCCAGCCTCCTCCTTTGCCGGGTCAAGAACGACTTCTTCTCTTCTTCACTTCACATCACAGGCACTTTCGGTACATCGAACTGCCACCATCACGATGCTGCGATTCGGGATTTGCAAATGAATGTATTGATACTCCCCCCATGGCTACTTCATTCCCGCACCCTCAAAACTCCAGGACCTCGTGTAGTCGCTCTCGCCCCAAGGCCATCCGCCCAGCTCGATGCTGAGCTGGGTCGTCGACTCAAGCTCCTGAGCGCGAGCCTTGAGTTCATCCACGTCCCAGTTCGCCCAGAGATATTTGCCCTTCAAGAACTTCGCCTCGGGACTTGCAAGCCACACGTTGAAATTGCCCGGCAGAGACACTGTCAAGAGTCAGCAGTCTGCTAACAGTGGCGAGATCATCTATTACGAACCATGATCTTCGAATCCAGCAGCGGCGACACCGCCTACGCCTCTGTTCATCTCCGTATCGACAACTGCGGCTGTTAGCAAGAATCCATCTCGCCCGCCTTTTGCACTTACCACCTGGCTGGATATGGAACACACTGTGCTCAGGGTGTGCAAATCCCACACTATTCCACAGACGAAAGTTTGCCATTTTGGCGATGCTGTACGAAGCCAATGCCGCAGCGAAGTTGTGGTGTGCAGCGCATGAGTTGACATCTATCGCGACTGCGTTCTTCGATGCATGCCGAAGGAATGCTTGCGCGGTCAACAGCGCACCTCTGAGATTCGTCTGGATGGCTCCCAGAAATCGTTCTTCCTCGGCCTCTTCCACTGTGTCAGGAGGCCCCGTGAACGCTGCGTTACTGACAACTACGTCGATCTTTCCGTTACCCGCGAACTTCTTGAAGGCATCGTCGACTTGGCTCTTGTTCGTGATGTCTGTCGACGCCACGAAAACTTCGACTCCAGGATATTGCTTTTCTATCGAGGCTTTGGTGTCCAGTAGAGGCTGCTCTCTGCGACCGAGAAGTGCGATCCGTGAGGCTCCTGCTTCAGCAAAGCTGCGAGCTGTTTCTGCTCCTATTCCTGTACCGCCGCCCGTGACCAAGACAGTCTTACCTTTAGCGGAAAGCTCCGGACGAGATGGCGAGATTGAAGGGTAGGTGTTTGAGTGCCATTTCTTGGTAGGAGAAGGGAACGGTGCTGCCATGTTGAGAGTGGTTTGATTGATCTGAAGGTGATGTTTTGCTGCTGAATGCTCGATACCTTGATGAGACAGACATCTCCTACCCTTATATGTTTGCAATAACAGAGGTGTATTATGAGGCCTACTAGACCTTTCATTGACACTACACGTCTTGCAATTGCATTATTCATCCCTTTTTGCGAGATGTTGCAGACTGTTCCGTACTGCACGCCTTGGATCCGAATCCGAGTGTTTTCTGCGAGCTACAAAAGTGCTCCGCCCGACGCAGTGGTCGCCGGATGAAGCCATTGACAAAGCCGTTGATCGCTGACAAATGAGAGGCTCTCTTATATGCACCATTTCATACTGCTCCGATGGTCTGCTGCGGACAACATTGAAATGTATGAACACTCGCAGGCAGTCTTCCGGTGCGAGGAATGCAACAAGCCGTTCGACAAAGGTATTTCCCTTCACAGTGCTTCGCTACGCCGATGGATACGAGCTGATCGAAACTTGGCAGAATCGACCCTTAAGAGGCATAGATATTACTGTCGGTCTCGAAAAACATCTGGCCGCAAGCCAATCCCACGGGCTCGATCATGTATCTCCTGCGTCAAAAGAAAGGGGCGTTGTGACAATCGACGCCCTATCTGTTCAAATTGTGCTGAGAAAGATATCGCTTGTTGCTATCCCACAAACGCATCTCAAACCAAAGGCCAGCAGAAGCATGGGGCAGCCTACGACTTTCTCCAGACTACAAATGAAACTCCTGATGTCAATTTCACTGGCGGCTATGAGCAAGACGCCGTCGATGACTTTGCTATGATCTTATCTAAGTCGACAGATGTCCCAGACCTTGCACAGTCGAAGCTGAAAGACCAGCCCTTCGTATGGAACGATCTTGACATAGCATTTGCGAGCTTCGTGAACGACGAGATGGCCGGACCGCACTTGACTTTCCAGCAACTCATACCACCACAGCAAGATTCGATACCGATGGCACCGGAGCCCAATGTTCGCTCTATGATTGCACGCTCTAGACCGGATTCCAAATCGCAGCGCACGATCAAGTTGATCAAGCATACACTCAAATCGTATCTGCGTGTGATGCAGCATGACAGCACTCTACCGCCCTTCATTCATCCTGGACTGGCTACCGCGTCTGTTGGGACTGGCCGGATGGAGCCGATGGCCAATTGCATGAGCCTCATGCACATGCTCAACGGCGAAATTAGGGGCAGCAACAAGTTGTTCTGGAAGAATGTTCAACTGGAAAGTGACCGCCTCATGGCTGAGGTAGGTCACGACGTAAGTGAAAAACTTCAAAGAAACCCAGCTAAAGCGTTCTAGTGTACAAGCATGACCAAATTGGAACTATTAGCCGCCATGCAAGCGCTATCCATTTACATTTTCGTGAGATTGGACGAAGGCGAGACAAACGACAACGACTTGGACGAGATGTTGCAAGCTACGGTGACGGTAACTTCAACGGCTATATCACCACTTCGTGAATCGTCAATGCTAACGCCAAATCGACAGAAAATCTCGCAGCTCTTCAATTGCCAAGCGTATGTGCCCGATCCACAGCTTGACCAACCCTGCGAACTTGTATCGATGTGGCAGGACTGGGTCGTAAAGGAATCAATCAACCGGTCACACTTGCCCTCCCTCCCAAGACTGCAATCGATCCAGACTGACGAAACCATAGACTCTGCCTCATCTACCGCATCATCGACATGCTCGCCTACTTTGGTCCCGCCGCCCTCTGCAACCTTTCCCCCAAACTCCTCCTCGCGCCGCTGCCTGCGCGGAAACAGCTCTGGGAGGCCCCTGATGAGTTCACGTGGAGCATGGAGATCAGCAAGGACATCATGCGTCCGGCTGTGTTTGGTCTCACTGGCAAGGGAGACCTGATCAGATTGAACAATGGGCGTTCGTTGCATGAGCCTGGGGCGGCGAGTTCGGTAGATGGTGGACAAGAGGATTCTGCGAATTGGGAGGAGTGGTGTTCGGGGATGGATGGGCTGGGGGCGTTGGTGATGCTTGCTGCTAGTTTGGTTGGGTGAGGGAGGATGGATGGGGATATCTTGATTCGATTTGACGCTGATGAGTCCAACATGTTTGCTGTGGTCTTTCAGCATCCCAACTATCGATTCCCAAGTCGAGATTCGACATTCCCAAGTCTCCAGTGGCGCCTATGAGTCGCAGTGTGGCCGGCCCCAGACTCCCGAAAATGCCTGCGACCTTCAAAAGCCAGCACTAAGATCGATGGAGCTCCTCCCAAAATGCCAACCGAGAACAACCAAAATCTCACTCCAACTTCCCCTCCTCTCCCTCAAAAGCACGTCCCCTGCGGATTCGCATCAATCCCACACCGACACATCCCAAAATCCTCCCCCTCCCCACTCGCCTTGAAACAGCAAATATCCCCGCCCTTGCCGTCACCGGAGGGATGCGCCGGATTCTCCGGACAGCTGAAGTCCTGCAGTTGGCAGTCGATGGTCGTGCAGCAGGAGCCCTTGGGCCAGAGGAGGAGGGTGTTGTTGAGGGGGTCCGAGAGGCGGATGTTTTTGACCACTTCGACCGTGCAGAGGGTGTCGGCTTCGAAGCCGGGGTCTGGGCGGCGGGTGTTTGCGAGGGTTGAGGGGAGGAGAAGGGAGAGGGTTGCGAGGAGGAGGTGGGGGAGGTGCATTTTTTGTTTGCGGGTTGATGCCTTCTTGCTGTGGCGTTTGTTAAGTGGGTGGTGGCTTGATTGGGGTGGGCGGTTTGAAGTTCCTTCAAGAATATGAAGTTCCTTCAAGGAATAGGGATCTCGTCAATAAGGTAGAGAGGGGAAGGCGAATTGAAATATACCCTCATCTTCAGCTGTTTATACCCGGATTTGCTGGCGCCCGAGAGCGCCATGACGTTGGCGATCCGCGCCAGATACAGCAGTAGGTTTGCTTAATCATACGAGAGCTAAGGAAGTTAGTTCAATTGATTGGTTATCCGTACATAGCAGTTACTTCCACCCGGTAATGTCAATGGGTTACAAGGCTGCGCTGCTGTAATCGTGTGAGGTGGAAGGTGATGTTCCAGGGGTGAATGCCGGCAGCCCGTTGACAGGGATGCTGTATGGAGTTTCGCTTCCCGAGGCTAGCGCAAACCTTAATCTACTTCTCTCCCGTCTGCAGTGAGCTTTGAGCTCGTGTCTCTCCACGACATGACACCACCGAACCACCACCACCACCGCCTCGACTCTGGAGTCTTGCTGTCGACAGTGACAGAGTGAACTACGCATTATTGGCGGGCGACTCACTGGCAGCGTCATTCCCACGATGGCAGAACCGCCCAAGAAGCGTGGCCTCACCCTCTATGGCGACTTGATCACCCCCGAAACGCGCGCTGAGGTGGAAGCCCGCGATGCCAAGGCGCTGGCCGAAGAGAAGAAGAAAAAGAAAGACGGTAGAGTGATATGGCGTGCACGTTCGCGATGAGGCCGATTTGCTCACTTGCCTACCAAAGCCTCACTCATGTTCAAGCCCACCAATCTGGGAAAGAAGAACGGAAAACCGGCGCAGAAGCCGAAGCCAACATTTGCCTCCATGCACAAGCCTTCCTCCAGCACCTCCACCGGCACTGCACCACCGACGGCCAGTTCGCCAGATGCACCCACTCAGCAGCTTTCGAGCGAGCCGCAGGACCACCCACCGCCGCCGCCGCCTCAGAAGCGCGGTTTCAACGACTGGCTAGCCGATGAGGAGCAAGAGCAGGAGTACTATGAGCGTCGTCCACGCTGGCAGAGCAAGAAGGCGAAGAAGCAGCAGCAACAGTATCAAGAACAGTGGTCCTGGACTGATACATACGACCCTAGTCAGCCTGTCCCTTACGAACAGTACTCTGGCTCGGATCACTGGAGGGATACGAATAGCGACTGGAGAGAGAGACTGCATGTCGCGCGCGACCAGCATCGGGGCCAGGCATCCGGCTATGGAGGCTACCAAGGAGGCTACAACGGCGGCTACTCCAATATGGATGGCCAAGGATACAACTCTAACATGGGCAGCCGTATGTCTACTAACCGCTCACTTCTCTTAAAGCTAACATCCGTAGGTCCACCACCAAACATGCAATTCGCATCCCCACCAAGCTTCGCTCCACCGCAAAGCTTTGCTCCGCCAGCCACCTACAGCCCTGACCCAGTCTCGCGCTCAAATTCTCTTGGACCGTCGTCTGGACGCAACAGCGGCTTCAGCAATCGATATGACGACAACGGTCGTCCCCCACTCCCACCAGTAGATTTGAACAAGGACGAGTCTGGTGACGATGCGTACGCTCGACGCATGGCTTTGAGCGCACAACCGCCGCCGCCGCCGCCGCCAGCTACTCGCCCACCGATGCCGCAGGCCAACGCACCATCATCACGTGCGCCATTGTCAGCTGCGGATCAAGAGAAGCGTGCCAAAGCAGAGCAGCAGATTGCAGCCATGAAGGCCAAACTGGCCGCAGCCAAGGCCAGTAGTGCGAGCCCTGCCCCTCCTCCAGCAGCAGCTTCGACGCCGCCGCCACCACCACCACCACCCCCGCCTACCACAGACCCACCTAAATCTGCCACCGTAATCTCCGCCCCGCCTACGTACAATCCTGAATATCTCGCCCAGAAAGCCCAGCAAGAGAGACAACAATCGCTTGGAAATGACAAGTCATTCTCTGACGCCGCCGATGATGCTCATGAGCCCCAGTCAAAGGCTCCCGGCCAAGCGGGATTCGCACAGCGCGTCATGGAGCGCATGGGCTATGAGAAGGGCAAAGGGCTTGGTGCCAGTGGCGAGGGCATCACGTCAGCCCTTTCCGTCAAGGCCGACAAGCGCAAGAAGAAGCCAGACGCTCAAGGCGGAGGCTACGTCGCCCCGGCCGCCATGGGCAAGATCATGGGCGGTAAGACAAAGAAGAAGGCGGACGGCGATGAGGACGGCCCCCATGGTAAGATGTCGGCGGTAGTGAAGTTTGAGGGCATGTTAAAGGATATGGACGTGGACAAAGCGATACAGGATGAGGGTATTCTTCAAGAGATAGGCGATGAAATGGCGGAGTTCGGTAAGGTGGAAAGGCTGAAGATATGGAGGAGTTATGAAGGCGGCAACGACGAGGTCTTCATCAAGTTCACCAGCCAACTGAGCGCTCTAAGGGCGATCAATGCGATGGATGGGGCTGAGTTTGAAGGTAACACCATCCAGGCAAGGTATTGGGATGATGAAAAGTTTGAGGCGGGCGAGTATGCCTGAGACGCTTCTACTAAATGAAAGCGAGAATGGAAATATCCGTTCAGCGACAAGAAAATGCATTCGAACTTTGGCACACCGCAATCATGAAGTGGAGAACGACTGCATGACCTTCGTTCCGCGGACTGAGAACGATCCGATGGACCCTGCGATTGCTTCACATCATTCATGTCCTTGTACCTCCTGCTTGACGACTTCTAGCGCCCCAGCCACCTCTTCGGAATTACATGTACTCTCAAAGCTGGATGAGCGTTCTCGTCTTGATCAAGCTTTGAGAGCGTCCTCTGAATCCGTCCTGTCATGCTAGGAACAGGCTAGGTCCCCGACCTGTCAAATCGATTCCACCGTGCAGAACCATGCAGAAGAGTGGCTTGTGCACCTGTGTTTCCCCTCACGAAACCGGATTCGGCGATCGACTCCTCAGATGAGGCTCAAGGGTTGCTGGGAAGTGCTGGGGTGGGGACTTGGCAATTAAAGTCTGTTTGGACGTCATGCGATCGCGATGGTGATGAGGACGCTTGAAGGCGGTCATCTGGAGAATATGAGCTTGTGGTCAAAGATGTTCAGGCTGTGCGCGTGTTGAAACGATTTGATCGAGAGAGTGCAGAAGGCACTGAAGACATCTTGCCTTGACATTGCAAGGCTGCCTACCACCCCCTCGTCATCGGTGCAAGACAAAAGGCTTGCACAATGCTTCATTCCCCGCCCAGACGGTATCAAGGGTCGATCCCAGTGAGTTCAATACTTCAGTCACTCAATCGAGGTCTTTCGAGGGCTCTTTCTCCAGCCTCGTCCAGGTTGAGGGCATCCTGGATACTCCTCGCGACAACACGCCACTGCAGGCTTTGGGGAAGAGTTCATAATCCTCCCGTCTTCCTCCTCCGGCCGTCTCTCTGTTCTTCCTCGACTTGATCCTTCGCACTTGTTCACACGCTTCGTCTTCACGCATCAGCACCGACTCGAACCGCAACGATGCACCTCCCTTTCCTCTCCCTCCTCCTCGCCGCAACAACGGTCTGGGCAGCTCCCCAACCCGTCGAGGAGTCCGCCGAAGACGCTGATCTAGGGCCTTGCTTCCCACACTGTACATGCACTCTTCTGTCTCCCCTCATGGCAACGACTTGCTGATATGATCCAGGCCACCACGGTCCACCACCACCGCCAGCCTGTTTCTTGCCATTGCTGTGTCCACCACCGGTAAGTCATAGCCTAGATGTTTGGGAGACGACGAAAGAGCAGAATGCTGATGACAAGACGTAGCCACCACCATGCCCAGCTTGTGGCCCTTGTGGATTGCCGGATTGGTACGTTCATGTTCCCTCTTCTTGATGATGAGTTCTACTGATATCGGAGCAGCGGACCTCCTCTTCCTCCTCCGCCTTGTGGTAAGTTCCTCGCCGTAGTGGGGAGGTCAGTGGATGAATGAGGCTGATATGAGTGCAGGTGGCCCGCACTGTGGTGGACCACCACCGTTCCCTTGCCAGTACTGGCCGTTTGCGCCGTTCTGTCATTGAGTGGGGATGAGGTGGGTTGGAGGTGAGTCTCAATCGTTCATGAACTTGGCTAGAATGGTACATGGCTGATGAATACCTGGCTAGATAGGTGATGGAGAAAGTTGCTGTTGAGCGTTCGATGATGGGGCTCGAATGGATGCTGGGGGAGTAATAGTGGTACGAAGTTGAAGTGCCACGAGCTAGCGGACAGGAAATCTTCTATGAAATGTTTAATACGATACAGATTTTGCATCTTCATTCCAATCATCTTCGACTCGTCTCCACACATCGCTCTACTTTGACTGCTTGCATCACCTCTACGCAGGACATCCACCCTCATACTTCCCCACAGCAGCCTCACTACACCACTTCGCCCGATCCGCCCACGCGGACTGACTCTCTTCCAGCTTCCCCTCAGCCCAAGCCTTCATCGCAGCACTCTGTAGCGCCCGCCCATACGAGAACGTCAACGCCCATGGCGCAGCGCTCACATTCTCCTGCTTCCGCTTATTGATAGCATTGAGGTACTGGATCGAATCCGCATCGCTGAACCCACCCGACAAGAACACGATCGTCGGAACGAGCGGCGGGACGGTCTTGCTGAGCATGTGCACGGTTGCTTCGGCGACGGCTTCGGGCGAGGCTTTGCTGTGCTTCTCTCCAGGCGTCACCATCGATGCCTTGAGAATCAGGCCTTTGAAGTCGACTTTGTGCAACGCGAGCCGTTCGAAGATGGCGGAGTAGGCGGCGATGTGCGCTTCGAGGGATCTTTCGATTGGTTGATCGTGAGTCATGAGGACTTCTGGCTCGACGATGGGGACGAGGCCGGCTTGTTGGGAAATGGCGGCGTAGCGCGCGAGGATCTCGGCGTTGTCCGCGATGGCGATGGGGGAAGGGGTTGTGGAGGACACAATGTATGTGGAGCGCCATTTGGTGAAGCGGGCGCCGCGGGAGTAGTATTCCTTGCAGCGCTCAAGAAGGCCGTCGAGGCCTTGGGTTGAAGTCTCCTCTGGAGAGGTCCTTGGAAGGGCAATCGTGCCCTTATCGACTTTAATACCCGGAATGATCCCCCGAGCTTTGAGCACCTCAACAAACGACTTCCCTTTCCACTTGGACTCGAGCGTGGCGTCATGCTTCATCAAGGTGTCTTCGAAGGTGATCACACCCGAGATGTGCTCTTCAATGGCTGAGGGTGTGGTGAAGAGGACATCCCGCCATTCGCGGCGGTTGTCTTCGTTGTTCTCTTTGCCGACGCTTTCGAGGCGCTTTTTGATGCTGCCGGTGCTTTCGTCGGCAGCGAGGAGGCCTTTGCCTGCTTGGCCAAGCTTCAGAGCGGTCTCGTGGAGCTCTTTCTCGTGCTCGAGTTTGAGGGGGGCTTCGAGGTGAGACATGCTGGATGTTCACACTGCTTGGAAGGGTTTGGGAGAATGGACTGGGAATGAGGAGAGGTTGAGAGATTGCAATTGAGCTTTTCAGACACATCGTATATAAAGTGTTTGCTGAGGAGAATGACTTCATACCGTGATGAAAGTACCTAGTTGGACGAACCTTGATGGTGCAGACTGGCCCTCGGTGGAGGACGTGGAAGTTTGCTCTCTGTGAGGTTGTTCAATAGTGCATCGAAATCAGGGGCCATCGTAGGTACGTGCCCAAAACACCAGAGAGTGTCGACAGTCACCAATAACATTCTGATAATGTCGTCGGTGAATGATGGACGTTGGGAGAGGACGAGGTGAAGTCAGATTAAGGTCACGTGTGAGCGTGACGTGGGCGTGAGAAAGTCGACTTCTCGAGCAGGAGCAAACATCAACCAAACCATCAACACCATCAAGCCTGGCCAGATGCTCCAAAGCAGCCATCAAAGCCAGCCTGATCTCATCGAAGCGACGATGATATTTGGCGACTGACGTTGATCACCGCCGACATGCCGGGCGTGCCAGGGAAAAAACTCGGACAAAAGGTCGACATCGACTTTACCTTGCGCAAAGTATTCCAACGAGACTCGTTTCGGCCAGTCCAGCGAGAGGTCGTGACGGCAGCTCTCGAAGGCCACGATGTCTTCCTCCAGGCTGCCACTGGCTTTGGCAAATCGCTCTGCTTCCAACTCCCCGCCGTTGTCGACTTCGGCATCACGATTGTAATCTCTCCACTGCTGGCACTGATGAACAACCAGATCAACTCTCTCCGAGCTGCCAACATCAGAGTTGAGACCATCAACAGCACGATCCCCGTGTCGACCAAGACTGCAATACTCAACGACCTCAAAAGCGGCCATCCTTTGACCCGACTTCTCTACGTCACGCCCGAGTACTGCACGCTGGACTACTTTCGCAAACACTTGCGCACCGTCTACGAACAGAGGGAATTGGCCAGGATCGCCATCGACGAGGCACACTGTATCTCGGAATGGGGCCACGACTTCAGGCCGAGTTTCAAGGAGCTGAAGCTTTTCAAGAAGGAATTTCCGGATGTTCCCATGATTTGCTGTACGGCGACAGCGACTGAAGAAGTACGCGACGATATAATCACTACTCTTGGACTGGATGAATCTAAACTGAAGAAGTTTACCATGACCACGAGTCGGCCTAATTTGCACTACGAAGTACGCTTCAAGAGCGACGAGGAAGATCATTTTGACGACTTCGTTTTATGGCTACGCACCGTTCACAAACGTCGTGCTAAAAGCGCGGCTCGCTCACAGGAACTCAGTCAGCGTAACGAGCGTGCTAGGAATGTGCCTGGCATCATTTACACATGGTACCGAAAAGACACCGAAGCCCTTGCTCAACGCCTGCAAGACAATGGAATCGGTGCGAAAGCGTACCACGCCGGCATGTCTACGGAGGCGAAAGACGATCACCTTGATGGTTGGGTCAAGAACAAGGAAGGCTACGATGTCATCGTTGCGACGACTGCGTTTGGTATGGGCATTGACAAGGAGAATGTTCGGTTCGTTGTCCATTGGCAGATGCCAAAATCTTTCGAAGGCTACTACCAGGAAGCTGGTCGAGCAGGACGAGACGGCAAAGCATCTGTCTGTATGCTCTACTACAGCCGCGAGGACCGTGATCGCGCTCACGCCTCTTATGTGCGAGACGCCGAGAAGATGCAAAACGCAAAAGGCGCAAGTCGCCAGGCGTGCATCAATCGTGGCAAAAGCTTGCAAGCGTTGATCACCTACTGCGAAGGTGTGACCACTTGCCGCCATAGGAGCGTTGCCAAGTACTTCGGTGAGGAAGCAGTGCCTCCTTGCGAGTGGGCTTGCGATTGGCACAAAGATGCGAAGAAGCTGGCGAAACGCAAAGATCTTGATCTTCAAAGCGAAGAGTGGATCGCGACACAGAGACAGATGGGGACTTACAATCAAGATGAGTATGATTGAGGTTCTGGAGTGCAAAGAAGCATCGAGAGATTTTCTGGCTTGCTGCTGGAATCACGAAGAAGAGCAACGGCGTGGCTGTCGATGTATCCAAGGACATGCACGAGGCGACTTGATCGTACGGCAATCATCGAGATTGTTATCATGCAACGACTTCGGAAGTGGTTAGGGGATCCAGAGGTTAAACGCCTGCGCGGATCATGGAGAAGCTTCGGGGAGCCTTGTGACGGACGAACTGTTCAGCATCTTTCGTCCGGACGGACGTCGAAGTCCGATCAACGCCTACCACCATTTCTACTTTCGGTCCTATAATTGGTCATCTCAAACTCTTATTGAGGTTCCGCCCATTACACTACTGACCTACGGCCCGTGCCCCCAGGTTCGGGCGTCGAGATGTGGAATCATTGCAACTGGGCTGCATAAGGCAATGACGACGGCCAGTCCGCATTCGGGAAACTTGAGGAATCAGATGTGCTCTCAAATGACTGCACTCTATGACAATGAACATACCCTTCGGTGCCAAGGAGGTCAGATTCCATGGCCATGTTTGGTATTGTCAATGCACGTATGTCGAGAATAGCAGACATGGTAGCAGGGCAAAATGATAATAAGTGCAGTCTGCCGCTGCAGAATCCCAACAACACAAGTATATCCGCACCATCTCTATCTTCCTCCACATTGCCATCATGTCCTCTCCCGTCTCACAACTCGAAACGCTCCAAAAGAATTCCGAATTCGTCTTTCTGGTCTGTACGTACGCCGGTTCCCAGCCCCAACTCGCCAAACAACACTCCACTGACATCCTATTCTCTACACCATAAAGTCTACAGAGGCCATTGGTGTCCCTTTTGCCTCAACTACATCAAATCCCTCGCCAGCATCGGCCCCTCCATCAAAGCCGCCGGTGGACAACCTATCATCATCACCGCAAAAGAGAGCCCCGAGTTGGTTAAGATCGTGAGGGAGAAGACGGGATACACAGACGCGGCCATCGTCGACCCGAAGCATGAAATCGCCAATAGCTTGAGGGCACGAGGGCTCCTTGATCTCACAATCACTGAGAAAAAAGGCTATTCGCAGGGAATGGTTCAGCCTGGTGCTTTGGTGCTGGGGAAGGAAGGAGAGGTGATGTATGCCTGGGCGAGTCGGCCGAGTTTGGTGAGTTGGTACTCCTATATGGTATCATGGGATTGCTTTGCTGACGGTGGTGTGAAGAGCAATCTTGGAGGTGCTAAGGATCGACCTTTGCTGGAGCAGGTTTGGGGCGATGTCGAGGCGGTGATGCAGGGGAGGGAGAGGGTACACGGTGGTGTGTATGGGAAACAGACGTTTTTGCAGGGCATTGGGATGAAGTTGTTTGGATGAAGAGAGGTGGACACGAGAGATGTGGGTGAGTCTACTCAATGCATACTTCCATTTCGTGTATAGACCACTTGTTGAAGTCCCTGTTGATGCCTTCACTCTATGTCCTGGCTGTTTCCCTATCGGTCGTTTACTTATCATCCGTCGTCAAACATGCTCAACCCACCTAACACGGCGCCGGCGTCTCGATACAAGCACAAGCTGTGCTCGCAAACCCCTTGCCCAATGCTTCCAGGGTCGAAAGTAGTGCTGCTGGGTTGGCCTTCTGCGCTTTCTTGACCAACGTCGTGGGAGTCGGCTCTGGCTCTGCGATGGGTTCTGGATCTGCCGTCCGCTCCGCGATCTTCTTTTCTGGTCTTCTGCCAGTGCAGGCGACGGGGAAATTTTTCGAGCACCAGGACTGAGCGGCGGTGTTTGTTGAGAGTGGCAGGAGTGCGTCGTAGGGGAACTTGGTGCAGACGCCGGTTGGTGTTGGGGTTGCAGCGGGTGTTGTTGTTGTGGTTGTAGTTGGGTCTGTGTTGATCGTACTGCCAGCGTAGGCCACGGCGGCGAATTCTAGGAGTGAGAAACGCATGGTTTGAGAATGTGTGTCGAAAATATTCGATTGGGGTTGCTTGTACTTAACAAGAGTGATTCAGAACCCTTAGTTGTGTTGGAAGATGATCTGCCGGCTTTCTCTTTGAAGACCACTTCAACGGCCTGCAGCTTCTACTTCGTCAGCCAGCCTTTTGTCTGGACCCGACGCGTGCTGAAGGCTAACGAGCACTGTATGAGCTCCACAAGTTCTCGCCATTCAGATGTCTCAGAAGATGAAGCATGGGCAGGCACTCCCCTCGCCAATTGCGATTGGTCCACAATGGCGTCTCCGTCTTAAGCCAGCCGCGAGAAGGATTGACGTCTCGCCACGTGGGAGTCGACACTGAATTCCGAACCATACCAGGGTCGAAGCGAAGTCCAGGTGAAGTTCGGGGTCGTGGTTTCCAGCTGGAAAGATTCACGCCACGAGCGATCTGGCCAAGCTTGAGCTGGAACGCTATCCCAGATAGGAAGTTGTGGCGTGCGCTGTGCGGCTGGACCTGTCTCACATTGAACTTCACCTTGCGGTTCATCTTCACAATTGTAGAGCTTGAACTGCTTCATGACGAAGGAACTTTCATCGTTTCGCTCCTTCGTTGCAATACCGAACAATTCGCAACATGGACATCAAAGCGGAGAGTGAACCTTTCCTGGAGAGCGCTGTACTCTTGGAAAGCTCGCGCGCAGGGCTGGAGACCAGGCGTCAAAGATTGCCATATGGGCAGGCCATCACCATTGGGAACGTCGTTTTGTTCTGTTCATCATTCGCGCTTTACTGGTTATCCCGCCAGAGACAACGGCAAGGACCCTTTCAGACCGACATCCGAGATGCGTGGCCGGCCGTTCAGTACGAAGACCGTACATTCACTGGAGCTTTGAAGCACGATGCAGAAAGCAAAGAGCTGTACCGCGAGCATGATGCTGAGCGAGAGTACTTTGGACCACCGTCAATCCTGATCGAGGATGCTTGGGATCGACTTCTTCATGGTAGGGAACATGTTAAACGTTGGTTGTGTGCCAGCTAAACCTGTTGGTAGACGAGTTTGTGCCGATGACAGCAGAAGAGGCTGCTCCATTCCAGCCCGAATTGACAGTCCTGCCATGGGAGGGAAAGTTCTTCTTTGAGTAAGCTTCATCACCCAATTATACTGCTCTCCTCCATCAACTGACGAAGTCGGTAGGCCCGATGTCCTCCACTTCCTCCACTGCATCAATGGCATCCGCAAAGAGTTGTCGAACTACATGTACAATAGTTCGGCCAGTCACTTCCTACTCCTCTTCGGACCTCGCCCATTGGGAGCATTGCATGGATCGACTTCGACAATCGATCATGTGTCATGGGGACCTGACTCCGTCTCCGCTGTACTCTTGGCCCGATTCTCCTATCGCTTTGGGCCGTTCGGGAACCCATGCATGTCGTAAATGGGAACCGATCCGGCAGTGGCTGGACGAGCGAAAGGTGCGAGGGGGCTCAGGGAAGTCTGGATAGCCGTCCGCGGAACTCCAGAACATGATGGACACCGGTACCAATTCAGTATCAAGCATCCCGCTCCATGGGTCCATGATACTAGCGGCACCCTCCACGGACGTCGAGATGTCGGGCGGCACCGAACGCACGAGAGCGACCACCCTGATCAGTGTCCTGGACAACGTGCACATGTGTGCTATGTCTCTTTTCAAGTCGAGTTTCGCCTGACCACTTCAATTCAACAAGTTCCCAACAGGCAACCCATCGGACCCATCATCACACATCTTCCAAGGATCATCCTGGCCCTCTGGCAGCTCATCGTCCCAATAACAGGCCGTGTTCGCGGTCGCATAGTCCCTCAGTACGTCCCAATCCCGACACTGTCTAGTCTGATTGAAACCACCCTTGTGTCCATGGCCAGTGACGATCAACAGATCATCGCTCGCAGAGCACATCACACTCTGTCTCAACGCATCATAGCAATGCATCGCATGCTCGAGCGGTTTTGTGGGAGTCTTGTTATCGCGAACGAGGAGGTAGTCCTTTCGAAGGACCTGGATGCAGTGGATGAGGTGGTATGCTTCGAGGGCGTAGACGACTTTGTCGTCGTGGTACGGGTGGATTATGGTGTCAGGGAAGCCTTGTCTCGTGGCGTAGTCAATGTCGAGGGCAATAACTCCGTGTCCGGAATTGATTCCTGCCCAGGCTTCGTTGGGGCCTGTGAGGTTGTCGTCTTCCCAGAAGCGGTTGAGAAGCCCAGAGTCGAGGGTTTTGTTGCGGAGGGTGCTGAGACCAACTTCATGCGACTTTTGTTAGTGAGCCTCTGGCAAAAACAGGGCAATCGACATACGTTTGGAGACCTTCGGTGGGTGTTCTGCTAATTCTGTCCGCCAGCGGATAAGAATAATGCTTTGAACAACAATGATCAAAGTCAAAAGAGTGTATGCACCGCCATGGAGGAAGCCAGAGCCTTGTGTTTTGCGACTTGTCGCCCGTTCAAGAAGTCCTTCGGCCTCGTTCTGCTCTTCGCTTGTCGTCGTTTCGGCTTCTCTCCAGCCTCGCTTTTCGTCGTCGGTGTACATTGTGTTATGTCTTCTTCCTCAGCCCGTCTTCCGCTGCCCTTCAATACTGCTCCCAGAGCAGCAGATGTCAGGCTCCTGTCGCAGGCCAGAGACTCCTCGGTGCTTCTTGGAGGAAGACATCATTTCGCAAGGCAAGCCCAGGCTAGTCATGACCTTATAGTACGCTTAGTAACCTCTTCTCTGAAGCGATTCCCATGTTTCAACGCCTTGGGATCCAGGAGCTGAAGTCAGGGTTAAGGCCATAAGAGGCGTTGATCGGCCCAGGGCTGGCCCGTTTCCGGCTGCAGATGGCGATCATCCGCTCCGATTTCCGCTCTCGGGTGCGCCAGTCAGATTCTCCGTCAGGCGGCAGGACGCCTTAACTTACGCTCTTTTCGCGGAGAAAATCACTAGTTAATAATCAACAAGGATCCTGTCGTTGGCGAGGCTGTGATGAGAGCTCCTCTTTGAGACGAATATACGAAACTGAAGGCTTTGTGCAGCTTCACCCAATTCATCACTTGAATGTTCCAAAGCGAGGCCCTTCTCAACCACAAAGCTTATCCCCTCGAGTAAGCCTACCCAAGATGCGCGCCACAGAAAGGCAGAAGACGACCGTCTCCTTAAACGGTCGATCGTTTTAGCACCCAGCCGCAAAAGCCAACACGTCGATGATTCGATGCACACCGGCTCGTGGCATGTGGCATGCCACGCGCGTGCGAGTTGTAGCTGAAATAGGATAACTTGCGAGCGCCTCGCTGTCATCCTAATCTAGGAGTGTTCATCTTCGCAGCCCGCTCGGTGCTCTTTATATCACTTTCCTTGGCCTGCAGACTTCGAGAGTCAGGTCTTCCATTCTTGTTCGCTGTTAGGTAAGTCGAGGGATACCACCGGAGAGATAGAGGATTTGACCGACCAAGAGCACAGCACGTCCACTCATTCCAAACACAAGTCAATCCTTCAAGCAAAAACACATTCTCTACATCAAGCAGCATCGCCAACATGCGCTTCACAACAACAGCATCCGTACTGGCCATCCTCGGCACAACACTCGCCCTCCCCGTCATCCCCGAAAAGAACGTTACGGAAACCGTCTCCCCTTCCCCGGAGGCTCCCACATATCACGTCTACAAAGCTGCCTGGAAACGCGAAGCCGAAGCCGAAGCGGTACCAAGGAAGAAATACGAGCTCTGGAAGCGCAGAGAATTCATCGACCCAAAATCGTTTTCTTTCGGCGACCATGCGAAGAGAGAGGCGGAGGAGGAGAGCGATGAGGCTGGGGACCCGAAGACGTTGATTCTGTGGAGAGATGCCGAGGCCGACCCGAAGAAATACGAACTCTGGAAGAAAGACGCCGAAGCCGAAAAGGAGAAATTCGAGCTGTGGAAGAAAGAAGCGGGCGCAGATGCGGCGGCCGATCCTAAAAAATACGAGCTCTGGAGGAAAGACGCGGAGGCAGGCGTGCAAGCCTGGAAGAAGGACGCAGAGGCTGATGCGGAAAAGTTCAAGCTCTGGAGGAAGGACGCTGATGCCGATGCCGACGCAAACAAGAATAAGTTCGAACTGTGGAAGAGGGACGCCAAAGCCGACGCCGATCCCGTCGTGACTGCCTGGAAGCGCGAGGCGGACGCCGACGCAAAAGAGAACAAATTCGAGCTCTGGAAGAAGGAGGCTGACGCTGATGGTAATGCAGAGCCAACGATTGCGGGAGCCTGGTAAGGTTGTGTGGCGATCGGGGACGGTCCTGAGAATTGGGTGAGAGGGTCATGATTTAGGTAATGTTTTACAACGTATGTTAGATAGAACTGCACGTATCTCTTCAACACAAACAGAACCGAATGCGAGCGTGTGCTGGTCATATTATTCGATCTTTCTAGACGCTTGTTAGTGTATATGTTCCGTTAAGAGTGTCCGAGATGATGTACCTTGGCGTATTTGCTCCGAGCGATGCATCGGTTCATGTCAGCCTAGTGTCGAGGATTCTTCTAATTTTTTGAGTGGAGTACTGTACAGTTGCGGGCCTTCGTTCTGTTTGGGTCGTTACACTTTCACAAGCAGCCTCTTGTCCTTCGCCAACCTCGCCAATCCCAACAACACTCCGCCCACAAGCAACGTCGCCGCTGCAAAGCAACTCAGCGCGAGATATCCACCCTTCACCAGCTCGCCTGCGATCGGTGTTCCAAACAATCCCGTCAAACTCACCGACGCCATAACCATCCCCACACCGGCTCCATGGGATTCGTCCGTCGTGAGCGTCGTCGCGCAGACGAGTTGTAAGCTCAAGATCGCCCCAGAAATGAATCCATACGCAATGGACCAGACGATCAAGCCAGCGAGGCTGGTGGCTGCAGTCCAGCAGAACGTGACAATCGCACTGCCGAAGGTAGCACAGACTAGGACATTGAATGGTCCGAGTTTGTCTGCGACGATTCCAGGGAGGATACGGCCGAAGAGTGAGGCAGCGTTCAGGGCGGACAGGAGGTAGAACGATGTGCTTTCTGAGATTCCGAGACTGACGCCATATGTCGTAACGAAGAATAGCGGAGAGAAAAAGCCGAAGAAGGAGAAGGCCAGTCCTGCGCAGAGTAAAATGTAGGAGGGGTGTTTGAGACCAGAAAGATCTTTCTTCTTTTTTTGCTTGGGCTTGCGTTCTCCATTTGTGTCAGATGCTTCGCTCTTGGATACTGGCTTTTGAGTGCAAAGAATGACCACGGCACACAGCGGGATCATAGTGAATCCCACAATCCGCAATGACCATCCGAAGCTAATGCCGTCTTTGTTCAGCAGTTGATCGAGGGCGATGGGCCAGATGACGCCGCCGAGTGAGGATCCCGCAATCGTACAGCCTTGCGCCAGTGCTCGATGCTTCTTGAAATGCATGGGAATGACTACCGTAACGGGAATAGCGATCATTGACATCCCAATACCGAGTAGGACTCCTTGGCTGAGGAAAAATTGGTAGTATTTCCTGGACAGAGATACCATGAAGACTGCGACGATCTCACAGACTGAGCCGATCGCTATAGGAACTGTAGGACCAGTTCGATCGGTTAAGAAGCCTGCTGGAGCTGCGAAGGCAAAGCATGCAAAGCTGGCGAAGGAGCCGATCCAGGAGATTTGGAAGTTGGATTCATTTGGAAGGTAGTGAGCGGTATAGTATTGCTACGCATCATCAGAGTCAGTCGTATCATGGTGGAAGGTCATGAAGGACAGACCTGAAAGACTCCATAGGCATTCATGAAGCCCACGGTGACAAACAGACCCAGTGAACCAGCGCAGAGTACCCCGATGGAACGAAAACTGGACGATGTCAATCAGGTCAGATCTAGTCAGTGTCAGCAATGCTTGCTTACTTGAACTCAGATGCGGCCTTTTCCTCCTGCGCGCTAAGCTGGCTCTCCGCAGATGCGTCGACTTGCTTCTCATCATGAATACTTTCACTGGGTTCTGAGCCAGCCTCCATGGTCACAGTGATGCGTCCGTCGCTATCACTGTAGAAGTTGTACTTTGCTGCATTATCGGTTGTCGACTGAATTGTGCAGCTATAAGGTGTGGTTGCTCGCTTCGGCCAAATAGAAGCTCCATGGGCGTGGCTTGCAGGATCGGATCGTCCGTGGCGAAGGATTTAAAGCCCGCGGAAGGCCCGCTAAAGGAGAGTGTACGGCGGCCGAAGTAAAATGGGGTCTTCCTCGTATACCACTCAAAGAATGTGCATGTCGAGATCCTGCAGGAGCGCTTCCCAGTCCTGTGTATCCAGCATTTGGCCTTGATCGATAAAGTCCTGCCACATGCCGCCGTCGAATTCAAGTCCACCGCTGCTGGTTGGGTAGCCATTAGTAGACATAGACGGGTTGCTCACATACGAAGCCGTGCCGTTGGTCTGCTGCTGTGCTTCATATGGCTGGCCCTGTACGAGGTAGCCATTCCCAGTGGAGATCATGGCCTGCCCGGGTACACTGGTTCGTGCTGTGTTCGCATTCGCGTTTGGCAACTTTACGTGATGTTTTCTGAGCACAGCAAGCAAGGAGTCCGAGAATTGGGCGCCCATCTCGGAGGCATCTTTGGTCTGTTCAATGATGTTCAGAGCTTCTCGGACCTGGGCCAGACGCTGAGGGTCGTCGTCTCCTTTGTTGACGCAGATATCCATGACAAGTACGACCGTTGCGTAGAAGACATGAAGCATAATACCTGCATATGTCAGTTTCTGTGAAAGCTTCGGCACGAGTTTCAGACGAACCTCCAAGTTTGAGATGCGACTCCAAGAACGAGCTTTCCTCCTGCAAAACCGTTTGACGGATCTTGAAAACATTCCGTGCGGACTCCAGGCCAATGTTTCTTGAGTAATTGAAGCGGGAATCGAATTTTGCTCGGATGAGGAAAGGCAGGTGCAGCTTACACCTCATGGTATTGATCATCTGGTTGGCCATCACACGCTGATTGTCCATTTGTACAGTAAAGGCATCTCCGTATTCCATTTTCAGTTGGGCGCTAGAAATGTCGAAGCGAAGGAAGCGAGGCATGCCACGGTAGATGCTCTCGAACTTTGAATCCATGCTGGCAACCAGATCGTAATTGACTTGTTCCAGATCTGGATAGCACCAGACAGCGTCTACAATCTCTCGACATGCATGTGCGAGCTTGATGCGGTGCAGATAGTAGCTCATGATGGTGGGTTCCAGGGAGCTACGGCTAAAGTCGGGCCCATGAGTGTTGAGATCCTCTCGCGTTAGGTTTCGTGGCTGATTGGTGGATATTTGACGGGGATGTATCGAATACATGCCTTCTTGAGGACCTCGAATGTACGTCAACAACCTGTTGACGATGTCAGTGTGTGACTATGGCGTGAATAGGTTCAACCATACCAATCCGTGCAAGACAAATGCCACCAAACCTTTCTGCGGACTTCTTTCTCGATGATACCAACTTGTGTCAGATCCGCGGTTCGTGCAGCTTTGGCATCGAGCTTGTGTAGACTCTGATCTCGAGCCATTGCGATTGCAGTAGAATGCATCATTCTGACTCTCACAGTGAAGCCCTCGACATGGTAGAACAGGAACGTCAACATGATGCATGCTTGCACAGCCTCCAAGCTTGTCTCGGTAGTCGACACGCGGACTTGTTCGATCGCATACAAGGCCTGTCTTGACCACTCTGTAGAAACTTTGTTGGCAGTAGGCTGGTCTCCAAAGATGTCCGGTCCGCGGTGGAAACCAACCATCCAATAAAAGCCCACGCTGGCACAAATGCTCAGGATCAAAGCAAGAGCGCCAGGGTCGATCTTGTCTGAGGATTGAATTTGAGTATACACTCGATCGAACATGTTGCGAGTATGTTCAACATGCAGGACGTGCTGCATGGCGTCCAGATTGTCCGCATAAACGTTCAAGAAGCGAACTGCTACATGATAAGGCGGCACATCGATAGTATGCATCCGTGGCGTGTGCACAGCAGCGGCTATTTGCTCCTCGGTTTGGATGTTGATCTGCAGTCGCTCCGTGAATTGTGGTAGCTACAAATATATGGTTAACAAAGATTTATGATTCCAAAGCTCCCAACTTACGGTAAGTTCTGAGCGTGTTCCGATGGATTCCAGCCAGTGAGAGTCTTCCTCTGCCTTCTCGCCATCTGTTCTTGGACGTGGTGGCGTTGAAGCGGCAGTAGAAGTGGAAGGATAGTTCAGAGCGGCAAGAGGCGGTAATGACTGGCTTCCATAGACGGTCTGCTCCAGCCTCTCCAGCCTCGCCTTGATGATTCTGTTTTCCGTCCGGAGGTCATCATCTTCGTTGGAGGCTTCAACAGACGAAAAGTGTCGTTCGCCCTGGTATTCGCATGCCACCCGGCGACTTGAGCAATTCGAACATGGTCTCTGCCGGTCGCATTTAAGTTTCTTTACCTGAAGAAAGACATGTCAGCGCCTCGCCGATTTCGAAGACATCGGGCGGATGTTTCGTACCCGGCACAAGGAGCAGGAGACAGGGTCTTGTCGTGGCCGAGGCCGCTCCGAGGTGCGCTGAGGAGGCATTTAAGTCGTTATTCGATGTTTTTGTTACATATCATCGATCGGCGGGCTCGTTCATGATGCCTCTGCTGACTTGGCGACGTTGATGGCGCGGTGCAGAGCTGAAGTGAGGTTGACAAAGTTCCCGCTCGCCTAATCCCGTAGCCGACTTACCCGATGAGGATGCCTGAGGCGGCGACAAAATGAAGCTCAAAACCCGAGCTGTCCAGACTTCTACCCATCGCAACAGCAACAACGCCAGGCACAAAGGCAACAGCAGCGATACGCCACGGATCAGATGACTGTACACATGGTGTATGCTAGATGCGGCCAAAGTCCACGTCTTCCGTACCGTCCCGGTCTGCGAGTCTAGAGCACATCCGGTGCCGGCAACAACGCCGTATCTCACCTGGTACCATCGTCAGCACAGTGTGCAGCCTTGAGTATCTTCGCTGACATCTGCGCCAAGTCCGCTTTGCATGACACAACTTGATGGTGACGAGATGGGAACCCGCTAGTTTCATAGCTTCCCGAGGTCGCCAAGTAGCTGGCCGTCGATACTGTCAGTTTTCAAGTACAAGTCCGCAACAGAGGGAACGATCGTGGAAGCGACATGCTCACGACGCGAAACCGCTGAACAGAATGCCTTTGCAGATGGCATTTTGTGGCAACCTCCGCGCATAGCCTATTTGCATGGGAAACGATCTACTTTCCATGACCTGCCTTCGATCTCGGGAGACGCACGTAACAGTGCTCATATGCTCGCCCCTCATTCCTTTGCAGATGCGATGCACAGTTTCTATTGCGCCATGAACAGAAGAGCCACTCGTTACCGGGGTCCATCACGCGGGCCTTATTTTCCAGTCTCTGCGCTCATTTGAAGCCCTGCAATGCTGCGATTCTGCGGACTTGCCCAGGCCCTCCACCTCTCTTTAAGTCTCTCGTCGCCACTAGGTCTGGTCACGCAAGATGGTATCAAAAGAAGGTGTCCCAATGACCCATCTTGCACGAGGTTTCCAGCAGCGCAGGCCAGGCCACAATGCTCCACCGCGATAGGGAAGGTTTGAAACCCACAAAGTGCCTGATGTGAAGCTCACGGAGTACCCGTATAGATATCCAGCATTCAGGGATAAGACCACCGGGCGATTGACATTCACAGACCCTCGCTTATCGTCTCTGCCTTGTGACTGGGAAGACGTGACCAAAGAAAACACGCCGTATCTTCCGGAGTATCGAAATACTCGGACCGGAGAGCTTCAAAATTCATGGTGTGACCCTCGATGTGATGTCGATGCTCTCAGGCAAAGAGGAGTCGATATTGAAGAATTCGTACTGATATGACTTCAAGGGTCACTTGATGTACTTTTTAATAAACTCCTTCAACTGCTCCTCACTCCACTCCGGCAGCCCCAACAACTCATTATCAGTCTTGTCGAAATGATTTCCCTCCTCGCCATTGTCCCCAAAACTAACCTTGACTATATACCCTCTCATCGCCATGGGGCTCAAATCACCCTTCTTGAAGTTCTCCTCGGATTCTTTGAGCATCGCATCAGTATCGATGTTCATTGTCTTGATCTCGTCGTTCGGCCTGAGTTCTCGCAGCAGGCGAAGCATTTCCAGCTGGGAGGTGGCCTTGGAGTGGATGAAGCAGTACTTGTTGATGACCAGATCTCTCTTAGACAGAGCGAGCGCAACAGCCTTGCCGACATCATCGAGCGTGGTAGCGGAGATCTTCCCCTTTCCATGATCGAGGAGACGGATCGGCTGCCCGTCAAAGTTCAACAAGATGTCTCTGTCAAGAGCCCAGTCTAGCAGCACCCCCTGGTTAATGATCGTGAACGTCAAAGCCCCCTCGTTGGCTTTCTTCACGACGTAGTCTTCCATATCTCCCTTGGGCTCGAGTGGCGGAAGATGGCGGTTCTTCGGCTTCCGCATATCCGCTCCAAATGACGAGGGAATGTAGTGCGGAATCCCCGCGGCAATTGTGGCGTCGATGAGGGCGAGCTGGGCGGGCAATACATGGACCTCACGGTTCATAAGACAGACGACTGCATCGACTTTTCCCGCGGATTTGAGCGTTGAGGTGAGCTTCTCAACGGAGGAGTAGTCTGCTTCGGCGACTTTGACGCCGGGGAAGGCTTTTGCGGTCTTCTCTGGGCTACGAGTGAGGACCGTTACTTCGAAGCCTGCTTTGAGGAGGTTTGTGATGACTGCTGCACCGAGAGAGCCGTTTGGCTGGAACGTGTTAGTGGGCTGAGAGGTTGTGGAAAGAGTGAGAGGCTTACCCCAGAGACGGCAACGTGCTGAACCTTCATTGTTGCTCGAGTATCCTGAAGTGCTTGATGGAAGTGATGTCGAAGGGATCTGAGAGCAGGCCAACATATATACTCAGTCCCCGTGAGTCCTTAAATCCAGATTCTGACATAAGTGGCCCACCCGCGTACCTGCATCTTTGCTCTGTGCTACAGCCTTAAACGTCCTGAACAAGTTAGTCAAATCGCAAATTAATCCTGGTCCGGCATCTCGGTGAGCTAGGGCATCCTCAAATCCGCGAGCGAGTCGTGAGAGCTCCCTTTTGCTGACTATGTGGTAGGGCCGGAGATAGACGTGGGATGGAACGAGAAAACCCTAAGAAGCTCCAGATATTCCTACCTGAACCGATCCCTATGCGAATGAGAGGCTCGTCGAGTAGATGGCGTTGATAGCTCGGGCAGAGAGTCGTGGTCGGCCGGGCTGCTAGGAATTTGACCATCAAAATGCGGTTGCCTGATGAGAAACTCGCACAAAATGTGTTGTAATGGCGGAGAAATCAGTGAATACTCATCGCCAAAGCCGCCGAAAACATTGACAGTTAGCCTACAATTTCTCATTTCTCTTCTTCGATCGGTATCCACTTCTTGTGCTACCTCCGTCAATCTCAATGACGTTTCCAGTGACATGGCCAGCACCGTAGCTGGAGAGATACAGAACCAGACCAGCGAAGTCCTCTGGCTTTCCAACTCTACCACTAGGTTGTCCTGCTGACAAAGTGTCCAAAGCCGTCTCGAATCCGTAGGCTGTCATGCGGCTCGGGAAGACACCTGGACAGATACAGTTGACAGTGATATGGTGAGGCATCAGTTTAGATGCTTGCGTCCTGGAGAGATGAATGCAAGCCGCTTTGCTGGGACCGTAGCTGAAGGTTCCAGAACCGGGTGCTGCAAGTCCGCCTTCGTCGCCCACTGTCACATCGACGGTGGTTATGCCCGCCATACTGGCGATGTTGATGACTCGGTTAGGGAAGTCTGCGGTGGCGCCCTTGGTTAAGAGTCCATGCAGGCCGACCGTGGTGTAATAGATGGCCTTAACATTAAGTGCCATCAGCTTGTCCCAGCCTGATTCTGGGAAGTCGTCGTATGGTGCTCCCCTGTGAAAAGACGGTCAGAACTCGAGATACACGCGGGAAGTCTGGAGCACCTACCAAGTTGCACCAGAGTTGTTGACAAGCACAGTCAAGCGATCAGTCTTCTTCTTGACCTCAGCTACCAAGGCATCACATCCTGCCTTATCCTTCAGATCCGCTACGACGTACTCGCACTTTCCAGGTCCAAGACTGTTGAGTCTACTGGTGGTCTTTTCAAGTTCGCCCTTCTTCCGACTCGCAATGATGACTCGCGAGCCATTCTGTACAAAAGCTTGCGCGGCCATTTCTCCCAGGCCGGTGGCGCCTCCAGTAATCAAGACTACATGCTGCTTGAAGTTGAACAAGTTGGAGACGCTGAGGTCTGCTGCCGTTGAGGAGTGGGCCATTCTGCTCGCCGAGACTCTACAATCTGGACAAGATGGTACAGAGACTGTAGAATAGATTGTAGTTATATTGCTGTTGGAAAGTGAGGATGATTTTCCGTCGCCGTCGTTGCCAATCCGGGAGGAGGCGGGGAGGCCTCGGCAATCGAAAGGAATCTCACCTCAGACGTCCCTTTGCCGTGGACCTTGCATCGCTATCACTCATACATCTAATCAAAGGTCTGATATTTGCAGCCACGGCCCTATGTGCCCAAATACGGCTTGAGAGACCAGAATGCTATAGTCTCAGATGGGAAGTGATGAGGCAAAGTGAACCTGATTCGAAGCATCAAAATCGAGGAAAGCTAGCATCCCTCATCCAAGAGCCTCCACTGCCGAACCGACCATACCGATCTACGCCCTTCACCTATGTCTCGGATCTGGTGTGGGCGGAGATTACAACTAGGCTGCGATCGTAGAACTACCGATTTCGGGTCTGAGGCAATGAAGAAGCCCACCACGAGTGAAAAAGATACGGGATGAAGAAAGGAGTAAACTCCACAGCAACGAGTTGACAAGAGCTATGCGCACATTTGAATTACTTGGAAGCAAGATGCGATGCAATGCGGCAATGGGCATACCTTCAGTCCCGACACCCACAGCTCAGAATGCTGCGATTGAGGTCCTTGGACTGCACTGAAGCGACGCCTGCTTGATGCAGAGTCATCTCGAACTCTCCAAGTAGAGCCTTTAGGACATGTTCGACACCAGTCTGTCCGTTGATGGCCAAGCCATAAATATACGGTCGGCCGATCAGGACACATTTTGCTCCAAGGGCCAGTGCCTTGGCGACGTCCACTCCAGTACGTATGCCGCTATCGAAGAAAACGTCCAGCTCCGACCCAACAGCATTTGCAATTGCTTCAAGCGTTTCCAAGGACCCCGGAACACCATCTTGTTGTCTGCCGCCGTGGTTGGACACCACGACGCCTTGCATACCGTAGGCGACTGCTTTCTTTGCATCTGCGACTGTTTGAATGCGTTTAAGCACGATCGGTCCGTCCCAGTTCTTTTTCAAAAACGAAAGATCCTCCCACGAATGTGAGAGCCCTGGCGTGCTGATGCCAGCCCACTCAGCGGCTGCGGTAGCCAAGTCGTCCTCCACGCCTTTGCTGTGCTTTTCGTGGCACCGCTTCTGAAAGACTGGATCGGTGAGGCCGTTCTCGACTCCGACATGATCTGCGACAAGGAATGGATTGTATCTGCCGACGTCAGCATTGGCCTAGACCTTTTCAATTCTAGCTACATACCCGTGATCCATATCGACATATCTCCAGCCCATGGCATACGTATCGACTGTCACGAACAAAGCCGTATACCCGGCCGCCTTGGCTCGTCGAAGTAGCGACACGGTGTATTCGTTGTGCTCGTTCGATGGCCAGTAGAGCTGGAACCACGATGTGCCTCCTTCATTGGCCTTCGCAGCGTTCTCGATGCTTGTGCAAGTCGCACTTGAAAGTATGTAAGGAAGTCCACAGCTTGCCGCAGCCTTTGCCGCAGCTATCTCGCCATCCCGATGGAAGATCTTCTGGACACCTATGGGCGCCAGTGCAACTGGATATGACATTTTCTGACCTAGGACGGTCGTCTCAAGCTCTGGATATTTGGTCTGGACAAGTCGTGATGGAAGAAGGGCCCATTGGTGGAACGCATCTCGATTGCGCTTGTCCGATTCTCCTGTGCCAGCATTTCCAGAAACGTATCCCCAGGAATCTGCTGAGAGCGCTGCTTTGGCGAGCTGTTCCCATTTGGAGCTGTCGAATGTAATGCTGGGCTTGACTCCTTTCAGGGCATTCAGAAACGTTTCTGTTTCGTACTGATGAGGTGCAGCCCGAGGACGGGAAGATATGGGAGAGGCTGCCATCAGGAATACTGAGGATAAAATTGACTATGGCAGCATTGTACCATTTGCTGCATGTGGTGTTTATACCAACTCCGGCTGCTTCGGTAGAAAGATTATCCTTGAGCTGATACTGGAAACTGGACCCTTGATCGACTGCAACGGAAGACTTCCAATCGGGCTTTCGTGAAATCCCAGCCTTGCTTGAGCTGAAAGTGAACAACACCGTAAGGTGCTCAACGATATGAGGGTGCCCCCTGTGGATGTCCATCAGGCAATTCAGCTAGGGACAAGTGCGGCTGAAGGCGGTCAACACTGCCGATCGAATGGACCTCTCGTCTCATCACGGTCCGCTCGTCTAAATCATACAGTTCAAGCGGCAGGCTCCAAGCTGTGAAGATGTACATGCCCTCCAGGAAGTCAGGCTGCTTAATCATTGCATCATGAATGTACTGGCATCCATTGGACGAGTCATTCTGTTGTCATTTGACATCCGAGAGCCATCAGTGACAGACAGAGTCTTTGGCCTCGGGTGGTACTCGAGGGGCACCACGTACGCGGCCTCCGACGCCTCAAGCTTCACATCAAGTGCAAATCTCACAGCGCTGCAGTTGACAACCATCTCAATATGCATTACTATCTATGATATCTCAATATGCGTTACAATCTATGAGAATCACCATGGAAACCTCCTGGCGACGAAGCATGTTCTCTATCTTCATGATCTCCAGCATCCGCCTCCTTTCCCATCCGAATCATCTTTCCTGGATTCAGCAAACACAACGGATCAAGTGCGAGCTTGACCGCCCGCATTGCATCTACGGATGCTTCGCCGAGCTCGTAGACAACCTGGTCACGATACTCGAGTCCAATGCCGTGCTCACCGGACACTGTACCATCCATGTCCACGCTCATTTGCTGGATTTCGGAAATCAGCTTTCTTGCTTTTGCCTTCTCTTTGGCACTATAGAGGACCGTGGCATGGAAGTTGCCTAGCTTCGAGTTAGAAACTGGTGTACCGTCACGGAACAACAGGTCACTCACCATCGCCAACATGTCCAAGGAACGAGCCCAACAAATTTGACTCGTCGACTTTCTTTCGACTCTCTCGAATAATATCCCCAAGCCTCGATATCGGCACGCAAGCATCCGCGCTCAGAAACTTGTCGTCTGGATCTCTCTTCAGAGCCAGTGTGGACCACAGAGCAGTTTTACGAGCCTCCCACAAGCCCTCTCCTTCTTCATCATCAGCCGCGAGCTGAAAATTTGCAGAGCCGGTCTTGCTGGCTAGGTCTGCGACTTCTTTCGCGATACCCTTTACGGCTTCTGGCGTCGACCCTGCGATTTTCAGGAATAGAGTCGCTTTCTCTGGCCACTCTGTCGAGCAATATCCGCCTCCATTAACCGCGCGCATTGTGGTTGCGTCCAAGAGTTCCATAGCTTCCAGTTGATGCCCGGTTTGCACAATCCTCGCGGCCAGTCGAACAGCATGGTCGATGGAAGGAAATTGGGCCACTGCGACTCGAACGTTTTCAGGTTGTCTTGTGAGTTTCAGGTGTGCTTTAGTCACAAAACCAAGAGTGCCTTCTGATCCCGTGAACAAGCGAGTTAAATCATATCCTGAGCTTGACTTGCGTGGTCGATGTCTCGTCTGGATAATCGTTCCATCCGCCAGAACGACTTCGAGACCTAAGACCCAGTCTTTCATTGTGCCGTATCGATACGCATTCGTTCCCGAGCATCCCTGAGATATCATGCCGCCAATCTGAGCGCCTGGTCCTGGATCTGGAGGACAAAACATATCGTCCTTGGCTAGTAGCTCATTCAGCTGTTGATATCCCACCGACGGCTGTACAGTGACATCCATATCATCCTTCCGCACCTCCAACACTTGATTCATATGCCGATTGAAATCAATGCAGACCTCGCGGTGCTGCGCTGCCAACGTTCCCTCCAGACTTGTCCCTCCACTGAATCCAATCATGGGAATTCTGCGACGATGGCAGATTTTGGCAATCTTACTCACGTCTTGCGTGTTGCGCGGGTAGACGATAATCGATGGAATGTCGTCTTCTCGTGGGGCTGGAGACCATTCTGTGCTGGAGTGGGTGACTCGTTCTCCGTGTACTAGGCTGACGTTTTCTTCTCCGAGCGTGGAGACAAAGTCTTTGTGGGCTGCTTTCAGATTTGCTTCCGACGTGTTGTATTGCAGGGATGGCATCGCGAAGAGTGGTCTTGTTGAGGTGGTTGATGCGGCACCCTCATCAGGCGAAGGCTGTTCTGCTTGTACTGCGCGTTTCTCTGGCAACAGCAGTGTGATGCTCGACGCTATACCAACGAGAGCGCACGCGAACGGTAACCAAGTCACCCTTGCCTTCTCTTCATCCGGTACTTTGCGGGCAGCTTGCGAGAAGTGCCTACACAAGTGCGATCGAATGATTGTCTTGTTTGGGCTTCTGGTTTCGTTCCATGGTGCCTTGGTTGTCACTCTCGACCTGGAAGATTCGTGAAAGCCTCTCGTAAATGCAATCTGGGCCTGACGGCCAATCGACGACTTGGAGGTTGCAAACATTCTGCAAGATAAATTCGGCTGGATGGCATTCTTCCGGACAAGGACCAAATCGAAGGCCTTATAGACCCTGCAGCGGACCTCCTGACATCCATTGGAAGTGATGTTCTGTCGCACGGTTCTCCTGGATCTACTTGTCTCAATGATGAGCCTCTTACAACATGCTGATGGGCCACTCATCCGCAGTCATCCGCATTGAGACCCTCGTCGCAGTGCGTCAGTAACATCACGAAAATATCGGCATAGGATTCTTTCCATGGCAGCTTTCCGCGCTCGAAGCCTGTTGGTTTAAGCCGAGTGAAGATCAGGGTCTCCTTACTCCGAGGCAATTCGCTCGGCTTAAGTGCAGCCTTTGTGTATCGGAACGAATTCCTAAGCCGAGTGTTGAAGATAGCACAAAACGTTTATCCATACAATGGAATTGGAACCATGGCCAGCTGTGCAATGCTAGTCGAATCTGTTGACTTTGCGTCGTCGTCAATGATGATGCTGTGGGAGACGCTACTCTGTCGACGACTAATGGCTTAGGCAGCTTTGAGCTTGCTCTGGCCAAGCTGAAATGGATATCAATGTGACGAGGGGAGTGTGGCGTCGAAGATATATATGTCCAGCCGTTCGGTCAAACAGCCAACTCACCTACAGTACAACACTTCTCACACCTCCAACCTATCGAAATGGCTGAACGAACGGTCAACGTTGCTGAGTACCTTTTCACGCGCCTCATTCAGCTGGGCTGCACTTCCCTCCACGGTGTACCAGGGGACTTCAATCTCCTTGCGCTCGACTTCGTTGAGTCAAGTGGTCTTCGATGGGTCGGGAACTGTAATGAGCTCAATGCTGGTACCGGACCTCGAATCGCTTCCAGACCATGATCATCGCTAACCGCAATCTGCCCCAGGCTACGCTGCCGATGCCTACGCGCGTCTTCGAGGCCTCGGCGCCATCTGCACGACTTTTGGCGTCGGTGAGCTCTCAGCTGTCAACGCGATCGCCGGCTCATTCGCTGAGCTCGCCCCTGTCGTACACGTTGTGGGTGTGCCCGGCCGACCAAGTCAGAAAGAGGGCATGCTTCTACATCACACGGTAGGTACCGTTATAACTGGCTTGATGAATGATGAGCTGACTCGCTTTGTAAAAAGCTGGGCAATGGCGACTTCACCGTTTTCGCAAGGATGTACAAGGAGATCACCATAGCACAGGCCGACCTCCTTGATCCCGCTACCGCACCCATGGAGATCGATCGTGTTCTGCGGACTTGCTATGTTGAATCGAGGCCGGTTTACATTCAGCTCCCGACCGATATGGTCGAGCAGCCCGTGCATGCTCGTTTACTTGACACCCCAATCGATGTGACGAGTCATGCCAGTGATAAAGACGCCGAGGACTTTGCGACGCACATCGTTCTCGATCGTTTGTACGAAGCAAAGCATCCCGTGTTCTTGATCGATGGCGCAGTGCAAAGAAGAGGGGTATGAGCAATCGGATGCCAACGCCCCGTGCGTAGCTGATCCGACACAGATCCGTCCTCAAGTAGAGGCCCTCGTCAATAAGGCAGGCATCCCGACTTTTGTCGCACCTATGGGCAAGGGCGTCATCAATGAAGACTTACCCAACTTCGTTGGTCTCTATGCCGGAGAGGTCTCAGCAAAAGGAATCGCTGAAGCCATCGAGCAAAGTGACCTGGTCATCACGATCGGCAACATCAAATCAGACCTTAATACCGCCGGCTTCACCTACCGCTTCTCCCGACTCAACACTATCGACATTAACTACAACCATGTCGATGTCAAGTACGCCAAGATCGAGAATGTATACTTCAAATCACTAGTGCCACGGCTGGAGCGAGAGTTGGATCCTTCAAAGCTGTCCCAGACCGCGAGACAAGTCCCAAGCATACCATCACCGCAAGTGGCCGACGAGACGGATAAGAGCCTCATAACACATGCATGGCTGTGGCCCAGGCTATCCAACTTCATGCAAGAAGGGGATGTCCTCGTCACTGAGACAGGCACTTCGTATCTGGGTCACTGGGAAACAAAGCTTCCGCGCAACGTGACCATCATCAATCAGATCTTGTGGTCGAGCATCGGCTATGGTGTTGGCGCCACACAAGGAGCAGCCCTGGCCACAAAAGAGTTTGGAAAGGGACAAAGGGTTATTTGCTTCGAGGGCGATGGCTCCTTCCAGCTTACCGCTCAAGAGTTATCGACCATCATTCGGCATAATCTCAAGGTCACTATGTTCCTGATCGAGAACAGTGGTTATGAGATTGAGCGTTGGTAAGTCTTGCATCTCGATTACCGTATACGTGAAATCTGACCGAACGTGAACTAGGGTACATGGCATGGAAGCCGGTTACAACGACATTCCTCAATGGCAATACTCCAAGTTTCCTCAGACGCTCATCCCCGAAGGCACCTCGCACACGGTCAAGACTTGGAAGATACGAACTCGACAAGAGCTTGAGAGTCTACTGCAAAATAAGTCGTTTGCCAACGGAGAAGGTCTGCAGGTAAGCTTCCTTGACATGAAGGTGTCTGATATGGAAGCCTCGAAGCTGACTTTGTTCGACCAGTTCGTTGAGATGCACATGCCAAAAGGCGATGCACCGAAGACTTTGCAAGAGTTTGGCAGAGGCGCTGCGGCGAGAGCATCTTGAAGTATTGCTTTGTCATATATACTAACTATGCAGCACGGCGTTCAGGGAGTTTTTCCGAACACAAGCTACAGTACCTCAAAATTTAATGCTTTCCCGCCAAACTTTTTCTCAGGTCAGCGATTCTTTTCGTGGATTCTTTGAAAGCTCGAAGATCTATCTGTCCACTCTTCAGCCCGGACACAATAGCAGTCACGGCATTCGAGCCTTGCGTTGTATTCCGAGCTGCAGCCAGAATAACATCCATGCCGGCCGACAAGGCCAACGTCGTCCTTTCGCCGGTATCCCCAAAAGCAGTCAGAGCTCCTGCTTCGATAGCATCACTGATCGTAACCCCTCGAAAGCCAAGTCGTCCACGAAGTTCTTGCCGGATCCAGCGTTTGCTCAGTCCGGATGGATATTTGCTGTCCAAAGCTGGATAGAGCGCCCAGGATGGCATGACCATTTTGACTCCGGTACTGATAGCAGTTTTGTAAGGTACTTCATCAATGCTACGAATCTCGTTTAGCGTCAGGTTGAGCGTGACAGGCTCGACATCGGTATTCGCATCTCGGGCTGCGGCTCCAAGACCCGGGAAGTGCTTCGCCGTAGCTAGTACTCCTTTGGATTGCATGGCGGAGATGAAGGGTCCAACGCATGTGGAGACTAGCTGACATGTGTTGCCATATGAGCGTTCGTATCTATCTAGGAAGTCACCAGACTCGCGGAATACACCCAAAACCGGGGCTAGGTCGCCATTGACATTGTACTCTGAGAAGACAGTTGCCACCGTCGACCCAGCACTCGCAGCAGCAGCGGCTGGATCGCTAGCTTGCCCAACCTCTTTTGCAGATTGTGTAGGTCCTCCAGGGAGGCGATTCACTTCGCCCCCTTCTTGGTCGGTCAGAATCAGAAGAGGAAATCCTGGGTAGTTCTTCGACTTCTTGTATGTCTGCTGCAGTGCATTGATCTGAGTGGGGAGATTGTCGTTGACGTTCTCTCCGAAGAGAATGATGCCGCCGAGTCGGCCGGCTATAGCTGCGGAGTATATGTCTTGCGGTATGGTGGGTCCTGGGTATGACCAGATTACGTGGTAACCTGCTTGTACGCCGTCACTGGGGTTGAAGCCTGTGCGGCTGGCTGCCGTTAGGCTGAAGCAAAGAGCTGGAAATGCAACAGTGACTCTCATCGTTGACCTTGCTCATGCGCTGGGGCTACAAAAATAGAGATGAAGATGAAGCCATTGGGACTTGCTTCAAGAATTTCGTTGGTGGGGCAGCTGCCCAAATAGGAAGGTGCAGTGAGTGAATAGAGTTCTCGGGCTGACTTCGGTTCGTGGGAATTGTGATACTATGAAAGTCGTTGTAGAGCTCGATTGTCATGTGCTGTCGCTGCCTTCTCCCGTCACAGCCACCGAAGCTTGCACTGCCTTGCTACATTTTCATGATTCGCCCCAGTCGCGGTATCAAAAGATTATTGCGATGGTGGCCAATCAATATGTGAGCCTTCGACGCCACGATCTGCAACTTGAAGGTACATGTCTGCCTCAATGCACCTCACCGGAGGGTGGCTTGAGGCGCTTAGCCCCAGTCTGCCCCGCCCCCAGCAGACATTCTTCAGCCTGACCAAGATCGTTGAAGGCTTTCGTTTCAAATGTCTCCGCTATACTGAGCTTATTGACTATGGCGTCGAATTCCTGGGACCAGCATCAGTCCTCGGATGCATTCCTACCAACTTCCAAGCATGGTCGAGCTACCGTCCGCCTCGTCCCTTTGGGCGAATCTGAAAACGGATCGCAATCGCAGTCGGTAGGCAAGCCGTCTTCCAAGTCGCTCATCTCCTGGAACGACGTCGGCCTGCTTCTCGGTGTTTTCGCTTGCCTCGCCATCCTCGTAGGATCAGTGTTTCCCCAACGCGCTGCCGTCTTTCTCGGTCAAACGAATCAGCTAGTCGTCGTCGGCTTTTGTCTTGCTCTGATGGCCATAGCCTGTCAGAAGCAGGTCTCGCTTGCCACGCTGCAATACTCTATACAGTCAGGAAGAGCAAGTCTCCAAGATCTGGAGACGATCTTGCAAGGCCAATTCTTCATCGCCAAGTCCAGCATGCTCTGCAAGGCGGTAATTTTCCTGCTCACAGCAGTTCCGCTGGCGCTGAGTGTGGGATACAAAAGGTGTGTTGGAGGAAGCAGCACTGTTAGGTGCGACGGCATCGCAGGCGATTTTGGTGCGACCGCTGCTCCAGGATACCAAAATATTGGACTGGGTCTTTCCCTCATCACTGAAACATATCTACCATTCTGGATCGATCCAAGGGAACCTCAATGTTATGGCTTCAATCTCCTCGTCGCATCGAACACTAAAAGTGCTGTGTCGGATGCACCTATGCCTCAGTATCTCGACTCGCTGCAGGCGTCATTGGACAGAGATGAATTTGTGCTTTTGACCACCACTGTCAACGCGACGGTTCCGGAGACGGTGCAGATATCAACATCGCTGCGAAATAACAACACGTATTGGCAACAATTGGCAACACAATACGGGCCCGGCAACTGGGCGGATATGGACATGCTGTATGGACGCCATGTCGTAGTCGCCAATGGACCTTCGGGCGCCAATTGCACGACCAGTTATCTATCGATATACAACGAGACGGGAGGACAAACAGTCGGGGGCGAGAGGCAGCAGACCTTCAACTCTCGCCGCGAAGCAACAGGCACATGGAAGATCACTCCGTCCAGCATCAGACTCGTCAATGCAGACATCTTGGAGACTCAGGACGAAGCTTTGTTTCGACGCAATCAGTCGCTTATAGATGACAACCAGATTGACGTTGTGGGTCTTTCCAGTCGCTTCGCGGCCGAGTACGACTGGACCCGGAATCCGCGCAATAGCTCCGTCAGCACCGCTCCAACCCTTGCGGTTACATTTCTCTGGGCTCGTATCGTCGCACAATGTGGCGTGGAGAATAATGGCCGGACTGGGGTATGGCGGGAGGTCAACCAGTACACCAAGGCATCGTCAGAGGTGCAAGTGTACCGACAGCGCGAAACACTGAGACGGAGCTGGGAACTTCTGCTGGTCTTCCTCGTGCTGCCGGTTGTCTCCCTCTTTGCGTTCTTGGCCAAGATGTGGTTCCACAGCTGCCCTGTTGATGACGGATTTGGTCTCATCTCAGTCTTGGCCGCTGTAGATTCGAAATCGCTGAGCGGATTGTACGGCGCTGGACTTTCGGGGAAGTTGACCCAGCGTGTTGGAATCCGATTTGACGTTGCTGACGACGAGAGGGTCGAGGCTCACGTGGGTGAGGTTGGGCGGCCGCGTCGGCTTCGAAGGGGTAGGATGTCCGCATGATTGAGATTGTATCAGAAGAATGCAATGTGGCCCGCCCAATTATTGTTTCGAGAGTGAGTTATACCGGCGAGCGACATTTACAAGCTTCTTACTGGTTTACAGGAGTCGTTTCATCTAAGGGCTGCTCATCCCAACTAGGAAGGTGCAGGAGCAAGTGAATGAAATTCGGACTAATTTCGGCTCGCAAAATACGCTCCGCGCCATAGCTAGGCATTTATCTCGAATGGCTTCAGCGACAGTAATCCCCAATGGAAAGACTAGACGCATCCCCGGATCTGGAGTCAATGAAATGCCTCAATGCTGCCGAACGGCGGTGGAACAGCCGTGGCATCTACCTGGCAAGAAGTGCATAGAGGAGCGTGGTTAAAGGTCCACTCGTGTCGCAACATTTGTCCATGAATCGTATCGAACGCTTTAGCGAACTGTGGACTGTTGACTTTCAATCGGGAAAGAGGCCGTCAGCAATTCACCCGAGACTCGCTTAAGCCGCGCTAGCCTGATCTCGTATGACTGGCAGCCAATAGTGCCTGCTCTGACCTACCGATCTTTTGTCCACACTGCTATATAACATGGTAAGAGAGTCTTCGGGCATACCTCTGCAGGGTAAACCTGCTCCAATCTCTCCAACATGGTCGACCTCCAAAGCGTCCGCCTCACCAACTCCGCACTCGTCCACCGCCAGCCCCTTGTAGCAGTCTTCACAGGCGGCACCAGTGGCATTGGCGAGTACACCATCCGCGGCCTCGCAGCACATCATGGAAAGACAGGTAAAGGTCTGCGAGTTTACATTGTTGGTAGAAACGAGGAAGCTGCCAACAAGATCATCTCGGACTGCTTGAAGATCTGTCCAACTGAGGAGTTCATCTTCCTCAAGGCTTCGGACTTGTCGTTGCTAAGGGAGGTTGATCGAGTTTGCGAGAAGATTCGACAGCTAGAGGAAGTGAAGGCTGGAGAGAGTGCGAGGATCGATCTGATGGTCATGAGCCATGCTGATCTGTGGTTTGGGGAAAGGAGAGGTATGCGATTGGATATTGATTTGCTTCAGATGATTGACTGGTCATAAAGAGACCGAAGAGGGCCTTGACAAGACCATGTCCTTCCTCTTCTACTCCCGCATGCGCTTCATCACCAAGCTCCTCCCTCTACTCCGGGCCTCCACGTTGCCAGCTCATGTCGTGTCCATCTACGGAGCCGGTCTCGAAAAGGGCCTACCCAACTGGCAGCCGAACAATCTCTCTCTCCGAGGCGACGATAAAACGTACTCGAAGAGCGCCTGCCGCACACACGTCATTGTCATGACCACCTTCTACTTCGAAAGGCTCGCGCAGCAGAATGCAGGCAAGGTCAGCCTAACACATGAGTACCCTGGGCTGGTAATGACTCCGGCTTTCGTCAATCCTTCGCATCCGTGGTGGTTCAGACTCATCTGGACGATCGTGAGTCCGGTCATACACTTCTTCAGGCCTGTTATCCCAGCGGAGGAAACGGGTAAGCGAGTGCTGTTCCTCTGCGGTGAGCGATTCCCGCCTCGAAGCAAAACTCAAGCCAAGGAGTATGCGACTACAGCTGATGGACTAGCCATCGCCACGAGTACTGATGGTGTCAGGGGGAATGGAGCCTATTCTGAATGGCATACGGGAGAGACAAACGACGTTGACGAGACGTACATTCCTTTGAGAAGGGACGGCTTTGGAGACAAGATATGGAAGCATACCAATGAGGCTTTCGATGCAATTGAAAGGGGCGAGCGGTTTACAGGTTAAAGCTGTCCATGCCAGGTCAGCGTTTCTATGTTGAATAGACCTGTTTACGAGGGGGAGCAGATTTCGCTGTTCAAGCGGTCGATTGAACCCTCATCTGAACGCCAGAAGACGCCCGAGCTTCCAGAGGAATCGCATCACTTCCACACACCACGGCCGTGGGCTTTTCTAGCTCGTCTGTCTCATTCCACCCTTCCCTCTTGTCCTCCGGTACTCTGACAAAGACTGAGCTCACCGCCACGGCTACTGCAGCTATGGCAGCTCCAAAGTATAAAGCGGCTCGATATCCTTTCGTCGAATCTGTCGTACTGAGATCGATCTGGCTCTCGATCGTCCCAGCAAAACCAAGACCCAGACTGCAGCTGTAGAGATTTAGAGTGCCAATCAGACTTGCCGCAACTCCTTGTTCGCGTCGACTCACGCTGTTGCAAGCGATGATCTGGGCTGCCGTGAAGACAAAGTCCGGACATAGACTGCCGATGAGTATCGCCGGGAAAGTCTGAGCCCAGTACGTCTGATGCTCCGGCATGGTGGCCAACAGCAAGTTGGATACGGCGATGCAGCTTGCTCCCAAGACCACTATCCACTGAGCGGCGAGGCGTGGAATCAACCAGGCTGCAAGGAATGTTGAGCCGACTGAACCAATGGCGAAGGGTATCCAGCCGATAGCAATCTGCATCGGTGTCCAGAGTCGTAGGAGTTGTTGCCAGGCGACCATGTACCACAAGCTGATTGCAAAGGCCATGTAGCTCAGCATGACAACTGTGGCGAGGGCTGAGAACGTCGGGGTCTTGAAGATGGAGAGGGGCATTATGGGCTCGGAGGCGAACTTTCTCTCCCACATGATGAATAGTGTGAAGGATGCGACCGAGGCCACAAGGATGATTATGATGTAGGAGGTGTCCCACCCAGCTGTTGGAGCTTGACTTTAAACGTGTTAGCTGCGTCAAATATTCAGGGAGATGCTACTTACTTCCAGACGAAGTTGAACATGATCAGGCTTGCAACGCCTAGGAATGCCCCAACGTAGTCTATCCGACCCTTGGGATCGACTGGCTGCTCTTTTGGCAGGATGAAGAATAGAACGCCAGTGACCACTGCCATCATGATTGTCCTTTCTCGAATCAGCTTGAACAACGACAATGTCAACCGAACTCACATCAGCCAGAAGATCCATCTCCAATCACTAAAGATCCCGGCTAGCAATGCTCCTAACCAGCCTCCCAGGGGAGCTGAGGCCGCGAAGAGCCCGATGCAGAAGTTCCGTAGCTTTCCTGGAGGAGTCGTAATGGAGAGCATCGCAACAGCGCTCGGCATGATCAGGGCTCCTCCAATTCCAGTCAAGGCTCTCACACTGGCGAAGCTCACGTAGTCCTCGCAGAAGCCGTTGGCAAGAGAAAACACGGTAAAGATTGCGCTGCCTATCAGCAAGATGCTGTTGTGACCGTAGATTGCACCGAGCCGACCAGCAACCAGAACAAACGTCCCCTGCGTTAAAGAGTATGAAGCAGCCATCCAGTTGGCTTGCGAGGGTCCGCCATCGATGCCGAGTTGTTTGCCGATGGTCAGACCAGCGACTATGCCGACTGCGTTGGAGATGAATTGAATGAGGTTGCAGGCGATGATGAGAGTGGTGATGAACAGTTCGCGATATTTGGCAGCCTGTGAGGTGGTGGCATGCTCTTGGGGTGTGAAAGCTAAAGCGGCTTCGAGTGATATGTCAGATGGATGTGCGGTGAATTTAGCGTTGTCGTGCTGGGAGCTGGCAGAATGGAGCGTCAGTTTGTGAATTTCGCTTTGGCAAGCTGTCGTTGTAGTAGTCATTGTGGATGCGTGGAAGATGAACGGGGCGCTGTTGAGGAATGCGATGAGATGAAGAAAGGACAGCAGGCCAGAGTCCCGAAAGCTCCAGGCGGCGTTGCCAGATTTGGACCAAAGTCCGCCCTGGAGACGCTGTCATACTTGAAACATCTTGCTGCAGTATGCACGCTCAGGCGGGGGACGCTCGCACTGCTGGAGGACCTGTATAGTGAGAGAGCGCAGGAATAGCTTTCGTGTCATGGTCTTCATTTCATACATTTACTTCGTACACCATAGCAGGCACGGTGGGATTTCCGCTCAGCCACTGGTCATATCCTCCAGTGGTCGAGACATACAGCGTTTTGCCATACGTCTTCCATCTCGCAGTTGTCGGGCCTGCCAGTCCATCGGCTATAGCCTGGCTGCTGCCGTTTCTCAGCGATATCTGCAACAGCTGGCTGTTGTCAGGATCCACAATGTAGGCAAAGCCTTTCTCCTCGTCGATCTCGAAATCATCTGGCGAAAGTCCCGACGCAATGATAGTCGGCTCGCCCCGTTTTTCGCCTGTCCTCGGATCGATTGGAATACGAGCCAGAATGCCTTGGCTGGGGTTGTTGTAGTATAGGGTGCCTTTCCGTACTCGGATGCCATTCACTCCATTGCCCTGTGGCTCACTTCCGTTGAAAGTTGGGTTCATGGTTGGATCTGTTAAGACGAGTCTCGGGTCTCCTCGAAAGACGTCCACAGTCCAGATGCCTCCCAAATTCTGGTCGACCATGAGTACGACTCGGTCGTTGAGTGCGGCAGCTCCATTGAGAAGGGATTTGGGATCAGGGCCCTTGGCTAGTTGTTCGATCTTGGTGATGTTCGGCCGCGTGGACTGCCAGTCTCCAGTCTGCGGCGCGTGGCGTGTGTGATGTCGCTGTCGGAGATCTACTCTCCACGTGATACCGGTGCCTGGGGTGCACTGTGCCGCGTTAGCTAGAAGTCGGTTGATGGATATGAGATACTACTCACAGCAAGCTGGTAGATATCACAATACATGGTGTTTATGACGAACAAGTCTGGTCCCACATTCGCAATGCTCATGATGGCATTCCCATAGTCGCTGAAGTTGTGCACTACCTCCTGCCTGCGACTGATCGGATCGACTTGATAAAGCACGGCGGAGCTGGCGGTTGCCGGCAAGATGTAGCCATTGCTATAGCGGACAGCCAAATTTTCGATCCAGGTTCGATTTTCGCTAAAGACCGGTACGGCATTGCTCAGAGCACAAGCAATGGATGCGGTGGCTAGCACTGCGAGCAGCGACTTCAGCAGCAGCATATCCGAACATGCCCACGCATGGCAAAGATCAAGGCCAGCGAGGGCCTCGGACCGTCTTATAACTCATCTGACGGGGTCTGTCTGCGTGGCTTGCATGGTTGTGATGGTTAGTGCAGGCGTGAGAGATGGTCGTGCCTTGAAGGAGAAGTTCCCCCAGGAGCCGGCGAATGGAGAGCCAGTCGTCGGCCCCGCCAAGCACGATTGCCGGGGCTCCACCTTGATAACGGACTAGCGTGTCTGGTCCGTCAATCGAGTGAATTCTCCGGCTTAGGTCTGTGCCGCAACGTCGCAGAAGCTACAATCCTTCTTTTTGATTGACAGAGGGCAAGCCATGCTGGAATTTCTTGTACGTGTTGGATTTACATCTCAGACGGCTACGTCGGGAGGCCACTTGGGATGACAGCGCCGTAGAAGGTCAGCCTTGGACCTCTCGTCAGCCACGAACGGCTAGCACTGGCATCTATGTCTTAATCAAAGGCTGGGCGCCTCTTCAAACACTGTAAATCATTGCGAAAGGTGGCAGCCCGCAGTCCACAAAGGGCAGAAAAGAAGAAGAACAGGGCTGCAAGATGTCCTGAGGTATTGAAGTAGCCAGAGGTCGTTCGGAGCTGTTGACATGCACCGTTGCCGTGGCAATCAGTAACCTGCGAGTGAATGATTACATGATTTCAAAGCTACACCTATGGTGAGATGACATCCGAGAGAAATCCGAGCCAAACCCGTGACGTCTCAGCCTCACTGCTCAAATAGTGCTTCTGAACGATATCCCAAACTTAGTTGCGGTGCCGATCGCTGATCTTCAGACGGATTGTCCGCGGACATGTGAGCGCGAGCGCGAATTGTGCAGCTGAAGTGTACGGTCATAGTTGCCAATATCACACATTGTATAGGTCGGCAACCTACTGTGCTAAAGCCGGTTGTGTATTCCTAGGAAGCTCTTGATTGCTAATGCTTAATTCCTAAAGCGTTGAGTACTTAAGAGCTCCTAGAATACAACTCAACTCCGACTGCTCAAGTCCTTATCGAATAACCTAGAGCTTGACAATGGCTACTCATTGTGTAGGCTTGATCGGAGCTACAGGGGAGACAGGCGGCTCGATATTGCAGGGATTGATCCAAGATGGCAGCTTTGTCAGTACATGATTGAATGAAGGTTGTTTATTCGTCTGACGACTGTCCAGGAGATCATCGCACTCGCACGTCCGGAGTCGCTGTCGAAGCCAGCCAATGTAGCTCTCAAAGACAAGGGTATACAAGTTCGTGCTCTGGACCTGGAGGGCTCTGAACAGGCTATCGTTGCGGCTTTGAAGGACATCGACATCCTCATCTCTGCAATTGCCGGGTCGCAGCAACTGGTCCAGATCCCGCTCGCAAAAGCCGCCAAAGTCGCCGGCATCAAACGCTTTGTGCCGTGTGCATTTGCGACGCCAATGCCTGTTGGAGTCCACCAGTCGAGAGATCAGAAAGAAGAGATCTTCAATCTGACCAAGCGACTCCACCTGCCGTACACCATCATCGACGTGGGTTGGTGGCATCAATTCTCCTTCCCGAGGCTTCCATCTGGAAAGATCGACTATGTTGTTGGATTTCCGAACGAGACGGTCCCAGGCGACGGCAACATTCCGACGGCCCTGACGGATCTTAGAGATGTTGGGAAGTACGTCGCTCGTGTCATCAAAGACGACAGAACGCTCAACAAGACCGTCTTCGTCTATAACGAGCTCTGGACACAGAACAGGATCCACGACTTGCTGGAGAAGCTGTCGGGCGAGAAGATCCCTCGCAAGTATACGCCAGCGGAAAAATACGAGCAGAAGGTCGATGATGTCATTGCCGAACTTGAGGCAAACCCGAAGGATCCTGTGTTGAGGGTGAAGAAGGTGTATAACCAGTATTGTCTGTCTGTCGGTATCCGCGGAGAAAATACTCCAGAGTATGCGCAGTACCTGGGCTATCTCGATGGGAAGCAGCTTTACCCAGATGTGAAGTTCACGCCGTATGAAGACTATCTGCAGGAGGTCGTCGACGGCAGGGCTGTGGGGATCTACGATGAGATGAGGCCCTTGCTTTTCGAGGCTCTTGCAGAAGGCGATTAGACGCTGTGCCCTTTCCTTTGACTGGAAAGAGAACGATAGCGCAGGAGCACTAGATACGCGCGCAATCTGAAAGCTGATTCGGTTAGCGAATTACTTCTTCCAGCATCTAGGTTGCTTCTTGTCTAAGCGGGGCACAAGGCTTTCTGCTTTAGGGAATTATTGGGACAGTTCTCAGTACTCCTAGGGTCTCTAGCAGACAATGTAGGCCTTAATGGGCGGTCCAGAAACATCGTGGTGCCGCTAGTCCTCGACTCGAGTCTCTGCTACTACATCTCTGTTGTGTTTGTCTAGGTTTGCATTAAGACTGGGCAATACTACATGCACTTGACGGCATGTCGCTGCTGCAATCTCTTCACCCTTGCCCAGCTTTAGTCGGACGAACGAGTGGCGTGTACCACTTGATTCAGTCCCTAGCGTGATGGCTCTACTACAGTTTCCCGCACCGAGCTACCCTGCATCGGCCTTCTGTAGCAGTGCTTGCCTTTTAATTGTCTGGGCCAACAAGCCGTGTCTTTCCGCACGTCCAAAAGTTTAAAGGAACTGTGCAACCCCAAAGTGCCTGCAGCTTCATGACACTGCCTCTATAACTTTCGAGAAGACCAATAGAGACCATAGAATGCAGGCACCAGGCAACTCTCAACCATCCGTCGCGCGCCATCGCCGCTACAGATGCGCGCAGGGATTTGGAATAGGTGTACATGCCGACAGATACCCGGAGGAGTAGATACCAGCAGATCTTTAGAAGGCCCGTAGGTGCTTACGCAGGTATTTAGAAGCAGATGCCTATAGGAGCAGATACCTGTAGGAATTCAGGCCGCAGGTATTTAGGCCGCCGGTATTTAGAGATACCTGCAGGGAACGGTGAAACCCGCAGGTATTTAGCCTTTATAGACGGTCGATACCCGCGGGTGTCTGGGATGCCCGCAGGTATTTAGCTCGCAGGTATTTAGGATACCCGCAGGTATCTAGGACGCCTACAGGGAATTGGAGTGTATACAGGTATCTAGAGATACCCGCAGATAGATAGGAATACCTCTCCCAATCTCCGACAACGTCGACTGCGGCCACCGTTGCCATGAGGGCCAAGGCCGGCGTATCGAGAGAGGACGACAGCGATATTTACCCGTGCTTCGGTGGCGAGCCGCATCTCACGCCCAGCATGACATGACATCGGGCCGCGAACTTGGCCAGGACGCTGCCTCTAGCATACCACAAGTCCCTAGCAAAAAAAGCCTTCTCTCTGTCCTCTGCCCGCTGGCTGATCATGAGCTAGCAGATCTGCTACCTTCCTTCAAGCGTTGCGTAGTTTCAACAGCCTCCTTGCATAATGCGCACCCTCCCTCCTGATCTCCACATCCGAGACGCTGTCTCTCCTCCCTCCTATGCCATGTCCCCAGCAAACAGACCATCGGGACGCTCAACGGTCTCGAAAGAAGCAGCACCGTCTTCTGGAGCCGTTGCTATGGAGCAGCGCTGAGGCATCGATTGTGACATCGAGAGCCGATCCCGGTGGATGACGACTCGACAGGCATATCCTATCCTCGTAAGACACCTACCGCAGGGTTCAAGACCCCCAACCAGGTTTTTGGCCAGCTCTTGACTGCAAGAGTACGTTCTGCATTTGGCAGGAGCCGCAGACACTGGCCGTCGACGACGGAAAACCTCTGTCCCAATTGTCCGTAGCAAGTTTGCAGCCTCAACAGGTCAGGCGGTATGGTCTTGTCCAATCCACCGAGCGTGGAGGTTCGCAGAAAGCATGGGAAGAGCCAATATGCAAGCGCTCGGGGAACGGCATTGGAACAAGTAAAGCAGCGCCCACCTGTTCGCCTCGGTCACATATGTGCCCATCGGACAATCTTGCATTCGTACCACGAACCCCTTGTGCTGAAGAGGTTACATGTCAAGGACAGGGTTGATATGCAGAGAGTTTCATTGGTCCTCACTATCTGTAACAGCATCCGAAATGACTTTTAGCGACCACGACTTACTATCACGGATCCATTGCAAAGGCCCCCGAGAGTGCAATTCGTATGCGGTCCGAAATTCCACAATGCGTCCAGGGAGTGGGAGTGCTTTAGAAAGACGTCTGTCCGTAGCTCAGGACTCTCGACCGTCTCCTCCGTTGTGCGATTTAGCGCACGGTCTCGAGATGCTTGATATCTATCCAACATCCTCCATGAAACTTGGGATATATCCCAAAGATTATCGTCGTGCAAACGCTTTACGGCAGGAGCACCATTGTTATCGAACGACCAAAGATGCGAGTAGGCGAGAAGGGCGCCAAGGTGTGACGAGATTCCTTCTACGCCTCTAACACGGCAGACGCCCTCCTTTATCCGACACAATCAGACAAATGATGCAGCTGGTCGCACAGCGAGCTCAATCGTCCAGACGGGAGAGTCTTGCGACGTGGCAACGTCCTGGTAAGCCGTGGTGGAGGAGGGTCTGCAGTTCATAAGAAATGGCGTCAAGATTAAGCACGACGGGACAGCGATCGGTGCAGAATTTGTGCACTTTACCCGTTGGCTTGGGCTATGTTCGAACCGTTCCAATCCGCTCTTGTGGAATTCGGGCGATGTCCCGTGGTCAGGTGCTACACCCGCGAGGAGCGTAACGAAGAAGATCGTTACATGGTTCTTATGCCGAGACTTGATGGCATTGTGGAGGAAGGTACCGAGCTGAACACATATTACGACTAGGTCGCCTCCAGGACAGACGCCTGTAAGAAGTTGTCCTTTGATACCCGCAGGCGATTTAGAAATTCCCGCAGGTATGTGTAGATACCCGCAGGTATGTGTAGAAACCTGCGGGTATGGGTAGAAACCCGCAGGTATTTGACGGATACCTGTGGGCATTTGTAGATACCTGCAGTAGTCTGGTGTGGGAATTAGGCTTGGCGACTACCTACGAGGACTTAGTAGGATAACTGCAGGAAGGTCGTAGATGCGTGCGGGTATTTCTAGCTCGCAGGTAACCCCGTTCCCTGCAGGTATTTGTAGATACCTGCAGGTATGTGTGGATACCCGCAGGTATCTGAGAATTAGAATTGGCGACTACCTGCCAGGACTTAGCAGGACAACTGCAGGGAGGTCTTAGATGCGTGCGGGTATTTAGGACGCCCGCAGGTATCTAAGATCTCGCAGGTATCCCCGTTCCCTGCAGGGATTTGGCGCGCAGGGATTTGGCGCTTACCTACGAAGCTACCTGCGGCCTGACCTCTCCGACTCATTTCTCCTCCTACCTTCTGCATCACCAAAATCGCACGGACCTACCCGCAGGTATTTAGGATCTCGCAGGTATCTGGCTCGCAGGGAACGGGAATAGCTGCAGGTATTTGGAAATGCCTGCAGGTGTTTAGCCCACAGGTATCTAGGATACCCGCAGGTATTTAGCGGATACCCGCAGGGAACGGGGATACCTGCAGGTATTTGGAGATGCCTGCAGGTATCTAGGATATCACACGTATTTAGGATACCCGCAATGAACTGGAGTACCTGCAGGTATCTAGAGATATCCGCGGGTAAATAGGATCTCGCAGGTATTTAGCGGATACCTGCAGGTATCTAGGATGCCCGCAGGTATCTAGCTCGCAGGTATTTGGAGATGTAAGTAATTGGAGGTGTAGGTATTTGGGAGGTGCAGATATTTGGTGTTAGATGCCCGTAGGTATTTACAGATGCCTACAGTAAGTTAGTAGACACCCGCAGGTATCTAGGATACCCGCAGGGAACGGGGATACCTGCAGGTATTTAGGATGCCCGCAGGTAAATAGGATTACCCGCAGGTATTTAGCTCGCAGGTATCTGATCGCCCAGTCTTCGTAGGTGGTTAACGGTCGACTGACTTGACGCCCGCAATAGCTACATCTGCCAGGAGATTGATCAGGGCGCTGTCTCGCTCTTGCAGCTAGATACCTGCGGGCATCCTAAAAACCTGCAGGCATGCCTATTTACCTGCAGGCATCTGCTATCATTTAGGATGCCGGCAGGTATCTGGCCGGCAGGGATTTGGCCCGCAAGTATCTAGTCTGGTCAGCACTTGGGAACATGGACGAAAGTGATTCTGATGAACGTATCGATGGCATGACTCACTGGAATAGCTGTATCAATAACCATTGGTATTCGGAAACGCCCTCGCCACACTCATCATGTATCTTCTCGTCTTGTCCAGCAACCCCAGGAGCACCATCAGACCCATGACTTCCACCTTGGGCTCCACCTCCTGCAGGAACCTAACACTCCCCTTCACAGCTCCCTCGCCTAGATGTTTCTCCACGTAGGCAGCCACAACAGCAGCGCTCTCTTCGTCAACGAGTCTAAAGTCCCGTGGACTCCACCGCGAAGCCCCAAGCTTGCTATCCCGCGTTCGTGTCCAGTAGAGCCTCGACTTTTTACTGCCACATCGACATTCGAATCGAAAAGCTGAGTCGCTAAAAATACCCCCTCCGGCAGCACATCGAACGACATCCCAATCGTCTTTGGCCGGCGTTTTCAAATCGCCGATATAGACTTTGAAGTCTTTACTATACTGCTCGAAGCGTAGCTGCGCAAGCCAAGGACCGAGAGAATCGTAACCAGCGTAGAGGATGATGTCGGAGGACTGGGTAGGACCGTTGTAGTGGCCCACGTAGTAAAGGGTGTTGTCATTTTGTTTGATGTGGATTCCAGAACTGCGAGCGTGGTCTTGAGCGCGGTGAAGAGTGAAGATGCGGTCTTGAGGTTCTTGCGTAGTTGTCTCAATGGATGTTGTGGGCTTGCTTTGCCGGGGATCGATCGATGAGTAGGTTGGGGGCCGTTCGAGGTCGGGCATGTTGGCGAATGCAATATTGCTTGTCGCACACTTCCAATGGATTTTGGTTCATTTTGAGCGCTTCGACCAACGATTCAGCCGTGTGGCGACCTAAACTGCGCCTTGCCGGAGGATTCAGATCGGCATTGGAGCCTCAAACTCAAAATCTTTGCGCCATTAAAGGCTGATGAACAAGCAAAAGCCGCGCTGTGTCATACATCTGTTGCACTAAAAAGTCTGTCGATTCCCGTTTTCCCGATCAGAACGCCATATCGCTATGCCCGCCTGGTATATCAATGAACAGCCCTTCCACTCCTGCACATTTCCATCCAAAATAAAAACGAATACTCATGCTGTAATGTTCTCCGAATCCAGTCCGTCCTGTTCTCTGCTTTCCCTCCGAAACCGCTTGAACGCCGACAGAAAGACGAACAAAGAAGATTGTTGCACTTCATCAACTATAATGAAGCCTCAAGTCAGCACTGCTAGTCTGCCTCCTCTCCCTCTTCCTCTGCAGAGCAGAATTCGCAGCCGCAGCTGTCGAGCTCCTCGTTCCAGCACTGGGTGGAATATGCGTGGGCGTAATGGCACCGTCGCTGCTGCCTTCCTCCTTGACAGGCGGCGGCGCTAGGCTCAGTCGACTAGAAGGCCTCTGCGGCCGTCCTGCGGGCGGAGGCATGCGGCTGGAGCTTCTAGGGGCGGCGATACCGTTGCTCGAGGCATCGTATGACGTCGAAGGGTGATGGTAGCTCCATCGATCGCCTGACGAGGTTGATCCGCCATAGCTGCCATCACGAGTAGCCGGACGGAATGGCGAGCTGGCAGCGGATGAGCGGGCGGAGCTGCTGTTGGGTGTCTGGTCGAAGTATCCTCTGCTTCCAGAACGCTCACCAAGAGCCAGACTGCTTGTCGTGGGAGTCGTCGCCGCAGAGGCATGTGATAGTAGAGCTGGCGAGATCATCGTACTGCTCGAACTTCTCCTCTTCCCGGAAAAGCCGCCAGTGGCAGATCGTCCAACTGACGAAGGAGTATATTCGCTGTGCCTGACGAGCTCTTCTGCCAGGTTGCGAACGAGGATGGCTTGATCATGGCGTGCCAAACCTTTGATGGCGTCTAGCAGTCCGTATTGTTGAAGTAATGAACCTTGCTCTGCGCATGCATCACAGATAGATCGTAGCACGCGGAGCAAATTCACTCGCACCACGGCTTTCTTGGAGTGCAGTTTTATGGCAGTCCTTTCAAACAGACTTCGATGAGCGAGATTGGCGGCCGCAGCGGGTGACAGTCTCAGCAGCCTGTGCAGCGGCTCCAACAAGTTCTCAAACGAATCTGCTTTACTTTCGTTGAAGCATTGCAGTACCGCCTCAGCAAAGTTCGAAGTCGGCGCCAGAAGGTGCTCTTCCACCTTGGCAGTCTCTTCCTGCAACCAGATGAAGATGGCGTCCAGAGCAGTGACAGCCCAGTATTGATCTGCCAGCAAGCTGACATAGAATTGCAGCCCTTTAGTTTGCCACAAGATTTTGCGACCGACTTTGCCTGAGTGCGCCATGTCGCACAGAATAGGCAGCGCAAATTCTTTGAGTGGACGTTCCGTCTGTACGATTCGTTGAAGCAGGGGAATGATGCCTGACAATGCGGCGTCCTCTTGTCGTGCTTTCGAGAGTCGGCATAAATTGTACATGGTGTTGAGAACTTGGTTGGAGATCTCGCGGAAGTGTGGCAACTTCATGCTTGCACCAAGCAAGTCGGTCAGTACTTCAATAGCATTGCTATTCTGCAATGCATCGAGCGTTGTCGCGAGCATGCTGAGGTTCTTGATAAACTTCAGCATGGTGATCTGATGTTGGGGACTCATACGTCGCAGATCTTTCAACACCCGTTTGAGCACCATGCGGTCGGCGACGGTCTCTTTGACGTGGTTCTCTGCTTGCGAGAAGAGCAGGAAGATGTTGACAATGCGACCTTCGATAATCTCTGAAAGCTCACCATCTTCGTCGAGAACTCTGTTCAAGACGAGCGAAAGAGGGTATAGAACCGAGCTTCGCGAGAAGATGCGGCAGAAGTCGTTCTTGGGTGTTGGGCCTTGCATCTCGAATACACTCCAGATGCCATTCACGCCGACGAGTACCAGCTCGCGACCAGCTTCGACATCGTAATCTTCTTCCAGGAACTCCACCAGAACATTCAGCCCACCACAGCTGACAAACATCTGTAGCGTCAAGGTCGGAGTCTGGTACATCATCCGCACAAAAGCTGCAGCCTCGAGTCTGATCTCAGAATTGTACTTCTTGTGCGCAAATTTGGTGATGATGGGGATACCACCAACGAAGCACAGATTTTCCTGCACCTCGATATTCTCGTGAAGGACGCAGTTGACAATCTTGAGCAATCTCAGAATAATCGGCGGCCTTGTCGCTGTTTCGAGTATCTCCAGAATCGGCAGCATACCGTGGCTGCTGACAATGACTGACTTGACATCGGCAGACTCTGTCAGAATCTGGAGCAGCTGATCGACAATCTCAGCGAGGACGTCTTCTGGCTGCCCAAGCTTCATGTCCGACACCAGACTCTCGACGACAGCACATAGACGAGCGTGCTTGTCTCTGGCGACGTTCGATTCGAGATCAACCTCATCAAGCTCCTCTTCCATGGCCGCGAACGGATCGTATTCTTCCTCGTCGTCCTCATCGCCCCACGATATCGAGTTCGTCAGCTTCAAGGTACCTCTCTCAGAGGCCGACTCGCTTCCAGCCGATACAGCCGACTTGGGCGACCGACTCTTATGCGACGCCGCCTGTAAGCTCATGGGCTGCTCTTCATCAAAGACCAAGTCTGTGAAGTCTTCGTCGTTGTCATCCTCGGCATATTTCTGAATCTCCAGTGAGCTCCGCTTTCGCCTCATGGCAGCAGCATCGTGCACAAGCTGGGTCGGAGTGTGGGTCCTACGCCTTCTCATACTCCCGCCAAGTTTGGTCTGCATGCTATAGATATCCTTCGGGTTGGAGGGCCGATTGGGCGAAAACCCGGCGAGCTTTTTGAGGAACGCGTCCTCATCGTCTGCCACAAGATCAGAGTAGTCTTCATCTTCATCCTCACGAAATCTCTCCTTATTAGACGCCGCTGATGGCGCCTTCTTAAGCGGTTGATGCGGCGGCGTAGGCTTAGGTTTGGGTATCGAGCTCTGTTTCGATGAGGGTCGAAGGATCTGGGTGCGAGGTTGCGAGTCCTTGCTGGTCTTGCGTTCATGTCTGTCAAGAGATTCGCCCTTCTTGGCCAGGCTCAAGGGCGGTGGTGGCTGATGTTTGATCTCGTCTGATGAAGTTCGAGCCGGATAGAATGGACGCACCGTCTCAATGGCGTCGCCCTGTGCGAGTTGTAAGGGTGTCCGAACAGTCAGATCCCCTTCAAACTCCTCATCCCATTCTTCCACCTTGCCGTCCATCTCGGGAATTGGCTCAACATTGGCGTATTGCTTCAGCTTCTCCGCGCTGAAGAGCCCAGCAAACCCGTCCTGGTGCCTCAATCGATCAGGAATGTGAAGACCAGACATGCCAGCATTGAGTGATTCAAAGTCAGCGTCCCAATTGTCTCTTCTTTCATCATCTGTTGGTGATCGAAAGGCATCTGGTGGCTGGGGCCTTCGTGACCCCAAATGAAACGCCGGTCTCGATGATTCCTCGGACTTCGCCTTCGACGCTGCTAGACCGGGCTTCGCTGAACTCCTCGACACTGGTCGCGACGACGTTCGACTCGATACGGTGCGGTTAGCGGTGCCACGTCGCGTCGCTGGGGGGCTGTTCTTCAGTGCCTCGTTCCACTCTTGCACGCTTTTGATAGCCTCGTCGTATTCAGTAGGCTTCTTCATGTTGCCTTTCTTCGCAGAGGCAATCCATGGATGCTTGAGAAGCTTCTTGGCCGAGACTCGAAGGTTGGGATCCTTCTGGAAACACTGCATCAAGAAGTCCCTCACCAGCGGACTTGCTCCTTCAGGTAGAGGAGGATGATCATCGTTGACGATGCGGAAGAGTGCCGGCATAGGCGCGAACTTGTGATAGGGTGGCTTCCCATCGAGCAGCTCAATCACCGTGCAGCCCAGACTCCAGACATCACTCGCCGTCGTAGCTCCGGCCAATTCGATGACCTCTGGGGCCATCCAGTATGGCGTGCCAACGACACTTCCTTCCGCGAGACCTTGCTGTTTTGTGGCTACGCCAAAGTCGGCCAGCTTGATGAGGCCTTCTTTCGTGGTGAGGATGTTGGCGCCCTTGATATCTCGATGGATGACACCCTGCTCGTGCAAGAACAACAATCCTTGCAAGACTTGGGCGGTATACAAAGCCACTAAATTCTCAGGGAACTTTCCAAAGTTTTTGCAGATGCTGTGGAGACTACCTTGCTCGCAGTACTCCAAAATGATGTATAGAGAGTCGGCAGACTTGACGAAGCCATGGTACTTGACGATGTTGGGGTGATTGAGGTTCTTGAGCAGGTCGATCTCTTGCATGATGACGTTGAGCTCGGTCTTGGGCATCTCTGAGAGGCGGATCTGCTTGATGGCGACCGTCTCGCCGGTGGACCAGTTGAGAGCGCAGTAGACGCTGCCAAAAGCGCCGCGACCAAGGCATTGTCCCAGTTGCTGCCGCAGGTTAGCAGAGCCGCTTGTTACACGCACATGGAAGGTTGAGATGGAGTGAGGTACGGCAACGTGCAAGACATTGTCTCAACAAAAAGTCGACCTCATCAAATCTCTCACTCCACATGCAGCGTACGAGATGTCCAACGTACATAGTCTTTCAGCCCTTCGACTCCTTTGGCATGCTTCTGGACGGTCCCATCTTTGCTGGGCATCTTCTCCCTCCCCGCCAGGACATTCGCCGCCGAGCTCCTCCTCGCCGCTCTAGCACTGGAGGCCTCGCTGCCATTCTCCTTGTCCGAACTGCCTCTTACTTTGGCGCCTCTCAGCCCGCCGGAGCCACTTCCGCTGGCTTGTTTCGGCGTCGATGTGCGGGACTGCGATGTTGCCGCGCTCGCTCTGTGGCCATTGGCGAGTCTGGTATGCGCGGGAGTGGCCGCGGTCGAGGTGGTTGAAGGGGGAGAGGGGAGGGTCGGCATTGCAGTGGGCGCTCTGGCCGCGCTACCTCTGTGATGGTACGGTGGTCGTGTTTTGGGGCATCAGAAGGGGGGGAATTTCGCGGAATGGTGTTCCGCCGGTCATGATATGACCTGTCGATGTCGCCGACTGGATTGGGCGGCAACTGGAGAATTGAGGTCAAGGCACACGATCAATCAGAGCCCAACTGCGCGCGTCCGGTGAATGGCCCTGGCCAGCATCGCCTTCCGCTGCAGACCACGCCCGCCCAACGCGTCTTGGAGCTGAGGTGAATGGAAACCGGTTTGTCGGAGGTCGGGAGTGAGGGAGTGAGGGAGTTGGCGCGGATATGGGCATGGATGGCCTGGCGGCGGTGTTGCACAGTCCCTGGCACTCCATCCACCAGACGCAGGCACATCGGACATCCATGGCGCGGGACGAGCCTTGTCCTTTTAGCCGCAAATCCTATCTGCCTCCAAAATAAACATCCCTGCCTTGGACGTCAACAACACCTCGGCCTTCACGTACATCTCACTCTATTTACTCCAGCCTGGTGAACCTCTGCTCGGCTGAGAGTCATCGCCGCCAGCCTTCGTCAGAGCTGTTGGAAGATCTGTCGGCCCTGGCTTTGAACAGACAGTATACCGCCACTGATACAATCCAAGGCCATCAGCTTATTCTGTGTATCCGTTAGAGAACTGTGCGCGGGATCCATCTCAGGAGTGATCATCAACATGAGTCGTTGGACGAGCGTGCGAGATTAGACAATCTACCAGGTCATTATAGGGACATCGTTGACGACCGATGGCTCGAGACTTCTGGCTAGGCACTTCACCCGAACCTGTTCGAAGACATCTCAAAGCAATAATGACGATATTCCTGGGCTCTATATCGGATACGCAAAGCTAAAGTTAAAAACATTGATACAGCTGCAGCCAATGCAATAATCACGTACATCCCATGCCCTACCGTTCACCAGCGCCTTTGCTGACAATGCCCAAATACTAAGAAAACCACCCTCGCTCCTCTATGCAACTTGAGGAACGCGAACCCCATCGACACCAGCCCACGCCCCGTGAAAACCGTATCCCATGACGATTGGCATTCTGCAATTTCAATCAGCATCCACATCGACCTGCATCGGCGGTGTCATCAGAACTTACCTCGCTCTGGCAATCTCTTTCATATCCTTGGCGTCAATGAACACCAGTGAACTTCGACGCTCACGAGAATCCATCGACACTGTCAACAGCACGCCGTCATCTTCAGCCTGTGCCCCTGGGCTGGGAATGAAGACTGGTTCGGAGGGCAGCGCGTCGACCTTTGGCACCCACGTCTTCAAAGTGCGATCTTGAGTGTCGACCTTGACAACAGAATCCGCAAAGTACCCTCTCTTCTCGACGTGGATCCCATACGCAAATCGATATGGCTTGCCGCGATAATCTGGATGGATCTGCGGAAGCTCGATGTTGGCCTTGGCAAAGTCAAGATCAAAGTCGACTTCTGCACGTCGAGGAACGACGGTGCCATTCGCGGATTGGGTACTGTTATTAATGCCTGGCAGCTTGTACCGCCTGAACATCCCAGGGATGTCATGAGTGGCAGAGGCGTTACGTCGACCAACGTTCGCGCGCAAGTTCTCCATGGTTGAGCCCCAGAGGAAGTCATAGTTTGGCATATGCGGCAGGTCGATGTACACCGAGCCATTCTCTTCGAACGAGTTGATCTCATGGAAAGCGAAGAATGCATCCGAGGTGTACTTCGCAATCACGCCAGCTCCTTTCTTGTCAATGACATAGAACAGGGCGTCTTGGGTCTGGTTGAACGGCTTCAAAGACTTCAGAATGTTCCTCTGCTGTTGGAACTTCTGTCTGTCGTACTCGGCCTGCCAGACGATCAAGATGAGGTGGTTCTCAGTGCCGAACAGCGTATGGATGTACGCAGCTGGAGCATCTGTCACTCGTGCCAGGATCTCAGTCTCGCCACGAGGATTTATGCCAAAGACCTTGTACTCCTGCTTGGCCACGTCCAGAACGTAGTTGTATACTGTGCCATCGAAGTCTCGGGCAGCATGAGCAGCGCTACGTCCAGTGTTGTTTAATTCGAGACTGGATGCCTGATAGGTGAAAAGCTCGATTGGCTCCAGGCTTTCTGGATTGATTTGCTGGAGAGTGCTGTGATTCTGTCAGTGCCTTAATTCTCCAGCATCGACTGACTCTGGACTTACTTTGATTCTGTTGTCATGACGAGGGACTTCAAAGGACTATCCTGGGTCTCATTTGATGCCAGGTCTGCGTAATTGGGTATCCAAGTGACACCAACATTAGCCGCCGAGGTATTTCCACGAGGATTGATACCGTCTCGGAATGTCACTCCACCCGGTCAGCATCTTTCCAAACAGAACGTGGTCTTAGCTCACCTTCAAAGGCCCCAAACATGACCTTGCAGGGATCCTGTGCGAAGCTGCCGCCTGGTATCCGCCCATATTCCTCAACAAAATCGATATACTCATCGCTCCCGTTGCGACTGCGATAGCTTACTTTCCCTTCTGCGATCTCGAAACGATGGTTCCTGCTGAAGCCATCGAACCAGTGCTCGGCAGAAAAGTTTCTGATGTCCCAAGTCCCTGCTGCTCCACGGTAGAGCGAGCCTGTTATCCAGGATGGAATCTCGCCTTCAACATCAAGCTCGATTGGTTGGCGAACTTCGGGTGTGCCATAGAAACCCAGCGTCAAGGCCTTGTTTTGCACCTGCGGTATGCTGGAGGCAGCTGCTATGGCGGCTGTTGAGAGGAGAAGAAGGCGATTTGCCATGACTGAAGATTTTGATCCCTCAGATGATGAGGGCGTTGTGGTCGATGTTTTTGGTGATGCTCGAGAGATGCTTTGCTATGCTGCTGTCAAGATGCATCTTCACCTCCACCTCTTTATACATCGCCTTTCCTATGATGCTCGGAGACCAGGCATTACAGATGCAATGACGACGATTTAAGCAGTGACGACAGTACTTTCTCTTGATCACTACTTGCAGCACGAATCGACGATATGGAGCACATGTCGACGGCCGTACCACATACCAACAACGCTGGCCTGACTTACCAATGATTCTTGGCACATCAACAAGACTGGCGGCACCGTGAATCGCAGTGCCCTAAGCTTCACATTAGTTCTCATCCAACGGAAGCGCAACATACATCCCTTTGCAGTGTCTTGGCAAAACTTATTTTGGTGATGCTGGAGCCTTGCCCTGACCTAACTGTGAGGCCTTCACCCGCATCCTCTCAGCATTCGGCCGATGGTCAGTGAAGATCGATCGGGTGCTAAATGGCGGCTGCGCGTGGCAGATCGTGGCGCGGTGGAAGAGATGGCCCTGTGAGTGGATGGGTAAGCGGCTGTATGTGGTATGCAGCGATACTCGCAGCTCCGATTCGTCCGTAAGAGTAATTTTGGAGGGCAATAGTCATGACAAGCCCAGTGCTGCGGCTGGCAATGATGAATGCCAAGTCCTGGGATGCTATGACGATGAGCACGAAGAATTTGGGGATAAAGGACGTTGAAGGTCAATGCGATGATGCTACGTCGATGATGTTACGACCGGGCTCACCAACAACAACATCATGAACACTGTACCGAACTTCGAGATTGTCTCTCAGTCACTTTCGTCGAACATTACACCGAGTCATTTTACAAATCAATCATCGACCGCCGCGAATGTTGAACCATCCAGGGAAGCCAAGGACGCCTCGTCTCTTTCTGACATCGAACGGATCACACGCCTCGCCCTGCTCGTAAACCTCACCCTAGCTATAGCGAATGCACTTGGAGGATACCTGCTTGGCTCTCAAGCGTAAGTAATGTCCTGATTTGTTGTAACCCCATACTGACTGTTTGGTTCAGCCTCATCGGCGACGCAGTCCACGCCCTCGCAGACCTGGCAGCCGATCTGGTTGCTATGATCACAGCGAGCTACTCTACAATCCCCAGACTGGAGAAGAGTGAAGCAATTGGTGGACTCGCTGTGTCTGGAATCGTCATGTCCAGTGGCATTGCCCTTGCCGTGCGATCGCTGCTCTACACATGTCGACATTTCGAGCTAGATGTCCTCGCTAGCTATGTCAACTACCTCATGATCTTCAGTCATGATGCCCATGGTATGGCAGATACTGGATCGAACTTCGAAGTCATTCTGTTGCCTCTGGTCAGCATCATGATCAAAGAATGGCTCTTCAGAGCTACTATGGAGGTGGCTAAGAGGAACGAGAGTATCATGTTGGAGAGTCATGCTTTACATCAACGACTCGACGCATTCACGGCGGTTGTTGCGCTTGTAGTCAACTCTGCAAGTTATCTGGATCCTCGTCTTGTCTGGCTAGATGGCTTTGGCGGCCTCGCTATTGGGATTGCGATCTTCAAGGCTGGTTGCGCGAATGCTGTTGCTGCTTCGACGCAACTGCTTAGATAGCATAGTATTGAACACAGGCAAGATCTCAGCCTCTGAGAGACATCCTCTGTCTCTAAATTCGCCACGGTGTATGCATTAGAACAACTCCGCAGCTCGCCATTGGTACCAGGAACTATGTGGCGCACCGGCACAGCCCGACTTGATCGCCAGCTAGCTTACTCGATCGACAGCCTAACTCGAACTTCGTCTCGAAGGGCTGAGCATATCTGATACATCACCTGAATTGCCCCCTCAAGGGCGTTCTCACCGCAGCCAGCTGCCATGGGCCTCTTCAGATCGGACGACCCTCAGCATCCCGAGCCCAGAGTCACTCTTCAGCTTGATGCAAGCTGTAAAACTCCTTTCCACCCTGGATCCAATGTGTTTGGCCAAGTCTTCTTCGACAGTCCGGCCGAACGCCGGATTCGAAACGTCGAAGTCATCATTCAAGGCACCACCACTACGAAATACGTGATCGTCGTCAGTAGAGGCGAATATCGACGTCTCAAGATTCACTACCATGACGAGGCTACTCTACGCACGATCAACAAAGTCATTGCGCAAGGGCTGACCACAGAGCCGGAACATCGATATACCTGGGACTTCTCTCTCGCATTTACCCATGGAACAGCAGGGTTGCTGCACCCGAACCCAGCCAAGTCGCCGTATAAAGCGCCTTCGGGACACAAGGAGTTCTACGCATCTTCGCCTTACCAGCTGCCACCATCTTTCCTCCACATGAAGAGCGACGAGCACATGGGCCAGGTGCAATACACGTTGACAGTCCAAGTAAACTTCGAGGACCAGAAGAAGCCTTACAGCCCGCCTTTGAAGATTCTGACGTACGTCCCGTCCGAGGAGCCCTTTGATCAGAGACTGGCAGAAAGCGTCTTTCACATTAACTCCTACTCGAGCAGTCGGCTGGCAGGGAGTAGCACAAAGTCTGGTCTTGCAAGATTCAAGGATAAGCTGGCGTCAAGTTCACCGACCGTGAAGCTGAGCCTCAAATCAACTCTACCGTCCAGTATCGTCCGAGGAGCGGCGTTCCCGATTGAAGCGAGACTGGAAGTCAACCCGCTGTCCGATCCATCAGTACTCAGTATACCAAATGTTCGCATCGGGATATCCTCGATTGAACTGGTCCCGCTTGTGATATATCGCATCCTCAGAGACAGAGAGTCTGCGAATATGCTGCCCCTGGAGTCTGTGCAATGCCCTCCGGAGCAAGAACTGGTCGAAGAAGGCCAAGCTGTAAGCCTCAACGCTGTTCCCCAGGAGGTCTTTGTGGAGCAGCAACGGGACGACAAGAGCGAAGCATTGGGGTTCCCTGGTTCGTTTGGGGGAAGGCTCCCAAATCACATCTCTCCCAGCTTTGCAACGACGAATATCGTCTTGTGGTGGAAGCTGAGGGTCAAATTGGTGGCGAATGTTGGTGGCAAGGAATTCGACGACACTGCTGAGACCAGGGTCATGGTTATATCTGATGTAAAGTCTTGACGAGGTCTGTACGCAAGGAGTCGATTATGATCATGTTCATCGCAGGCTGGAAATTAGTACCTCGGCTCATCGGCAAGCTCGGACCTGATCCGGCCTGATCTCTTCCTGTCAGCTGTCAACATCCTTGACTCGCAACGACCAACATTCACTCACGGATCGATCCATAACGACCTCCATCTCATCCATTCCCTCCACCACCCCGTAATCGACGGCATCATAATCTCCTAGGTCGTTCCGCTATAGACACGCCCGGCTCGACAGTACCGTGTCATCCGAATCATGATTCCGAAAGGCGAAGGATGGAACGACAAATACTTCGCCATCACCACAAACCCATCATTCGCCAAACTTAGTCCCGAAGAACGTATCAATGCGGTTCTGAGCGTTCGAGCTCCGCACGATGTCAGATTTCTTAGTCAATTCTTTGAACAAGACTGTAAACTGCACTCCTTCAAACAGACATCCCCTACAACATCCACGGTCACCTTCCGGTTCACTGTGACTCGATTTTATTGCAATGCAGGCGGGGGCTTACACGGCGCCGCGCAGTCTTTAATCTATGACCACTTGACGAGTCTTGCGATTCAGGCCGTGGGGCAGCCTGGAGGATGGCTCGTGCCAGGAGTCAGCCGGAGTCTGAATGTTACCTACTTGAGGCCAGCCCCCGAAGGAACGATTTGTCTCTGCGAGTGTGAGGTTATGGCTGCGGGAAAGGGGCTGGCCTTGATGCGAGGTGTGATCAGACGAGAACTGGATGGCAAGGTTATCAGTACTTGCGAGCATGACAAAGCTTTTGTGGCGACGCAGAAGCTATAACCGGTGGTAACGCGCTGATCATGATCAAAGAGCGACACTCGACAGCACTGGGCTCTTCCAGCTTCCAGCTCTCCTCCAGGCCCGATCAAAGAATATACAAACACGGGGACGACGGAACCATGGTCTTTCTCCATGTTCAATCTTAGAGCACTCGAATACTACAGCATAGATGGTGGAAATGAGGGATTCCATTGACCGAGAGTCGGTTCTTTCGTTGCCAATGCTGACTATCTACTGACCTATCTCCAAACGCTTGCCCACTCCCCACTTGACTGCAATCACAAAAACATTGCATGTCGCTTACAACTTTCTTTCCTTCAATCTAGCTCACTCACAGGCAGGCGAACACAGACTCCGAAATCACGGTCCCAGAGTATGCCGCCCACGGAATCAAGTACATGAACGTGGCCACGAAAGACATCTTCAACGTCAAGCCCAGCAAAATAGCAGCTAGGATATTGCCCAAAACGATGCGCTGGCGAAGGTTCGGGTAATGGTCCATGACATGGTGCGGCACCGACGTGAGCATTCCCGCCAGGAGGAGACTCGCCGCCACAAACATGTTGGACGATGGCTCGAAGAACTCATGCGGCACGCCTAATTGTCGCAAATGTGGAGCCAGAGCCAGATCGAGGTTTCCGATGGCGTCGATTGAATTGACCTTTGGGTCTGATGTTGCGTTGTCTAGGATCATGCCAAGATGGGAGGCAAAACAACGATCCTGCTGCCCATGGTCGAAAGCGTACTTGTTGATAGCTAGTATGGGCAGTGGGGCCAGGGTCAATATGCAAAGCGTTTGCGGACGACCCAACCCACTCGGCTGGTCACCTCGATGATGGACCTTCCAATCGTCCGTATGCCACGTTCCTGGGAAGGCTGCCGAACCTCCTGTCGCCAGGGCATTTTCTTGGAGCACAGTAGACTCACTGTTCAGCTCCATCTTTGACAGATATTGCTGGACATCTCCGTCGAAGCTCTGCGACTTCTTGTAACACCCGGCCACACTTCAACCAACGCCTCGATTTCGATAAAATGTTGTTGGGAAGGAGGCATGACCCTGGTTGTGCTATTGCCGCGGAGATGAAGACGATGCGATATTCAATGGGACGTTTACCTGTTTCCAGTAGAAACATCAATCAAAGTACAGTGTCACAAGACCAGTCGGTCAATTCACAGGATTCAAGGGGGATAGGGCACACAGCCTCAGGTTTGTAGCCCATAGCGCAAAGCCTACTATACATGGTCAGGGTCCACGTACTTGTAGAAGTTGCTACCTCCTATGCCCGTCTAAGTCCTCAAAAGCCGTTGCAGCGAAACGCGACCTACTTTGCATCGGCGTTTGGGCCAGACGTTTCACAGACTATAAAAGTGTTGACGTGTGGTGAGTGGTAACGGATCCTCGAAAAGTACGAAAGATAGAAGGTATGGCGTCAAATCATATCAGGAAGGTAGCAATCGTTGGGGTAAGTCCTCGGCGCTTATACCACACATGTTCTTATGCTAACTTGTCCAGGCCGGCGGCAACATTGGCAGCCGTATCGTCGACGCACTTCTGGCAACAGGCAAGCACACAGTCACTGCCATAACCAGGAAAGACACAACATCCAAATTTCCCGAGAAGGTCATGCCGGTATATGTCGACTACAACGAACCTGAAACGATATTCAACGCTCTGCGAGGTCAAGGCGCATTGATCATCACAGTAGGGTTCTTCGCCCCGAAGAATCTGAGCACGCTGCTGGTCCAAGCCGCTGCAGAAGCAGAAGTGCCTTGGATTCTACCCAGTGAGTGGTCTCCTGACTCTGCACATGAGGGTCTGGTGAGAGATATTAGCAGCTTGCAGAACATGCCGATCGTTCGCGAAGAGATCAAAATGCTGGGCAAAAGTTCGTACGTTGCTCTCTGTTGCGGACTGTGGTATGAGTGGTGTCTTTCGACACCAGTCTTGTTCGGGATCGATTGTCTTGGAAGAAAAGCGACTTTGTTCGATGACGGGAATACAAAAATCAACACCTCGACACTGGCCCAAGTTGGACGATCTGTGGCGGGGCTGCTGAGTCTTCCGATCAAGAGCGAAGACGGTGCATGTTTGGATCGATTTCGCAATCGTCATGTTTACACATCATCTTTCTGTATCAGTCAGAACGATATGCTCGAATCCGCCTTTCGGGTCACAGGCACTGACCGAACGCAATGGACAATCGAGAATCGACCAGTCGAAGAATACTACAACGAAGGCGTTGCGGCTAGGAGGCAGGGTACCATGAGGGAGATTGGTAGGCAGGTGTACTCTCGCGTCTTTTTCGATGATGACTCTGGCAATTTCGAGAAGCGAGTTGGGTTAGCCAACGAGATCCTCAACCTGTCTGGAGAAGATTTGGATGAGGCTACAGCGACCGCTATAAGCTTGCAGAGGCAGACGGACCTATAGATATCATCAAATTCAACCATGCAGCTGCATTCAATCTGTGGTAGCGGAATTCGTTGTTTTGATCCTTCCTGATCCGCATCGACTTGTGAGTGAATGAAATCGTGTCTGCCTAAGGCATCAATATCTGAACACGGCAGTGATCGGCATCAAGCCTTGGCATCTGTTGGCCAGATAAGCTATCTATCAGGCCTATCAGCAACGAGCGTCCTCCCCGAACCATACCTCCAGCGACCATCATGAGCAAAGATATGAACGGACACAACAGCGCGGAGCCCCAGACTTCGCATCGCTTGCCGGTGCTGCTGATGCCTTCCAAGGCCCATCCTAGAACTCCGCGGTGATGGACGCCACACTCTCGCCTACGGGCCCGAATCAAGGCCGGAAATACAAGTCGCGAAAGGAACGGCCCTGCGATGCGTGCCGGCGGAGGAAGGTATGCTGTATTCGGGAGGATGGAGATGATGCTTGTGTGAGTGTTGTTGATATGTTGATTGGGATTCTGAGGCTTACCGAGAGTAGTCGTTGTGTAGGTGAGTTATGACACCTATCCCTACATCTGGACTTGTACTAAAACGACTCGAAAGAATGCAGAACATGGAATGCCGATATCTAAATGGACCGACTCCAAGAAAGCGAAGTGAGTGACATTCACCCATAACCTGGAAGGAATATTGAAGATTTGCAGGACCTCCAGCCTCCAGCGATAGCGAGACCATCACATCCGCACCAGCCTCCAGCGATAGCGAGACCATCACATCCGCACCAGCCTCTACGCCAACATCATTCCAAACAGTCAACACTTCAGCAACTACAGTCGCACCAACTCAGCCAACAGGCGAATGGATAAGCCAATATGCCGGTCTCTCGGCCGACATGGACCCATATGTGCTACGGCATTGCAATTTCAACCGGTCCAACTATTACGTCTCAACATATCATGACTTCGCAACCTTTCGAGTCGGTATGAGCGGGAGTGTGCCGTCACATTTTACCTTAGTACCTGACAGTCACCTCGATTGCAGGCCGCCGCACTATCCTCCAAGCACGTTGCTGGACGAGGCTTACCCACTGCATCATGAGCTGTTGACAGCATATTTTGATGTCATCCACACATCCTTCCCTTTGCTGGAGCCTGTACGATTTACGAAAGGGAACAAGATCGATCTGCCCCTTTTGGCCGCAATGTACAGCCTCGCCTTACCTTTTTGTGCGGCAGCTCGGAATCTGTCGTACGCAAATATCAATTCGTTCCTATTCCAGGCTTTGCCCATCGAGACCCGGACTCCAAGGCTGGAGACCATCGAAGCATCGTTGCTATTTCTGCAACGCCATACACAAATTCATCGAGCCCCTATAACTCCTGGACTATACCCAGAAATCGGCTCTATTGTCGGCATGGCCTACGAAGCTGGCCTCAACGTCGACCCCTCGAATTGGGATCTCTCGCAAGCGGACCGGAGTCGAAGGAAAAGACTGTGGTGGGCCCTCTTCATCTTCGACAAGTGGAGTGCTCTAGGCTTGGGCCGACCATCCTACATCTCCGACGACGATACCACTGTGCCTCTCCCTAGCATCGAGGACATCTCCCCAACAAACGTAGGAAGAGAATCACTTCCCCACGTCTGCGCTCAGATGTTCGTCGCCATGGCCGCCCTCTCACAGATCCTCTCCACCATCCTGTCCACGTTCTACACTCTCAAAGGCGCCGAGAACATGGCCTCCTCAACCGGGGAAGAAATCTCGCGCATCAAATCGTACTTCGAACTGCAACTCTCAGACTTCCACTCAAGCTACCTCACGTCCCTATCACAACAACCCGGAATCCTCCTCGACGCAACAGGGACTCTATGGCTAGCCTACCACACCGCCGAAGTTGTCCTCTTCCGAGCTGTTCTCCGCTGCCCGCCATCAACCAATCCCACCACGCACCAGGTCCGCGAACGGGCAAAATGCGCTGTAGGCTCAATCTCAGAACTCCTCGAGAACCTCCGCGTCTCCCGCCTTCGAGCCTTCTGGTGGTCACCAATATCTCGCATCAACTATGCCATCGCAGGCGGCTTCCTGTTCACGATGCTGTTATCATCCATCACGGAGGAGGATATCGATTACTGGTCGAATGAGATTGTGCGGTACAGGAGGTTATTAGATTTGCAGAGTTTGTCGTTCGATACGACGAAGCTAGCGGCTGCGAGGATGAGTGCATTGGCGAATGTGAGCTCTGGTGGGAGGCCGCAGGGCGATGGGGCTGGAAGGGTGGATCCCAAGCAGGCGTTTTGCCGGGACTTTGGGGTTGAGCTGAACACGCTGTGATGAGATGCATGTTGTATTCCCCAACACCCTTCAAAGAGCGCAAACTACACAAACTCGGTTCAATCATTTGCAGCCACGGGTCAGCGCCGCTCAAACATCAAAACCGCCTCATACATCGAGCCCAGGAATCCTTGCCCCCTTTAAAAACTCTCGAAGATCTTTCTCAAACTTGGTCTTCTCCTCTATCGCGGGCAGATGCCCACTTGCCTCATACACCACAAACTTCGCTCCAGGAATTCCATCCGCGATGGCCTGAGTGTACTTTGGCGGACAAATCCAATCGAACCTGCCGCTGAACACGAATGTCGGGACTCTGATCTCATGGAGTCGGTCTCGCACATCAAACCGCGAAAGACAGTAATCGTGCGCGGCGCGATTAGTCTCTGGGATCGGAATGATGATCTTTGAAAGTGCCTCGCCGACGCTGGCTTCAGCTTGAGAGGCAAGGTGGTCAGGGACGGCATACAAGGGAGAGATGGCCGCAAAGACGCCCATGTGGTCTTCAAAAGACGTGGTGGTGCCCGTGAAGAGCCGCATGAGCTGATCCGGATCCACCACATCTTTCGATCTTGGGTCCGTCAGGGCGGTCTTGTACGCCTCGAGCATGCATCCGTGCGAGAATTGCGCGGCTGTGTCGCCGATGATGAGCGCGGAGACATGTTGGGGGTAGCGAAGAGCGTATTCTAACCCGAGGAACCCGCCGTGCGAGGCACCAATGAAGACGACCTTCTCGTCGCCAGCCCACTGCCTGAGCTCGTCGAGGTCGGCGCTCCAACGTTCGTGGGTATAAGGTCCTTGCTGATCGGAATGGCCACAGCCGCGTAGGTCGAAGACCAGGACGCGGAAAAGGTCGGTGTAGGGACTACACCAGAGTTCGGTCTCGCCGTGATTGGAGAGGCCTGGGGCGCCGTGGCACGCGAGAAGGAGATTTTTTGCTTTGTCTTCTGGATTAAGGATCTTGGCTTTGACGTTGCAGCCGTCGGATAGTTTAATGTTTTGCATGTCGTCGGCCATGATGGACGATGGACGGGTGGGTAATATAGAGAGTTCAGGAGGATGAAGGCGAATTTGATTTTGAAGGTGGATGTACACAAATACCACCTTACCGACGCCGCACACCTTTCCTTAATAGATCGGGCGGTGAATTAGTTTTCGTGCGGAAAGGCCCTGACTGAAAAGTTGTGGACCTTGTCGTATTAAACATTCGGATCTGGCAAGAACGTCGTACAGTGTTTTACACGATGCCTTGGAGGAGGATGGAGGAACTGCAGGGTCAGGGAAGTCAGGGAAAGCGGCTCACATGTGCTCCTTGAAGATTGGTTTTCCTGCTGCTTCACCTCTATTTCACCTATTCAAATGCTCAGCCGCTAATTGGGGATGGCGTTTCGATATTCTCGATCCATCTTATCCGCCATCTTGTCCCTATTCTCTCGAGGCACAATCGCATCGGCTTTCATCAGCTCAAGCATCTTGTCGTTCTCCTCCTGTATCGCATCGTAATGCTTATCCACATCAGGGTTTCCTATCTCGATTTTCCTTTTCCGAACGACCTTGGCGGGATTGCCTGCCACCACGGTATAAGGCTTGACGTCCTGTTGGAACAGTAGTCAGTCAGCAATTCTACGTGCAGAGTGCACATACGGTTACTCACCATGGTAACGACAGATCCTGCACCGACGGCAGCACCTTTACCGATTCTTCGAAACGGCAAAATGGTCACGCCACCTCCAATAAAGCAGTCTTCTTCGACCACGATTGCACCGGCGGAGAAAAGCGTGTCACTACGATCACCGCGCCGCTCACTGCGTCGGTTTGCGTCTATGCTGGTAGTCAGGCAGTAAAACTTGACGTCGGCACCCACGACAGTGCGATTGCCAATGAATATCGTGGCGGCATCTTGCATATAACAACCGCTGCCGATGGTGACTTCGGCGCCGAGATTGATGTTGTAGCCGAATTCGCAGCGAAAAGGTGTTTCGACCGTCACTAAATCTCCTATTACCCCAACTGGACCCATCCAAGGACCCACGGTATTGCGATTGGGTGGCCTGGACTGAGGGATGAGTACGGCATTGAATTGCTTTCCCTTTTCATCCGGAGTCGCTGTAGATGTTGGTCCGCAAATTCTGTTGTAATTTTCGACGGCTTCACGGCAGGACTGGCGGTCGGCGAGGAGCTCATCGTCCCGATGGTGCTTATATGGCATCCCAGACAGCATCCTCTTCCGATCGTTAAGGGGGCCATGTAACGAGTAGCCCAGTAACGACCGCGGGTGGCTGCCCGAGTGCGACGTTGCTATGCTTTCATGAGAGCTGATGACCGTAGGGGCAACGTTGGGAGGTGGTGGAAGTGTAGGTCGACTGTAAGGTGCTTGGTTAGGAACACCACCCCAGGGCCCGGAGAGGCCATGTGGAGGAGGTGGACGATCGTGAGGAAACTGAGGGGGTGGGAAGTCCGTAGGTGGGAGTCGCTCAGCCGAGTAAACCTGCGCGTGCTCATGGGGGCCCCATGACGTCCTTGGGCCCCATCCGTCCCGCGCGCTTGGTGGGCGATGGTCTGCAGGTGGTGGGTTGCCGTAGCGGTAAGGTACTGAACCATATGGCTCGGGCCTATGAGGATCATGCCAACTGTGAGGTGGTGGCGGTGGCGGCAAGGCAGGGTTGTGATTTGGATGCGCCGGGTCGTAGAAGGGAGGAGGGCCTGGTACTTGCTCGTACTGCTTGGCCTGAAGCGGAACCACAGGTCGCCCGGCGCCTATTTTGTTAGTTCCTCCAGGTGGTTTGGGACCGTAGCCGCCGCACGTGAATCCTCCTTTCGCACAATTTTGGCAAAACGGCTTGCCCTCGTCACACTTCTTCTTGCGGCCCCGGCAAGTGTGGCAGCCAGTCTTGGTCCGATTGCTGAAATTGCGTTTGCGCCGCTTTGGGTCGTTGTCATTGGGGTCGTTTGACATGAAATGGATTGATTGGTCGGTATCGTTGGGGAGAGTGTCGCCTTGAGCAGCAGCTCGGGCTTGCTGTTCCTCACGAAGCGTTGCATTCAACGACGCTGCCAAGCCTGACACAGTCTCTGGTCGAGCCTGAGGCGGGGGAGATGTACGATCAGTCCGTCCTGTCGGTGTGGGCTCGCTAAGAAACGTCAGCATACAGTTGTTGGATCTCATCACTGCATGAATTGGGTCGCTTTGACGGAGAGGAGTGCTGAAACACTCACCGCACATAGGTCCCAGTCGTTGGTTGCTCCAGCTCGTCTTGTTCAGGTGAATGTCCTTTCGTTTGGTTCGATTGCCCTGGTGAGTGTATGCCACCAGAGTTGAGGACAGTCATGGGACGCTTTGGGGATCGATCACCAATGGCAGACGATGCACCGTTCCTTCCATCTTCATTGGCTTCGTTGCCGTTCGACTCGTCTCTCTTCCTTTTGTTCGAGGGGCTTTCATTGGGATGAGATTGGCCTACAGTCCTCGAGTCGTGGCTTGCTTCGGGTCTCCAGGATTGCAGATTGTATGCGGGAGCCGTGGCTTGACCAGGAGCAGATGAGTTCGCAAGTGTATCGCGATGAGGCTCGTCGGCTGGAAAACTGGTGATGCGTTGGGCAGTCTCGCCATTCACAGCAGTGAAGCCGGACGACGGCACGTCGGTCGCGGGGGTCGGCAGCCCATGCGCAGTGTTTCTGTTCACGGATGGGTTTCCAAAAGGGTGGGCCTTTTCTCGCATTGGAGAATCGGCACGGGTATCCAGCTGGCCGGGCGGCGACGGTCGATGTGAGAGAAGCATAGAGCAGACAGCGGGGGTCGAGGATGGTGATGCTGCACAGCCGTTGGTGTTGGACGTATTCAGGTTCGATTTTCAAGTCGGACGAGCGCGAGTTGGTGTTATAACGCCAATGGCCGCTCTGTGCTACGCCGGCGCTTAATTAGACGCAGGCCTGGATGGATTTGTCCCTGACGAGGTCGATTTGCTTGGGAAAAGAAGAAAAGAGAGACGCCGCCGCTCGCGCGATGGGTCAGGACAGGTCTTTGCAGCGGCCGTGGCAGAAAAGGCAGAACGTGTTGGATGCGGCGCGGTTGCTGGGCTGGTCAACGCGGGCGTGTGATGAGATTGCCGACTCCGAGGAATTCAGTTCGGCGTCCCGATGGCGTATGGAGTTGCTGGGGGTGCTCGCTTGCGGACGGACGGCGGACTAGGGGGCGGGGCTGTCACCGACGGGACGCAAGGCATGGCACGCAAGAGGGAGCGACGACAACGAACAGGTCGAGGAGGACCAGCAGGACGACGACGACGCCGGCTGGGACTGGGAGGAGAGCAGGACCAGAGACGGGACGACGCATGCGTGCATGTGGGCTGTGGGGCGCGCGCAGAGCTCAGGCCTCGACACGGCTCGACATGGCATCGCGCCTCTGCCGGCCGGCCAGCGCGGTTAATTGCTAGGGGTGGCAGCGTGCCGTCGCGCAGCAACTGCTTCCACCCGCCCAGCTCGCGTCTGTGCGCTCATTGGGCGTCTCCCGTTGCAGACCCAGCGCCTATCGCGAGGGCGCAGGCGTCTGAGTGACGGTCCTGTGCATGCAGCCACGACGTTGGCGGAAACCTTCGGGCCCCGCCCAATCACCGCCGGCGACACTCTGCTCCCTCGAGGCACCCCATTGCCGGCTTGATACAAGACAAATCAGCGCGGACCCTACCCGCCCTGCGATGGGTGAACCGCGCAGGGCATCGTCACTCTGGCCGGGGTTGGGGGCAGCAGCAGCATTAGCGCCAAACCCGTCTCGCTGCCGTGCTGGACGTGTGCTGCGCGGACCATGGCGTCACGGCGAAGCTCGTTCCCTCGCCGTCGTCGCCCTGGCGCGTAGGGCCGTCAGAGGCGAAGGTAGCCGACGACGACAGAGTATCGTCCAGAAGCGTCGCTCACAGTTCCTGTCTGGTATCCAGTGACAAGTTCGAGCTGGCTCGAGTCCAGCACGAGGCGCACCGGCGCCTAGCTCCACATTGATCCTGGTCAGCTCGCCGCCCGAATCACGCACTCTCGCTGCGCCCCGGCCCACCCGTTCCTAGCTGGTTGCCTAGCCTCTTCCCACAGACCCACTCGTCAACCTCACAAGCGCAAAACACCACTGCACTTCTGCTCGGTCCCATCTCCTGTTTCGCTCTCGTCTCGTCGTTTATGCTTTGTTGAGGGTGCCGACTGCGAGGAACATGGCACACCGGATCGCTATCGATGCGTCTGCAACAGCAAGGCGGCATCTTGACATGCCTACCTGGTGAGGAAACGAGCTCCCGCTTCCTCGGGCAGGACGACAGACATCGGGCTGCCAGCCCGCAATGCTGTGCCACCACGTCCAAGGTCGCTACCTTGCTCGAGCTCGATGTGCCCTTGTCGAATCATCGTCGGAATCGACCAGTAACATTCGTGCGTAGCGGACGGCAACGTATCGATACACGGCCAACGCCCTCCATTTCGCTACCAAACGCTTGGGTTGCTGCGTTCAGTGCATCGCCTGTCGATCATATGATTTCGTCCGACGACATCGTCGACAGGTTCAAGGTGTTTGCATCCTCCACAAGTCTCTGGTGACTCAAAACCTGGTGATAAGCGGCGCAAGGTCAATGCAATGCCCGGTCTGCGAGCTGGAGGAGACGGTCGTCTGCGAACCAGGGGCGTGCTGTTGCTGATCCAGTTGCATGTGCCCAGCCAGCATGACAACGTCAGAAGGACAGAGTTGAACCACCAGGTCGGGTCCTCCAGTTCCCCGAAATGCAAGGAACATGCATGTTCCTTACTCTGAGCGATCCATGGCGCCCCCATTCGAGCAGGCTTCGTATCTGGCGGACAGCTGCGAAGTGGTGCAGAGGGTGATGAATGCACATGCGGTGTTGTATCTGCCCGCTGATATAAAAATCCCATCACAGTTCTCACACCGACGGGGCACACTTGCGCCGGTCTTGTCTGCCGACCCCAGAGTCAGGCAAGCTTTCTGCATGTCTGTAGCCAGGAGCACAATAGAGCACGAACGCAAGCGCGAGAACGGACCGGGCCTCTCGAGCTGCCTTGTCGGATTCAGTCAACGGTCCAGACGATGTTTGGCGACTGGCGCGGCCGCAGCGGTTGTTGGAAAATGGTCTGATCCGTACTGCCGGGTTGCTGGACAAGTCGTGCAACGCAGCGCAACAGCGGGCCGATGAGATGCTGGGGCGGTGGCCATTGTATTGGAAACGTGTGGCTGACGGTCTGGACGACGGCGATGACTTACTTGGTGCAACAGAGCGACCTTCTCCGACACATCAGGGCAGATGAAGACATGTCGTTGGGACAAGGTGCTGCCCGTCGCGCTGCCCGTGTTCCAGGGTCAATCAAATATTGATGTGATTTCATGGGGAAGCGACTGCCTCCCGTCCACAAAAAGGTGGACAGCGTCGGAAGCAAATGTTGACTTCCGACAGTCCTCCAGTGTTCTCACAATAGTAAAAACCCAACTGCTGAGGGTAGATCTCTTGGTCAACTTGCTCACGCGTATTGTAAGAACAGGATAGGTAATTGTACAATTAGCCCAATGAATATTTGATTGAACCCCTGCCAAGACATCACTGACATCTCGGGAAAGCCCGCCATCGCCGCAAAGCTCTCTCGCAGATGAACACCATCCATTCCATCTTATCGCACGCTCACTCCAACCCCGACCGCCCAGCATGTCTCTCAAAACCCCAATCCCGCTCTTCACAATACCGCCACGCTTCCTCTGTCCATCAGTCCCCCGCCAACTCGTACGCACAATCCGCTCACTCGCCCCGAAGAAACGCGGAGGCACGCACCCAGAACGCTTCAACCAAGGCCCCGGCCTCAAGACTCTCATCTCATCGCAAGATGGTGCGTTCCTTCGCAGAGAGAAGAACTTCCCTCTGCGAACGGGCGCGCTAGCCATCAAAAAGGGCATGACTGGAATCTACGACCCTGTAACCGCAAAACGCGAGGCTTGCACGGTGCTGCAGCTGGATCGGTGCCAAGTCACGGGACACAAGCGACGCGATATACATGGCTACTGGGCAGTGCAGGTCGGCTGTGGAACGAAAGAGGCGAGGAACGTGACGAGACCGGAGAGAGGGGAGTTTGCGGCCAAGGGTGTGCCCATCAAGAGGCATCTGGCTGAGTTTCGAGTGAAGAATGAGGAAGGACTAGCACCAATGGGCAGCATCATCACTGCAGACCTGTTTCAAGAGGGACAATGGGTCGACACACGTGGTGTTACGCGGGGAATGGGATTCGCTGGTGGAATGAAGCGATGGGGCTTCTCTGGACAACCCGCCTCCCACGGTAACTCGCTCACCCACAGAGCAATGGGTTCGGCTGGTGCGTCACAAGGTAGTGGTTCGAGGGTCTTGCCAGGGAAGAAGATGGCTGGGCGGATGGGTGGTGAGCATCACACCGTCCAAAAGTTGAAGGTGATGAAGGTGGACCGCGAGAACGGCATCGTGGTGGTCAGTGGAGCGGTTCCTGGGCCGAAATACTCCATCATTGAGGTACAGGACTCGATCAAGAAGTCATGGCCACACGTGGAAGCAACAGTTGGTTTGACGCCAATGGCAGGCAGCGTACCTGCAGTGAAAGAGGAGGTTGTCGCAGAGGCGTGAGAACACGACTTGGCGTCAAAAGTTCAGGTCATCTGCTTGGATGAACGACTCCCTTCGACCATGAGCACATCGAAACAATCATCCAAGGCCGACATACCCACAAAAACTAAACTACGACACGACCAGACAGGAAATCCACTGCTCGGCAATATCTCCCTCCAATTCGGTTCACACTCCGCGGACGACGATTCAGAAACAAGTTGGCTTACTGCAGACACACTTGCGCACATCCCAAAGTCAAAACGCGGCTGACCCTGCGCGGCAACGGCGCAGGGCGGGGTCCGCGCATATTGCATTTTATGGGCAGGTCGAAGCGCCTGTCATTGTCTGCGTGAAGAAAAGCTTCATGGAGCTGAATGCATTAAGTTCGTGGTCTGGAACGAGGTCTATTGTACAGAGTTGTGTTCGGTTGGCAGCGAGGTTGAGAAGGTGGGCCCGATGAGCGGATTCGCTTTGTGTGTATGATGGAAGACAGGCTTCGCAACGGGGCACTGAGACGTGATGCAGATCTCTTGGTTTGAAGTGTATAGTGAAGATGCCCGAGATAGCGTATCCTCAGGTCTCAGGTCTCAGGTCTCAACATCCATCTCCCATCGTGTCGCTCCATTCACGCATGTTTACCTTGCCAGGTGATCACCCAAGCCTGCCTCAAACGCACTCGCAACGCATCTAATCCGAATTACAGCTTCAAGATCCAGGAACTGTATGGCACGGGTCGGTAACACCTTTGACCATCGCTTCACTCGTTCAACAATTAGAACGATTAAGATCGTACGTCGTACGTCGTCTAAACCCTCTCGAGACGGATACTGTCTACATCCACCTTCCTTCCTTCTCTCATAGCTCGACTTCCCTCCAACTCCATTATACCCACCACGGCGTCGCATGTGCGAACAATGCACAGAAAGCCCTGAGAAGCTATATCTTATTTACCAACCGACCAGAATCCTCCTTACTTCTCGCAGACGCGGAGGCAGATAGCTCTTGATGTTTACCACGTGATGCTGCCTCGTCTCCGAGGGCGAACCGTCCAGAATGTCGTATGGCTAAGCGGGCTCATATACCCTCTGACTCTGCGGGGCGAGTTTAACACGGTGGAAGGAAGACATATATGATGCCTGGTACTGAGACCTTGTAGTAAAGGATGACTTCATCGGCATTGAATGCATCGCCATCTCGTTGAAGGCTTCTTTACTTTCAAAGCTCATCTACATTCATGTCACTCGGCCAGTTCTGCAAGAGCAACTCTTTCATATCACATGCTTTCCAGCTCCGTAAGATCATCGTGCTGAGGTACAGGAGAAGAACATCATTTCTTCTGTTGGAAGGAGATGAGTCCGTCGAAGGGCTTAAAGATCGCTGTACTGCTTCCCACATGTCTCTAATAAACATCGGGCTTCCGACAGCGCAAAGTCTCTTCAGATTGACTGCTCTTCAACCTAACCTCACTTCACCTCACTTCACCCGAACGACCTGCATCACATGCCTCTCCGATCCATTAGTGCACAGACCACCACGAGCAGACACACTTATTATCTGCGCATTCTCTTCCACTCCTCTCTTGTTCTTCCTTCACACAACCAAGAGTGCAGCAAAGCAAGACGATCACTTCATCTGCTCCCCAGCCTCTCACTCGTTGCGGGGGCTGGGGACAGGAGAAGTGTATGCGATGGCAGATAAGAAATGGGTAGCGAAGGGTGGGATGTGAGGTGAATTGTTGGCTTGAAAGTAGTCTCGATGTGACGAGATGCTGATGCGAGGGTGGAAGTCGAACACGGCTACTTCCCAGCGTCAGGACGAACATATCAACAGCGTCAGATGGCTAAGCAGTCGTAGAGGACTGGGACTAGACGAGTCGTCTTCATTCCAACCTTCTCTTCCGACTCTCCTCACAACTTGAACCTCGCAGCTCCCTGCCCACCACTCCCATCACCACTCCTAACCTCCTTCCCCTCAACATCCCTCACATCACCCTTCTTCCCAATGACCTTCACGCCACCCTTCTTCAAATCACCCAACATAGCCTTCTTCTCCTTGGCCGCGCGGCTCTCCACATTCTTGCCGTCAGTATTACCCGACGCCTTGCGGATCCTCTCCTTCTCCCTGCGCCTGCGTCGCTTCTTCTCATCTCTCGACATCTCCTCCCTCGCCGAGGGTAGGCCACTCTTACCTGCGACTTCCTCACGCTTGTTCGCTGCGGACGCCTCGCCGCCTTTGTAGATTTCTTGAGGTGCAAGTTGACTGGCGCCGGCGACTTCACCTCCGGCATTCGGACGGGCATCTTCCATCGTGACGACGGGTGCGTCGACGCGGATGTCGAGTTGTGGAGCGGGAGCTTTGGGTCGGAAGTGCCATGACGATAGACTGTCGAGCTGTCCACTGACTTCTCGCCACAGCTTCTCAATCTCTTTCTGCTCCTGGGCAAGCTTCTCGTCCTTGACGTCGACATAGTTCGGATCCGTACGTTTGAGATGCTCCTCTTCATACTCCTCGGCAAGACCTTTTTTGCTCTTGGTATCATCGAGCTCAAAGTCTAGCTTCCCTCTTCGTCCATTACCTGTCGCCAAGTCATCTGGTCGTCGACGGATGATGTCTTGAAAGTCGTGGTCGAGAATGCGGCGCTTGATGAGCTCTTCGAGTGATTCGCTGACTTCGGCAGTGATTACTGGTACAGGCTTTCCAGCTCGCTCGAAATCAAGATCCTCTTCAAGGAGGGAGTTGACAGGGCGGTCTGCAGCGCGAGCCTCTCCAGAAAGCTGCCATTCTCGCTTCGCAACGTTCGCAGCTTCTAGCTTGCGGATCTCTGCAGCGATTTCAGCCTTTCGGCGTTCATGGGCTGAGCGCCGCGAGCGAGGGTCCGCTGGGTCAAGGTCTTCCTTATTCTCCTCATCTTCCTCCTCTTCTGATTCATCAAAGAGATCGCGATGCACAGCTTCCATCGTTCGTTGCATATCCGGCTCGTCATCCCGTTTTCCATTCGTCGAGGCTTCCGGGAAGTTGTGAGGGTTCGGTCTGCCTTTCTTGTTCTTTTTCTTCTTCTGCGCTGGAGGTGCGAAGAAGTCGGCGTACATCACGTCGTTTGTGTTGGCCATATCACCCAAGCCGTCCATCTCGCCGCCATCAACCTCTTCTTCCTCGTCTTCGCTAGGCGCATCAGGGTCGCCAAATGTAGGCCCGTCCTCTTCGTCGTCGCCATCGACTTCGTCAGCACCAGCATCGGCATTTCCATCTACTACTGCGCCTTGTCCTAGAGGGTCTGCATCCCAGTCGACGTCTTCCTCGTCACTTGCCGCGCCATCATCGTCACCTCTTGCATCCTGCTGTTCGAGGAACTCTGACTGCTTGTTGAAGTCGTCGATGGAGAAGAAGCCATCGTTGAGGCCAAACTTGTCTTGGACCAGTTCCGCGACAGGCTCATCACGCTCTTCCTCGTCTTCTTCAATGTCGTCGAAGTCGTCGTGGCCATCCATATCAATGTCCTCTTCGTCATCCGACAACACCTGATCCGCATTCTCCTCGTCTTCCTCGTCCTCGTCCTCATCATCATCCCATTCCTCCTCGCCATCGTCAATCCCCTCGACTTCGTAATCCACACCTTCCTCGCCAAGATCCTCCTCTGACTCTTCCTCCTCGTCCGCGAGCTTTACCGACTTCCCATTTGTCGCAGGCTTTCCCTGTCCTCGGGCATGCGCCGCAGTTGCTTCATACGCCTTTTCCGCCTCAAGTGTCGCAGCATCGATCACTCGCCTCGCTTGTTCCCAAACTTGTTCCACACCAAAGCCATCGGTGTGAATCTGCTTCAACCGCAGCACATCCTCTTCATCGTGATCTTGTCCCCGCTTGCGCTTCCTCCGCGCCTCCTTCAGTCGCTGCTGCTGCTCTTCGCTAACATCTTTCGCGAGAGGATCGAGGATGTTCTTGAGATATGCGATGGAGTCCGTATAGAGGGGTAAAGTCGGTTGCAAGAAGGCATGTGGATTGCTCTGCAGAGTGGAGAAGAATGTCTCAGTCGTTGCAGCCATACTGGGTGTGGAGTTGAGATTGGGTGGTGTTCGTCTGGAAATCTGAAAATTGAAGGTCGCCGAGCGGAGCCAATTCCGCGTTTGACTTCACTTCCTCCCGAGCTCGCGCCTCTCGCTCAGAGCGTTGCCCACAACAAGGTCTGCCGTGATGAACAACGCGGTAAGGGAGCGCTACATCAGCCAAAGATGGGTAAAAGTAACCACAATAAGTGCGTATTGAGAATTCCTGAACCGTTTGCATTCTCTTTACATTGTCAATCATGTTCTCCAATATTTCCTTGACTCTGCAACTCCTACCCATCCTCGCTCTCACAACTTTGCTCACCCGCCTGACATGGAGCTACCTACGTCTCCGACACATTCCAGGCCCATTCATTGCAAGCCTCACAGACCTGTGGCGACTCATCGATGTATGGCGACGAGATGCCCATAACACTCATATCCACCTCCACGCCAAGTACGGCGACGTCGTCCGAATTGGCCCGAACACGGTACTCGTCTCCAGGCCAGACATCGTGCAAGATGTATACGGAATAAGCAAAGGCTTCGTCAAGTCCGAATTCTACCACGTCTGGCAGAACATCGTCAATGGCAAGCGAGCCGCTTCTCTCGTCTTCACCACGGACGAAGCCGAACATGCCAAGATGAAACGGCCGATTGCATCAGCATACTCCTTATCCACACTCGTCGAGTTCGAGCCATTGATCGACTCCACCACCGCCGTCTTCCTCTCCCGACTCGACGAGGTCTTCGCCAACACGGGCAAAGTCTGCGATCTTGGAACCTGGCTCCAGTGGTATGCCTTCGATGTCATCGGGGAGCTCACCCTCTCCCAACGCCTAGGCTTCCTCGAACAAGCCAAAGACGTACGAGGCATCATCGCCTCCGTAGCCGCCAACTTCGACCGCTGCTCAGTCCTCGGCCAAATGCCCTGGCTCGATCTATGGACTTACAAGAACCCGCTCTACCTGCACTTCCTCGCAAAACCCGTCTCCAACCCGATCCTCCTCTTCGGCCAAAAACTCCTCCAAGACCGCCTCAACGACCTCGAACCACCACCCTCAACGCTCCAAGTCCAGGACCCGACCCTCTGCACCAAAATCCTCCACGGCACCCTCCCCTCCAAACCAGACTTCCTCTCCCGCTTCCTCCACCTGCACGCCGAACAGCCCGACATCGTCACGGACCGCGCCCTCCTCACCTACCTCTTCATGAACATCAACGCCGGCAGCGACACCATCGCCTCCACCCTCCGCGCAATCCTCTACTACCTCCTCAAAACGCCAACCTCCCTCTCCACCCTCCACCACGAACTCTCCACCGCCGCCCGAAAAGGGCACCTAACCCTCCCCCTCCCATCCTGGACCGAATCCCGCACCCTCCCCTACCTCAACGCAGTTATAACCGAATCCCTCCGCCTTAACCCCGCCCTCGGCCTCCCACTCGAACGAATCGTCCCCGCCACAGGCCTCCACCTCGGTCAAATCTACATTCCTCCAGGCACGGTCGTCGGCGTCAACCCCTGGGCTCACCACCGCAACGCGGAAATCTTCGGGCCCGACGCCGCGGATTGGAGACCGGAGCGGTGGATTGAGGCGTCCCCGGAGCAGGTCAAGTATATGGAGGGGAATTTGTTGACGTTTGGGGCGGGGAAGAGGACTTGTTTGGGGAGGAATATTGCCATGTTGGAATTGACGAAACTAGTCCCTGCGTTGGTGATGAGGTATGAGATGGAATTGGAAGATCCGAGGAGGGAGTGGAGGGTGGTGAATAGTTTTGCGGTGAGGCAGGAGGGGTTGGACGTATTGATCAAGAAGAGATGATGAGTCGAACTTGACATGACGTAAAGGGAGATTGGTATGATATAATGTGAGCCATCAGCATTTCCTCTCTATAGCACGGTTCATTGGTATCATTGTTTCGGGCTCGACGCTCGCTCGCTAGCGAAGTAGCAAGCATTAGCTTTCAAGGACAGCAGACCACCCAGTCGCAAGAAACCAAAATACGAGACTCCAAGCTGTATGTATAAGGGTCGAAAAGAAGAAAAAAACTTTCGTTGGGGTGAAGGTGTGAGAGGTGAGGTGGAGTTCACGCACTCACAGGCTTGGCATATCACGTGGTTCACAAGAGACATGAATCCCACGTTTACGCCTCACCCTCCTCGCCGTTGGACTCGGTGCCTACGCCGTCTTTACGGCTTTCCGTACTCCGCTCCTCAGACTCCTTTTCCTTCTTGGTTTCCAGCGCGGCCTCGGGGGCCTTCGCGTCCGTCTTGTCGGTGATGAGGCCCTTCAACCACTTGTTCTCCATCTCCAGCTGCTGGACCTTGCCCTCCAACTGCTGCACGCGATCCTTCATTTCCTTGTTGTCCTTCTCAAGAGCCTGCTCCCGCTGCTTCTTCTTCACACGGAACCGTGCTGACGCGGCGGTATTTCGGCGACGCTTGTCCTCCTCGGCTGCGACGCGCGATGCCTCCTCGAGGTGGGCGGTAGTAGCTGGCATGGCGATCGACGCCTTCCTCTTGTCGCCGGTCACAGGCGATTGGGAGTAGTGTGGCCCCGGTGGAGGGTAGTTCCCTTGGAGGGTTGGCGGGCTGGGGATGCCAGTTGGTGAGGTCATGCTCGAGTCGGGGAAGTTTTGGAACTCGCCATATGGGTATCGCTGGCCTGGCGAAAGGGTCAGCACATGCATTGTAGGATACAATCGCATTCTCGAGAAATGCTGATCATGACGTGTAAGACATACCATCCTTGGCAGCATTTGCAGCGGCCGTGAACGAGGCGGGCGGAGGAGCACCGGTCTGGTGGAACTGGTCAAAGTCGAAGAACTCGGCGTTGGTCAGGAACTCGAGGTCGTCCTGGAAGTTGAGGTTCTCCTGCTGGACTTCCTGGCCGGTCGGAATCTGGTTGAGGTTGGCCAGGTACTGCGAGACGTTGGGGGCGCGTCGCCCGCCGTTGTAGCCAGACATGGCGGCGGTGATGGAAGAAGGATGCGCTGGTGTGCGACTCGAAGTGAATTTGGTCGGGGTGGTGGAGGGGGTGGTTTGCAGTGTGCGACTCGGACAGAGGTTGCGTGCTTTGACGCCGACTGTCTTCGTTCCGCGATCGGTGGGGCGTGGCGTCGCCGTCTTTTTCCGCTGGAGAAAGAAGCAGCGCGGCACGGCGGCGGCTCTGTCCTTTGCCTCGCGGTGATGGGGGATTTGGTGCTGGTTAGTATCGTCGGTCCACGTCGTCGACAATGTCTATGACCAGACTGCAGTTGTGGCAGTCGTTGGGAGGGCGGGCGTGAGAGATTACAGCAGGCCCGGCGAGGGGTTCACGTTGCACCCAGCAGTCGTCGTCGATTACAAACTCTTCACACTTAGCCGGAGAGCCCGCCAATCACCGTCCGGTGTGCCGCCCACGCTTGCGGGATCGTCCGCCGGCGACGAGCCGAGCGACAACGCGGGCGTCGCTCCTTCTCATCACTCTTTGTTTGTCGCGCTCCTGCCGCACTTTCACTTACAAAACCAATGCTACCTTTGCCAACCTCATAAGCCACCTGCATCTGCACATGAAGCGCACAAAGCTGCCCTCGGCCGGGCCGCGTACAGACACATGTCTCTCACACACGTCGGCAACCGTCGCGACCCAAGTGGAACGTCGGAGATAGCATCCGATTGCCTTCTCCAGTTTCCATTTCCAGCTTCCCGGCGGGCTCCACCTGTTTGACCACGATATTGCTCAACTCGCCAAGCCGGCCGGCCTCTGCGAGCACTGCGCTCGTGCGAGACACCTCCAATGCCACTCACCTACGTGGTCGGCAGAACGTGGGAGTGCAAAGTACTTGTACCCACGTACTCATGCGCTTCGTGTGACAGTAGGCGCATCTCCCGCGAGAGATGTAGAGGTGTAGCTTCACCATTGCATTCGCCCCACGAGCCTGAAGGCGTGATAGGCGGGCCCATCCAAGCAATGTACCAACTGCCGAGCTCGATTTGCTTTTCCGCGCAGCGTGAAACTTCGTGGGATAGCTTTATCGTTGGCATGGAATCCATACGTGACGGGGGTTTATGCTGGGGACGTAAGTATATGCCTAATCCGGCACCAACAGGTCAGGGCGAACAGGTTTCTACTTCATGGCGACGGCATCTCTAGCTTTGCTGCGTCTTTGGAGCGCGGCAATCGATGAAGTCAATGATCACTCATCAACGACCATCGTCCATTTCGGGTTCATGTATGATGTCGCCTGCTGATCACAGTCGGCCTTCTGCTCCGAGCCGACGGTGGTAGAATGGAAGAATTCAATTGACTGTATCGGATGAAGCCTTATCTTGCTTCATACATTGGTAATTGACCAAAGCAATCGCAGAAAAGACCGACCAAGATCTTCTACAAATGCCCATGCTGCGCCCCAGCCTCGCGCAGTACTGTCGGAGCCTACCCAGCCTCAGCTGTTGCTGCATCAACTCCTCACCGAAGCAAGTCATCTCGCACACAATGCTACCGTCCGTGGTCCAGACAGATCAAGTCTGATAAATTTTGGCAGAGGCCTTTCCGGTAGGAAATCTGACCCGTCATCATCAAAAGCCCTTCCAGCTTTCAATGAGCCTGCCTGCACAGCTCACCATGACGAGCTGTGCGTCATGCACTGGTGCTCGTTCGTTCTGAACTCGCCGCCAGGCATGATGTACTCCTCGCGGAGGCGATGCTGAGAGACACGGCACCTGAATTCTTGCACAGAGGCAGTCGAGCATCTTGCCCTCGTGATGCGATGCACCACCCCGTGAGGATGTGGCCCATGATCATCGCCTCGGTCGTTGGGCGGCGAAATCGGCGGCGGGGAGGGCGGGGAGGGCGACTGGAGATGAACAGCTTTTCCGGCTGACATCAACCAAGTCGCGGTTGCTCAGCTGCCTAGCGAACAGGCCAGCCGAGTTGTCGACACAAGGTTTCCACTTGTGGTATCGTAGTCGGTTGGTGGGTGGGTGGGCAGGGAGGGAGAAATTGAGGTACGTGACGAGAAGTTCAATCATGTTGTTGTGGAGAGAAAGAAGTTGAAGCGCGGCGAGAGATCAGATGTTTGTTTGTGGGCGCGCGCGACTCGGGAAGAGACTAGCGTGCTCTTGGCTCTGGTCCGAGCTTTTGATATGGCGTTCCGAATGAGGCAGGAGCGGGCCAACTCTCGTTTTTGCGATTCTTAAGCAACATGAACAACAGCTATATTCCAGTACTGATCACAACAGACACAGGAAGGCCTGTGGATAACTGCAAGACACCCATGCCCTCTCACGACAAACTCACGACCGCCGGCACCGATCCCCCGTTCTTTCCATCTTGCCACTCAACACCAGGAAACAGCGTCAGGGCGATCTCGATACCGTTTCTCTTGCATCCCTCATCTTGCATCGTCTCTCCATCGAACGAAGAGGCAGATGCATGCCAAATCCAAGCCAGGTCTTCCGTGTTCAAGACCAATCGACTCTGAATCCGAAGGCCCTGCGCGCAGATTCGCTCCAGACCTTCACCAAACTCGCTTCTTGGTCGTCCCAGCATGTTCAAATGGCCATTGAGAACGAGTAGACACTCACTGGCGAGCTTCCTGGCCTGTGGTCTCAGCACTTCGTTCTTGAGCCGTGCATCGTCGAAACTGTGCGCCGCAGCGGTGCCGATGGCGTCGTCTCTGTCATTGGCAGATGAAAGGCTCGTGATATTCTCTCTGAATACCCTGCACATGAGGACGGCTTCTCCACTCAACCACGGCAAGTCTCCATGCTTGGTGAAGATCCTGTCGAAGAGAAAGGCCGAGATGAGACTTCTTAGGAGGTCGACTGCCCGGAGACAGTCTGTTGATTGCAGATATGCTGCAGTTGACTTCCAGTCCGCCGATCCAAAGATCTGAATGTACAAAGACTCAAGCTCTGGGGTCGCTCTGGTCACCAGATCGGCTGAAACAGATGGTGGAAAGTCGGTTAAGTACGCCTCCACGGTCGACTTGATCAGCTCATTGAGTCCGGCGATCTGGGTTGAAAGATCTGATGGCGATGCTGCATCAATTCTGAGGTTCGATATCTTTCTCTGGTGGCCTGGTCCGACCAAAGGTTTCGCGACAGGCAACTTATCTTGCTCCCACAGCGTCGACAGTTTCCGCAGCATGGCCTCTGCGCGATGACTGTCATGAACCGACTTTCTCCACACCTTGACTCGTTTGTTGCAGGGCGCATCATCGTCTGTCTCGCCATCGCAGTCCGCGTCTCCCGAGTCCGAATGGACAGTCGACGCACATCTCTGCACGCCCGTATGCGGACGCTTGCGGACAAGGGGCGACTCAGACTCCTCCATCGAATCGCGACGCCTCACAAGCAGCCTACTTCTCTTCCTCGGCGCAGGCGGTGGAGACGAAAAAGACTGAACTTTCCCCTGAAGCTGATTCCTCCTCTTCCTCGCTCCTCTCGTCCTCTTCGTCCCCGGCTCCCAATCCTCATCACTCCCACTGCTCGGCTCCTCCCAAACCCTCTCCGCCCAATCATCCTGATGCTCCTCATCACTACACGTATCCTCACTCTCTTCCACAAGCCTCCTCACCAACACCTTCCCGTGCGCAGCATCCCGCACACCCTCCACATACTCCTCATCGAGCATCTCACTGCCCCTCTCAAACAACTCATCCACCGCAGTCTTGCCAGGTCGGACGTCCACGCCGGGCCGGATGGAGCTCGCCATGATGCTCGTGAGGGCTTTGCGGAGGGACGTCTCGTTGTGGAAGGTGTGGCCGAAGGTGGAGCTGTGGTAGGGGCAGAAGTACGTTTTTGTGAGGGATTTGAGGAAGGAGGTTTGTTGGTCTTTGGTGAGGATCTTGTCTGGGTTGGCGTCGATGTGGGAGAGGATGTGGGCGATTGTTGGGGCGGGGTTGTTGGTTGTGGACATGGTGACGTTGGCAAACGGCGTTTCTTTGGATGACGAGATGAGTTGTCTTGTTGTGTCTTCCTTCTTCTCAGCTGGGATGATATAGAGCGTTGATCTCATAGCCTCCCTCGTTTGCTTGGTCTCTTTGTGTCTCAGGAAGATAAAGCCAGTGCACCGTTCTCAATGCAAGCTGCACCTACGCCAGAAGGCTACTTGCATGCATTATCGCTCTGCTTGTGGATGGCAAGCAACATGAGGTGCAGACACCCGCTTGCTAGTGAGCAGCGCTTCTGCGGACGCGTTACTAGGATTCGGAAAGATGAGATTATTGAGAGGTGATGACGCTTTGAGATACGCACTGTTCGCGAAGATTGTCGTCCTGTTCAGCGTAGATGCGACATCCTAACGAGTCCTTCGAACTCACGTGTTCCCGCTCAGACGCAGCTCCACTCTCTCAATACATGGGTACACCCCAAACCTCCCTATGATCCACCGTCCTCCCCTCATCATGCGGCAACGCCATCTCATTAAGCGCCTCAAAGTCCTCATCCGACAATTTCCTGATAGCGAGATTACTCTCAATCCTCTTCGGCGTCGCACTCTTCCCCAGCGGCACCGCCCCCCGCTGCACCGCCCAACTCTGCAGCAACTGCCCAACATCCATGCCATTCTTCTCCGCCAACTTCACAACGTCCGGGTCATTAAGCAAAGTCTTTCCATCGGCTTTTTGGCCCGCAAAGGGGGAGTAGCAAGTCGTCAAGATCCCGTGCTTGTTTCCGAACTCTATCAGCTCATTTTGCGGCATCCAGGGGTGGACTTCGATTTGGTTGCAGGAGATGGGGGTCTCCTGGGAGTGTGGCAAGAGGTCTTCGAGGTCGGCGATGGAGAAGTTTGAGACGCCCACCGCCCGGGCTTTGCCTTTCGTCACGAGAGCTTGCATGGCTTTCCAGGTGGGCACAAAGCTGCCTTCGTGACCTACTTTCTTCGAGATCGGCTTGGATGTATACTCCCAGTCGATAGCCGGCTTGCCGTCGATATAAATCTGTGCTTTGTCTTCGTGAGAGGAATTCGGTCCAGCCGTGGCTTTCTCCAGACCTTCCCTCGACGTGGGTTTCCACACCATCGGCCAGTGCACAAGGAACAGATCAACATAGTCCAGCCCCGTCGCTTTCAGAACTTTATCCAGACAAAGCTCAACATTCTCCGGATGCAGAAAATGCGGCCATGCTTTGGAGACGTAGAAGATCTCCTCACGAGGAACGCCAGATTCTCGGATTGCTTCACCGACGGGCTCGTCCACACCGTACATCCATGCTCCGTCGATGTGTCTGTAGCCGGCTTTGAGGGCTGTCAGAGTACTGTCCTTCGCCCAGGATGTCTCGCCTGACGCCCAGGTTCCGTAGCCGACAGTTGGAATGTCGATGGTCTTGCCGTTGGCGACTTTGAGGGGGAAGGTCTTCTGGAGGGTCATTTTGCTTGATCGTATGGCGTTGTCGGCGTGACTCTGGCGTTTGGGACTTTCGATAAGGGTGAGCTTGTTGTTTATATCGTGACTTGAATAACGAGGAGAAGTGATGTTGGACTCTCTGCTCATCTTTACGTCATCGATAAGCCCTACATTGTAGGGCGTTTGCCATTGCATGGGATGAAGGACTCTGTACCACCTGCTGTACTAGGTATCTCTTCCAGCTGGGATCTTTCATGGCTGCCATGTTGCTCGCAAGCAAAGCCTTTCCGAAGCACAATTCGACGAGCAAATAGCCTCTCGACGTTAGGTAGCCTAGCAGATGCATGTCCCTTCCTTCGCGGACAGACTCTTGTCTACTCGCCCAGCACCCTCTTCATCGTCTCAAAAACCTCATCAGGAGCCCGACTGAACCCAAACTTGATATTAGGCTGCATCGCAACAGCAAGATTGATAGCCCTCTCAAAGAGCTCCGTGAAGTCCTTGTTCGCTCTCACGCCAAAGCCCACGATGAAAATATCCCATTTCTGACGCTTCAGTTCGACCTCTAATCTCTGAACACTATCTTCGACATCCAGAGGATCCAGATCGATGTTGGCGGGCTCGTAGCCGTCCGCCTTGGCTTTGGCCATGTCCTCCTGGAGTTTTTGGATGTTCTTGTGTTGAGGGCCGAAGATCGCTTCGCCTTGGGGATCGGCTTTGATGAAGCGGCCTAGGCCGGCGATGAGGACGTGTTTGGCTGGCATCGTTGATGAGACTTTCGTCAGATGGTATGCGGTGTCTGTAAATCTTCTCGTAACCCCTTTCCTGCCCCGCCGATGTGTCTTTCTGTTGACGACCACGCGGCCGGCGGTTTCTTGTCCTATGTATGACGATTGCTGGCGTTGCATGAAAAGCTGTAGTTGAAAACAAGCTCAAGTTGGCAGATGCATTGTTGAGCGTTGCATGAGCTAGACGAGCATCATACGAGCTCGGCAAATCGCCACTCTCGGCATGCCGATCGATGTCACGACGTGAGTGATCCACGGGCGAATGTGTGCCGTCCATTTTCTGCTCAAAGTAGAACGTGTACTGTATCGTTTTGGGAGACTAGCGATCTCGACAACTTGCAATACAACATTGAGCCTGGTCGCTTTCAAGATTGTAGAGAGAGAAAATCCATGACCCACAGTCTGAGCAGAACAATAAGGTTTATTGACAATGATCAGGGAATGCCAGCTCGTGGGCCCTTATCGAATTGGCTCGAAGATGCCACCCCTGGTACAGAACTGCCCCTATCAGTAGTAGTATCCCCTCACGTATTTCTCCTTCCGGCCAGTCGTCCGATCCCTTGCATGACTTGGATTGTCGTCGAGATGATAGAAGAGTGAGTCTCTGTCTGCGAAGTCCATGTCGCAAGACAAGCAGGTCAATTCGGACTTAGCATATGTATCTGAATATTCATATGTTGCCGAAGTGTATGCACTCTCCCTGTGGAACTTCTCCGGCCGTCCTGTCCGAGTGTCACGGGCATGTCGCGGATAAGCCTCCAGATGGTCGAAAAGAATATCTCTCGACTCGAAATGTTGTTTGCATGCCAGGCATGTCAACGTTGGATCGATTCGATCCGTCTCCCCTTGGTGATGACCAGTGTAGTACAGATGGTCGAAGAGCTTGTTCCTCGACAGGAAATCTTGACTGCATGTCAAACATTGTGTTGATTTCTGCTCCGCTCTATCACTTGGGCTGTCATAAGCATCGTAACCGTAGCTGTAATCGGTGTCGTATTCATCCACTTCTTCAGTAGTGTGCTCAGTAGGTGCAGTCGAAGCTGCTGAAGGTGTGTACGCAGATGCTGTAGAAGTGTACGATGTCGACGGCGTTGAGTATGTCGGCCGACTGTGAGCCGCCGGAACCGGAAGACTATCGTTGGCCGCCGTGGAAGACGTGGAGTATGTGGAGTTTCCACTGGTATAGTCGTATAAAGGCTTTCCGAAGCTTGACACACCTTGAGACTCCTTCCTAGCTTGACTTGTACGCCTGTAGTCACCAGCGTGAGGGGACGAAGAGCGGCCATTACCGGACTGATCAACAGCTGGCATCGTCATTGGGACGGTGCCGGGGTCGTAGTGGTAAGCGCTTTGTCCTGCCGATTGAACTGCGCTGGAAGATGCGGTTTGATGGCTAGGTTCATGAGCATACTTGCTTGTGTCCTTTCTAGTCTCTCCACCAGGTGTAAGTATGTCAGGTATTGGCGTTGAGGCCGTGACAGAATCATTGCCGTATGAGTAGAGGCTACGCTGTTGATTGGAGCTTGCGTTAGAGCCGATGTCCCTCAATGACGCCTTCGTGTTTGGTAAGTTGCCTGGTCTGTACACAGGTGTGTCTGAGGGTTTGTGCGAACGGTGTGCACTGGTAGGCTGAAAGTTTGGCATGGGCGTCGATGTTGTGTCTGGGTTGTATGCATGGAACTTGGTAAGCTCCGGAGTATTAGAACCAGAACTGTGAGCATTTGATGCAGGTGCCGACGCTGGGAGCCTGCTACTTCGTTCCAAGGGAAGACTGGAAGGACCAGAACGGGAGTTTTGAGAGCTAGACGTCGACGGGACACTGCCTTGCTGACGACCAAGGAATCTCATCACCCGTAGTATGTCTCCCTGCTTGAGACCCAGCGTTCGCAAAAGCTGTGCATCCACATCAGACAGAATCTCGGTACTCATCTCCTCTGCTTCAAAAGTGTCCGCGTATGTCTTGCAAGATTGCGGACTGACGCCACACTCGGCAAAGAAGTTCGACCAGTTGAAACTGGCGTTGGTCGAAGCTCTTTTCTATAGCAGAAGGGTCCTCGAAGGCATCCGTCGCCGCTGCCTTGGCCGTGGCAGTGTGCCTCGACGCCGGGATCGAACTCAAGGGTGTGGCAGTCTGCATGTCTGCTGGAAACGCCGGCATTGGTCTGTACGTTCCCTCGGATGCAAACGTATTTCCCCAACCATTCGAAGGTTCCATGTTGAAGCCAAAGGTCTCTCGTGTCTGATGTGTTCTGGCCATCGTGGTGAGCATGCGTTGTGCTCCAGCGAGGACCTTTTACTTACTGATACTTTGTTGATTTCGGAAAGGTGACTTCCAACCATGGATGTTCTAGGACTTCTTCGATACGCAAGCGATTGTGCACTGAAGCGGTCATCGTCCTCTGGATGAAATCGACGCCCGAGTAGCTGGCTCTGCCAACAGCTTTGACTGGAAATGGGGTCCCCTGCTGCGCGAAAGATATGAGCTCTCGCACAGCGTTGAAAGGCGGCCGCATCGTCAGCAGACAATGTGCCACAGATCCGAGAGACCAGACATCCACCGCAGGGGTCCATCGACCATCGCCCAGTAGATATATTTCAGGAGCCATGTATCCTTCTGTGCCTATTTCACCTCTTGTCGAATGAAACGCAGCCGTGTCTTTTGCAGTCCCGAAGTCTGAGATCTTGACATGCCATTGCGGACCCACGCGATTAACCAGTACGTTCTGCAATCCATATCAGCATGCGGTAGCATAGTCATAAGTCTTGAGTGTGAGGTACAGAAGGCTTCAAATCTTGATGGATGAAGTTTACTCGGTGCATGTGCTGCAAACCCTGAGCAAGCTGCGCCGTGACCAACGCAGCCTCTGTCTCTGGCAACGGCCGCTTGCTGATGTGTGATTGCAAGTTACCGTACGGCAGGTATTCCATGGCTATGTAGAGGTGTCGATCATCCGCAAAACAGTCAAAGTACTGGACAAAGTGCTCGCGATACTGCCGCCATTAGTTTTCGACCTTGTCATCGCTCCTTAAGACAGGCGGCGGCTTACATCTGAGAACTTGACAAGAGCATCCAACTCCTTTTTCCACAAGCTCTCATATTTCCTGGGAGTCTGTTTGATGGCACGAAGCTTCGGTGGTTCGTGAGGCTGACTGGATATGCATTGCTCCTGCCATACCACGCCAAATGTTCCACGACCAAGATCGAAAGTCTTCTCCCAGAGGTCACCAGAAGCCATATTGTGACTTGTTGTAGCAAGATGTGAAAAGCATGAACTTCAAAGAACCATGGAGATGCTCTCAGCTGGCGCTTCAGTCCATGTTGTCCCACTTCCATCTTTTAGCAAATGTTGAAAGGCTGAAGTTACACAAAAGCTGAAAAGCTCTCATGGAAATAGAACATCGTAGTCGCCGTGGCTTGATGCAGCTGCCCTGGCATGCATTGCATTCTGGGTGGAGTGGTTGGAACAATCCCAATCAGCAAGGGTATTGGCGCAATGGGAGTGCAGGTTCGGCAGCGCCATGTGCAAGGGTCAGTGTTTGCACGTCCAGCTACGTTTAAGCGAGGTTTCGTCTGTCCAAAGCAGAATGTATGTCAGTGCATATGTACTGGAATGCAGCTATTCCGGTGAGCAGCTGCCCGGCACATTCGGCACACCTCCTGAGCGGGCACCAGACAGGCGAGTGTGTAGAATGCGTGTCAACGATAGGGCCAGGAAGCAGGGCTATCACTGCGGCCGCAACATCCAATACTTCTGATAAAGAGCCCCACGTTCAGAGTGAGCTTTTAATAGTCCTTTCAATTTGGAACCTTTCGTGGGCAGACACTTGACCAGCCCTATCATGTTCGCCAGGTCCTCGTTGTGACGCTTGCATACTGAGAAACTCTTTCGCCTGAAACTCGTGCTCTTCGAGGGCGTGCAAACTTTCGGAAGCAACGATTGACTGTTATCTGTTTCCAATTGTCTTGAAAGAGCAATGGAGGTCGCAAGCGCTTTGGAGGTCGTGACTTTGTGCTACAAGTGAGCTCACCCCGAGTACTTTCCAAGTGACTACTGACCAAAGATGGATAGAGCCGGCGCAGAACTCTTCAAGATCTTCGAGACCTGGAGACAAGCCGGTGATGAGGTCAAAGAGAAAGTCGTTGTTATCGAATCGTCCTGGCTCCGCTTTACATATCAAGCAAAGCTCTTGCAACGTGTGAAGTCAAGTCTGGAAGCCGAGCACTACCGTGTACTCGAAGATCTCATGGAGCTTTTGGCACAGCAGCTATTCATGGCGAAGAGCGTTCTGGAATCGGTCACAAGGAAGGAGACCCTGCGTAAATCTTCCTTCTTGGCAGTAGGTTCTGTCATCGACAGAAAGGCTTTTGTTTGGAAAAAGGAGGCCCTCGACTCAGTGATCCACAAGATAGACGACTGGCAGAAGCGTTTCGATCCGCCTTGGTTTCTCATCGTCAGGTATAGCAGCTCAGCGATTGATCAGCAGCTGCAGGCGGGAAACACATCGATGGCCAGGAGAGGCGCACCGAACGCCGCGAAAGACCCTTTGGCTCTTGTCAGCGGAATGAGGGCAGCCATAATGCCAAGCAGCAACCAGAGAGGACCATTATTCTTACCAGAATGCGCTATGGAGACAAGCCCTATCACACACTCAAGTGCACGGCTCGGACGCTTACTTGGTGGGGACCAGAGATGGTACATCGTTGACAGCGTCTCCTTCGAGTCTCGTGTCGACATCAGTCAGTTATCTCGAGACGTACGGCATCTCGCAGCAAAGCTTTGCCAGGCAGATCCAATAGCTTTTGGATTGCTGAACTGCAAAGGAATTATGCCGATCAGCCAGCAACACGATTCGTCTCAAGGAGCCTCCCAGCGGCAGCCAATTGCGCTGAACATAGTCTTCCGGATACCACCAGGCATGGACACACTCTTCTCACTGCGACAGATGCTTCTTATGCCTGATTTGCGGATGTCGGTTACGAGGAGGGTGCGAGTCGCGCGAGAGCTTGCGAAGTCCATAAGCTATGTGCATGTCTTCAACTTCGTACACAAGAATGTGAGGCCAGAGTCTGTGCTGTGTTTCGAGGACACAACGCAGTCTCGCAGCCACACCTTCCTCGTGGGGTTCGACGCATTCCGAGCTGCTGACGGCGCGACCAGGCTCCAGGGAGACATGTCGTGGGAGAAGAACCTCTATCGTCACCCAGAGCGGCAAGGGGACTTTCCCTCCGAGAAGTACAACATGCAGCACGACATATACAGTCTTGGCGTGTGCTTGCTTGAGATTGGACTTTGGGAGTCGTTCGTCGAGTACACGTACCAAGATGATACGCTTCAGCCTCAGACTGGCAAGTGCTACTCTCAATTCCAGCAATGGCTTACCGGCGTGTCGTCCGACGCCAGAATGGCTTTCTCCTACGACCTTCCTTGGCAGGTCAAAGACTACCTGGTGGAAGTTGCACGGAGCGAGCTGCCGGCCAGAATGGGTGAGAAGTATGCCACGGTGGTGGTCGCGTGCTTGACATGTCTGGATCCCACAAGCACGATCTCATCCAACTCGACGAACGAACCGGAAGAGCAAAGCATGACAGTCGCTGTTCGGTTCATCGAGAAAACCCTGCTCCTTCTGAACGAGATCTCAGTATAGGCTTGAGATTCCTGAGAGATTCGGCTGAGTGTGGCTTCTTCAAGATGGCGTCGATGGATTTGATGAGCGGTGTTGGGAAAGGAGTTTTGTTTTGACAGACGCGGGACGTGTAGCTGAGGGCCCGATGTAGTCTGACAGTCCATCTTTGAACTAGTCCATTCTCCTCTACGGGGGTCTGAGAAATGAGACGATCCAGCCCCAAACCGGCTACATTTCACATCAGCCCATCAGCCTGCGTTCGGTGCATATTTTTCCGTACTCCTCACTTGGCAACAAAGTGGAGCCGAGCTCCCTCATAAAGACACATTCTGCTGTGCAACGAGATGCAAGAGGTACTTTCGATGTGTACATCCACGATGTCGTCAATCTCAAAACTGCTGACAGCAAGCCTCGCAGCTACAGTCTCAGCTGTTGTGCTTGGAGACGCCGGAGAGATCTCCAGCTTGTCGTATCCGCGGCAATCGAGCAATGGATCATCAGAATGGCCGTATGGACCTTTCAGCACGAGGGGACGTGATATCGTGAATGCCAGAGGCGAGGCTGTGACTTGGGCAGGTGTGAACTGGCCTGGGAGTGGAGAGACGATGGTGCCTGAGGGGCTAGAGTGGGCTTCTGTGGAAGACATTTTGGATCAAGTCAAGAGCGTTGGGTTCAATTTCATTCGATTGTACGTTACTTCACCGTCTTAATGGTCATGATCAAAGACTTATGACTTCCTAGGACGTACGCTGATCAGGCAATCAACGAGATCTACGACCGAGGCAATGGGTCCGACGTACCACTGGAAGTTGCCATGATCCAAGGTCTGGGCATGGAGAACGGCACCAAAGTCACCCGCGAGGTTGTTGCGAGAAATCCCGGATGGACCAAGGACACAACTCGATTTGAGATCTGGGACAAGATCGCTCAGGTCGCTGCAAGCAAGCAGATTTACATACATCCAGATGTTCATGTTGGCAAAGCACAATGGTGCTGCAATAACACTGGTTCGTCCACACAAAGCTTTCGCTGATTGAATGAAGACTGATAGAATGTCGCAGATGGCAATGCTTGGTTCGACGACTACAACTTTCCCGTCGACAAGTGGCAGCGAGGCTTGAAGTTCATCGCCGAATGGGCAAAATCTCACCCTAATGTGGTTTCGATGTCTCTACGCAACGAACTCCGACGAGCCATCAATGAGTCCTCGCCCACTTCGACCATTGGATACGACTGGCTTTCCCTGGTCGGCAACTACACATCTGCAACAGATGCCATCCACGAGACGAATCCAGACATCCTGGTTACGTGGTCAGGAATGCAATATGACCAGGATCTCTCAGCGTTGTAAGTGCTTCGATCGATCTTCTCAACAAATGCGCTGACAAAAAGAGAACTTCTGGCCTCAATCTGAACACGGCACCTTGCTACAAATGTGATGCAGTAAGGGACGGTTACCGCCGAACTCCAGTCATCTTCGATCTCGCTTCTCATCCCTGGGCAAACAAGGTCAGTCAAACACCGATTGTCTTAATAGATATCCTCTTACATGGTATTCAGGTCGTATGGGAGCTCCACCTGTACTCGATGTCGGAGAACTTAGACACCGGCAACTGTCCCATCATCGAAGCCGAGTTCTACCGTGCTGGCTTCAATGCCCTTGGAATTGAAAAACCAGGAGCCTGCAACACCACCAAAGACTGCCCGGACGCCGTTCGTCAGACACCAGTGATCCTGTCGGAGTTCGGCTCAGCTCAGGATGCCACTCTGTTCAACGATACATTACAAGGCTGCGTTCAGCAGTACACCCGCAAGCACAATGTCAGCTGGGCTGTGTGGAGTCTGGCTGGAAGTTACAGAATCCGGTCAGGAGCCCAAGGTGGTAAGTTTTCGCTTGAGAATGGTGTGGACGAATACGTTTGCTAATAAGATTCAGTACCTGATACTTGGGCCCTCGGGAACTACGAGTGGAATGGCTGGAACTACCCAACAGGCATCGAGAGATGGTGGAAGCCTTGGGTTAAGGCAATGTTCGAATAGCCTCTCTGTTCAATATAGGATCAAGTCCGCACAACTGTAAAGAAAGACCCTCCATCTGTTCACCACCCTACTTCTTCCTCAAAACAAGCATGATTCCTCCACTCCACTCCCCCTTCAAAATACCAAATCCATCCGTACTAACAACACTCGCCTGCCCCGCCTTCTCCAGCCCCTCCACGACACTCTTGAACCCCCCACTCTCCCAAATATCTTCATGCACCGTCCCCACGACCAACCCGCCTTTCGCCACAACCCTCACAAACTCATTCAACACCGCCGGCCCCACGTGTCCCTTTGTCAACGTGCCCACGCACGTTACGACGTCGTAGCTGCCGTCTGTGCGATTGATGGGCTTGGTCAAGTCGGCGGTTTCGAGGTCGGTGTAGATGTTCTTCTTGCGGGCGGCGGCGAGCATGCCTGGTGTGAGATCCAGTCCATCAAGCGTGAATTTACCGTTCAAGCTAGATTTCTTGAACTCATCGCCGACAAGGCCAGTCCCACACCCTGCGTCGAGGATTTTGAAGTTTGGCTTGTTATCATCGAGATTCTTGATTACGGCTTCGACGGCTCGCTGTGGAGATGCGTATTCATGAACAATATCGAAGTCGTAGGAATCAGCCCATTCATTGTACAATTGTTCTGCGTCTGCAGCTCCAGTGAGATCGTAGGCTCGCTGGAGGAATTGGTTGGATTGGCCCCAAGAGGTCGTTGATGGGTCTGGCATCGTTGGAGACAATGTGCCTTTTCCCAAGGATCCAAAAATTATGAGAAGTAGGGCGCAAGAGAAGGTCTTAGATATGATTTATGTAGCCCAATGTAGTGTCAGCTTTACTCATTTCTGCAGGATGAACGAGATGCAGTGCACACGAGGCCTGCGTTGTCGGACAGCTGTGGATCTAGAGGGAGGAGCATGACGTGACAGGAGCGAGAGCTATAGCTTCCAAGCACCTACGGCACCAGTGCTCCTATCGTCGAGTAAGCGGTCGAGATTGTCGAAGGTCGCCTTTGTCTACTCGAACATCCTTCGTTTGCGACATCGCAGAGCACGCTTCTTGACCTCGGCCACGGTTGCGTCCTTGGGAGAACTTTCCTCCCCTTCTGTAGCATTATTTGTAGCTTGAGCATCAGCCGTTGCTGGTCTCACAGAGAAGACTCTCCCAGAGAACTTTCAGCTCGTCCACCAGGAAAGCATATTCATTGGTGATGAACTCGTCCGAGCGATGGAGTCACTGCTTGTAGTGCAGGTGGGCTTCGTTCTACTTGCGAGCATTCTGACTCAGTCGTACGGCAAGAGGCTTGTCACGTCTGTCCAGCTGGTGGCGCTGACGCTCCATAATTGTGCGAGAACCATGGCGTTTCTGCTGCAAAAGAGCTGAGTTTTCATGTCTTGCAGCTTGGCTGAAAGACAAGCTATCAAGTTCTGCACTTCAGCCAGCCACGACAATAGCCAGAAGCAGAAAGAGCTGTGAAAATGACATATCACCTATAGCTTGGATTGAGTAGTAGCGAATGCGTCCGTGCGTCGACAGGAGCTGTGAGGTCAAACATATGTGCTTACCGATGGCTTGGATTGTGGCGATGCATGTGGGAAGAACATGTCATCGCATGGGCACATTGTTGCCGTCAACCGGGCTTTGCATAGCTGAACATGTGTGTGAAGCTTCAAGGCTGAAGCCTTTGGTGCTAGTACGATACTTTGCAATCGTGACGAGAAAGTGTGGTGATGTTGTTGGGGATAGAAAGGAGGCAAGACGTTGGCGAAGAGGCGGCAGTTGAAGCTCGAGCCTCGGCTCCGAAGAAGACAATGAGAATACCTATATGCAGTTTTCCCCCCTCTCCCTGCACTTGTATCGTGAACAAGAAGTTGAAAGCCCTTTGGCGAATATCGATAGTCTTGCCGGCTTCGTTTCTCAAGAAAGGCTCTTCGAGATGTCACGGACGAGAAACCAGGAGGCGTGACGTTGGTGATGGTCTGTGCCATCCAGGAAGGCAACGGTCTCAATTCTTCCTCCCATCTTTCTCTCCTCCCATCTTTCTCTCCTGCATCATTCTCTTCCTGCACAGCGCAACAACACAACAACGATACTCCCACGCCAAATGCGAGATGTCAACCCGTATACAACCTTCTCCAGCTTCTCCAGACGATGAAGTCTCGTCGCTGCTGATCTCTACAGGATAGAGTTCACGCCCTTCCAAGACCAGTCACTGCCCCGGTGATCCCCTCATTCCAATTTCTCATCGTTTCTGCTTCGTATCTTTTCTTCCCTCATCAAGACAGAATCGTCCTCTTTTCGTCAATAATAAGTCAGACATTCAGGTCCACGAAGACAGGCACGAGACCAACTCTCGTCATCGCGTTCGGCCGTACAATGGCTTTCCACGCCCAAGCGATGCCACGGCATTCTGGCAAACGAGCCCAACATGTCTTGGAACAGCGTTCATTGCATGCTTTAGACGACGAAAGCTATTGAGCAATATACTGACCAGCCACTTTCCGCCTGAACAAGTATGCTAAGCCATGCATCACCGATTTGAAATGCCAGCGCTCTCCAGCCGCACCCCATCACGGCCTTCGAAATGCTCCGTCCGGCTTTTAGCAGTGAGGAACAAGTCTGCCGAACATGACCTTCCGGGATATTGTCCAGACAAGGAGCGTCGTCCAGCTCGAGCTGCCAATACAACTAATGCCGTGCAACCCAGGCTTATGCAGGCACTTTACACTTCTTGTCGTCCGCAATAGCGTGTCTGTACCTCGGGGATCTGCACTCGGCCCGCCGCATTTGCATCCTCCGCCCATACAACAGAGTGTGATGGAGGCACGAACGAGCGGAGAACTAGCCCTTCGCATATCTCGTATAGAGCCCCAGCCTGGAAGCGAGCGTCACTTCTCCATGCGCAAAATATATTGGCGCCGAGGTGGACCGCCCATCACATGCACGGAAGCAACAGTGCCGGCTTCCACTTCACGTTGACATATATAGCGCTTACTCGCCCACTGTAATGGAGTTCCAGGCCAGGCGCCCTGGAACAGATCCTCCTCCACTCGCTGAGCGAAGACAGCCAACATGCTGAACATCAAGTCTATCGTTTCAATTGCGGCTGCCGTGCTACCGCTGGTATCAGCTCGACCAGCATCACTTGGTACACGTGCAGTCTTGCTCCCTGAAGACGACCCATTCTACCAAGCGCCAATCACTATCGACTCCTCGGCACCTGGAACTGTCCTCAAGTCGCGTAAAGTGGCAACTTCATTCTTTGGATTCATTCCGAACCCAGTTGAAGCATGGCAACTGCTGTACCGTACCAATGCGGTTAACGGAACCGCCATTTCCGCCGTGACGACTGTATTTGTGCCAACAGGAGCCAAGACAGACCGATTCGTCTCGTTCCACACAGCCTATGATGGTTCATCCCGAGATGGCAAGTGTGATCCTTCCTACAACTACCAGCTAGGCGCTCCACAAGAAGACATCATCTCCTCCGTGGAGTTCCTCCTACTTCAAGCTTTCCTGATCGATGGCTACATCGTCTCCGCTCCCGACTACGAAGGCCCAGATGCCGCTTTCGGTGCCGGCCGTCTCGAAGGCACCGGAGTCCTCGACAGCATTCGTGCAGTCCAAAACTTCGGCAGCACTCTTGGCCTGACAACGACCACCCCAGCAGTGGTCGGCTATGGCTACAGCGGAGGAGCCATCGCAACCGGCTGGGCAGCAGGCCTTCAACCCACATACGCACCCGAGCTCAACATCAAAGGCTGGGCACAGGGCGGCACCCCGGCCAACCTGACAGGAACTACAGTCTTCATCGACGGCACCGCCTTCTCCGGCTTCCTTCCACAAGCGCTCGTCGGCCTCAGCTCCCCATCCGCCTACGGCGCCACTCTCGAACCCAAGATTGACAGCATCGTCACAACCGAAGGAGCCTCCCAAATTGCATTTGCCGAAGCCAACTGCGGCGTCGCCAACCTCCTCCAATTCCCCTTCAAATCCGTGCAATCGATCGAATTCCAAACCGAAGGCGACCGTATCCTCTACGACCCAGTCTTGGCATATGCTCTCGACCAGCAACTCATGGGCCGCTTCTCGAACGAAACTCCCACGGCACCTGTCTACCTCTTTCACGCAACCTCGGACGAAATCATCCCATACGCCAACGCCTCGACGCTCTACAACGAGTGGTGCGGCTACGGTGCGAGCGTCGACTTCGTCACCTACGCCAACGGCGGCCACGCCACGACGGAGGTTCTGGGTTTCCCCGGAGCCTTTGAATTCGTGAACAGTGCTTTTGCGGGAACCGTGGCGAGTGGCTGTTCTCAGCAGACAAAGTTGGATAGTACTTTGAACCCCATCGCCTTGGGTGCTCAGCTGGAGCCTATCCTTGTTGCGTTGTTGAATGCTTTGGCGGCGGCTGGAACGCAAGATGCGAATATCAAGGCGGACGTGAGCAACTTCGCCAAGACGATTACTTAGTGTACAAACTGTAGATACTCGAAAGTAAATAGCACGAATGTACGACTTTAGCTAAATAAAACCTTTCTGTGCCGATTGTAGAGAAACTTTGCTTGCGGAGTGTGCTGAAAATGCAGTTCGATCGATTGGCGAAATGATCGATCACATTGAATGAAACGGCATTGTTACTGAGTTGTATTCGTTTATTGGTAAGTCATAAGAGTACTGTTTTTGCAATACCTCACTGCCTTCCAAAGGATCAACCCGGTCGTGCCGAAGCTCTCCACGGGGCCCACTCCAATTGTTTCAGCTACATATATCTAAAGGCTCCATTCCTACCAACCAATCAGACAAGGTCTTCGCACAAACGAACGATCATTCAGTGAGCTGAACAACGGCAAGATGGCCGAGCGGTCTAAGGCGCCACGTTAAGGAGTTACACCCTTAATTCAATTCCGTGGTCCGAAAGGGCGTGAGTTCGAATCTCACTCTTGTGGGTCTTGCCTCGTCCTGAAAGCAGCGAAAACCATATGCTAACGATGTGGAAAGGTCAATATTCGAAATATCAGCGAATAGCTGATGCATATCTCCGTTTTTTGCGTTTTCGTCGGCCTGTGGATGTTGTACGACGTTCTTTTTATGGCGTGGTATGTTCGCACAGCGGCAATTGGGTCTGAGGATGGAGGAAATGGGTTGCGGAGGGTGATTGGTATCGATGTGAATTTTCTCCAAATTTTTGGTGCTGGAGCAAAGAGCCACGGGGAGGGGTAAGTTGCCTGAGGCAGCAAATAGGGCTGTAGGTCCGTGCAGTGCGGTTGAGCCTACAACTTCATCTATCGTGCAGTCTAGATAGTCCTTCTTAATAAACTCCCCTATCTACGCTCTTACTACTGGAGTGCTTGAAGGAACACGTGCTCGGATTAACGAAGACTGCGATTGTTCTCTAGCTCAAAGCCCCTTCCAAACAAGCGTCTTTCCAACCGCAAACTCGCCCTTCAGCGGCGTATCTGCACTCGAGTTGCCGACCAGAACAGTGTACTTGCCCGTCTCGCTGACCCAGGCATCTCTCCCCTCATGGTAGAAAGACGTCGCATACTTCTTGCTCAACTTCACCTCAACAGCCTTGCTCTCCCCAGCCTGCAAGAACACCTTGCCAAAGCCCTTCAGCTCTTTGAGCGGGCGGTTGATGGATGGAGATTGCGGGGACACGTAGACTTGCACGACTTCTGCGCCTGCGGTCTTGCCCGTATTGGTGACTTGGACAGAGACTGTGACGTCGTCTGAGTCTTCGCTAGCCTTGACGTTGAGGGATTTAATATCAAAGTTGGTGTACGACAGACCATGGCCGAACGGGAAGAGTACGTCCCTCTTCGTCTTCTCGTAGAACCGATAGCCGATGTAGACATCCTCTCCGTAGAAGACTCGGTTATCGTCGGACGTGTAGTTGAGGAAGGCCGGGTTGTCCTCGTTGCGTCTGGGGAAGCTCAAGCTGGTCTTTCCACCTGGGTTGACGTCTCCGAACACGACTTCTGCGATACCATTACCAGTCTCATTGCCGCCGTACCACGCCTGTACGATGGCCTTCGCTTTCGATGCCCAAGGCATGGTGACTGGCGTTCCTGATTGGACGACAACCGCGGTGTTAGGATTTGCTGCGAGCACCGCTTCGACGAGCTCGTCGTTGCCAGGCGGCAGATCCATGTGTGGCCGGTCGTAGCCCTCTGACTCCCAATCGCTGTTAAGACCAACGCACAAAACGACCTGATCGGATTTCTTTGCGATAGCAACAGCACGCTCGATTTCGACTTTCCGATCGAGCTTGCGGTGGAAGCCAATGCGAACGCCGCCCGCACCAAAAGCAGTGACACCCTCCTTGGTGTAGGTCAATGTTGGCAGAGAGCCAAAATCAACGTGCACGCTGTAGGACTTGCCTGCCTCGAGTTTGATGGAACCAATTTCCTCTCGCGTGCCTACGCCGAAGAAGGAATCGCCAGGATACTGCTTTGTGGCATTGTCGACGACCACCTGATCATCGACGAGCAGCTTTGCGGTACCGGCAACCGAGAGACTGAATTCATATTCAGCGGTCTCGTCTGGCGTGATTGTGCAGTCAATATCAGAATAGAACAGATGTGTCTTCAGTAATGGGTTCTTGTAGTCGAATAAAAGGATTGAGGTATCGCGAATGTGCAGCTCGTCGATTGGAGTACGATCTTGCTTCGAAGGTGGATCCAAGAAGATCTTCATATCGAGGCCAGATTGACCCTTGCTTGTCTTGGCCGCGCGGGAGAGCAGTGGTAGAAGCTTCCAACCAGGAGCACCAATCTCGTATTGAGCATCTGTCGACTTCGCCTTGATACCTTCCAATGGAGTGACGGCGTAGTATGGAAGCAGCGAAGCCGAACCACCACCGGAGTATGTCGCAAATGCGGCGTTGGGACCAATGACAGCGGTGGTTTTCTCTTTCTTGAACGGAAGAACAGTGTCGTCGTTCTTCAGGAGGACAAGACTCTGGGCAGCGATCGATCTCAGTAAGGAAGCAGTCTGTGGTGAGTCGATTGTTTTTTCCTCGACGCCTTCGGGTATCTGTAGAGGCAACACTTTTTTGATAAGCTTCAGAACTTGGGTAACTCTGGCATCCAGATGGTGCTGCAGGAGCTTCCCACATGACAAAGCTTTGCTAATCTGCTTTCCTCTGAGCGATGGTGGACCAGGCATCTCCAGGTCCAGCCCAGCTTTGATGGCTTCGGTGGTCGAATATGTGCCAAACCAGTCGGACATGACGAGGCCATCGAAACCCCATTCATCTCGCAGGATTTGCTGGATCAGTTTGGGGTTCTCGCTGCAGTGAAGACCATTCAACAGATTGTATGAACTCATGTACGCCCAGGGTCGTGCATCGCGCTGTGCAATCTGGAATGGTAGAAGGTAAACCTCCCGTAGAGCACGCTCAGATACGATGCTGTTGCTGGACATGCGTTTATCCTCGAGGTCGTTGCAGACGAGGTGTTTGATGGTCGCAGAAACGCCGGTCGATTGAATGCCGTTGACGGACGCTGCAGAGATGGTTCCGGCGAGAACTGGATCCTCAGAGAAAGACTCAAAGCCTCGTCCGCCGAGAGGGGATCGCTGCATGTTGATCGTTGGCCCAAGCAACACTGATGCACCTTTGGCAATAGCTTCATGGCCCATGAGCTCTCCGCCTTTGTGGATGAGATCGACGTCCCACGTTGCTCCCAATGCAGTGCCTGACGATAAGTAAGTTGCAAATTCACATTCAGATGGGGAAATGGTCTCACCGCATGGCAAACAAGCAGCCGGGGTACCATTGAAGAAGGCTGTTCCTCTGGCACCATTGGGCCCGTCCGTTGTTCGAATGGCCGGTATACCAAGGCGAGGTACACCAGCAAGATGCCAGAAGTCAGTTCCAGACACAAGCGAGATCTTTTCTTGCACAGTGAGTTTGGATAGAGTGTCCGCAACGTCAAAGTCTTGGTACTTGGTCCCCGCCTTGTCCGAGGCTGACGCTGATGAGCTTGTGCCTGTCATGGTGGATGGAATTGGAGAAGAAGGAGGGATGAAGAGTAGGTGAAAGAGAGAAGATCATCAACAGAGGTGAGTGAATGATAAGTAGTCGCGAGGTAGGCTTCAGGCTAAGCTGTTGACCCAGACTAGCTCACTGCCGTGCAGTCCATCCTGGCGGAGCAAGGCGCTCCGTCGTTCGAGGTTGCCAGCTGCCACGGGGCTCATATCGGTGGTATTTCCTAGTCCTGCTGCATCGCGGCGGCGAGTATCTCCCTTTCGAGCCATACCGGCTGGCATCGCATAGATTGTGAGTTTGTTGCCATGACAATGGTTCGTCCTGAGCGGATGTCGTGGGCAAAAAGGTGGAGGCTGGGCTGGGAGAGTGAGTGGGGACCGCCGGAGCGTAGGCCCGAATTGCCGGCCTCCATCTCACGGCGGCAAGTTATCCCCAGACAACACTTGTCATATCATATGAAGTTATTTTGCCATTGTCGCCTGATGAAAGAACTGATCGATAGTCGATGGCCTAAACCCTCGTTGTTTATCACACTACCATTTCTCGAAGAGAAGCACGATCGACTTTGCCATTTGGGACCTTTGGCACCGTATCAATCACGAACAGTCCCGCTGTGAGCCGCTCATGCTCTTTGACCTTCGCCTCATACGCCCTCACAACATCCTCTCTGGTCAACTTCACGCTTCTATCCAAAGCCACAAACCCTCTCAACCTTTTCTCCGAAGCTCCAGGCACCAGAATGGATGTCACACCTGCGTCAACCACACCCGGAATATTCACAAGTGCGCTTTCAAGATCCGTCGGCAGGACATACGCTCCTGCCGGTGACTTTAGGACAACGACATCTTGAATCCGATCACTGACATAAAGCCTCTCCAGCTCATCGAAGTGTCCAAAGTCGCCCGTCCGAAGCCACCCTTCGGGCAACCACATTTCTTTGGTCTTCTCCTCCTGCTTCCAATATCCCTGTGTCACGCTCGGGGCGCGAATGTATATTTCTCCCGGCTTGTACGGCTCTGTGACCTCGGCATGGCCGTCCAGCGTCATTATCTTGCCTTCAACATTCGGCAAGAGCTCTCCTACCGTACCGCACGAGGATCGGTCCAGCGGGTGACGATTGACAGCCACGCAAGTGAGCTCTGTCATACCCCAGCCCTGGATGACTCTGCAGTCCTCATGTGGCATGAAATGTTCGAATCGCTCAATCACAGATTGTCGTAGAGGAGCACCGCCGACCATGACATTGCGGATTGAGGTTATGTCGTACTTTCTCACCGCTGGATGCGACAGCATGGTAATTAACAAAGGTGGCATGAGATACCAATGCGCTGGCTTGTACTTCTCCGTATGGGCAAGCATCTTGTCGAGATCGAACTTAGGCATGATGTAATTTGGTAGCCCGCGCTTCGGACAGATTACACAGAACTGGTTCTGGCCGACAACGTGATAAAAGGGTACCCAAGAAAGCCAAAGGACCGGATGGCCACGCTCAAAAGACCATGGATCTTCTTCTTGGTGCTTGAGATACTGGACAGCGTTGGCGAGAATGTTACCGTGCGTTACGACTGCGCCTTTTGAAAAGCCCGTCGATCCGGAAGTGTAGTTGATGGCTGCAATCTGATCCGGAGACGAGGCGTACGGAGTCCAATCGAAGGGCTCGCCTTCAAATGCCAACAGTTCTCGCCATGGTCGAACACCAGCTGCATCTTCCACGTCACCGGGGACTTCGTTCGTTAAGAAGATATCTTCGCCATCGAACAGGATCACTTCGTCCACTCGCCCAAGCGTATTTGCGACATTCTTGGCTTTTTCAATGGCTTCTGCAGAAGCAATGATATGCTTGGGTTCAAGTCCATCGGCCATCCGCTGGAGGGCAGACTCCGGCAGAGCAGGACTGCAGCCAGAGAGACTTCCACCGGCCATAAGAACACCCATGAATACAACAGGCCAAGCGACATCGTTGCCAGCAATGAACAAGACCCTATCGCCGTTTTCGAGACCGTCACGCCGAAGGCCGGCCGCCAATCTCTGAGACCATCGTCGGTACGATTGCAACGTCAGGTATCTATCTTCCGGCCGCTCAGCATCTAGGATGATGGGCTCATCCGGGAGAGACGCGGTGGGCGATGATCCGAAAACAAAGGATGGCACGCTCGTGTGCGGGACAGGGACTGTTTTCTTGGAATGTAGAGGCATTTCTTCCGTGGAAAAGCGGTGGATGTTGCTCACGAGACCGAAGCTGGGCCCAGAGGTCGTGTTGTTCAGGTGCAGACTATCATCCATCCGTGTGGTATGAACCCGCTCTCAGCCTCCACGCAAGAGCGCGCAGTTCCTGCCGCTCACGGGTCAGTCCTTGATCCGGTATCCGCTGATTGTCGGTGCATCACGTCAGAGTACACAGCGCGGCCATATCAGCGTGCATGTTATGTTTGACGTCTGCTAATGATTGCTTCACTGCTTGCCGGCAGCAATAGTGAGCTGGTGATAGCGGAGGAGGAGTGAACTGCAATTCTCGGCAACCGCAGAGTCCAACTGCTGGTCTTCTTTGCATACCAGGACATGCTTTATGGCATCTTCACACGCCTGAACCTTTCTTTACCGACAAGTCATGACTGAGCCAATGTGCGGAAGAGAGAGTGTGTGTGCGGAGGGTGTGTGTCTCTTGCGTACATGTGAGAACGTTGGTGGCGTCTGGGACGTTGCCAAGCAAAACATCCCGTCGTCGCCATCACGGTTGCACAACTCGGCAGCCTCCTTCTTCCAACCTCACTTCCTCGTTAGCACAACCTCGTCAAAGAGCTCAGACTACCACGGGCATCTCTTGAAAGGCAAGAGATGCAACGCGACAGGTTCCGAACACTGCCGAATCACCACGTCACGCTGGCCACACGCTGTCAAAAACATTGACAGCTATGATCAGACTTGACATTCAGCTCGCCAGAATGTGCGGCAGATGAGCTGATGGCTGAGTATGATTGGCCTTTTTCTACCTTCCGCTGGCAAAGTCATGCGGTAGGTACGATGACTGTGATATTCACGTAAGCCCAAACAAACCCTGCTGGACCACCTTGCTTCTTCAGACAATCTCAGAAAACGAAGCAGAGCGGCGGCGAAGCAATGAAAGGATCGTATACGCGGAAGCAATTTACGAGTGTCCCGCACCTCGAGAGGATCCGTGTTCGGCGCAACGTTTTACAACACAGCCAGCCCTATCGCCGTCGAATGTGCCCTGGGAAGATACGTTCCTGGACTTACGCTTACAGCCGCGGTTATGAAATGCCTAGAGCAAAAGTAGGTACCTATCACAGCCATCGCTAACCCAGCTTACGCGTGAGCCTTGCCGGTGTCCAACGTGGTCGAAGGATCCGACGATGCGAGAGCGATGACGGCGCCAGGACTTTTCGCGAGCTGGACAACGAATGTCATATTTGCTGCGAAGGTCGCAACGAGGGAATTTCTACCTCTACGGCTGAACAACAACTCATAACGCGAAACAGTTTGGCAACGATGCCACCGCCATACCGTGTCGACCATGTTGGGTCTCTGGTCCGTCCAGAGTACCTCATTACTGCTCGCAATGCCCTTCGACCGTCAGTTGACACCATGGCCATTGAGGAGGGGACGCCTGAGCAGCAAGAAGCTCTGAAAAAGGCAACCGATCAGAGCATCCAAGAAGTCGTTCAACAGCAACTGCAGCACGGCATCACACCCATTACCACGGGCGAGTTCGAGCGCTCGGTGTTCTGGGACGACTTTTACGAAGCACTCTCTGGCTTCGATGTATCTTTCATCAGATTCGACACTGGCAAATGGCGAGAAGGGTTCCCCATCAACGAAGCCTTCAAACGCCTCGGTGGTGAGGGACGCATGGGCAAAATTGCTGTTTCGAAGATCCAACGTACAAAATCCGCGTATATGGACAGCTGGCGGTTGCTGAGGAAATATTTACCAAAGGAGCATTGGGGTCTCGTCAAGCAGACCTGTCTCTCCCCGACTTGGTGGCACGAAATGTTGCAGACGCCGTTCACACCCGAATCAGGGTACAGGAACGATGATGAATACCTGAACGATATCGCCGATGCTCTCCATGATGAAGTCCTCGAACTCTATGAAGCTGGCATCAGAAACTTCCAGATCGACGACCCGCTCATCTCAATGCTCTATACAGATGGCTGGGAGCAAGCGATGAAAGCCAATGGCACCGACCGAGAAGCCCTTGTATGCTTGTACGTACAGACACACAACCGCTTCCTAAAAGGCCTCCCAGAAGACTTGACGGTATGCCACCATATGTGTCGAGGCAATATCCCCGGCTCCCCAACACTCCCTGGCGACTACAACCACCTCTTGCAACGCCTCTTCCTAGAAACAAATTACAAACTCTTCGCCGTCGAATGGGATGACCCCGCCCACGGAGACTTCACTCCCCTCCAGCACTTGCCAAAGGACAAATCCGTTCTGCTCGGTCTCATCACAACAAAAGAAGCAACCCTCGAAGATCCAGCTTTTATCAAGCAGCGACTTCTCTCAGCGGGAGACGTTATCGCGAAGGCGAGAGGGTGCAGTCAGAAAGAGGCACTGGATGCGCTGGGGATCACGACGCAGTGTGGTTTTGGCACTATGAGTGATCGTCCGGGTGTTGGGATGACGATCGAGAGGCAGTGGGAGAAGTGTGAGTTGATGCAGAGGGTAGCGGAGGAGGTCTGGCCGGGGTGGAAGAAAGAGTTTGGTATCCCCACTGCTCGACTGTGAGAACAGACCTGTGTATCTGTTAACCTGAGCTTTATGTAATTGCTTGGTTTCAGAAATGTTAGTGATCCCACAATCGTTCTATGCTCGTCCAGAATTGCCACGACTTCTTTTTTCAATTCTCCGCCTGCTTCTTCGGGACATCGCTAGCGAGTTCTCCTTTTGACAACAACATCTCTTGATGCCAATCACTGACAATGCTTTCCAACAAGTCTCGAGCACAGCTCGATATCATGGCGTGCTTCTGAAGAACGTCATTTTTGATCACTCGTCACTTGAGATCATCGAAAAGATGGCGACCAAAAACACCACAACCCCAAAGCCAACCTCGCCATCCCAACCGCCATGGGCATCCCATCTCGCCATCTTCCTCGGCCTCTTAATCTTCCGCATCGTCAACGCCCACTTCGTACAGACCTTCTTCCAACCAGATGAATACTTCCAAGCCCTCGAGCCGGCGTGGCAAATGGCTTTTGGGCCGGAGAGTGGCGCTTGGATCACTTGGGTATGTACCCTTACTATTCGCTCCACTTCACAGATGACTCATGGTGATTGTGCAGGAATGGCGAGAGCGTCTGAGGACGTCGGTGCATCCGATGTTGTTTGCGGCGGCGTACAGGGCCGCGGACCACATTTGCCGATTTCTCCAAGTCAGTCCATACGTTCGAGCGAACGCCTTGGGAGCTGCACCACGGATCTTGCAGGCCTTCTTCGCCGCTTCGATGGACTACATGACCTGGCAAGTGGGCGCCAAAGTATATGGACGAGGCCATGCGGCGTCTTACGCCACACTCTTCTTGACAATCACAAGCCCCTGGCAATGGTTCTGCTCCGTCCGGACGTTCTCGAACTCACTAGAGGCGACATTGACAGCTGCCTCGCTATACTACTTTCCCTGGACATGGTTTTTGCAACCGGATAAGGAGGATAAGAAGCCGTTGTCACTTGCTGGACTTGCGACTTTCACGTTCGACAACATTGATTTGCATACGATCAGGTACATGGTGTCCGTTGTGCCTGCTGGACTGTATCCTGCGCTGGCGGCCGCTGCTATGGCGTTTTACATCCGGCCGACGAATGTTATAATCTGGGTTGCGATCAGTGCTGGATTGGTGGGATGTAATCGAAACTATCGCAAAGCTGGAATGCTGGTTTCTGCAGCTGCAATTGTGGGTGTTTCTGTCGTTGTAGTGTTTGCTTGCGCGGATTACTTCTACTATGGCGACTGGACTTTTCCGCCTTTCAGATTCTTGTACTTGAACCTGATCCAGTCGCTGGCTGTGTTCTACGGCAGAAACAGGATCGACTACTACTTCACCGAGGGACTACCGTTGCTACTCACTACAGCACTACCGTTCGCTGGCTTGGGCGTTTGGCAGAGCTTGCGATCGGAATATATCGCCACCACTAAAGAGTACGTGGAGCGGCAGACGAGATTTGTTTTCGCACTCGCTGCGACAGTCACAGTCCTGACATTCTCAGCAATTGCACACAAGGAGATGCGCTTCGTCTACCCTTTGCTACCGATGCTGCTCGTTCTCGCAGCAGGACCTCTCGCTGCGTTCTTACATCCTTTCCCGATTCCGAGGTCGAAGCTCCGACAATTGGTCTTGACGCTCATGCTCACGTCCAACATATACATCGCAGGCTATGTCAGTACAACACATCAGCGGGGTGTCATCGATGTCATGCACTTCTTGCGACACAGGCAAGAGCCGTGGCTTGATGCTGCAGCGGAGGACGGTCTGGCTCCGGTCATGAGTCCCAACGTCATTGTCGGCTTCCTGATGCCATGTCATAGCACACCTTGGCGAAGCCACTTTTTCTACCCTGAGATCGAGGCATGGGCACTCACTTGCGAACCGCCAATCAATATGAATGCAGAAGAGCGAGAGTCGTATCTGGACGAAGCGGATGTGTTCTACGACGACCCCACACTCTGGCTCGAGTCGAATATGGTGGATATGAGATGGGTCTCCGCGGATCAAGACGCAGATGAACAGCGGCTTGAAGGTTCTGGACTGCGTGAATGGCCGCAGTATTTGGTGTTCTTCGAGCAGCTGGAGCCGTCGCTGAAAGCTATACTGGCCAACACTAGATACAAGGAGTGTCGCAGATTCTTCAACACGCACTGGATCGATGACTGGAGGAGGAAAGGAGACGTGGTGGTGTGGTGTCAGCGGAGATGAAGGGAAGGGGACGAGAGTTTGATGGGCGCGGGATGTTGTTGGTTGTTCCTGCTGTTTGAAGTGCGGGGGCGCTTTCCCCCACCCGGGCTTTCCCACCTCCGCTTTCCGTTTGTCCTCCATCCTTCTCTTCCTCTCTCACACGACCAACAGCAGAACAACACCGCCAGCGAGGCTGACCAAGCGTCGAATATGGAGGCAAACGACGAAATGGACACGACCCAAGAAGCCGCAGCAGATCCCGCACCACCCGCAGCAGAGCAAAATGGAAGCCCCGCCGGTGCGAGCGAAGGCCGCTACGCCTGCGAGCACTGCAACAAATCCTTCGGCCGCCGCGAACATTACAAGCGCCATCAGAACATCCACACTGGAGCGAAACCATTCCCATGCCCCCTCTGCCCCCGAGCCTTCCCCCGAAAGGACACCCTCCAGCGACATGTTCTGATGCACGGCAAAGCGGGGCCGGAGGCGCTCCCGGCCAAAATCCGTCTCAGGACTTCTCGCGCCTGCTGGCCGTGTGCCAAGTCCAAGATGCGCTGCGACGGCGAGGAACCTTGCAGTCGATGCCAGAGTCGAGGCGTTAGGTGTGGACGGCGGCCGACCTCGTCTGGATCTGATGATGTCGATGCTCTTATGCAGTCGTCGTCGGGACTGTTCGGTCGCGGTGAGGGAAGCGAGGAGTATGGGCCTAGCCTTTCTCGCTTGCTCCAAGGGGCCGCCGATACTTCGGACACCCCTCAATGGACGCCTTCAAATGGGGACGCCATACTTGCGAACGCAGCACGACAAGCGCCGAAGAGAAACAACGAGATGACTGCCATTGGAGCAGAGAATCCGAAGCTTGTCCCTGAGCTCCAACCGGCAACATACGTCCGAATGCGTCAATTCTGGGAGAGCCCAGGCTCTGGCCTACCGAGACTGTCAAGCATACCCACCGTGGAGGCGATGAACGTCTTCATTCAGCTGTACTTCGAGCATTTCCATGCGCAGTTTCCGGTTCTACACATGTCGACTTTCCAGCCCAGGGAGGATGTCTGGATGTTGGTCCTCGCTGTGGCGGCGATTGGCGCGGAGTATTCTAGTCACTGCACGCAGGAGCTCATGGAATGGTTTGAGCAGGTCGCAAGGAAGGCAGTCTCACACATTGTAAGTCGACGCTGATACACTCGTGTCCAGACACCGCTAACGAGATGCAGATTGCCTACGAAGCAAACCGACCGAACATACCCATTTGCCAAAGCGTGCTTCTCTTCTCGATGCTTCTGTTACCTTCCGGTTCCGAGGACCATGCTCTATTCCTCCAGCACCACGCGTCGCTTTTGGCCACACTCAGCCGCAACCTGATCGCTCGTCGCATTGCGGACGACTCTCATACCGATGGTCCTGAGGTATACTTGATGAGGTGGACCTACTTCGCCGACATTGAGCAGGAGCGGAGATTCATCAACTTCTCTTGGTTCTTCGAGTGTATACAGTACCTCGCTTCCGGCGTGCCTCCTGTCTTGGCCGCGCAAGAGCTTACGCGAACCTTGCCATGCGACGAGCAATTCTGGTTTTGCGCTTCTGAGACGGAATGGCTTGACAAGTACCAGACTGCTGCGCCTAAGAAGCAAAGCCTGGCTGCAGTCATAGCACAACCGCTGACGAGTGAGATTGTCGAAGAGCTGGGCAACTCGGCGTTGACCACTACTTTCCTCACACTGCTGGTCGAACGAAAACGAGTCAAGGAAGCTGTCAACATCTGGTACCAGTCACGCCTTGAAAACACGACCGAAGCTGATACTGCAGCTTTCGCTCAAGCCATCGACGCTGACATGGAGTGCGTTGAGGAAGAGTTTCAGAAACGCAGCACCCACGGTCGGACTCGGTCATACCTCTACCTGGCTTCGATCTTGAAAATCGCCCCGCTCGATCTCCTTCGCCATGCAGTGGGCATCGCAGCGCCTCAGGGAATGAGCGGCAAGGCGAAGAAAGAGCTCACATCTATCTTCAAAGCGCAACCTACCGCATCTCGAACAGCCCTGGTGTATGCGGCCGAACTGTTCAGCGAGATGCGAACCGCCAAGATCATCACCCGCTACGACGTCCGCATCCTCGTTCCAGCGGCACTATACATCTCGAACTGGATCTCTCTGGCGCCCGGAAAGCGTCAGGGTCGTGACGATGTCGACGCTGTAAGAATCGACGAGGGTATTGGATCGACTGCCGTGCAGAACTGGGTGTCGGTTGGTTCTGGTGGGAAAGTTCAAGTCGATGGTATTGGGATTCTCGAGGGATCACAAGCTGCGATGCGGGCGCTTGATGGAGCTGCCAGGTTGTTGCAGGCGAAGGCACAGACGAGTTTGCTGGGGAGAAGTATGGAAGTTAATTTGGTGAATGCTGCTAATGGGAGGGAGGAATGAGCATGCCTTTTCGTGAGGTCGTCTAAATCGAGGGATGTTGGAGGGCATTCGCTCAAACATTGGTCAGAAGGACAAAACCGTCATCGCTGATCATTGCAGGCCAATCCATTGCTTTCAATGGTTAGTCCTGTATGGCCTCCCACTACTTCTCTCAATTAGTGCTTGACCTCAACGTACGACTAATTCTCGCCGCGATTGAGTGAGAGAAAGAGTTGGCGTTGGAGCTTCAGCAGAGTCTTGCATACTGTGAGCGGAGACGAGAAGCAAGTAATCACTGTCAGTGGCGCGGCACATCACAGAAGTACAACCGCTTTCCTCGCAGACATGCCTTTCATCACAACATCGACGCCTTCCTGCACACTCTCCAATCCCTTTCCCACGACTAACGGCTCAGGAGCAGCCAGATAGCTGCCACTATTCAGCGCATCGAACAGGAATCCGCCATAAATCTTCTCCGCAACATCCGACTGTCCAAAATGCGCCCCGTCCACGAAGTGAACCTCAACACCCTCTATCGTAGCTTCGTTCGGTGGCTTCGACGTAATAACTTTCCGTACTCCATCGACGTCCTCCATGGCCTTCGCTGTCATCTCAGTGGCTTCTCCGCCGATACAGTCCAGCGCTCCCACAACCTTCTTCCCCTTCAGCATCCTCGCCACATCCTCCACTGCACTCGCAGCCTTGTAATCGACCACGCCGCTCGCCCCCAAACTCTTCACATACGCGAAGTTCCGCTCCGAAGCCGTGACGACAACCTCGTAACCGGCTGCCACAGCCAGCTGAATGGCATTACTCCCCACACTCGACGCCCCGCCCCAAACAAGCACCGTCTCCTTCTCCCCAGCGTGAGCTCCATGACCAGGCAATCGCAGCCCCAAATAAGGCTCCTCCTTGAAGAATGCACTCGCCGCACAAGACAACCCACACGGCAACACCACCGCCTGCTCAAACCCCATCGCATCCGGAATCCTACTCGCCACATTCTCGCCCAGAACAACATACTCCTGAAACCCGCCCTCCGCGGTGATTCCATTCAACATCCCCCCAGCGGTCCCGATCACCCGGTCGCCTTTCTTCAGGCGGGAGACCGCATCGCCGACTTCGATGACTTCGCCCGCGACGTCGACGCCGAGGATCGTCGGGTATTGTAGGGGGAGGAAGGCGTAGGTTTGGAGGAGGCCGTCAATGGGTTGGATGGCGAGGGCGTGAGTTTTGATGAGGATTTGGTTAGGGGAGGGGTTTCCGATGGGGCTTTCTTTTAGAGTGAGGGGGCGGGCTTTGGGGGTGGGGAGCCAGGCTGCTTTGTTTGTGGACATCTTTTTGCTTTTGAGGCGGTTGAATGGGGAAGTGAAAGGGTTGATTTCCTTGCTTTTCTGTGAAGGAGGTGGTGAGGTGTTTATTGCTACACTTCGATTTCTTACGAAGCCCTTTTGTATTTATACAAATGTGCCTAGTATAGTTTATCCTGCCTCATCGCCGGCGTCGGTCTTCGATCCCTTCCTCTAAATCCGTCGATGCTTGCTCAAGACTAACCAAAATCAGTCGACTTCTTACAGCCTCGCCGCTCGCGACTGCCAATTCCAGTTAGCGTTCCGCGACTTCGGTTTCGTCAGCAACGTGGCTGCTTCGCACGTTCTTCCATCTCATAAGCATCAAGACCATCTACAATCATCCCTCGCAATAGTATGCCAGGTCCAGAATCCCACGGCTGGCGGATCTGATTAATCCCGGGCTCAGCAGGCGATGGGTTCTCGTGCACTTGATTGACGTTTGGCAACGCACTGGATCAGGAGGCTGGTAGAGGGATCGCAACATTGGCCAGATCTCATCATCATGGTCTACCACGGGCCTTCGAAAGGATGTCTGACCTGCCAGAGTCGGCGAAAGAAGGTGAGCGTCACAAAGTCTTGAAGACCTTCCGATTCGCATCGAAAGTGGCTGACCAGTGTTTCGAGCCTTAAGTGTGACGGGACTAAGCCAGTGAGTTTTCACCGATCAGTCAGGCACGACATGGAATTATCCGCTGCGAAGCCGTTCTATTATAATGGGGCGCTCCTGCATATTGGTCCAATGATCTGCAGCACAAAGCCAACTAAACTGCTTGCTGACTGTCTCGTCTCTCCCGCAGACCTGTCAACGATGCCAAAAGTCCAAACGAGCCTGTAGCGGCTATCTCGAACACCCTAGCGAAACTTTCTTTCTCTCCCCGTTCACGCCCGCCTTCCCCTCTTCCTCCCTCGCCCGGAAGTGCACCCTCCCGGTAGCCACAGACGCCCAACTCCAAGAGGATGTGATCCCCCGCGAAGCGACCGATACGATAATCGACGAGGTCGCCCTTCGATCTTTCGTGTATGAGTTCTGTCTCCCAGCAGCAGAGGGCATTGGCCCTGGGGGATTTCTTGCTGGGTTGGAGGCGATCTTGCTCCGGCAACCGCTGGATTCGATCCTTGTGAGAGCTTGCCAGGCTCTCTCACATGGACTTACCGGGCGGCAGAAGAATCGGGCGTTGGTCACGAAGAGAGGGCAGTGGCGTTATGAGCAAGTGGTCAGTAGGTTCGCCAGAGAGATTGCTGGGCCGGGGTTCGCATTTACTGTCGAGGCAGTGCTGACAGCGATGCTGTTGGGGCTTTATGAGGTAAAGTTGGACATTGGTTGTTGATGACCGGGACTGAAAAGATCACAGGTTGTGGTTGCTGATGGCAAGTCGACGAGCACCCTCCACGATCATGTGCAGGGAATGATGGCTATCCTTCACCCTAGCAAAGCGCCCCGCGATATTGCTAGTCTTCTACGACTTGGCGCAACTGGACAGCACAGAACTGACTCCACGACTGAGCTCCTGGACGTCGCCAGCTCTGTCGAGGCGTTGCGTCTCCGACTAAACCATGTTCGCCTCGCTGGATCCTCGTCGGCTGAGCAGCTGCTTCTCATCCGAGAAGGAGCAATGTCCTTGAGCCAGGGATTGCAGACCTGGCAAAGCCGCCAGCCCGAGCTATACAGACCTAGAAGCATAGGCCAAATCTCGCCATCCTCACTCCTTTGCAGTGACGATCCCCCTATAGGTCTCTGGCCAGGCTCAGTCGACACCTACTTTGACCTGGCTGTGGCAGAAGCCTGGAACACCTATCGCGTGGCGCAATGTACGCTGGTCGTTCTCCTCGCGGAACTGACAAGATCAAGACTTGATGTACGTGGTCTCTCAGAAGGCAAAGGACTACAGCCGTCGCTGTTTGGAATGGCTTGGAGAACATATGGGCATTGGCCAAGCCGAAGTCGTTGCAAAGGTAAGTATTCATCAACTTGTGCTGCGAGATTGACGCTGATTATATCTCCTTTCAGAGTCAGGACTATGGATCGACGTCGCAGGACTTGGAAGATGTTCGCATGCTCGTCACTATAGGGCTACTCATATGAGCTTATGTCTACTCAACAAGTCTCGGCTCCACCCTCAAGTATAGCGAGTTGCCAAACAACGACTGCGACCTGTTCTGTCTTACCTCATCGAATGCCTGTTATTCGCACTCCTCTGTATGGATCAAAATTCTCGACTCCAGTTGACGATTCAACACCCTCCAGTGCATGCCATGTTGCTTGAATGGCATAGCAATCGACGGCTCAAACTTTATCCGATCGGCCAGCTTATCAACACGGCTTCACTCTTACCTATCGCGGTGTCACAGCGCTATGCTATATCCAGCCTCCAAAACGCAGCCAAGCCTCATGGCATGCAGCACCGGATCCATCGGTGGCCAACATAGGCAGCTACTACTAAACTCTTCATCCTGCGGCATACTGCCTGGCCTATCTCGACTGTGCCTCAATATAACCTACTCTTGCCTTTGTTCAACATGAGATGCCAGAGAACTCCACGTCAAGCTCTTGAGTCGGTCGGCGAGGATGAAGTTGGTCGGAGCGGTCTTGTTTGGTGGTCTTCTTCAAGCTGCTGAAGGGCTCCAGTCGCTTCGCAGAACCGCACAAGGCGAGACCATCTTCGAACTCGGCAATGCTACTTACTTCGCCAACACCGTTCATCCAGCCACTGTGTTGAATGTGGGAATCAGCGGTCTTAGCTGGGATGGCCCGATCACTGTTCTTCATACGAATGTCTCGAACATCACAGCCGCCGTTCTCGAGGACATCTTCAAAAGTTACAGCGATGGCGACGATGTCTTCTCGATGGCTTTCACTTCAGCTGTCCTCCTGAAAACTCCTGGCACGGCGGCCGTCCATCCTGCGGCGGTAGATTATCTGTCGAAGATCAAGACGACGCATCTCATGGCAGCCGGCGGGTGTGCGGTGCCATCTCACCAGGCAGTGAAGAACATGGCATTCAACGGGTCGCTGGATCTGCCTCCTGGTCCCTACTTTGCCAGTTTCAAGGCCGGCTCGGTCACGATCTCCAAAGTCTATCGTCTATACGAAGACACGCATCGTGACTTCCTGTACGGTGCCTACGCCATGGATGATGGAACCGGCCGATTTGCCTCGCTCGGCGTATCAATGCCACAATTCGGATACCCGGCCATCCCGGTGCCCTCACGGATATACTCTTGGAACGACGCCCGGCCCTTCGCAGGGTATCGAGTGGCAATTAAAGATTTGTTCGACATGAAGGGGCTTGTAACAACTGGAGGTTCCCAGGCTTGGGCACTAGTCAATCCAGTTGCCAACGCTACGGCGCCTTCGATTCAAAGGATCCTGGATCTTGGGGGTGTGCTGGTCGGAAAGTACAAGCTCGCTCAATTTGCCTCTGGTGCAAATCCTTGGGATTGGCAGGATGAGTACGTCGGCGCTGTAAGATTGTGTGGCATTTGCTGACATTGTGCAGACACTATCCCTTCAATCCCCGTGGAGATGGATGGCTGACATGCTCAGCCTCGTCATCTGGAGGAGGTTGCTCCATCGCTGCTTATGGCTGGTTGGATTATGCCATCGGAAGTGACACCGGTTCCTCGATGCGAAGACCAGCTGCTGTTTCTGGGACATACGGCCAGCGGCCTAGTCAGGGTATGATTTCTCTAGAGCGTGTCTTGCCCCTCGGTGGTGCGACGGATACGGCTGGAGTCTTCTCTCGAGATCCTTACAAATGGATCCATTTCTCTAAGCACTGGTATACGCCCAGCTTGCACCAAAGCTCGAACATCACTGGCCTGTCTCCGTTGGTGGTTCCGGACACGAATGCATTCCCGAAGACGATTCTGTATCCTGTCGATTACCTACCGCTTAACAATTCCGCCGCTGAGCCTATTCTAGACGCATTCATTGGCAACATGTCTTCGCTGTTTGGAATGCAAGTGAAGCGTTTCAACTTCAGCGAGACTGTAGCGAATGCTTCCGACCTAGCTGTCGCGAATCTGACGCGACTCAACAATGGGCCGCTCAATATCATCAACTCTCGCACGCAATGGGTCGAAGTCGCCAACCCATTGATTGATCGATGGGCCGAGCTCTTCGATGGCCGCTTCCCACCCGTTGATTCTGCCCGGCGAGAAGGCTGGCATGAGTATAATGAGACCGAAAACTCCCTGGAAGCATACAACGAGGCCCTCAGACAGAAGAATGCTGCTGTGCAATGGTACGAGACCAACCTACAATACTCCACGCCAGACTCATGCTCGGAGTCTGTCATGTTATATGATATTGGTACAGGCGGTCTGCCCTCCTACCGAGAAGAGGAGCTCAACAATAATGCCAACGCTTCTTTCTTGGCTGTCAGGCCTCCCGGTGCGACCATCACCGGTGCGAGCATTTGCCCGTTGTATGGATGTGCTGATTTCACGATACCGATCGGTCAGGTTCCATACTGGAGTCAAGTCACGTACCACTATGAGATGGTACCAATCACTATCAACATGGTCGTGAAAAGGGGGTGTGACTTCGTTCTGTACAACATGATTGAGAAGTTGGCAGATGCGGGTGTATTGACGAGCGTCAAGACGGGCAGGACAGCCTTCTAACGACAGTACACTACTACCGCAGCAATACCAATGAACAAAGATCTCAATCTTCATCAACTCCAACAGCCTTACAACTCAGCTTCCACAGCTTGTCTTCACCGTCCTCATCATAGGCATGTGGCGAATACGCCTCATGATTACTACCAGCAGTTCCCGCCTCTCCAACATCTGCCAAATACCTCCCTCCATTCGCCACATCCTCAAAGTGCGGACTCACCGCCGCCCAAACCGTAGTCGCCGCACCCTGTTCAAGAGACTTGATTCTTGATTGGTTCCTTGCTATCAGGTCATCAATCTGCTTCTGTGACATATGCCTCCCCAAGTCCGTCGCTATCACACCAGGATGGACGGACAAGCCGGTGAGACCCTCAGCGCCGTACTTTCGGGTCAAAGCATTCGCCATCCAGATATTCGCGGTTTTGCTTTGGCCATAGCCTAAGTAGAGATCATATTCTCGATGCTCGAAAATGATGTCATCGACATGGACGGCCGATCTTCTGTGTGCTGCGGAGGAGATGTTGATGACCCTCGACGTCGACCCGCATTCTTTGGCGCCGGCGAGGAGCAGTGGCTTGAGTTCTTGGAAGAGGAGGAAGTGTGAGAAGTGGTTTGTTCCGATTCCCAGCTCGAAACCATCCACAGTCTTGGAGTAGGGGATGAAGGCAATTCCGGCGTTGTTGATGAGGATGTTAAGGCTGGAGACTTTGGATTTTATGACTTTCGCAGCGTCTCGAACAGATTGGAGGTTGTCGAGGTGAGCTTCTATGGCTTCTGGTCGAGGGAATTTCTTGTCTTTCGAAGGAGAGTTGTGCACGATATCGTCGATGACTTTTTCGACTTTAGGCATGTCTCGAGCTGTGATTAGGACTTTTGCTCCGGTCTCGTAGAAAGCTGCTGCGGTGGTCACGCCTATGCCGGAAGAACCTCCGGTGATGAGGACGGTCTTGTTGGTGAGCTTGCCGAGGAGATCATTGTCTTCGATGATTTGCAGGGCTGTGGGACGAGCATCTCCCGGACCGGCTGGGGTTTGATGGACGTCAGCGTAAGGCTGGTAAGGGACTTTTGGCGGTGGCATTTTTAGATCTGTTAGATGGAGTGTCTGGTGAGACGAGTAAATTCGGTGCTCTTATATGTATACTGCCTGACCAATGTTTTGGTATATCGTCTATACAGTAAGACGTCGTGCTCGACATCGCTAAGGAGAGGATGAAAGATTGACCGATTCTGTGTAAAGTCCGTTTAACGCCTCAGTTCCTAGAAAACATTGCGAAGCTGCGTCTGAAGTGCTCCGAAGGTCGGCCAGCTCTGTGTTACATGGGATCTGCTTGTAGCTTTGAGTACGTACGTAAATAAAGAGCATCGCACACTCGCAAATTAGTGGAAAAGGTGTTTCTTTACTCGGCCGATATCTTGCATTTCGATGTCGAATGCGAAATGTTTGCTGCGATTGGTTCCGATGGGTGAGCAAAAGAGCGACTCGAATCCGAAAAGAAGTTTCACTGAAGACATCGAAATGCGTAAGTGCAGAGAGCATCGATGTCTAACACTTTCAACGCTCGCATTGGATATCTTCCATGAACAACAACTCCATACTTGCAGAAAGACCTGCCACTCAACGTTTGCGTCGTCATCTCATTTCGCTTGTTAGGAGCTGTCTGAGACCAAGGTCGTGACTGCAGCAACTCGGGGGTCATCTTCCGAAGAACGTTGCTTCATGGTTTGTTGCGAAGACAACTACTTTGTGAGTATTTCTGAGGGCGGAGCGACGATGACTTACTTCTTTTGCAACCCATCGTATAAGGCTCACAGGGTCCTGTCACAGCGTCTTCGATTGCTGCAGGCGTATGTCGTGAGATACTGAAGTACGCGGCTCAAATTTGGATCGTGATGAAGACCAAGCTTCACAGCCTGATTCCGCTGGTACAGCCGTTTGGTACCGAACTTTGAGAGGATGTTTCTGGCTTTTCTGGGGACATCGAAATGAGTTTCACAACAAGAGACACTGGAAATGAAGAGTGGCCACTTGGAATCTCACGTTCAGGAATTGTTTCTTATAATTGGGAGTTGTGGTATGTTCATAATTTTGTTTGCACATTTCCGGTCTCTGGATGGAAGATAGTATTGCACTTCAACATTGAATCATCACAGCAATCGACAATGTCATGATACAGCCAGAATTGAGAGTTCAGCGAGGTTGTATAACTACATTACTGTGGGATTGGACGCTTGACCTGTTGCTCCGCCAGAGACGTTCGTCTGGTGAATTGGAGTTCTCCTGTGTACCGCAACGAGCTTCAACGGGTTCCACAGGTTTGCATAAGTTCGCAGCGAGTTTGCATGGCTCCCACCGTTATGCACCACGCTTCAAGCCAACTTCTCGAAACAGCCCCGCAACAGCACGTTCAAATGTTGTTTTGGACGCGGTTCTCAATTCCCTCCGCTCTTTATTGAAGCAATATATCCTGCTCTGCCTTTCCGAGGCTGTTCCTCCCTTCACCAACCTTCATTCGCTCTCACGACGCCACGCTCCCACGATCCTTCTCAACCCCGAGCTTCGCTACAAAGATGCGTACATTCGCTATCATCCTGGCATCCGTGCCAGCCCTTGTGCTCGGCCAAGCTGACAGCTTTGGACTCGGGTCTCCAACTACGCTCGCTACTCTTACAAGCCCACCTTCGGTGCCTGCCATTCCCAGCATCACAGGCTTCAAGGTTCTTCGTCGGACGGAAGCCACACCATGCCCAACAACCACGACTGCTGCAGGTCTACTTGACGTTCTCCGCCGAGAGGAAGACAGTGCGGAAGGTTCAGAAGGCGCTCCATCCACGCAAGTCGAAGCACCACCGTCCAACAACACCGTCGAGAGCAGCCCTGCGGAGCCCAAGAAAAACACCAGCTCTTCCCCAGCCGATAGTGGCATGCTGTCGAACCTTCCTATCCCACTTGTTGGCAACCGCGACCTTGGCCTTCCCAGCCTGGGTGGTGTCCTCGGTGGCTCGACGTCGTCCAAAGCTGCATCCACGACAACTAGACCCGCCGACACCGCGATCACACCAGCGGCGAATCAGACCGTGCCGCCTCCAGGAGCAAACAATGGCACCGCCCACAACGGCACCATTGCTGCCAACGTGACGTCGAGCTCCACTTCGTACCCATCCCCGAAGGTCACAAAAACCGACTTCCCCTTCGACTCTGCCGCAGTCAACGGAGGTAAGTGCTCAAACGCAATGACTGAGTTGCCACGTAGCTGATCAATCTAGCTCCGTCCACATCTGCAGCAGAGCCGTCTCAGACTGTGGCTGCCCGCGATCTTCTAAGTGCGCTTAACTTGACCGACAGTTCCTCCGACAGCTCTACTTCTTCGAACTCAACATCTGGACTTGACACCAACTCGAAATATGTCTGTTCAGCAGACGTTGTTGCCTCGAACTCGACCAATGCCTCAAACGCAACTATCACTGGGACTGCATCATCCGCAAACGCTACGGATGCGCCCAAGACTGCTTACCACTGCTACTTGAGACATCCAAATGGAACGAACACCACCACAACTCAGTCGGCGACTGGCACTGGCACTACGTTCCTGACCATTACCACCCAGGCAGCCAACTTGACGAATGCCGAAGTTTCTCAAACCACAACGGACACCTTTAGCGTCACCTCCCTGGCCACCCATCCCGCTTCGACAGAGGCCTCGGCGACAACATCCTCTGGAACCATCGCCAACGATTTGTTGGCCGCCGTAACTGGTGTTCTAAGACTTTAATCACTAACGACACATCACAATAGCCACGACGATTTGCACTGGTTACATTCACGAAAGGACTCTGGGCGGATTGATTAATGAAAAGACGATGATGGTACAGTCGCCACTTTTGCGCGACATGACTCCCTTACGATTTGGCTTCTCGCGAAAACATGCGGCGATGTTATGATGACACTACTGGGCTTTGTAACGACTCATGCATATGTGGTGGATATGATGATCATGTATGAGCAGTCAGGGTTAATATACTTGCTTTCAGGTCTTGCACTTCTTTCTCATACTTCTTTCCGATGCTCATCGCTGGTGCCACTGTTCTTCTTTAAACGAGGTCAATGGTCGGCAACTCACTCATCCTCAGCTTTGCACTCCCGTATGGGACCAGCTTCGCATCGAAAGTATCTCCTAGGCATTTTCTTTGCTCCTTTGCAATGGGCCAGCCCGGCACACTGCCCATGAATAACGGCCAATCGATCAAGCAGGCTTTGACAGTCATGTACATTGGCGGCTTTCCAGGCGCGAAGATCGGAGTTGGCAGTGATGCTCGAGGGTCGCTGGCTGGGTGATAAACAATCGTCGACGGATCGATCGCCACGTTCCACTCGGTCGTGTTGAGCATCGTGTAGTCTACAGCTTGGGGCGGAGCGTAGCTAGCTGGATAGGTGGTAAGGTTGTAATAGTTCTTGGGCGGTGCTGAGGTAACGTCTACTCCAATCTCGAGGGCATAGAGCAGCTGACCTCGATACACTGCGACGGTGTCGTTTGCTCGAGGCTCGGTGCGGACTTGGGTGCCAACGCTGAATGTCAGGGACGAGTTCCCTGCCGCTACGCTGATTTTCCGGAGACCAGTCGAGGAGTCGAGTGTCGATGATGATCCGGATTGCGACGTGAGCGAGGAGTTGAGAGCCCAGGTAGGCACACGAACATAAAAGTCGAAAGCTTTGTCGGTTTGAATGTTGTATTGTAGCTCATCGTCGAAAGGGTAGTTCGTCCGGCATTCAACACTCGTCTTGCCGCCAGCGACATCAGTGATCACAGTTGCCGGGCTGAGAAGAGCATGGACAAGCCCGTTGCTACCTTTCTTCACAAATGCTGCTTGGACAAATTTTGGCAGCCCTTGAGGATGGTTCACAGTGCAGCACGGGTAGTTTGGTTCCAGTCCCTGTATAAGTCAGCGGGTGCTCACCGCAGACGTTAATAGACGTACATAGGTCTGCCCAACTGAGTTGGTATTATAGAATGGCGTGGTGGACAAGTTCTTCGAGTAAGGCTGGTTTGCCTGAGACATGTAGACATGCGCCCACCAGTCCCCAGTCATCGCCCCAGGCAAGGCATTGAAAGCAGCCAACTCTGAGCCGTCGCCGTAGAAGCTTTCACCCAGTGCTTGAAAGTTGTAGCTGTTGGAGAACATTACTTCGACTGCGGTGCCTAACATCCAGGATCATTAGCATTGATAGCACGCCTCATGGCTATGTTCTCTTACATGTCTCGGCTCCATAATATGGGTTGATGCCATCTTCTCTCTCGTCGGCGTAGATCGTACCTGAAGGAGCACCATGATATTTCATTGACCATTGAACCTAAAGCAATCAGTTCTGTTTTGATGCAGGTATACTGTTTTTCTTACACCGTCTCTCGTCGTCTGTATCAAGCTATCGTTGTGAGTGTATCTTCGGATGACGGCCGGCGCTTTGAGGCCTGCGGGTTGTCAGTCTTCATCAAATAGAGACGAAGAAACAACCTCACCTTCGCCGACATTCACCCCATGTAAGAACTGGAAGTTGTCATCAGTCACCCTCTCGGGCAAGTCGTAAAGATCGCCAAATGCGTAGGAGCTCTCTGCGAACCAGTCTTCCCTACACCGAATGGTTAGAGTTGAAGCATCAGGGCGATTTCCAGCTGCTTCTTACCACTTGTACCCAAACTTGTGCAACATCTCCATGTTCTCCCAAAGCTTCGACATCTCGCCATCTCGCGGGTGCTTCTCGTACAGCCACTGCAATGAGACAATCATTTCTGCAACACGCGATAGGAACCAGAAATAGTAGCCGTCGTCCAGCACGCCGTCTTTCTGAGGTACCACGCCAGTCCCTTTATTCTTCAACATCGAATTCATCAACGTGTTAAAACTATACATGGCATCGACGACTGGCTTCTCGTACGTGCTATTGGCGTCAACAAGATTCGTCCAAGCGAAGAAGATGAGTGTTCGAGCCCAGATCAGGCGATAACCGCCCTCCTCGCTAGTAAAATGTCAGCAAGTGTGCAATCTCTCTGCGGGAATTTGAATGTCACGATCACTCACAATCCAATCCAACCATCGGGCTGCACCATGTGCTCGAACAAGTAGTCCATTGCATCGTGAACTTGCCCTTTCAGCCTTTCATCGTCGAGTGTATATGCCAGCGGCACCAGGCCATTCAGCCAGTATGGGAAAGCCTCATTCAAGCCGCTGTACTCTTGGGTCCCACCAAGCCACTTGGCATCCTTGACATACTGATAGAAGTCGTACAAATGACCAGCGAGACCATCTGCCTCGGTCTGCATCTCAGCCAGAAGCCAGCCATTGGGTGTTATTTGACCTAAGGGAATCGATTCGTAGACAAAGGGAACCACTGGGAAACTGTCAGCACTACCGAGGTAAGAAGAGTCTGATACTCACATTGTTTTGGCCTTGAAGCACCAGTGACACAAGCGACTATGGACGCCACAGAAGCGACAGTTTCGAGTAACTTCATCCTGTCGATAAGTAGGTAGCAGCATCCAAGCAGCAGAGCGAGAAGCCAAGTCCCAACAAGCATGGCTCTTGTACTCCACAAAGCGCTGCTCGCTTTTGGCTTGATAAGAAGCTTCTCCGCACCTCTCCATGTAACCTCGTAATAGCGTGTTGTTGTATCGTTGCACTTAATCTCTGAAGCTGTCAGTTTGAAGACGATCAATCTGTACCTAGATCCTGCAGCTTTCGAATTCTCCACCAATCACAGATAGTGCGATATCTTCTGCAAGGGATCTTGGAAGTTGATGAATTGTCTTTGCAAGGAAGATGGATTGATAAGTACGTCGAATGTAAGTTCAGGCAACAGATCCAATATCTCGAGGGCCACCAGGACCCTCTTCCAGTCCGTTGCGGCGAGGGGCGTCCTCTCTCCAGTGCCAGTGCTCGTACATAGGCGTTGTCGCTCTCATCTTGTTCTCGAAGATGTCAGCCGCATGCTGGAAAGAAGTTTTGTCAGTAAAAATTCAGGTAAAATTCAGTCTCTTGTTAGCATACATCACCGAGCACAGGCATGAACTTAGCGCCGTGACCACTACCGCCTGTGCAGACGAAAACAGAGTCATTGGCGTATGTGGGGACGTAGTCAATCTACTTTATCGGTTATCTCGTGAACATTTCTCGCTTTGGATGGTTATACTCACGAGGAAAGAGTTATCCAGCGTGTCGGTGTACCAGCACATGTGTGTTGCGTGGAATGGGGCGTCCTTAAACTCTGGGAGAAAGATGGAAACAAAATTCCTAACAGCATCCGCCGCAGCGTCGGGTATATTCTTGCAGTCGGCTGGTGGAAGAGGAATCGACCATTTGCCATGCTGCGTGAAGGGCACATTTTCTGGAGCAGGTTCAAAATTCGTGAACTTGAACACCAATATGATCAGCAGACGATGCGACTATATCAACTAAGAGACATACCTTGACACCTCGATATCCAATCTTGATCAGCCCGTCTGGGGTCCGCGGAAAGACATAGACGCTGCCAATGTCTTTTCCATCCTTGTTGCGAGGCGCACTCTTCCACGTCATGACTGGAAATCGCTCAGGTGAGTACTTGTTCCACAGCGCTTCATTTCCGTTATCGATCTTGAACGTGGCAATGCTCCCTGCTGAGGACTCGATGTGGTATGAGAGATCAGGTAGAAGCTGTGTCGAGAAGGAACCGGCTGTGTCGATTGTCAGCCAAGCTTCAGTGGAGCCAAGGCCATCATACCAGCAATTACTACTGTATCCGCTTCGTGAACATTTCCATCAGCAGTCTTCAGTCCAGTGGCCTTCTTTCTGCCCTCTCGAGTAGTCTCGATGAGTGAGGCAAAGCATCCCTGCTTCTCGCCAAGGCAGAACTGCACGCCTTCATGCTTGGCCAACTCTTGATAATAGGCACACCCATCCGAAGACCTGGTGAATCCGGCTAAGGAATCCAGAACAGCCTCGAAAGAACGTCCCTCATCATCTGCCGGGATCGCAAAGTCAAGCAACTTGTTTCCCCAGCCCAGGTCGGTGGCCCGCTGTCGGTCGTTCGGATCACCCTTCACAAATTGCGTGTCACGGATTCCATCCCTCTCCATGCTGGCGAGCGTTTCCTTCTCCAGCGCAGACAATTCTGACGTGGCCTGAACGCGTAGCATGCCGCATGGTACGAACGCTCTGCTCTGCTCAGCGCCTATCTCTTCGTTGATCAACAGCCATTGCTTTCGACTTTCGAGGGCAAGCTGCTGATAGGCGATCTTCTTGCCGTAGGATGCACGAAACTGGGATACTATTTAGTGCCGTTGGTCTGTATGTTCGAATTTTCGCTGGCGGCCTTACGATCTTGTTGTGGTCGATGGAGGCTACTAATTTGCGGTCGGACTCTGAGGGCTGGTATCCGGTCTGGTCGTACGCATATTGGTCAAAGATGGTCACATGATGACCTGCAGTGCTCTTAGCTCACTTGATGTCTCTGCATGTCCAGGATCATGCCAACCTTTGCGGTTCAGTGCCACAGCCAGCGAGAGACCGAAAATGCCAGCTGGACTCAGTCAGAAAAGGTGAAATGTCTTTCTGAGCAGCGGACTCCATACCGCCGACAATGGCAACTCGCTTTCCGCCTTTGCTTCTGGTCATCGTCGTATGAATGTGAGTTGAATGGTTTGGTTGCTCAAAAATGTACGAAATGAAGTCTGAAGGAAATCATCAAGGTGTGCGCCTTGATGGCCTTACCTCGCCAAGCATCTGAACGGCGGCCAATGAGCACGTAACTGCACGTGAGCAAGCGCTCTCGAGATGTATCAGGCTCTCATGATGAAGCCAAACTCCAAATAGGCAGCATTCATGTGTTGATAGGCGAACTGAAGACTGACCGTGTTCGTCAAAGTTCGACTCCTTCAAACCGCGGGGATCCGAAGCTAGCGCGATTCTTGAAGACTGCCTCAAAAGGGTAAGGTCAATACAGACTCAATCTCGTAAAATATGGATATCGATCAACAGGGGTACTTTCCTTGGTCCAATCTGAGTCCCGTCTCAACTTCGAATATCCTTATTCTTGGCTATGCTTTCACATCGTGGCTCAAAGGCGGCTGCCATTGAGGAGTTGCCATGGAGATTCGCACCTGGCAAAGGAGACGACCAGTATGATCCAATACACAACCCGGGCGGTGTCATTGGTTTTGGTACAGCGGAAAATGTTGGTGGGTTGTGGGTCTCACGTCCGACGTTAGCTGATAGGAGTCAGTGTTTGATCCATAAGGAGCTCTTTGAATACCTGCAGTCGAAGGTATGTTCAACAAGACCATACCATCCTTTGGCGAAATGGACACTTAGCAATCCGACGGCAGACTGCTTTCACAGAAGACATTCTTACGTATCGATACTCGACAAATGGCGGCGAAAGGTTTCAACAAGCGATTGCTTCACACTTGAACCGCCACCTCTCACCCGTTCATCCTGTCGGTGCTTCACAGCTCATCACCGCAAGTTCACTCACGGCGATTCATGAAATGCTCGGCTTCTGTCTCGGAGACCCAGGCGATGGAATTCTGGTGATTCCGCCTATCTACGGCCGCTTCGAGCTGGACTTTGGCAATACCGATGGCCTCAGAATCGTGTACACCGACATGGATGAAGTTGATCCATTCGAAGGTGCAGACGATATTGTGGTCCGACTCAAGGCCTCCTTGGTTAAAGCTGCCGCATCTGGAACCGTGATCAGAGCACTTATGATTGTCAACCCAAACAATCCACTGGGTCGGTGTTATCCGAAACACACCATTAGATCGCTCCTCCGATTCTGTCAAGATCACGGTCTGCATTATATCAGCGATGAAGTATATGCACTGTCCGTCTATGAAGGGGAGGAGGATGAAGATGTCGTGGATTTTCATTCCGTCCTCTCAATCGATACTACGGGTCTCATCGACGCCAGTCGGGTTCACGTGCTGTACGGTCTAAGTAAAGTGAGTGGCGATTTTGTTCCTCAAGAAGAAAACAGCATTGCCTAATATGTCAATGACCATAGGACTTTGGAGCAGCTGGTCTTCGAATAGGTTGTCTCTTTTCCCGGAATTCCCTGCTCCACAAGTCGATGATGAGTATGAATCGCTTCCACCCCCCTTCTGGCCCGGCTCTTGCCATGGCGAGCACAATTCTTGAAGACGGGGCATTCGTCGACAAGCTGATGGCCCTCTCGCGCCGTCGTCTGTCGCTCACACGTAAGTTGGTGATCTCGCGGTTGCGAGCTGCCGGTATTGACTGGCATCGTGGCGGGTAAGTCAGACTATCCTGCCTCCGCGAACGATGCTGAGACATTTTCATTCATCAGTAACGCCGGATTCTTTGTCTATGTTGATTTGTCTCCCTGGCTGCCACATCATGCGGAGAACCCAGAGTTCAAACTTGCAGAGAAGCTGCTTCGACACGGCGTTGGGTTGCACCCTTGCGAAGAGCATTACGGGAAGCCTGGGTGGTTTCGAATTGTGTTCAGCGCCGTAAAGCAGAACACCCTAGAGGAAGGATTACGCCGGTGAGGAGGCTTAGTTGTTTTCTACTTGTCTGTCGACTGACTTCGGGAATTTGTGGCAGGCTGGTCACTGCACTTGGGCCTAAACCCGCTCTACCACGACTCGCCAGAGTCAACGGCGAGAATGGTCATTGGTGACTTATCTTAAGTTGATCCGCGACCGATGCTGCCTACCACGGCATACGTGGTGAATTGGTAGTTGTCTGCTTCCATAGAGACCGTCAAACAAAACTGACCTTCCATCCTGGAATCGGGCTCCATTGCGAGTTACGTCAGTATCTTGATCCAACATAGTCTCTACTACCAGTTCAGCCTGATTGCCGAGAACGACATTGCATCTGATGCATGAATCATCCTTATATCAATGTAAGGATTTGAATCTTCCGCAAACCTTGCAGCCTCCCTTGGCGGCCAGGATTCGAAGAAGGCCCTGAAATGGAAAGTACCTGTTCCTTCGCCAGACGCAGCCCTGTGGCGTTCTAACCCCGCTCATAATAATTCCTGAGTAGGGTCATCTGTTCACAGAGCAGGGGCCATTCAAAAGATACCACTCGTACCGAAGCTCAGATATCGGGAGGAGCCTGACTTCCTATCTGAACACAACCCCAATACGGTTAGATCAACATTCGGTTCTATACGCCTCCATATGGCCACGCATTCGAGACTGATCGCAACTACGTACGTGGCGGGCGGCAAGGTAGGACATATCTCTGGCAGCTCACAGCGAACGAAATGATACGGCCAAGAGATACAGAACTGATAGCGGGTGAGCATGACATGATATATAACATGAGGCACTGTGCACTGGCCGGCTGAACAGTTCAAGTGCTCGGCAATACGCTCGGGCTTTTGGACTCGTTCAGCAATAATGTCCTCAATCGAAGCGACTCAAGCCGCGCCGGACAGCGAGAAGGCGGCAGTCATCACCACAAGCTCACCCGACCCTAACCAACTCCATGTTGTGTCGCGTGGCAGCGAGACCACAAAGCATCTAGAAGATATCGATGGCCAGATCGTTGGGTTCGATGCCTCGTTGATGGCAGCTCGTACTGCTCTCAGCGGTGAGGAAGAGAAGAGACTGTTGAGACGATTGGATTGGCGCATCTTGCCGTTGATGGCGCTGATGTATGTCGTCAAGAACATTGATCAGTCGAACGTGAGTTGCCAACATCGGTAGTTTTAGTGATGGAAGCTGACCCTTTGTCGATATGCAGATGTCGAATGTGCTTGTCATGAATAGGGGCACACCACGGAACATTCTGCAGGACCTTCACATGACGAGCAATCAATTCAACTTGGTCAACGTGGCTTACTACGTAAGTCCGCTGCAATGTTTTGAGCAGCGGAAGGTCTGACTGATGAGAAAGGTTCCATACATCATCGCAGAGGCTCCATCGAACCTCCTGTTGAAGTACTTCAGACCATCTGTCTGGCTGTCAAGGATCATGGTAAGTTATGATGGTATGGCTCTGCCAAACAAGCTTCTCACTCTAAACAGGTTACATGGGGCTTCATGCTATGCCTACACGCTGTCGTGAGCAACGCAGGAGGATTGTTCACAGTCCGTGCTTTATTGGGGCTCTTCGTAAGTATCAAACGCTAGACACATGCTTGAGTTGGAAGTTACTTACTTCTATCGTCACAGGAGGCAGGTCTCTGGCCAGGCTTGCTACTGCAGCTATGCTACTGGTATCGACCGGACGAGACACCCAAGCGAGTCGTGATCATCACCGTCTGCGGCAACTTCAGTCCCGTCGTTGGATCGGCGTTGGCCTATGCTTTCAATGGGGTTGCTGCTCGTGGCATGGCGGGATGGAAATGGTTTGTGCTGCCCTTTCATCTGGTGGTTGATGCTGACTTTAGTCGACTCAGGCTCGTCTTGACGGAAGGAGTGTTCACAATCGTCCTCGGCATTGCGGTGTTCTTCCTGTTGCCCGACTGTAAGATGGCCAATCTCAACAATAGCCTCTCATAACTGACGCAGTTTACAGTCCCTGCCAACGCCAAATGGCTGTCCGACAAGGAGAAAGCCTTTCTCCAAGCTCGTTTGCCCTCGAACTCGCCCCGAGACATGGAAAAGAACTTCAGCTGGAAACAGTTCGTGCAGACTATTAAGGACCACAATCTGTGGCTGTTCCTTGTGACTTGGTCTCTGTTCACCATTGGCACGGCTGGACTTCATTTCTACCAACCCAGTGAGTACTACGCCTTCTTGTGAGACTGCCGAGTAATCACTGACCTTCACGCAGCCGTTATTGCAAATCTGGGTTTCACGTAAGTCCAGCCAAAAGATCTTGATGTGAGAGATTTGCTGACCGTGATCAATCTATCAGAACATTGGCCCAAGTCCAGCTCCTCAATATGCCGCCCTCAGTATTCGCATGCATTGTCACCGTCTTTGGGGGCTGGCTCGCGTCCACAACATACGTGCCTCTACCCATCGTCCCTATCATCTGGATGCTCATCATCGAAGCCTGCTATGCGGTGCAGTACGTCTATCCGAACGTAGGTGGCGTATATGCTGCAACCGTCATTGCTGGAGGTTTTCGATCAGCTTGGTAAGACAACACTGAAGCCGGAATTTAAACCACAGAGCTGACCAAGTGCTGAATGCAGGGAGACAACAATGTGGCCCTGGCGCTTCCAAACACTCTCCGGTGCCACCGGATCTGCCTTCGCCCTCGCCCTCGTCAACAGCTACGGCCAGATTGGTGCGGCCATCGGTCCACACATTTTCAACTCCCGTTTTGCACCTCGCTACACAACCTCCTTCGCCATTGGAATGGGGTTCGTCGGCCTATCCATTCTGATGGCAGCCGTGACGTGGTGGGTGACGTATCGGGTCGAGGTCGATACCAGGATCCTCCGTCGAGCAAGACTTGCGGCTAGGCAGAGGAATGAGACCGTGTTGGATGATGTTGATCTCAATGCCGATAAGAAGGTTAGGTAGAGCGCTTAGCTGGATGATTCTTGCGTCCTGCTTTTAGAGCCTGTCCTGTTTATGATGATGATGATGATGAATGACGACTCTCGGTTTGCTCATCAAAGGTCATTCCTGTCAATCGCGTGAAGCCCTGTACTACCTCGCAGAACCTTGCGTAGCATTCGTGTATCTTCTTCCATCATAGTATGAACGTCCCTTCATAGACGTTGTCTAAGTCGTAGCACCCGTGATTCAAGAGATGCTCTGCAGCGTCCCAACGACTCTAGGACCGTCGATGTCTGCCCAGGATAGGGTGTGCGATTCACTCAACTTCTCCCTGTCGTTTGCTGCCATTTGACTTCAGTTTTGTCCCACATGGCCAAAACCTCAGCCTGAGATCTCAAGCCGCAGCGATCGCATGTCTCAATCTTCCAATAGCGTAGGCCGGATAAAGGTAAGCCACACTTCCTCGCACTTGATGGCTGCACCCTCCTCCAAAGTTGGAAGTCCTCGGCAGAAGTCTTTGACGGCATTGAATGAGCTCAACGACTGCTGCCAGCAGACATCGCGGAGTTGTCGTGCCGTTCCATGCCCTTGTTGTGTTCGACCGACCGCGCCGAGGCAAAGCAAAAGAGCCCAGCAATGTAATGGGACAAACTCCCTTTGGAGTAAGGAGTCATCGGCATCATCTATGGCGGAAGATAGTCGATCAACAAGATCCTGACGTATGCCGCTACCGATTGGAGTCTGTCGAAGATTGGTATAGATGAACAATAGGCAGGCGTGGAGAAGCATGAGCAGGATTCGGTTCGTGTCTGCACTTCGTCCATCAAGGTCGACTGCTGGTGCACTGTAGCGCAGAAGCATCTCAACGACAGCTCGTTCGAGGACGTACACACGATCCGGATAGGCGACTTCGAAAGGGAGCATTCTATCACGACCGGAGTGGTTGAGGTAGATGGAGAGCTCATTTAGTCGACTCAATAGAGTTTCAAGCTCCACTGCCTTCTCGTTGGTGTCGACCAACCTCATGGCGAGTTTGTCTTGGCATTCGTCTGTCACACTGTAAGGCAGGAATGGTGTATCCATATCCTGCAATGGCGGTAATATAGGCACGTAAAACGGGAGCATCGGCTGGGTCAGAGCTCGGGAAGAGTACAGCACATCAGACCATTGGACCAGTCGTCGCAGCGCAGGATTGTCATCCAATGCGGAAAGACCACCGACAAGCATGAGAATCTTGTACAAGCCGCGTACATGCAGAGCCGCTTCTCCTAAGCGACCACTCAAACTCTAGAAGCATAATCATTAGCTCCTCGAGCCCGATCTTGAGCTCGTTGACGTACCTGGATATTCGCAATGCAAGCCACAGCAGCGATCAAGGCATGGTCGACGACGATCAGCCGATCCAGCTGCTCGTTGACGGCGCCAATGGCTTTGGTTATCAGCGCCAACTTCTCTGGACTGTCGTGCATCGGATCCGAACGATAGTCCGCATCCAATCGCTGGGCGCAGTGCGAGAGCGTGGCATAGAGCCAGGCGGCGAAGTTGAAACAGCAAGAGGGGTATTTGCCAGAAGGATCTTCATGTACCGACGTTCGTATGGGTCGTGTGTAGTCTGTAAGTTGGAGCGCAAGATCGTCAGCTCCAGAGAGTATTATCACTTGATGATGGGAACATGTATCGCTTACTGTAGTGAAGTAACGTCAACATCCGGTCTGACGATGGAATAGGCAGCACACCAAACGGCTCAACCAGAGAATCCAGACAGGTACGATGGACGAGAGCCATAGTCTTATGCCCCCTAAGGTCGATGCCTTCCCCGTCGCTCGACCAGGCCGATGAGCGAGACCCAGGAGATGATTCGGTATTTTCATCGTCGTTTGAAATTGGCACTGAGATCGCTCTGACGTTCTTCACAGCCTTCTTGCTCTTCCTAGCCTCAGTAGCTCGTCGTCGCTGACATCCACGAGTGTGCCGCATAGCATTCGACCGGACTTGTTTCCGCACAGCGTCAGGCGGTGGCGATGCCTTGGGATTGCCGGAGACGTGTACCCACGCCATCGTTCCATTGCTGCTGCTCAGATCCAGTAATACCGGCATGATTGATTTTGTAGTTTGCCTTGGGTGCGTTGAGGGCGTGGCGGTGATGAAGCGAAGTCAGAAAGAGCGGGGCTAAAGGATTCGACATGCCACAGTCGAGGGGGTAGATAGGGAGCCGGCCGAGCAGCGATAACTTGCCAAGTTGGGCCAGTGAGGTCGATCGAGGCGAGGCCAGCAGATGGTTGAACATTTTTTTCTCTGCCTTGACATTGTTTACAAACGTGGTTTGAAGTAGAGTAATTCATGGATGAAGTCTCAAAAATTTATATTTTTAAATCATAGAGCATTTGAGCAGCTCTGCTTCATTATCGTCAACATTTCTAGCATTACACATACCAGAACGTCAGGTATCTCATAAATTACCGCGTAACCTTCAATTCGTCTCATCAATCCATCTAAGACTTTCTCTTGAACTCAGGATCCTTGGTGTAACCAGGGAATTGTTCGAGCTGTGCCTCATCAATGGCCTCCAGTTGAGGGCAGCCGAGCTGAGTAACAATATCACCAACAGCGTTCTGCAATTGGTTGAGCAGGTCTTGAAGGACGAGATCGGCCTTGATCTGAGCGGCAGTCTGGAAAGCGAAGCAGCCAAGGTTATTACCCTGGAGCAGGTCGGCAGAGTTGAAGACACCACCGGTCAGGTTTTCGACATTGACGCCGGCGAAGTTGTTCGTTTTCCCATCCAAGTTACCTCCAATGTCGAGGAACTTGGGGTGGAGAGCAGCAAAGTTCAAAACATCTCTAGATTCACGGTCAGCGCATATTCGATACGATGGATATAGCGTTAACGTTAACGTACCCCAGGAAGTACGGGATGGAGTAGGGAGCGGTCACGCTGCGGCGGTACCAGTTTTCTGGGATCCTCTCGTGACCGAATGGAGCAGTGTAGGCTCCGTTTTCACCCTCGATACCAAACCAGCTCTGAATAACATCGTAGGTCAACGTTCCGATGGGATCTTCTTCGCTGTGGTTGGCCATGAATCGGTAGATGAATGTGAAAGCAGCTGGCTGCACGAGGATGCCTGGGAACGGAGCGTTGAAGAAGTAGGGGTTGTTGGCAATCTGGCGATCGAACCTTTGCGAGCGGTATTCAGCAAGGCTGTCGAGAGTGACAACACCACCAGGGGAAGCGTTGATCAGATCTTGGAACTGGTCGGCTTGGGTGATGTAGTTGTTGCCGGACTCGTAGAGGTCAGGGCGGGTGGGGGAGACGTCGTTCTCATACCTGAAGAAATACGTGTTAGCAACTGTATCTCCGGGCGGCATGGATGTTTGCTTACTTGTTGTGCGAACCAATGAGACCGTGTCCATTTTGCGCGAGGAGGCCACCAACACCAGGTGGAGGAGTGCCACCGATCGACCATGCCATGAGATCTCCGCTATCGATGAGAGCACCAAGGATAGCAAGGAAGGCAGAGAGGTCGGTGCCCATGCCGACGATGTTGTCAGTCACATCGATGAACTGCGTAACGGTGGCGTATCCATTTCTTGGGAGGAAACCGCTACACACCAATGTCAGCCGAAGGATTCAAGGGCCTAATGATGGCGATGCACCCACTGGTTCGCGAAGGCGTTAAGACCAGGGCAGACACCTCTCAAGTCGTTCGGTCCTGGAGCCTGCCACTCGTGGCCACTTCCAGGTCCAACGTCGATGAGCTGCTTCTCGGCATCGAACGTTGGGACGGCCTCGAAGACACCAGTGGCTGCATCAGCACCCTGCTGGCGCTTCTCGGCCATGATGGCGGCAGCACGAGCTTGCATCTCTGGATCATTTTGAAACTTCTGCATCAGCTCCAGGGGGAAAGCTGCAGTCATGGGAGCGAGAGCGCTAAGAAGCGCTGATGCCGTAGAGAACTTCATGGTGGTGCCGTGTGAAGATGATGAGCGAATTATGGCCTGCAAATGCCACATGTTGGTACAGCTTCTTGGGTCCTTATATCCTCTACGAGCACATCTCACAAGTGGGGACTCTCCGAGGTGATCTACAAATGACCATCGAAGTTCGCATGTTGACGATCCATCTCCACCATTGTCATGACCGTGTCCAGCATCATCAACAGCATGCTCGCCGCTATGTGCTCCTGTGGTGCCTTTGCTGACCACCACGCGTACTGCAGATGGGTAAGTCGCAGCGGCAGAGTGTAGCAGATAGCGTCGATTTACGACGTCATCGATCGATCCATTGTGTGCCAACGCGCCTGACAAGCATGTTGGATTTGTCGTCAGAAGTCCGCTCGGTATCCTACTGGTCAGACTTGCCAGAGGCTCAGAGTCCGAGGTAAATTTCCAAGAGCTGCGGCGTACAGCAGCGCTGTCGATCAGGTACACAAGTACACAAGTATGTACTTTCAGCCTCTCCTAAAGCCGATTAGGAAGGTACCGTCGTTGCTGGGCTCCCGAACAGGCTTGGCTCTTCGACAACACAGGAACGATCATCATTGCGAACTTTTCGACTGATGATGTGCGGCGAAACTTGCCCAAAGCCACTGTGACGCACGTTCGGCTTCAGGTCCGCTCCTGACATGAGGCTGCACTCTTCACGTTCCTGATCCTTTCGCCTGCACGTATGGGTCGTGCTCGTTTTACTCTAGCTCTTGGATCGCTCCACTCCGCTTCTTCTCCACGTTGTTGTGGGGGTCGTCGTTGAGTTCCCCGATCTTTCTAGCTCCTTCGAGCAACGGTCGAATGGTGAGAAGACCACTCGGCGCAGTTCCGGATCTGTTGAGGATACAAAACACTTCGTATGTCCAGGAAGGATGCCGTGTGGTTTTTGTTCAGTGATTCATCCTCAGTGACACGAACGTTGCCTCGGTGTCAACAAGTACTTGCTTCGCTGTTGCCTGACTCTCCGTCAGGCATACCTTGATTGATTTGGTATCGCAGTTTCGGTCTCCGAGTTTCGTTGAGCAGAGGTTGCCTTTGGCCCAACGATCGTCGATTCGAGGGACGTTCCGTCTTGCCTCAGAAAAGATCAATGTGCGGTCGAAAATTTCTGACTGCTAGCTGTAGTCTCATTCACCCCAGGGCTCCGGCAAGAGTCAGGCAAACACTCAGAACAGCATCATGACTCCACTTGCTGTTCGACCACGTACCGCCCATGATCTCGTTCAGCAATTCCACGATCCAGTCACGCTCATTTTCGCTATCCGTACAATCATAAGTGGAGGAAAGCGCTCCAGGATAGAAATAAAACTCAACAAGGCCTTTCCGACGAGCTTCGTCCGAGAGCATCCAGACTCGCAAGCTGATGGCTCGATTCTGGCTGGCCAGGTCGTCTATCGAGAAGGATTCGAGTTTCTCGTGCTCGTCTACCGTTGAGCTCTCGAGCAGGAACATGAGCACCTTGTTGACAATCAAGGTCAAGACTGCGTGCCAAGAGACGACTCGAGACTTGTCATGGCCTGGCTGCATGTATATAGTCCGCATAGGCGCATCTATATCTATCCATGACGGAGGTCCGACATCGAGGCCAGAGAGAACGCTCGATTCGATGCCTTTGCCGATCTCATGAAGTGTGCCATACATGGAAACGGCCAAATCGATTGCTCGATTGAAAGCATCTTCTTCTCCCTTGCGACAAAGGCGGGTGACTTTGATCACATTCGGCAAGAAAGCGAGCTGGGCAAACACCTTACGATATATCTGGTTGAACTCGTCTCTTTCCTCATCCGGCTGTGATAGTAGCGCCTTTTGCCATTCTGGCGAAGCAAGAAAGCAGTCCTGTTCTGCAAATACCGAGTGTGATATAATTGGGCCAAAGTTCTCCAGAACAGCGAGGAAGGTCGTGCGATCGCTGGGTTCAAATACACCTCGATACTTGAGCAGTTCGCTAATACCAGCAGCATGGACCGACCAGCAAGGTATGCGAGCCAGCTGCCTTGGGACCAGTAGAGATTCAAGTCGGCCAATGAGCACAACAGACAAGAACGTGCTCACGCAGGTACGCTGAGAAGAGTCTTGCAGTGCTTCGTTGATTGCTGATAGCGCTCGACCATATAGCTTTGGATCGAGGTTCCTGTAGCTGCGTGGAAGGATAGTATCCTTAGCACATGCATCGAGGCAACACGCTACTGTGGCTGTCAGAGCAGTGCTTGAGCCAAGCATTCGTGGCACATCCCTAATGAAGCAGCACGAGCCTAAAAAGGATGGTGTCTCGGGCTGCGTATCTAGCTGAAGGGCTCCAATAAGCTCTGCAGCCACGAGAGTTGCCGGGTCAGAACTGATGCACGGAAAAACATCGCCTGCGAGCTGAAGTTCGGTGACGTCGTTTTCCAGTCTTACACTCAGTTCAGTTGAAGCCTGCTTCAAAGTACCACGTGCCGACTTCTTCGGTAATGGTTTATCGTTATTTGGCTTTGGTAAGAGGGGGGCGTTCTCATTCGCTGTCTTCGTCCGAATTGGCATAAACTTGACCTTGCGAGGCGGTCCAGGGCAGAGCCGATTCGAGTTCACACATTGTCCGCAGCTTGGCCAATTTTGATCGCACTATGCATCAAGATCAGCCATGAGAGCATATCAGTGGCCGGCCGGCACTCACTTTGATCTTCCTGCCTCTGCAGGTCATGCATCTTCTCGTCACGGCAACCATTGGCGCTTGACTCTCGTGTTCAAGTCTCTCTCAGATCTTTCCCGAGTGCTGCAGCTCTCAAAGTGGAAGGCATGGTCGGGCCTGGGCGTCTGCTCTTAAGTCAGACGACCGGATGCAGCGTGTTAAGTCCATCCACTCAGCTGTAGTCAGCCCTGGATAAGAGTGTGAATCATTTCGGGGCTACATGATGTCCTTCGGCCACGAGTGGGAAAGAGGAGGCTGGCGGATCTGACGCTAATGCCGCTCATGAATGCCGAGAAAAGTCAAGCGCAGCCTCGAGACCTGAGATTCGGGGGGGGGGGGGGGGGGGGGGGGGGGGGGGGGGGGGGGGGGGGGGGGGGGGGGGGGCATGAGCAGATGAGGTAAAATTGGCTTCAGTTCCTGAGGCCGTATGACCTTCTGTGAGGACAGCACAATCCGTCTGTGCAGCTTCGAAGGCGTCGAATGTACAGTCATTGTGCGATATGAACGTCAGCAGTCTCTTCGACAAGATACGTACTCATGGATGGGTGGTCGACTAGTTAGACCTGATATCTGATTTCGAATTGTGAAGCCAGTGACTAATGAGACGTGTACAGCAAGAACCCAAAGTACCAAGCAATGTCCTCGCTCGTCCTACCACACTCGAACACAGCCTTGCAACTTCTTCATCTCCAGCATGTGAAGCAACCCTGTGCCACCTAACACCCATTCCGCCCCTTCAAGTTTGCACTGACGCCTGGGACTCCCCTGATCAATCGAAATCTTCGCTGTCCTCCCCATCGCCGGTGTATGCATCTTTGCTCTCATGGTCGATGGATTGCCTAACATCGAAGCGAGAGGGGGCTTTCTCGAGGGTCTTGACGATCTCTCGATACATGGGCTGGAGTTCTGATGACCAATAGTCCTCCCATTCTTCTTTGGACGCCCGTGCCCACTCCCATAGTTCTCGCCCGCCGATCTCCAAATATCGTAAATCGAAAGAATTATCCAACTTCAATAGCGCCCGTTCCACATCGAGATCTTGCACTCCCCTGGGAAGATCTACCGGAAGCTGCAAATTGCCGTCTCTTGTATGAAGGGATTTGCCAGAAGTGTCAGCCGCCACGAGCAATCTAACGATTTCCAAGTGCCCCGAGAAGGCTGCGTCATGGAGGGATGTCCGTGTCGTCCGCCTGTCTTTGCTGAGGTATATTCCAAGATGCGTGTGCTCAAAGAGCCAACTGTCTCGCGCCCAAAGCATCTCTAGCGGTAAGGAACGTTCCAACAGCATTTGAACAACCTCAGTACGGCCGCTGATAGCCGCAAGGTGCAGAGCGCTTCGCCCGCAGCAATCAACACGTTCCAGATCGGCGCCCATTACTAGAAGGTCTTCCACACACTCGAGCAGACCGTGCTTCGCCGCTCCATGCAATAACGTTCGATCAGCGCTGTCTGCTTGCACCATCTCGGGAGTTACGTGAGGCCACAGTATGGAAATCGCTTCCCGGGTGAAAACCGTTTCCACCTTGCGGTCATCAGACAGAATGCAATTTATTGCCGTTTCGCCGCGATCGTTCTTTATTGCCAGATCTGCTCCGAAATCTAGGAGGATCTGAATGCACGATAAGCATCGAGAGCGCGATAAGTTTAGAAAATGACAGGCACAGTGAAGAGCCGTTTTTCCACAAGAGTCGGTGTCGTTGACAGCGGAGGCATTCGCTTTCAAAAGGACTTCCAGACATTTGTCAGAGCCGCTGTAAGCAGCCGCTCCTAGCAGTGACCCCCATTCAAACTGCTCATCATCGTCCGAAAATCCTTTTGCTTCAAGGAGAAAACGTAAGCTACGAACACAGTTTCCTTGAATAGCATAAGACAGTAGGTCGTTTCCGCGGTGATGTGCGGCGTAATAATCAAATGGACAAGCTTTGAAGAGGATTTTCAAGCTTTCAAATGAACCCGACTTAGCGGCCACAAGTATGGGAGGGGAATCGAACCCATCTCCATAGTTAGGGTCGTCTCCCGAGTCGATCAAAAGCTGGATAGCATTCGAAACATTGTACTGGGCCAGACAATGGAGGTAGGTCCTGTTCTCGTAGCTTGCGACCAAAGATCGAGTGGCTTTGATGAACTCCATGGCACTATGTACATGGCCGGAACTTATCGAATTTTTAACGACGAATGCACATACCAGCGGTCGTGCACTGGTGCCATGTCCGTAGGTCTCACGAGAAGTTCGAACGTGACTTGTTAGCGTTTCAGCAAAGCCCACGGCCCCTGAGACAACAGCATTGACCAACACTTGAATAAATGCTTGTAGCTCTGGGCTGCGTTCTGTTTGATCGCATTCTCCGCTAGCGTCGACCAGACCAAAGTATCTCGACCACCAACCCTCGCTTACAGCCTCAAGTACATTGACGAGACCTGTTTGCTGTGTAGCAATTGCGATCTTCGAGAGCTGCGGTGCGGCTCTCTCGATCAGGCTGAAGAGATCATGTTCAAACCCCAGAGACTGTTGCTGAGTGCGCCTCCACACGCCGTGCCAGAAAGCGGCTCTTTCAGATTGGACTATGAGGGCCTGGTCTGTCGTCATCGTTGGTTGATGGTCGAGAAGCCATGATCGGTTGCGACTTGTTCTGGTGTTGAGTGCAGCGAATTTCAGCAATTCGCAATGCTCGATACTATCGAATACTTCCCAGACCGAAATTTCGGCATGTAGACTGTTAGCCATAAAGCTCTTGGCCATAGTGCTCTTTATATCGGCCTCCATGCGCTGGAACTCGGCGGACGCGAGATAGTCTCGACATGTCTTGGCCACCTGCATGACGACTTGAGACCGCTCGAAACGGAAAATGAACAGGTCTTCAGGCAAGTTTCTCTTTGCGAAGAAGTACTCAACAGATTGATGAATGCTCCTCAAACAACGCTCACGCCCTTCAGCACGGAGAAAGACTTGGCATGATTTCCAAGCCGTCCGCAACTCTCGAATGCGGAATGCAGAAGGAAAGGGGTTTTGAGATTTCGAAACCTCCATACATGCCAGCATCGCACCGAACGTGATCTCCGTCAGACGTGGTATGTTCGCAACTACGCAGTGCAACGCGAACGCTGCGGTTGCACGGTCTCTGTCGGGGATTTGGCGAAGGAGACGTTCATACATGGCATCCAGTCCAGGTGGAAATTCCTCGAGTCGGTCGAGGGCATCGTCCGGTCGAGCGTCGTGCAAGCTACGAAGTGCCAACGCGGCCCAGAGGAACGTACCGCCCGATTTTTCTTGGAGCGTTCGTTTCACCCTTTTGGTAATTTCTTCGGACCAGTCCTGTGTGGCAGCCAGGTCCGAGATCTCCGCGTCGATGTACTTGTCTATGTCGCATCGCACGGCCCATTCTTCATCCACATCGATGACTTGGAAGAATTCTGGTGACGTGTTTGCGTGGTTTGGGAAGCGCCCGGGGTGATGTGACAATATGATCCTGACATTTGGCTTTCTGTCTTGCTCAGGTTCTCCTCGACACAGTCGAGCAAACAAGTCGAACACATTGCTACGAGAGGACTGTTCGATTTCGTCGAGTCCATCGACTAAGATTCTTATTCCGCCAAAGACGGTCTGATGTAGAACTCCGAGAAGATGCCGTGTGAGTGCCTGGACGTTGGAGAACAGTGCCTGGCCTTGCGTATGGTAGTCGTCCACAAGCTCGTCCGGTAGCGAGGCTGACCCTTGCTTGAGTAATTGCCTAAGAATGCTCTTCACAACCGCAAGATAAGTTCTTCGAGCAGGTATCGCTGCATCGCAGAAGAAAAAGGCGAAGCAGTGATCTGCGCTCTCCAGGTGAGATAGGATGGCAGTTGACAGCGTCGACTTGCCAATTCCAGGGGTACCGACCAGGCTCAAAATCTGTGGTTTAGGACGATCCAGCCATTGGCGAAACTTCCAATGAGCCTGTAGCCACCGACAGGTTCCCGACGCGTGCCCAAGGCCGTTTCGGATACGTTGCTTGACGGAATACAGATCGTCGAGAGGATTTGTCACGAACAGACCTCTCAGAATGGCCTTCCGGATCTCGAGCTGTTCTGGTGTGGCGTAAGAAAATGCAGATGGAGTCTTGGGACGCGGAATGCCTACAGTCATGGTCTGGGAAGTTTGCCATTCTTCAACAATCCCTCTTGCGCAGCATGCAGCCATGGCACTGGCGTACGACTGCCACTGCTTGTTCTTGTGGCTGTCGGCGTAGTCGCACACGCTTTTCACAACAATCGTAGGGAAGGTGTCCCAACACCCAGCACCCTCCATCTCAAATCCGATCACATTTCTCGTCGTGACCAACTCATCTCGGAGTTTCGAGTTTTTGAGCACTTGACTCGACGATGCGATGATTCCGAAGTGTATTTGTGCGGGCAGTGCAGGCCCACTCACTGGGTTTGCGTTCTGTCTCCGAAGTATCTGTTGTTGCGAAAGACCGCTTCTGATGTCGACTGGCTCTTGGCAGTCCTGGATCCTTCTCCGACGAACACATGTGCCAATATCGCAGTGCAGGGCGTCGCACTTTGAATCCTGAGCTTCGTCACAGACGGGATCACCTGCACTTGTACAAACCTCGCATATACATGCCAAGTGGTCGCCTCGATGCCGATGTGGGTAGTCAGAAGGGAAAAGGTGATCGTTTCCATGGCCAGGATACGGAACGTCCACCAAACAGTCTTCCGTAATGTACTCATTGATTCGCTTTGTCAAGACTTGAACGCACTTGCTCCTTTGAAGGTGATTCAGGAAGTTTGCAAGCTCTTGCCTCGGCCGCCCAAGGGTATCTGCAAGCCCGTCTTTGATCTTGACAACATCAGCGTAGTTTCGTCCGAAGTCAGACTGGAGGATTTGGGTGCTAATCAAAACATCTCCGAGCAGTATCTCGTCTCCTTCAGGTGTAGATGTTGCACCACCAGCGACACCAGTCACAAGCGCCAGCTTGATCCTGGTGAAACTCTGGCGCATATCTCTAGCAGCATTTGCGGCGTTCAGAGTGCCCATGCCGCGGGGTGCGACGAGAACAATCGGTTTCCCCCCGAGGATACCAGTAGTGTAGAAGTTCTCGTCATGCTCAGCTTTTCCTAGACCGCTGAAGGTCTCCGTCAAGAGAGCCTCGACCGCATCGCCTTCGATTTTCAACACGCAGATGATCGCAATCTCGAAGTGTTCTCGTCGCAGCGGGAAGGCTGCCATTGTGCGATGGCTGGGCTTAGCCTGATCTTGAGGAGAGCATCGGCTCTAATTGTGCTATGAGATGGGAGGCGAATAGCGTTGACGGTTCCGGCTGTTCAGTGATGAGATCGGTATTCTCCTTGATATGAATGTGGTTGTCGAGGGCGAGGAAAGAGACGGGCGAGAAGCCAAGTCCTTCCATCACCTGTGGCTTTCGAGGCGGGAAGCTCGAGAAGTGCGGCCTCCTTTGTGACCCAATCATGTCATGTAACAAGCCGCCCCCATGCAGAGCGGAAGGTACGAGGCTGCATGATGCAGCTTAGCTTGGCGAAGGCGCTCTGCGGTGACCATTGCAGATGAGCTCATGATGGATCACTTCGACTTCCCACACATTCGTTGCCAATCCATCCATGCTAACATGCTGTTTAAGTCTGGAATTCCAACCGCTTTCAAAGCCGAGACTTTGATCAAGGAGCATGGTGGTCGCTCGTCATTGTGCTCTAAATCGAGCTCGACACCGCGCACCGTGCAGCGCAGGATAAGAGCAACACCATGAATCGAGGCGTGGGTGCTATGAAGGCAGGGTGTTTTTCGACATTACACTGCAGTCCTGACCACAGTCTCAAGTCGGGAGTGACTCGCTGCCACACTGGATTTCAAAGTCGACTTGGCGAACGTTCAAAGTGCTCCTCGAAGAAAAAGCTCGCGCTCCACGGAGAGTACCCAGTCCGTGCGCGAAGTCGAGCACAATTGGAATCGAGATAGATGTGAGCCACGAGAACGAAGCCTGAAGTAGAAATTCGTGCTATTCCAGCCGGGGCGAGAACTCAACTCGGCACTCGCAAAAGGGGTATCTCATATCATGCTTCACCAGCCGAAAGTCTTCGCAATCCTCATCTTGACCCCTTCCCAGCTGTTCAACTTGGGCCTCACATCGAGGTAGAAGCTTAACGGAATGCCTGTATCTTTTCCCTTGTAGAAATCGATGACATAATCCACCTTCATTCCACAACGATCCACCACCCAATCGTGCCGATCAAATGGTTTCGCATACCCAAGCAGACTGTTCCATCTCGCTTTAGGCGTTGACGCCTTGCTGTCTCCCGCAAAGCTCACCAACTTGGGTCCTCCACATCTTTCGCTTCCCCACCCTTTCTCCCAGTCCTTGATCTCTAGCCATGCGCGCTCATTCACAGCGTTGTGGATGGGTACTATTGAGGACATGTCGCCCGGGCTGGCTTCGTGACCTTTTCGCTGCATGGCGTTGAAGAACATCTCTTGCGAGGGATAGACCCAGTTGCCCGTTTCTCTATCATGGCCAGTATCCTTCTCGTTGTTGGCGGGCAAGGCGGCTTTTTCTGCGGAGTTGAGGGAAGAGTCGGTGGTGATGGCTCGGGGAATGGTGGAGATCTCGCGGTCGGTGGAGAGACGGTACATCTTGGGCCGTTTTGGTTGAGAGGCCGGTGATATTGAAGGCACTGGCGGTATTGCCTCCCATCTTCCAGCATCAAGAGACCATCTCGAGATGGGAGAATGCGGCGATGGCGTCCGGATGCTGATGGGATGTGGAGGATTGAGATTGTCGTTGCCCAACTTCGCCTTTGCTGCTTCCAGCCATTTCTCGCGGGTCTTGTGGTCGACAGGACAGGCTGCAGCGGGGTCAGAGGATTCTGGCGGCATGATAGCGTTCATTCACTCGAGGATGGAAATGGAACAAGCGTGCTTGCATGTGATGGAAAGTTTGGGCAGTCGCGAGGATGAGTAAGCTTGGACCCTGCGTAACCTTAAATCTGAAACAAAGTCCTACTGCCGAAAGCAGCAGTCGTCTAAAAACATCGCCCCATTTTTACAACAACACCCCATAAATTGCCAGCACAACACCATACCACGACCACACGAGCACCAGCAACCATGGCCGAAAACGAGATATACAGAGCCAGCACGTATGCGCCTGTCAATATCGCCGTAATCAAGTCCGCGTGCCCCTCCCAGACCCGAACTACTGAGGAAGCGCTGACAATCATTCACTCACCTCCAGATACTGGGGCAAGCGCGACAGCAAGCTCAATCTCCCTTCGAATGCCTCATTATCTGTGACCCTCTCCCAAGACGACCTCCGTACCCATACCACCGCCAGCTGCAGCAAAGAAGTACCCGAAGACAGCCTCACCCTGAACAATGCCTCGCAAGACATTTCTGGCGCGAGAACACAGGCATGCCTACGCGAGTTGCGGGCACTGCGGCAAGAGATGGAAGATAAGGATCCCTCACTACCAAAGCTTGCTGCTATGAAGCTGAAGATTGTCAGCGAGAACAACTTCCCCACCGCAGCTGGTCTCGCTTCTTCGGCAGCTGGGTTCGCAGCGCTGGTCAGAGCAATCGCAAACCTCTATCAGCTGTCTGTATCACCCACGGATCTCTCGAGGATAGCAAGGCAAGGTTCTGGCAGCGCATGTCGGAGCGTCCTAGGCGGATACGTGGCATGGCAGAAAGGAGAGAAGCCAGACGGCAGTGACAGTGTAGCATACGAGGTCTCGCCTGCCTCGCACTGGCCAGATATGCGCGCGATCATACTTGTTGCCTCTGCAGAGAAGAAGGACGTGAGCAGCACCGCAGGCATGCAGCAGACTGTGGCTTCGTCAGCCCTCTTCCAACACCGCGCCGATGAGGTTGTGCCGAAACGCATGAAAGCAATGGAGAAGGCTATCCACAACCGTGACTTCGAGTCCTTCGCCGTCTTGACCATGAAGGACAGCAACAACTTCCACGCATGCTGTCTGGACACTCAGCCGCCGATCTTTTACATGAACGACACCTCCAAGGCCGCAATCCGCATGTGTGAGGCGATCAACAGCACCCAGCCAGATGAGAAGCCCATCTGCGCGTACACATTCGATGCTGGTCCTAACGCTGTTGTATACTACCTTGCTGAGCATGAGGATCTTGTCGCGGGCACTTTCAAGGCTATCGTCGGTGACAAGACTGGCTGGGAAGGCAATAGGGGCCAGAACATCAAAGTGAGGAGTGAAACTCTGGAAGGAACGCAAGCTGCCGCGGACCTCTTAAAGTCTGGTGTCAGCAGAGTCATCTTGACCAGTGTCGGCGATGGGCCAAGGAAGACCGAGGAGCATCTCTGCTAGGATGGGGATTCGACTACGAAACAGGCAACATCGTCGCCTGCGAAGCGCATGAGATTGGGCTGAGTTCCGTTGTGGAATAGACAGCGTCGACAGGCGCCCAAGGGGTACAAGATGCATTGGTTTTGGAATGGAAGCTGTTTCTTACACTTCAATGAGCTGAGCCTTGACGACCAGCAATGAGATACCCAGCATACCATATTGTGAGCTCTTAAGCTCGCTTTTCACATGTCCACCTGTTGAAGAGCACGGCGAATTTAGGCTTCTGATCTGTCCTCTACAGACATTCATCGTCTTCTTTGACAATGTGCCTTCCCTTGACAAATATCGCAAACCCCGAGAACATGTTAGGATACGAGACTGACATGCTTCGACCCATGGGCTCGGTATCAGTGCGACTCGAGGAGACAGACCCTTTTGTTTCACTGGCCAATTGCAGCCTTCCTTCAAGCTCAGTCTTCATCCTGTTCAAATTGATCATTGTCGATATTACACTCCATCCCGCCTTTCCCCGACAATCTCCAGCTGACCAGTCGTCCGAGACAGCTCTCCGTGGCATGGCCGACCGTCTCCTTACGGGGATCTTCCCCTTGCCACAAATTTGATCAAGACAACTTTCAAGTTCGTCAGTAGCCTGGTCGTGGCGCAGCGGCGAACGCAGCGCCTCGGCGTTGCGGCCACGCCCGTCTATACTTCACCGCCATATACGCCATCAACCTGCATCCATCATCTCTAGGCATTCATCTCCAGCAGCAGCGAGCGAGCATCCATCGTCTCTGGGCATCTATCTCTAGCAGCAGGCGGTCACCCATTGAATCCAGCAGCGAGCGAGCATCCATGGCCTCTGGACATCCGTCTTCAACTGCAGGGAGTCGAATATCGACTTTAGCAGCGAGTTCTCCTCAGCTCCAGCAACAGTAGGGGGACCATCCGTCGAATCCAGCAGCGAGTCTCCTCAACTCCGGCAGCGAGCGTGCATCTATCGTCTCTGGATATCCATCTCCAACAGAAGGCGGTCACCTGTCGACTTCAGCAGCCAGTTGTCAACTCCAGCACCAGGCGAACATCCATCATCTCCGGACATCCATCTCCAGCAGCAGGCAGTCACGTATTAACTCCAGCAGCGACATTGAATCACTCCAGCAGTCAGCGTCTACCTTCGAGCTTCAGCAGCGGGCGAGCCACAATCAATTTGGACAGTTGGTGAGCATTCATCCAAGTAACCCAGCATACTCCAACCCCAAGTGAGCATCCACCGACTTCAAACCTAGGGCCGCTAAGCAAACAATGAGCATTCACCAACTCCAGCAACAAGTTTCGACCTTCATCGCGTGTCCTTCGCACTTCAGCGACATACTGCTTTCGGCAGCATGCTACCTTTGGCACTGTGCTCCCTTCAGCAACGTGCATCCAGCGTCCGGCATCAAATTGGCCACTTCCGCCACGCGCTACCTTTTGCCACAAGCATGAAGACCGAACAAGACCTACCCCTTGTCAGGCGCTCCCAAATTTTGATAGCTGACCGTACCAACCCCAGTCATGACTCCCATTGTGGTCGACGTACCTATCCTCTGCCTTTATTGCTTGCTTCACGGCGTTGTTGAGTACTTGTAATCAGGCTTTCGAGGAAACGACCCATTGCACAGCTTGTCGACTTGCCGGGGGCTTGAAAAACTGTGAAGTCGAAACAAGCCCAGTGCACACTCTGCACTTGAGCATCGTCTCGAAAACGCTCCAGGTCCAGCTCTTCCATGCCCCTCACCTGATTCCACCACGACATAGTCATTTCTTCTCGGAATGCCCAACAACGACGAGCCTCCTCTTCTCCGAAAAGCTGCCGGGTCTGCTCAACATCGTCCGGAATCTGTTTTTCGAACAGGGTGAAGCCACACACCACGAGCCCATTGTACACCAAGTAATCCACGGCCCAGTCGAGGAAAGGGTCTTCGTCATATTCGTCAAGATCGTGATCACGATCCACACCGCTTCTGCAGTCTCATCACGGCCCAAGAGGACGGTGAGTAGAACGATGCCGAGTTTGGCAAGTATCACGGCCAGGCGAACCACCATTCTCACGTTCCATCTCCAGTCGTCGAGTTTGTCCACGCGGGCTTGCATCTCAGCAGGGAGCTTTGGCTTCGTGGTGGAAAAGAATCTGTCCAGCAGACGGACGGTGGCTGGTCCGAAAGCATCCATGGTCATCTCCCTCGCGGGTTTTGGTGCCCGCGCACCTGCCACTATCTCCAGGCCGTGTTTGCTTTCAGGCTGGCGTTTCAAGATGGCAGGCGCTGGTGATACCATGGTGTGGTTGCTGCTGTTACCAGTTGCGGTATAAGGTGAATGTTGAGGTGCTCGACAGGTACTGCAACAAGGTCCAAGAGACCTCCACCAGAAGTGATATATGTGTTCAAAGCTGAGATGAAAGCTGTCATAGCGAGCGAAAGCATTCGGTGTAGAAGCGAACCATTGAGAAAATCCCCATATCATGCGACATGCACCTCCCATGGTGTACCAGACAAGATTTCGAAAGTTACCATCAGGCTGTGAAGCTCCCGGTGGTGCTGACTTTTGCAACGCTGACGATTGGCGACGAGCCAGCAAGACAACCAGCAGATCTTCTGTACAATTTTCGAAGAAGTCTTCTGCCTACTGTCGCTATTTAATCTTCAGTTAGAGTACATGGCATTTTCTCTACGAGATACTGCACTTCGTTCCAAGCCACTCGCACATCATGGACTACATCGTACCTGCAGTTCTTTTGAGAACACGAGGGAACCCATACAGCGCTCCAGGTGACGCTCCACCACCATACGAGCCCATCGATCCGGAAGTAGCACGGAGACGAACCTACGTCCAAAGAATCCAATACTGTCAAACAGCCGGCACCGTCCTTCTCGTGCCTGTCATGCTCATTGTCCAAGTACCGTTTCTGCGGCTGGCAGACAAGCACTTCTCGCCCTCAGTCGCCAGAGGCATAAGGCGATCATACCTACGCGGCGCGCTGGCTGGTAATCTGGCTTTCGCGATGGCAGAAATCATACCCTACACAGGCCTCGAAATCTACGGACTCAACATCTGTCCACAGCTTCTCCCTAATACTGCCGAGGGCATGATCGAGCTGGAGGGAGCCGAGCGAGCTGCTTTGTCCTGGCCATGTCGAAGGGAGAGGATCCGTTTGTGGAGAGAAGGGCAAGGCTATCCTTTGTGCGACAGGTTGGACAGCGCGAATGGAGCGACACCGCTGGTCAGGGATCTGGTTTCTCATTTGGATTATGATATCTGGACGAGGAGGGAGAAGTCCACGGCGCTGCAGGGTGTTGCGAAGTTCATCGGCGAAGCACTTGTCGTGTGCTGGACGACCTATCAAGATGAAATGGAGCGTGCCAAGCAGAAGGCTGCATCCAGCGTGTCTGGAGAGAGCACGCAGGAGAGGGAGAATGCAAGAGACAGTTTCTTGTGGAAACACCCAAGCACTGTCAAGAACGAAGTCATTCAACGCACGCATGAACCGAGTTCAGCGGAGGTGCCCCAAGTCCCAAAGGCAGAGGTCGCCCCTGATGATGAGAGTGACGAGGAAGATGAGGCTGCGTTGTTGGCTTTCAGGGGAGCTACAGCTTGGGACTGATATCCACTTGAGATGGCCCTCTCACTTAACACGCAGCGGCTGAAAACAACGAGGCATCCTGCCGAAGGCTGAAATAGGTACTTGGAGGTGTACCCTCTCTGCGCGCTGCTGGCTCCAATGAGAATATCACTTGTTGATTTACCTGATAAGCATGGCCTTCGAATTCGACGTGTCCTCGATGCAGCTCAACTTGACCAGCCTGAGGTGAGGATATATCATGTAGCCCTGCCAAGGTGCTTTCTTATGAAACTTCTTCATTCCATTTGCACAAGCCGAAACATGTCGTCCACCGAGATCCAGACGCTAATCTAGCGCATCAACTCCATCCAAGCAGCAGCACCTGACGACATCGCCCCCGACAAGAAAGCCTCGTACCAGCTCCTCCTCGCCTCACGCGAGCTGAACGCAGCTCTGGAACCTCCCACCCAGACGGCCATCTTCGCAGCGTTCCCCGGAGTCCATTTGATGTGCGTGCGCCTGGCGATAGAAATCTGCCTTTTTGAGAAGCTCGTAGAGGCAGAGAATCCCCTGAGTATCCACGACCTCGCCGCCGATGGGTCTGCGGAGGAGGCTTTCGTTTTGAGCATTGCGCGGGTCCTTGTGGCGAAGGGCTTCATCGGCGAGACGAGGTCGAGCGAGGGTCTCGGTGCATACGTGCCTACGCAGATGACACGGCATATGGTTGTGCCTTCGGTGCGTGCTGGGTTTATCTTCCAGTAAGTCAGAGTCGGCAAACGCCCAGCAGCCACAGAACTGAGCCTCGAGAAGCTACGACTCCGGGCTCCTCATCCTCGTCCAGGGCCTCTCCTATTTCCGCTCCACATCCTTCCGCCTCAAGCAAGGTCATGGCCGCGGTCGCCTCCAATTCGCGCACGACACGGACGATGAAGATTACGTCTACTGGTCGAAGCAGCCGGGCGTGATGGAGAACTTCAGCACATTCATGCAAGGCTACTTCGGTGGAGGGGCACAGCCGACCCCTATGGAGTGGTTCCTATTCGATGAAGTCTGTTTCAAGGATTTTGATGCGACTCGAGTCGAGTATGCGTATGTCGACGTCGGAGGTGGGAAAGGCCAGAACATCCAGGCCATCGTGGAGAAGTACGGCGATTACGTCAAAGATGACAAGTTCTGTCTCCAGGATGTCGCACCAGTAATCGATGATATTGAGTCCAGTGGCACGGTCCTCGATGGGCGTATCGAGAAGATGGCGTATGACTACCTCACGCCGCAGACGATTCGCGGAGCGAGGGCGTATATGCTCGAGAATGTCTTCCACAACCACAACGATACCGTTGCAAAGGAGATCCTCAATATCTTGAAGGAGGCGCTAGAGCCGGGCATCAGCAAACTCTTGATCTCGTCGATTATTCTCCCGGATCAAGGGGTGCCCTTTTTTCTGTCTGCGATGGATGTGATGCTCAACTGCGTAAGCGGCGGGAAAGAGCGCACGGAGGCAGAGTGGCGGGCGCTGCTCGAGTCGAGTGGGTTTCGCGTGGTGAAGATCCGGTATCCACCCGCGGCCGGTAATGGGGTGATCGAGGCCGAGTTGACGTAGTTCACGTCCCCTTAGGTATCACCCACTGAGCTTCACTGCAGTACGTGCTTGGATCTTTGTCCGGGTCATATCCCAGTCTCTCCAAGGCTTCCACGCCCCAGCCTGAGAAAGCTTCTTTCGATAGATCCTCCTCCTTGTCGCCTGCCTGCACAAAGTCGGAGAGATAGCACCGCCCACGCGAGTATCGGTACTGCAAGCAGGTACTGTTATCGGCACATGCGATCTCGCAGAAGCGAATACCTTCGTGAGCTAAATCCTCCTCTGGCAACTTGTGGTTGGCGCCATTGTTCCAGTCGCGACTTGGGTTCTCCTTTAGCAAGGGAGTCAATGTCACATCGAGGATCGTAGCATAAGTGACTGGCGTCTCAGTGTACGCTCGACATCGCTCCCACTTCCATAACTGCTTCATCTGTTCTTGACTGACACGATGCAGTCCTAGCAGGGGCACGCACCACTTCTCCCGCGGAGTCTGAAGCCACTGCACCATCTCCCCTGAGAAGGTCGGATACATGGATTCGAGACGAATACCCAACTCCGCGTGGATCACGTACGCCAACACAGCATCGCCGCAGCAGTCGTCTTTCGCCCAGAACTCATACTTCGGATCTCTGCTGACTTTCTTCTTGCCGTTCTGCAACAGATCCTTTACGAGTCGGTTCGACAAGACCGTTCCGCCGCCTCCGTATGCGAACCAACGATCGTGAGCGCCTGGAGTAGGCGCACCGAGGTAGTGGGCGGTGTTTGGATCCAGGTTATCCAACATGCGGAATAGAGTGTCCCAGAAATAGTAGATATCCGCTTCGATGAAGACGTACCACTTGGCATGAGGTCGTAACTCGAAGGCCTTCTCGACCATGGGAAGGAACTTGAATCGATCGATTCTCCATCCTTCGTGAGACTTACCCACCGTCTCGCCAGCCTTCAAAGCCTCCTGCTGTTCAACATAATACGCCCAGTCGGAGTTATTAACCGCATACGAAGGCGGCAACTCCGCCAAAATATCAACAACTTCATACCCCCCAACTCGATCCTCCGCATCCGAAAAGATCAAAACATTCCCAACGACAGACCCATACGTCTCCAGAAACGTCTCCGTCTTGGCACGCTCGCCAATGCCCGTCTTCATGACAATCTGGACATCTCCGAGGAGCGCGGCCGGGAATTCCAGCGTCGTCGGCCCGGGTGGTATGTGGTCATGCGGACAGCCATCCTTGAGCGGCGGGAAGAATGCTTTGGTTTTGCTGGTCTTGCTGTGGATGCCGACGATGTTGAGGACTTTGAAGGCGCGGCGCTCGCTGCTGGCGGTGTAGATGGCGAGGAGGGCTGTGAGGAGAACGAAGAGGAGGAAGAGGAGAGGTCGGCGTCGCCAGAGGAAGGCCAACATCGAAGGAGGTGATGTTTGGTCGACGTCCACGGCGAGCTGTGAAGTGAAGCGGCAAACGGAATAGTGTTAGATAGAGAAACCGTTGCGTTCCACTCTATCCGCCAAGCCCACGTGCGACCTCAAGTGAAGGATTCTATGATGATGATGAGAGGTGACAACGTCGCATGAATTGCCTCACCTCAGGACAAACCTCCCGCCTGTATTATGACCATACTCCCCAAATCCTCATCTCGTATCGTGAAACCTTGAACATGAGTGCTGATGTACACAACACATGCTGCTCGTGCATGGCGCCGCCGTTGCACCGCCGTTGACGATTGTACAACCTCGAAATCCTTCCAGTAGCATGGAAGGCTATTCTATTAGCGAAGTCGCTTGCCTCTTTGTGGCAGAGTTACACAAGCGCAGCCAACCGTAGACGGCGAAGTGCCGCGGATTTCGCAGTTCATGCACGGCCGGAGCGGTTTGTTGCTTTTCGGCAAACGCTGGGGTTTGGCAAGTGAAGTGGTCCTCGGGTGGGCTCGGCCGGCTTGGCTATGTCATTGATTAGCTCTTCTTAGGTCTTCTGCGTGCTTTCGCTGTTCGTTTATTCTGGCGCCTGGAAGCTATGTTGTGGGAGGATGGCGGAGGGGCTTTTGTTGTTACGCAAAGAGTGACGAGTCGGGGGGCTTAGCATGCAGCCTCAGCACGCTTTTGGAAGGCATTGGTCTCGAAAGAGGTAGGTGAAACCAGTGGTTGAAATCAAGTGTATACTTTGGTGCGGTGCTGAACATTCTGTTGCTGTCGGTGTAGTTAGTGGATCGTGCTTACCAACATGTCCTCCTTCGAACGAATCACTCCTCAATGCTCAACTCCTGGATGGTCACTCTTTCCTCAGAATTCTCAGTCTTCATGTTCAGTTCCTTCCCCTTGACAAGACCACTCGCAGCATCCACAACTGACAACAGCTTCGATCGCCTCTCAAAGATATTCTTAAGATCGACCCTCCGCTGCGCTTCGATAGCGTTATGCCCAGTAATAAGAATGATCATGAAGAAAGACTCAATCACACTGGGCGGAATATTGCAGAGCAACTGTCCCGTCTCGCTCCAACGCATCACGCTCGCTCCCGTTAAGAGTCCGAACACGAGCAGTAGACCTGCCACGACCATGATTTCATGACCACAGATCCTGCCCATAGCCTGCGAGACTCTGAAGCTGATACGTCGGACATTGAGAGGCTCGGGGGATGGTTGCGGTATGTTTAGTGATGCGAAGAGCTCGCGATCCTCCACGTCGATCTTGACGTATTGGGGTTCTTCGTGGCCTTGGAGTTTGGTCTGAACATTTCGCAGAACGAAGCCATCGATAAGGCCAACGAGGCCGGCGTAGGTCCCGATTAAAAGCCACCAGTTGGTATCGAAGTTAAGCACTGGTCCAATGGCGAGCCAAGCGACGAAGACGACAATCAGCAGTGCGACTCCCGTGAGAGCACCAACAACATCGGCGTAGTACGTGATGATCCGTTGCACGCGATTCATTCTCAAGGCCGGGATGACGACGGGTAGATTGCCGGCTTGGTCGTTGGTGACAACGCGCAGCTTGAGTTCTAGGGTCGAGTCGACGCGGTAGATGGCGTCGATGCATGCCCGGATGTAGTCGGAATGTCGCTCTCTGAGGATCGCCAGGAATGAGAAGATGAATACCATTAGCGCACTCGTCGCTGAGTTGATGTCGAGCTGCCATTGATCTGGAATACTTTGTGAGTCTTTGTTCAGATTGGGATGAGATCAGAACTCACTGCTCCAGTCGTTCGCAGGGCCGAATGCCAACCACAGGATAATTGTAGCCCAGTAAAAGACAACGAACCCAACATGTCCGATGATACTCGCCAGCCCCTGAATAGCCTTCGTCCACCTCGTCGGCTCCGGCAACTGAAACTCAGACATCTCAAGCCTTCCCGCCGCCAGAGAAGCCTTCTCAATCCCCTCAGGTCCGACCTGTCCAGCAAGATCCCTGAACATGCGCCTCACACTCAACCCGCGCGATTGAATCTCAGCCGCAACAGTGAGGCTCTCATAGTACCCATTGAACTGCTGCCGCATCAAGCACGAATCAAACGCATAGCTGAGGATGGCCTGCACATCCGAAATCAATACCGGCCAGAGCGGATCGTGGGCCACACCAGCGCCCGCAAAGACCCACGCCCAAAGGCCGAGCTGAATGCAGCTGAAGACGATTGTAGAGCCCGATGCTCGGACGATGTTGTCGAGCCAGCGGTCCAAGAGCTTCTCTTTCTTGGCTAGGGTGTAGCCTGGGTCGGTCTTGATCAGAGTGCTGCTGTCTGGTATCGTCGCAGCCTTGTCGCCGTCTCTTGGCATTCGACTTGGCGCTGTCTCTGTGACGCCCAGCATGGCGCCCGGGCTGCGGATGGCCTTGATGAAGGAGTCCATTGTGGCGTGGTGATGCCCATAAGTCGCGGTTAATCTATGGAGTAAGTGGTCTGCTCACATTGTCAGCTCGATGCCTTGCCAATCGCCTTGTCCACGAACCTGTACTCTTGTGTATCCGCTCTTCGTTCAGTGTCTTCCAATTCTTCCATTCACAAAATCTTCAACCACTTGATGGTCCTATGGTGGCTTTCGCTCCGCAACACGTTGCACGCAGACAATCGAGGCAAGGTAGTTCATCGAGTTGGACATCAGCGTATACAATCGTTGTTTTTTTTATCGTTATCAACGATGGAGAAGTATTGAATCGACAACAGCACAGGTATGGCGACGCTCTAAATATATATTAGAATACAACTTTGTTTTAGGCGCTGCTGCCGACGCGTGGAAAAAAGTTTTTAAATGCCTCACCCACCCACGCACAAGCAAGCTTGTGCGCCCAAACGAAAAAGTATAGGCGGTGGCCCGAAATGGCCAAAAGGGTTCGAGGAGGCTAGAACGAGCTTTGACTTGAGCTAGTAGCTGAGTTAGCATGTGCTGTGGTGATTTTTCTTTTCTCGTTCGCACTCATATACTTCACGTTCAGGTTGCGTAGAACCGGTATGTCAGTCTGGGATCTGGTTCGCTGCCAACTCGAACATGTCCTGGTACTTCTGTTTCTTCCTACTAGACTCTCGACCCGCCAATTGTATACTGAAGCCACATGTAGATTACCTTGTCCGCGAAGTTCTCTTGGCAGCCTTGCTGACGAGGCTTCGATCGGGTGTCTTCTTGACGCAAAAGCGAACAGCGATGCACAGGATATGTTCTATTTGCATGCGCTCTATTATCGCTTACTCATGGACACGGCGTTTCGTTTGCTGTGTTGCTGAGACGACGAGCATTCGGTAGAGGTTTATGGTACGATCGGTCGAACGAACGTGCGCTGTAACAGTCGCAGGGACGCTCATCATGATCGTACATCTGATAAGACCAGGGCGTGACTCACAGTCACCATGCGAGTGAGGTTGAGGTACTGCCTAAGGCCAACAACAGCAAGGAATGCTGGACAGCCGTGGTGCAAAGAGTATGCTGTCTCGTTCGCCCCCGCATTGCTCTAGATCATTTGGGGTGCCGTTGCTACTCTGGATTACGCCGGCTATTGAAAGTGTTGGACTAGCTTTGTTGCTGTACTTAGCACTATTCTGTTTGCTGTGGCGAGTGTAGCCCTTAAGGGTCCTGGAACTGTGGTCAAAGTGTGACGTTATCGCCATCGTTTACAAGTAAGTGCCCGTCCAGGTGTTTTGATTCCCTGTTGTCGCTGCATTGATTGTAGTGACGATCGCCACAGAGCCACGACTTCGACATTAAAATTCTGCCTGAAATGCAGTCATTGCTCGAGATGGTCATAACAGAAACAAATGAAGAATGGATAGACTTTCATGTGTTTCATTAGAACAATCTCAAAAACACCGCAGCCCACCCACAAAACGACCGTCTCGAGCTTGTCTCAAACATCCCCATAAAACACACAACCCCATCCGCGCAGCCCATCCACCACAAACATCCCCACCTCCTGCGTGAATCTAATCCCAACGCCCATCCCACCGATTCGGGCGATACCACGGCCCACCACGTCCACGGCCCTTCCTATCGTCCCAGCGATCGCCACCGCGGTAGCCACGACCACCTCCCCGATACCCGCCGCCGTTGTAGCGGTCGAAGTCGTCGAAGTGGTCGTCGTCGTCCCAATCGCCGCCTTGGCCGGCTTGTTGGACTTGGTTGGCTTGCTCGCCTTGTTCGGCTTGTTCGGCGCGGGGGTTGAGGGCGCCAGGCTTTGGATGAAGGGTTGGTTAGCGAGTGCTGGGGGAGCGATGAGGGAGGGTGGGTGTGGCGTACCTGGGCGACGGGGTTGGCAAGGGCGTTGGCGGCGGCTAGGCCCATGAGGGTGGTGAGGATGTACTTGATCTGCATGATGGATGGTGCTGGTCTGGAAGTGATGAAGAGAGGTGGCTTTCAGAGTCTTGATCGAGGATGATGGTCTTGTCGGTGCTTGGTCGAGGAGCAAGTGAAGCCGAACATCAATACTTATATAGGCTGTCTTCTCTTCGCCAACGGATCCAGACGGAAGCCCTCGCAAACATGATCCCTCTCGAATGGCGACATTATTCAGTCCAGACAGGCTATATGCATCGCGGCGCGAGCACTTACGCAACGCTCCGTTCTCGATCTGCTCGTGCCCAGGCCCATCGGCACCGCATTAACCGTGCAGAGGCCAGTTAACAGATTCTCATAAAGTAAGCATCGTCGTACCGCCAGCTGAATGTAAAACGTGGTCGTGTTTCGTAGGCGCAATGCGGGCTGACGCCAAGGTGGATTTGGGTGAGGGAAGCCTGAACAGGTGAAGTCGAAGTTGGGAGGGATGCAGCCTTGCAGGGATCTGCGATAGAGTTCGTGACGTAGGCTGCGAGACATTGGATGTTTTCGATTGGGCTCGGCGGTCGCATTGCTGGGAGATGTGGTCGATTTCTGGGAGGCAGCAGTAAGATGATGAGCATGTTGTGCATGGCTGACCATATATTGGCTCGATGGGCTGGTATATTCTTGAGGTGACGATAAACTTTGTGGCGACAACAGCAGAACAGCTCATGTCTGCGATCAGTATTGGTGTTAGCTGTTGCAGACATTCTTGCTCGGGCCCAGGTCTTACCAGCAGTGAGTTCCCCATCTCCTTGTCATTCCTGCGTGGTGAGCTGCAACTGTGAATGGAGAGCAACAGCCAGCACATGTTGCATGTCGTCCTCGAGTCCGTCGCACTTACCTGTACTTTTCAACTCACGATGTCGACTTGCGTAACGCCATCGAAGACAGCTCACGAAGACGCTGCCAACATCCACGATGGATGGCGCGTACAGCATGATACAGTCCGCTGACATGCGTGAAGTCGATGTCATCCATCATTCTCTGTCATTTCAAAGTATACCGAGGATGCATTCGCCCTGCTCTTACTAACCCCCAGGAACGAGACGGCCAATCGCTCAGCTCTATGCATACATCCTCTTCTACGCTCGAATACGCGTCACGCTGTCGCCCCATGCAGAATATCGCTATGCCATGTCATGCCCTTTTTCCTTCCCTTCATGCAAACATGCTCGCTCCCCCGCTCTCAATGGCCTCAATCTCTGCCGCGCTCCAGGGCGTGCGGTGGAATCTTTTGGGTAGCTCGCTTCGGTCTGCGTACTCGCCCTTTGCGATCCGGATCGGCCCCAACTCCTTGGCACTTCTTCCTCCAATCTCGCCCAATGGGTGTTGCGGCGGTGCTGCGCTCGACGATGGTGCTGACGACGACGTGCTGGTGGGAGCTGACTGCGGCGGTGTGGATTTGAGGGGCCCGTGTTGGGTGGCTTTCTCGCGGTATGAAGCAAAAGACTCGGGCAGTTGGGGGGAGGGTGCTGCCGGGTGAACGTGAGGGGAGTGATCGAGTTCTGCGGGACAGTGAGCTCGAAGAACCCGCCAATGGTGTACAGCATGTCACTGCCTACTCTGCGGTATCTGGTGCCGGCGACCAACAAACTTGATCAAGGGCTGGCGGTGCTGGAGCAGGCGCCGCGTTGCTTGCATTGTGCTTCCTGGGATCTTGCCTGGCTGGGAAAGTGGTTGGAAGCTTGCGGAATGGGGGTATTGAGGCGCGCGGATTTTCGTAGTAACAGATTCCAAGACAATGCAGTCCAACAACACCAGCAGAAGCAGTCGAACAAGTGGTAATGAGTGCAGTGGCCGGGGGAAATGAAGCGGGACAACCGTTTCGTCGAGCTGCCTCTGCACTTATCGCCGTATCGCGCCATCTCGTGACGTCGGCTTTTGACTCCCGACGCCCGCTCCGGTCTCTTCCGACGCGCACCTGCCCTTCTGTGCGTCCTTCGGTCGGTTAGCAACAAGCGCATGTGACAACCCTCGGTGGATGAATGAATGAATCAAACCCCCGCCATGCACGAATACCTCCTCTACGCCCAGGTGCCCGTCGTGAGGGGTCGCCAGGTCCTGAACATCCTCGCTGGCGTCACCGCGTCGCAGCCCGTGCCGATTCGCGAGGAGCATGTCGTCTTGGCCGAGCTCAAGCCAGAACCGGCAGTGGTGAAGAAGGTAATGAAAGATGCATACTCTCTTGAAGAACCTCAATACTGACCTCCAATTCAATAGACCAAACAGCAGCAAGAGAAGCAGATCCCCTCATATCGCCGCCTCGTCCGCAATGTCGCAACCAACCCCGACGGCTCCCTCAACCCCATCCCCTGGCGCCTCCGCGCCGAGCAGACGCCTGACCCAGGCATGCCCAACTTCATCTCACGACAAGTCACCCAGCGCGACGTCGACTCCGCAGAACTCGAGAAATCGCAGGAATTGTATCGCTTCAAGTCGAACTACACCCTCCTCGGCCACCGCTTCGTCTACGGCAACGTCATCGTCCGCATCGTGCGGATTCACATTCCTGTCGACAACACCAAAGAAATCGATATCTTCTCCTCGGATGACCAGGATCTGAGACTCCTCGACCCGAGCGGCAACTGGCTCGTCGAGGCGATCACTCGAGTCGAAGACCCCTCGAATTCCGAACTCACCGACAAGGCCAAAAAGGACTTGCTCGCCTTTCAGACGCTCGTGGAAGGCGCCGTTGACATCTACACACCCGATCGGTTTGCCCTCGACACGCGCATCAGGAACGTCTAGGAGGCCTCGAGTGATCAGCAGACGAGTGAGCATGAGCATCCGGAGATGAAGGAAGGCGAAGATATTCATCACGGGAATGGAGGTGCAGACTTCGGACAGGTGGAGATGGTCGACCTTGTTGTGCACCGAGCCGACACTCCTACTGATACGCTCCTGGATCTCCAAATGAAGGAGTACGAGGCACAGCATCGGTGGAGATGATGAGTGTCAACGGCACGGGGTTCTCAGCGTCAAAGAACGGCGGGACAGGGTCCACAGCAGAGCATGTGACATACCTTGGGCGAGAGAACAGCTGGTACGCCGTCCCTCGGTAGACTCTGTCTTTCAGGTCTGCGGTAAATGCCCCGAGCGGGAGAGTATGATACCCTTTGGATGCTCTGTTGGCCTTCATAACTCTCAACTATCAACAACATGCCACTCTATGGTGCTGCAGATCATCTCAAAGGACTGGGGGAGCTCGATCGTTCCCACGTACGACAAGAAGACTGAAGGCTATAACTCATGATCACGCCCGTGGATCATGCATCGAATCCTCTCATCTCCCCTCCTCATTATTCTCCATCCCCCCTCTCCCCTCTAACTCTGCTTCAACTCTCTCTACTTAACTCTATCTGTCGTCTCCATTTCCAGCCTCGCACCAAACGCAGCACCAATTTCGTGAACTCCTCGATCTCGAGTATCCCGCCAGCCGTCTCACAAGAAGCCGTCTCACTGGAAGCTCAGTAGCCTCGAGACAGAACCCCCAAAGCCGAAGTACACGACCCGAGAGACGTCCCTGGTAGCACATGCATTTTTGCGCCGCTTTCGCGGAGAGAAGGCTAGCACGGTCGGGTTGACTTGTAGAGAATGTTGTGCTTGCATACCAAGGCCATCCACATTCAGGGAGATCGTAGACCAGTTGCCATCATTCCCGAACCTAGACGAGCTGAGCAGTGAACCGTTCTCAACTAGTGTTGAGGCCTGTCTGCACCTCACTACTCACCATCCTCTATCACGCGCTACTGACACGGCGACGCTTGTATCACTAGTACTGGACGTCATGGAGGATTGTCCATGGCCAGAATGTTCTGATTCGTTTGACTTACTTCCATCACCCTCAACTCACGCACGCCGTATGCGAGCCACTGTAGCTCAGAAAAGTCTTTCCACAATCGGCAGCTAAGTAAGAAAAATTCCTCCCAAATGCACACATAAGGCTTGCTATTCATTCCTCCAACAATCACGAGTGCTATTCAGCATCGCCAAGGCTAGAAATCTCAGCTCAACAATGCCTGCGTCGAACCAGAAAATCATGTACTTCTATCAAGACCCGCACAATACATAATACAAGGCTCACCAGGCTAAACTAAATCCGGGCTCCAACGAACCCTTGCCTGATGAATCGAGACAGGTTCTTCCATACGCCATACGCCACGCCTTGCTTACATCCTACTCGTAGAGCCTACCACATCCATCGGCGACATGAAGCTCGCAAATTCAATTTCGGGTATGTTGAAGCTTTGGTTGAGGCCCGTGTGCCACAGAAAATCATCGGTGTGGTCGCCCTCCTCGAGGCTAGGACCTGCTGCTGATGATGCGATGGGTTCCAGAACTGCAGCCCTGGGATGATGGCTGGGGGATTTGGCCTGGTCGGGAGAAGCATCGATGGTGGAGGTCTTCGGGGCGTCTGATCGGGGAGAAGGCAAATTCGGGTCGTGGGTCGCCGGCGCCGAGGGTTTATTCTCCTGGTCCGCGAAATTTTCCCTCCACTGCCATAGGAAGTCTTGTAAGAGGCTGCCGGCCAGACGGGACTGCACGTTCAGCTTTTGTGGTGAAGAGTTGGGGTCGGTGGGTCTACTCCACAGCTGCAGGAGGATCTTGGACATCCTGCCTGGTAGATCGTTGTCTTCGATGGAGCATTTGCGGATGAGCACAATGCTGAGCTTGAACATCCTTTGGCCTTCCTGCAGGTTGACTAATCTGACGTGTCTCGTTCTGAGGATTTTGAGGACGAAGACGCTGGCCATCATTAGGGCATTCTGAAAGATGACTGGTCCTCGTAACAAGACGTTGTCGTCGGGTTCCTGGCGCGACAGCTCCTGAATGATCGATGTAGCCGAGTGGTAACCGTCCAGTAGACCTTCACACGGAATAGTTTCTACATTGTGTGCAAGGAAGTGATAAGTTCGAAGCTGCAGGCAAGCGAACAGGAAGACCAGATGTGTTCGTCCTATGATGTTGTAAGTATACAATCAGCGGTTCAGGGGTTGGAAACCCTACTAGATGTATCTGAACCGAGCTGAGTTCGTAGGTCCCTCAGTTCACTTGCATACACCGGGATGAGGGTAGTGACAGTGAGTAAGTCGCCACTCGCCATAGCTCTATGAAATTTGTTGCATAACAGGAAGACGGCGCTGCTCTCGTATAGCGCTTGTGGGACGAGTCCCTGGCTGATCGGCTTGGAGATGAGTTCCAGCGTCGTATCGGCATCAAATAGAGGCGGGTGGCCAAGAAACGCCGTGATGCTTTTGTCAGGTTAGCCAAGTCGCAAAGAGCGTGCATAAGAGCAGGGGAACCAACTTCTCTGCTGCTACGAAGCAGGCCGTCCATGTTGTCAATGCTTCTTTGAACTCATGCAGATCCAAGCTTATCTTGACCCTGGAAAAGTCTTGGATCTCGAAAGGCTTGTGTATGCCGGCATGCATCGCACTAGTCTTGGCCAAAGACGCAAGGAAGTAGGATATATCTGTCGACATGGAAGAAGTGGGAAGGGACCAGAAGCAAAGCAGGATCATCGCTTTTATGTCGTGTCTGGAATGTGGTGGGCTCCCGATGGTCTGCCACAACAGATTTTTGAAACCAGCTGTGATGCTTGATAGCAGAGCAGGCTCGTACTCTGATCTTCTCGCGGCAATGGTCAAGATGGTCCAGAAGAGGAGGGGAGACTGCGTAAAGCAATCATCAGGCGTGATGCTGTCCTCGAGTATTGGCACGTAGGAATGATACCGTTTGAAAAATCTGCAATCAAGGTCAGCGTCGAAGAGTGACTATGCTATGGAGTCTCACGTTTTGAACGCCTGGTTGACCAGCGTCATCGGCAGTCTGGTAGTCCCTAAAGGTGGCGACTCTCCCAAGTCGCGCACACCAACCAAGTCATGATCTTGCGAGACTGGGTCACACTCCATCGCCGTGTCTTGCGAGCTGACCAGAGTAGACGGCTTCTCGCCAATGCCCTGCAGTCCAGGAGCAGTCGTGTCATCGTCATTCTGAGGATGCGAGGATGCTCTGTTCTCGTGGGCCGGATTGGTCGCGTGTGTAGCAGAGGACGATAGGGCCGCTTGGAGATGTTTGACCTGTCTGGACAGCTCATCCCATTTCCTACGAGAACATCAGCAAAGGGCCGGTATGCTGCACCGCTCGACTCACGAGTGCTTGTTGGCGCGCCTGAAGCTGTCATCATAGACGCAAGACAGACCCAATCGATGACATCGCCTACAGGTCCGATGGTGGCTGCCCTCACAACGAATCTAGGACCCGAGTCGTTAGAGAGCGAGACAACGTGCAACTAATGCAGGTCCTCCGGACAAGTCAGGACACGTTTCTTCTTGCGCACCTTACACTGGCGGCATTCTCGGCATGCCAATCTCTTGTTCGCGCGCCGGGGCGGTTCGGCAGGATCGGGAGGCAAGGGAGACGCTGTCGACGCGGCGCTGGGCAAGAGTGACCGGGCATGCGCTGGATCAGTCGAGTCTGGTGTCTGCATCGCTGGCGTTGCGGAGGGCAGTCTCTCGGAGCAGAGCGGCGGCGGCGGGCCCGTCTTATAACATGCGCACATAACCGGCCTGTGACCTCGCCGCCGAAAGCGCTGTACACGGTCCGTATCGGTGGAGGCTGCGATTGGCGGCAGGCTGGCGTGACCTGGGGTGCATATGTACTCCCCGGAATTCGAGGCAGGTGGCCCGTTGTCGTTGCGTCAGGCTGACCCACGGACGGGGGCGGCGTAACCCCAATGTCAGTACAGGCTTCTGCCGGATTTCGGCCCGAGGGAATCGCTGGATCTTATCGACACAATAAGATAAAGCCTCAACGGCTTTCACGCGCCGCACGGTCCGGGTCTACGGCAATGAGAGCAACTGCCTGGCTCAATTGTATAAGATCCAAGTGGGGTTGGCGGCACAGGCCCAGGGCCACCGACACTGTCGAGGAATCAGAAGGTGGTCATCTGCAATATTCCGAACAGGATGCTTCCAGCGGGAAGCTCGAACGAAGTGCGTGCGCACAGTGTCGCCAGTCCAGTGTGCCTTTCAGGGGTTCGGTCAGGTTATTGCCGCTATATCGATATGTGACTGATCTTCTGGTTCAGGTACGACGCGACAAGATTGAAAGCGGCCGTTGTTGTCGGCGCTGCGCTGCGAATCGGCTTCAGCACGATCATGATGCTGGATACAGGCGTGTGAACAAGACAAGGAAGATTGAGCGACTTCGAGCGACGACCGGTGGGCATGGAGCACCTGGTACATCGTCGGCGCGTGGTTCGTTCCTTCACCATAGACACTCACGCCTTTGCCAGCCTAAGCCAACGGTCTCTGTCGATTCTGCTGTCAAGCGATTGTCCTTACCAAGCCATCGCCCTTCATCTTCTTCTGTTCCTCTCTCCCTTGGGCAAACAGCCACGACTCTCACCCTTGATCGTGCCGTTGGCAATATGGTCATATCTGCGGTTGAGGCTAATCGTCTCTTTATTAAGTAAGTACTTGATGTGAATGAGCACGGTCAAAGCCTTCCACTGAAACATGACAGGTTTTTCAGGGAATACCATCCTTTCATCGACTTTCTAGACCCAGCGAGCTCGCCTGATGGAACATACGTGCAGTCACCGCTCCTGTTCTGGGCCGTTATCGCTGTGGCAAGCCGGCGTGACTGTAGATTGCAAGCAACGCTTGGCCCTCTCGTCACAGACCTCTTGTGGACAAAATTCGCACGGCCACCATGTTCATTAGCAGACGTACAGGGCATGCTTTTGACTTGTTTCTGGCCCTTTCCTGCGGCCTCTATCAGCCTCGACTGTCGGTCGGCTCTCATTGCGGCGACCACGAGTGTGGCCATGCAGATCGGGTTGAATTGTGCGGAATCCATGCAAGACTCGTGCGTCAATCAGAACGCACCACTGGTGGGCAATCTCAAGGCTGCGAAAACATGGGCTGCGTGCATTGTAGCAGCGAAAAGGTCAGCATTGGTCTAAAGACCTTGATAGTCGATTGCTCACAGCTTACATAGTGTGTTTGGATTTGCTAGCCAGCTGGCTGCTGCTCAGGACGACATGTCGTGTCGTTGCAAAAGTTCAGTCAGTTCCCAAGGAAGCCTGCCACTACAGCTCGACTATCTCCTTCAAATTTTCAAATTCTGCAACCGTGTTCATAATTTCATGGCACCCTTGGATCAGGTGACAGGGAATCAAGGGATCGCGAAACTGGTTGTCCTGGAAAGTGAGTTCGAAACCTTGCGCACCATTGTCGATGGTCGAATCTCAGGTACAGCTCACCCTTTACCTTAGCATTGATGTTTCCGTAAGCTGACTGACAGACTAACAGCAAAAGTGAGGGTTATGCTGCTGTTTGCTGGCCTCCAACTGCGCCTCCACTACTTCTTTGAGCCACGGAAATCATTTCACCATCGTCGGGGGATGATACTAGCGTATCAGCTCACGTTGCTGCTGGCGGATCAGTTGAAGATTGTTGATGAACCAGGAGGATTGCTCCGTTCCGCTCCAGTGATCTACCAGGACGCAATGATTTTTGCGTGCTTCCTTCTCCTAAAGGTGACGAAGAGCGATGATTATAATGGAGAGATTGATGTTGCAGCTGGCAAGACCGCCCTCCGTGTCTGCTTGACTAAGCTGCGCAACTGTGTTGCCGAGACTGACGATTTCCGGGCCAAGGTATATGAGCTGTTTGAAAGATTGCGAAGAAATGATCACGAATTACGAAGTGGTGCTACTCGTGAGCCCAACGCTAAATTGCGACCTCGATTCTCCGGCAGCCTCATTCATGACTTCCTCTGGATGTGGCGGAAGGAGCTGGGTGATTGGACAAGTGCGGGAGCTTCTCAGGGGGAGAGGTGAATGGCTCTATCGCGAGCGAAGCATTCGACCGTGTCAGCGCCGATGTATCGCTAGTAAGCCAGCTTCTAGCCCGTCTGTATATTTACATGGGTCCCTGCATCTTACCTTCCGCACCATGTCTCTGCTTGTGCTACTCGACAACGCCTCCGCATACAAAGGCGCCAACTCGGGTCCATACGTTGGCCTCAAAACCGCCAAGCTTCCCCAACGTTCTACCTTTTCACCACGGCTATCCAGTAGAGATACAACAGAAGCTGCGTCCATAGACTTGACTTCAGAGAGGGTAGCTAGAGAAAGAAACTCTTCTACGCCTTGCTTTGAAGGATACGATTAAGCTAAAGAGTACTATAACATTTTCCTCGACTGTCCTATCGAGGCGAACTTGCTGTCCTCGCTCTACCATGAATATCTGAAGTTTGGATTTTCCCAGTCTGTCATATCTTCGAAAGCCGTCTCATTCGCGCCGCTTTCCGTAACCGTCCCATTCCTGTCGCGACGTTTGTTCTCTGTGCTCAGATAGAATCGCAGCGAAACGATCATAACAATTCCAAGTGCCAGCACCGCTAGAGTTGGCTCTATCAGGCTGGGGTAGTGTTGCTTCGCCTCTGTGGTCTTGACGAGAAGTGGCCCGACAGCATTGGAGATCACTGTGAGTGACCATACAAGGCCGGATGTTATCGCCTTTTTCGTGTGTCCCGCCGTGTTCGCCGTCATCAAAGCCAATAGCATGACATATGCTACTGCAAAGAAAATGAGCAGGATGAAACCTGCTAGGGGAATGCCAAGGTTTTGCCAGCTCGACTTCCATATCATAACGCATCCAGCAATCACTAGAGCGCTCGAAAAGACGAAGGCATTGGCTCGCTGGTTTGGGAAGTACAAAAGACCAACTCTAGTAAGATCTCGGTTAGTAGCTGCTTCGAACTGAAGACGTTTGACGTGTACTTACCCAACCACAATAAGCGCAACGAACCCGACTCCGCCTGGAGTTCCGCTGAGTAGAACGGAGTCTAAGGAGGAGAAGCCAAAACTGCCAATGATGAGTGAGCCAAAGCCAGACACAGCTCCATTGACGAGCGTGATAGTGAAGGCTGTGAGGCCGAGTAGAAAAGTCTTAGGATCCATGAACGTTTCCTTGACGTGGTATAGTTTGAAGACTGTATTCTCGATACCGGTCTGAGAGGACCGCATGCGCTTGACCGCTAGGACGCGCTCATCTGACGAGAGGAACTTAGCCGTCGTGGGATTGTCCGGCAGGACACATGCCCCAATGACGCCCCATACAGCCGTCAAAGATCCAAGAATAATGTACTGGTATCTCCAGGGGTGTAACGATCCGTGAATATGACCAACACCGTAGAACGCAATGCCGCCAATGAGGCTGCCGAGTCCGGAGGCTGAATACCATATAGCTAGACGAAGGGGCTGCTCGTCGCGCCGATACCACATTGAACAGATGAGTGAAAAGGCGGGCGCCGGCGTACATTCGCAAATCCCGAGGAAGAACCTAACAAGTCCACTCATCAGGAGACGGTCGAAAGTGGGAGGAGGGGAGGGAGGGAGTCGGCATACCGGTTGACCATGAGACCAGCGTAAGAATTTACGCCTGCAGTCGATATGGTGACGATACCCCAGATGGCTATCGAACACCCCACAAACTTGCCTATTGGCAGGCGTTGTGCAAGATAGGTGGCCGGAAGGATTGTGCAAATTGTAAGCACAGCTACTGGTTGCGAGAAATTGGACCCATACTTCCAACGAAATAACCCCAATAGAATACCATGACTGCGTACGAAAACCTTTCGAGGCTGACCTGCGGTTTCCCATCGACGATGACCTCCTGAGACAGATCGAGGTCTTGAAGAAGACCAAATTGAGCGGCGCTATTGAGAATGCCTTTGTCCGTGTATTGGAAACCCCAGCTCAAAAAGAGGACTGGCATCAACACCATGTCAATGCGCCGCAGATATTTCCGTTCTGCCGCTGGGGAAAATTCCATCTGATCAGCGAGTTCCGAGTATTTTGCTCCCACATCGTTAATGTTGTCTTCGACTGGCGGTATCTGCTGAGGGTTTTCATCATGACTGACGTCTCCCTTGGCGAGCTCAGTCATAGGCAGCGACATATTCAAATGTGGTTTCTATAAATGATGAAAAATGAGCCTCCTCAAGCAAAAAGGAGAGAAACATTGTATGCATTCTTATGCAAATTTCCATTCGGAACAGTACAAAATCAGGCGCGCATGTCTCCATCGGTCCGTACCGGCTTGTGATATGATTGATCGCAGCTGCTCGTTAGCCGTTTTTCCGTCGCAAGGCTGCGCTCCAGATTCCACGTCGGCGCCGTACCGGTACCGCTCGGCAAGCGCTCAGGCTGTTTTTGCCAAACTCAACTCATTTAAAGACCAGTCTCTCTGTGTACAGCCAAGGCCCACAGGTTGACCTACCTACTCAATTACGGCAATTTACAACATGGCACAAGACAGCCTGGCAGAACTCAACGCCCAAGACATAGCACCAGGGGCCACGAGCGATCTTGCAGCCTTTGCATCAGCACTTCGCTTTGATGATATCCCGGCAGAGGTTGTTTCTAAAGTGAAAGAGCTCATACTGGACAACATCGGCGTGATTTTCCATGGCAATCAGACACCGTGGGCGAAAATGATTGCAGAGATGGCGACAGAAAGCGGTGCCACTGCCCGCTCCTCCATCGTGGGCCACGGCGTCAAGACATCGCCCGCGCAAGCAGCCCTGGTCAACGCAACAGGAGGCCACTCCTTTGAATTCGATGAGATCCATCGCGACGGCGGGTTCCACCCTGGATCCATCATATTACCAGTGGTATTGGCGCTCGCGGAGTCTGAGGGCGGACGAACCGGACAGGACTTCATTACTGCCACGGTGGCTGCGTATGAAGTCGGATGCCGTGTCGGCATGTCGACGGGCGCTGGGCTCTTTTTCAGAGGTCATCATCCCCAAGGCGCTGTCGGCCCCTTCGCGGCAGCCACGGCTGCTGCAAGAATTCTCAATCTAGATGCGGCAGCCACGGCTGCTGCAAGAATTCTCAATCTAGATGCGGCAGACACTCAAAACGCCATCGGAATCGCTGGCTCAGCCGCGGCAGGACTCATGGCTGCCCAAGAAGGGTCGATGGTCAAGCGTATGCATGCCGGGTGGGCCGCCCAGAACGGCGTGTACGGTGGTCTGTTGGCTCGCAAAGGCTTCACGGGGATTTCAAACGTTCTTGAAGCGTCCTTTGGAGGCTTTCTACAGACCTTTAGTAGCGGCCCTCTTCCGGAAAACTTGCAAACCAATCTGGGCAAAACATGGGAGACTCTTAACGTCGGGTACAAGCCGTACGCTACAGTGGCAAGCATTCAGACCGCACTCGACTGCCTTCGCATCATCATCCAGGATCATTCGCTGACTTCGGACGACATCGAAAAGATTGACATCGGATGTTCTAAGATCACGTACCATCACTGCGCCTGGGCGTACAAACCAGCCGGTGTGACTGCTGCACAAATGAACCTGTTCTACAGCCTGGCCGTACTTGCGACCGATGGTGATGCCGGCATGGGTCAATTCGAACAAGATCGCTTGCAAGAACCAAAGCTTCTCGGCTTGATATCACGAATGGAGGCTCATATTGACACCGAGATCGAAGGCATGGGACGTACCTTTCGCCACGCGGCTAGGGTGAATGTGCGAACAAAGGACGGGCAGCAATTCGAGAAGACGGTACTTCAACGGCGAGGCTCGCCAGACAATCTGGCGCAGCCTGGGGACATTGAGGCAAAGTTCAACAAATTAGCGGGCACAGTCCTCAGTGAAGGCGGTGTGCAAAACGTGCAACGGTTGGTTGAGGATTTGGAGAATGCTCCGTCACTTGACGAGCTTTTCAAGGTTTTGAGGGCGAAAAATTGAACATTCGAGCAAATGTAAATTAGTGTTAGCTATGACCTGCATACAAAAAGTTTGACATAGCTCGTGACGCTGTCGGTCTACCTCCCCTACCTAAGTAAGCTAGGAGAAATCGATATTCCGCATCGCCTATGTTCTCTTACTAACCTAGAATCTGAAAGCTAGCAGCAATGCTCTAATCAAGTTCCATTGAAAACTTTGGTTGCAATTCGAAGTCACAGGTAAGCACCGAGAGCCAGAGCCCTATAAACCTGGTCTAGAAGCGACAGGCATTTTACCTAAGTCTGCAGCGGTGTGCGAAGTCGGCTCCGGAGGTATTGCTATGTCCACCGAACATCGCTCAACAGTGAGCCCCCTCTCCCTGTGCGGCTTGCGGCTGCGTCGAACGTCAGGCCCTCTGTTTCAGGCCGCGAAAAGCGACGCTTATCAATCTGACGAAATTGCCTTACACCAAGCACGAAGCATATGTCGCAAATGATAACCCGTATCGCGGACTTCAGTTTAGTCACACATCTAAGAGATCTGGGAATTACAAGAAAGTACTCAGTACTACGAGACGACCACGGCAAGGAAAGACTTCGCGTGGCCTTAGGGCGGTGCGCAGGCCTACCAAGGGAGACGATGGCAAAGCCATGAACAGATTGTAGGAAATTTGTCAACTAGTCTCATGCCTCGACGGGCATTGACTATGTGGTCACGAACAGAGCAACATCCTTGCATAACAAGTATCCCTTCCCACTCTGCTTTCCTTTTTCCACATTGCCGTCAAGAATTGTCCATTCTATCCTCCTGTTTGAATGTATTCCTCCGAACAAGGTTCGGTGTTCTGCGAATCATCCAATCTCATCGAATCTCATAAGGCAGTCGTTGCTCGCCGAAAGACGAGCTAGTCTTGTGAAGCGTGACCAACGGTCTTTCCAATTTCATAAACGCCAAAGCCGCCATTGTAAGTAGGTGGGTCGTAGACGGCCACGTTCTATGTATCTCGTGCTGTCGTTGTAATCGTCCTTCTGATCGAATGTTTACTTCATTGTAGTCATAAAAGCCAGAGTCTCGACGCTGGGTCGGTCAGCCATTCTCCTCAGTTGCTTCTCACGAGGTGATAGAGTCCGCTTCGAAGACGTGATGAGTGGTGTCGTCTCTTTAATCAACTAGATTGTTGAAGCTGTCGACTTAATGGACGAAGAGTCGGACTTGATAGTCTTTGTGGACAACATTGTGGTCGATAGAGCGACGTGACGGTAGTGTTGTGGTTGTTTATCGTCAACGTACTTGAACAGAGGACATTCCATATATATTTCACTTATCAAGTGCTAACAGAGCAACGCAAATTGATCTTGCTGGTGCTTGATGTAATGTGAAAGTGAATCATCACAAGAACCAATCGAGCTACTTGTATTATATGAACGGCCGGTCTCATGGCACCATCGGAGTCGTACATTGCTTTGAAATACAACCCTGAATTGAGGCTTTGGGATCCTTATCTTGTCAGGCCACCTGAACAGTCTAGAGTTTAAAATCATACTTAGGATTAGACATCCAAACCCAACACGATTTTTGTAAGCAAAGAAAGTAGTCAAGTTTTGCAGGCACCTTTGAACTATACTGCGTTCAACCGGTGTTGATGCATCAACTGTGGAGTTCACAATGCGTCGTTGAAATCGTCGACTTCGTCGTGCTTGCTACAGCAAGACTCTATCACGATCGAAGAACACGACACACTTTGTATCAATCTGCAGGGATCCATGTGAAAGGCACCTCGCACCCCATGTCGATTCGCACCTACATGCGTGGTCACTTCGTCTTCTGGCGCCCTCCACTAAGAAAAGTGCGGCGAGTGACACTGTCGTCTCAAGGCGGAAATCCCACTCTCCTCATCCTGGGAAGCCGCATACTGCGCATACTGCTGTTTTTCCTTGGCCTCCCCCGAATCCCTCTCCACAGCCTGCTCGCCATCATCGCCTTCGATGGTGCCATCTGCACCAATCGCACTGCACACCCATTGCTCACCTTCCAACACGACGCCCCCGGTACGGCTTCGATCAAGTACTCCAGCATCGCCGACGACATCACCCCGACCCATTGCCCTTCGCCGGTCACCTTGACACTCGTGCCCGAGATCACGCTGCTGAGGACGGCGAGCCACCACGCTTCGTGCGATGCCCACCGCCGCCGCATCTTGTCCGAACTCTCCCGCACTGGGTTGTGGATCTCTTTGGCGACGTCTCGCCGTAATACGATCCCTATTTTCTCCTCGCACCCATCACTCGACAAGACCGAAACCATTCGACTGTACGCCGACCATGAGAACGTACGTTCCGTCTTGACCCATTCGTCCAGCTGGTGCGTCGCTTGCTTCCATCACACGTGCCGCATTTCACACGCGAGTCCACTTCTTCGAATGTCTTTCCACCGCCCGCGCCATGAAACCCTACGTCTTTGGTATCCACATCGCACTGCAAAACGACCGAAGTCGAAAAGTTGAGATACTCGCTGTGTTGGTGGTTTCTTTTCGGCCCCAGAGATGCTGCATGGAGCTCAGTTCTGTCGTTCGCGATAGGAGACTGCTGTGGACAATTGCGCCAGCCGTGCAGATAACTCCTCGGTTTCGCCTCATTTGCCCTGCCCTTTTTTGAACCAGAATCGCTTTGAAAGAAATCAGGGGGACCGATCGCTGCATCAATCAGCGACATATGGCACTATCTTTGCCTCGAGTGTTACTACTCTAGGTGCGCGTATCATTATCCCGTCTGTTCTCCGTCATGGCCTCTCAGGCTTTGTTGTTGACATATGTCTACTTCTTCTTGGTGACATGCCTGGGCTGATCTACAGATCTCATCGAGCGCAACGGAAAGCACTTTCAGCCACCTCGACCAAGCCCCGACATGGACGGTACAGCGGCAAACATGCATTAATGTTGGCTTCCGGGTTGGTCATCGTAGCCCTGGGTGCTTTCGCATGCCGTGGAGGTAAACTGTGAAGACGTCCTTCGGCTAAAACTGCCGTCCAGGACATGCGCTAGCGAACTTTGGCCATCTAAAACAACCACGCGACCACCCGCCGATACATCCTCGACCACTTCCACCTCCAGGCTCCCCGACTGCCCAATACACATCCACCATGACGGCCGTCAGCGCCGAGGAAGGTGTGGCCGACCTGAAGCTCGCTGGAGACTCCGGGTCGGTCGCCAAACAGAACGGCTCCAAAGCAAACGCAGCAAACGGCGATTTAGAAGGCGGCGACTCGGACGACGACGAGGCCGACGAGGGCGAAGAGCAGCAGCAGGGCGGCGCGGGAGACGGGGCGGCCAAGAAAAAGAAGAAGAGAAAGCCGAGAAAGAAGAAGAAGGCCGGCACAGGCGCAGCTGGCGGAGGCGCAAAAGCCCAGACCTCTCCTCCCACCAGGAAAGTCGCAGATCTGTTCCCAGACAACTCGTACCCCGTGGGTGAGGAGGTGGAATACAAGAACGACAATGCTTTCCGAACGACGAACGAGGAGAAGCGCCATCTGGATCGCATGAATCAGGACTTCTTGACCGATTACCGCCAGGCGGCCGAGGTGCACCGAGAAGTGCGGAAGTATGCGCAAAAGATGATCAAGCCCGGCATGAGCCTGACGGAGATTGCTGAGGGGATTGAGAACGGGACAAGGCATTTGACGGGCCATATGGGTCTGGAGGAGGGGGATAACCTAATTGCGGGTGTTGCGTTCCCCACTGGGTTGAGCTTGAACCACTGCGCAGCGCACTACACTCCTAATGCAGGCAATAAGATGGTGCTGAAGGAGGAAGATGTCATGAAGGTGGATTTTGGTGTTCACGTCAATGGTCGTATCGTCGACAGCGCCTTTACCATGTCCTTCCAACCCCAGTACGACAACCTGCTGGCTGCGGTAAAGGATGCAACAAACACCGGTGTGAGATTAGCCGGTATCGACGCTCGCCTGGGTGAGATTGGAGAAGGTATCCAAGAAGCCATGGAGTCCTACGAGGTCGAGATCAATGGCACGACGTACCCCGTAAAGTCCATTCGCAACTTGAACGGCCACACCATCGGACACTACAGCATCCACGGCGGCTCGGCCGGCAAGTCTGTGCCTATCGTCAAAGGCGGTAGCAACGAAAAGATGGAGGAAGGTGAAGTTTACGCCATCGAAACATTCGGCAGCACAGGCAAAGGTATCGTGCGCGACGACATGGAGACATCTCACTACGCCAAGGTCGCCGACGCACCAAAGGTCGCCTTGCGGGTTGCCTCGGCAAAGACGCTCCTCCGCAGCATCGACAAGAACTTTGGCACACTTCCATTTTGCAGACGGTACTTGGACCGACTCGGTCACGAGAAGTACCTGCTGGGATTGAACAACCTTGTTCAGAGCGGCATCGTGCAGGATTACCCACCTTTGGTCGATGTCAAGGGAAGCTATACGGCTCAATACGAGCACACCATTCTCCTCCGCCCTACCGTAAAGGAGGTGGTAAGTCACGGCGACGACTATTGATCGACGGGAATGAATTACGAGTGCTGACTACGCATGGAAACGGCGTTTGACTACTTCACACTTTGTGTCATGAGTATACAGGGGCAAATCATCAAAAGCGGTCTCTCCTTCTTGGCGTCTTATTACACTCCCAAGAATTTTCTATCGCTCAATGAGACTTCACATCGCGAATATCGGCGCCGTAGAACCTCCACGCCCTCTCGACTTCCAAGTCATCTCTACCCTTGTTGTTCGTCAGCAGGATCTCGGCGCCCTTCTCAGGCTGGCAGTATGTCACCACCTCCGTCTGCACAACATCAGTATGGACAACACCTTCCTTAGCAACCCACCCCTCACTCACCTTCCCAATCGTCAACTTCAGCGAGCCCTCGATCGTAGGCTGTGGTTTGTAGACTGCCGATGGTTTCCTCCCTCGGATCCTCGACAGGATGTTCTTCTGCACGACGGAGGCTTGGAAGAACGCCGCCCGGGCCATCTTGGGTCCTCCTGTTTCTGCTACGTCGCCGAGGGCGAAGATGTTTGTCGCAGTCTTCTGTTTAGTGGAGACCTGCAGGGTTGGGTGGACTAAGATCCGGCTTGTGGACGTGCAGATGGCGTCTGGGGTGAGGGTTGAGAGGATGCTGGAGTGTGGTGTTTGGCGGGTGCAGGGGATCTGTGACTTGGTAAGCACCGTGAATGACAGATGTTGTGAAAGGACTTACTACGATATCATAGTCGACGACGGAGCCATCTCTCAGGGTGAGCGACGTCGACCCCTTTTCTCCATTCTCGGTCTGGCCATGTCGCATCTCGGGCCTCTCATCAAGCAGAACCTCCACCCCAAGCTTCTCCAAACTACCCAAGACATGCGTATGCAATCTCGGCCCAAACCTCGGAAGAAGCTGATTTCGAGAATGGATCAGCGTCACCTGCTTATCAGGATAATAACTCTTAACGTCCGCCACCAGCTCGACACCAACAGCACCGCCTCCAACGACAGCAACTCGCCCAGCGGCCTCGATAGCTTGCTGGTACGCTCGCAGCTCCTGACAAGCCTCTCCACGATCAGTGGCGCTCAACTTTGCCGGAGGACTCTGACTACACCCCGTCGCCATCACCAGGAAGTCGTACGGGATCTGTTCCCCAGACTGCAGAAGTACCACATCGCTCTTAACATCCGCAACCGATCCACGTACATGTCCGAGACTACCCACCGGCAGGCTCTTCGCGATATGGTCGTACGGGATGAAAGCGAGCCGCTCATGCCCCTGCAAAACGGTATACCTGGGAAAATTGAAAGTATAGTTAAAATGCGAGTTCCTCTCGATCAGAACAACTCTATAACCCGTCGGTACGCTATTCGCCAATCTCTGCGCGACCTGAATCCCCGCGAACGATCCGCCTACGACGATGATGTTCTTGGGCGAGTCGACGGGGTTGTAGGTGTGCTTGTGAATGACGATGCGGAGTTGATCGAGGAGGGCGGAGAGGGCGTATGGGGTGATGAACTTGATTGCTAGGAGGATGAGTCTGAGGGTGTCGAAGGCCATGGTGGCGAGTGGGGCAGTTGAAAGAGACGGATGAGATGATCTGATAAGATACAGCGGAAATGAGAATGTAAGTGAATGCTTTCTACTGGAGCTGGGGGCCGAGTTCGGAGGGGTTTCGATAACGGATGCAGATGATGCCGCTGCCGATGGCAGTTTGCAGATGGTTAGGAACAGGCAATGGAGGTGAGTCAATGTCTCTTTCGTACGGATGCCTGATCGGAGAGTCCGCGGCGGGTCGTGCGAAGCGCACATTCCTCCATGGTAGTTCATCTTCGCAAGGAATACCTCTCCAATAATGGGGGATGTGAGGCGCTTCTTGGATCGTTGTTTGACTCAGCTCATTTAATGTGCGGACTCCGCGGATCTTATCTCAAGAGTCCTGTCGCTTGCAAGATTTGGCTGAAACCCCCTTTGCCATTTGACTGCCGAATCCTAAACGATCCACCCAATCCTTCCAGATTCAACTTCACCTGCACGACCAAAGGAACGTAACGCCCTCTACACTCGCCAAAGCAACCAGAAACATAGATCCCCACCCCTCCACCCCAACACCCACCTCCCCCTCCAAAAAATCAAACATCAAACATCGCACTCCCCGGCCCCGTCATCAACGTCAACCGATCACAAACCCACTCCCCATCCGCGCGCCTCGTCCACCTCGTAACCTCCACACACTCCCTCACAATGGCACTACTCGTCTCAAAAACCGCCTTCACGGCACTCGTACTCCTCAACGTCGCCTTGCCCCTCCCCTCATCCACATCCACCAAAATATCCGTCGGCTCGACGCGCAGGTTCGGGGCGTCTTGGGTGAGTGCGACGAGGTGGGCGTAGTATTCGTCGCGGGTGGTGGCGTTGAGGAAGGCGTTGGGGCCTTCGGATTCGTATCTGAAGTTGGGGGAGAGGTATTTTTCCATGACGGGCTTGTAGTCGGTTATCGGGTGGTCGTTCAGGTAGGAGACAAGGAGGGTGCAGAGGCGTGAGAGGTAGGCGGGGGCGGGCATGGTGGTTGGGTCGGGGAAGCCTTCGAGGGGGTTTGGGGAGGGGGGTTTTGTGCTGATGGAGGTGGACATTATTTGGGAGGGTTTGCGGGTTCTTTTTGCAGAAGTTCCTTGGGTTTGAGACGAGGAAGATATTGATATTGATTCGAAGGCAGAGAGTAGGATAAGAAGAATGAAGTAGGATCTTAAAATGAACACCTACATACCCCTAGATGCATCCGCGTACACTGCCCGCAAGGTTGATAGAATTTAGTGTCTCAGCTGCCCACTTCGGTGTTGAATCCGATGTGGTCCGTTGGTGCATTAGGGCGAACGCTGACACGCATGTCCAGTTCTGGGCGGCTATGTTTGCCATGCGATTGTCTCAATAATCTCAAGTGGTATACGAACAAGTCCAGCCTCGGACGACGATCTCTAGATCCGGTGTTGCGTGGACATATCGAAGGAATGCGTTGAGTGTAGGCGCTGACAAGTCTGAAGGAAGAACCACAAATCCAGCCAAGAGTATTTGCTCTTCTGCACTGCCATGGAGAATGCCGAAGAGAACGCGAGGTAATCTCGCACCTGGTTGCAAGCAAGCAGCGAAAACCCCTGCCCGGCCCAGCCGCAAGCGTGCAGGTTCGATGCAGCATGGAAAAAGAACAAGTGGAGACGCTCCAACAGCTCGAGCTTCGTGATCCTCCAAGGCACCAACGTGCGCATTGCACATATTCATCAATTCATCAGCCACCTCATGTCCGGAGCGGCAGCCCCCGAGAAGTACTTATATACTGTACCTCCATCACTTGACCAGCACCCGCAGACCCTGAGACCCTTTCTTCGGAAAGGGAATCATGTACTCCCGCGCCATGTCGATATCGTCCTCCCTCGTCGTCTCGAACAGCTCCAGGTTGAAGCGACGGAACACGGCTGCTAGCGTCAGGTAAAGCTCTGCCGTAGCGAGGTTTTCGCCCAGGCATCTTTCGATTCGATCATCCGTTAGCCAAGACTTCGTTACGATTCATAAACCATGACCACTTACCTTCTTGTCCCTTTGCTGAAAGGCACGACATACTTCTTCCGTTTCTGCCCTTCCTCGCCCAAGAACCGCTCGGGTTGGAATTCGTTCGGCGATGGGAAGATTTCTTCGTTTAGATGGATGTGCAGCGCACTCATTCCCACTGGCAAGCCGGCGGGTATTGTCCAGTCGCCGTATTTGATCGGTGTGTAGGGAGAGATTCTTGGCATGCGATGGACGACGCCATGGCTTAGTCGGTGGCCTTCTGCGACGACTGCGTTGAGATATTCTAGCTTCTCCAAGGATGCCAGTGGTGCGAGGGTGCTCGGGTCTGGTATTGCCTCGTTCAGCTCTTGCTGCAGTTTCTTGAGGATTCTGGGATTGTTGAGGATGTGGAATGTGGTGTTCGCGAGATGGGCCGCTGAAGTTGTAATCTGGGTAAGGAGGTTAGTAAGTCCTAATCTGAAGATATTTGGTGGTAGACTCACTCCAGCACCAATGATGACCTGAGCCTGGTTGACGAGATTGAACGTGGACCGATCTTCGGGTGGCAGGTCAGGACTGTCGAGCATCTCATTGAAGACCGTACGCCGCTCTTCTTTCTTCTCCTGGACTCGCTCTTTTTGAACCTCCCTAACTTGTACCTCGAGGTACTGCATCAAAGTCAGCCAGATCCTTGCTCGAGAGATCACTAGCAGCATACACTTTGGACCTTCATCAGGGCATCCACGCCAGGCCCAAGGAGCCAACCCCAAGAAGGCGGAATCTGTCGCATCAAAGCACGAATGGGTGGGCAGAACTCCATGAGCCATAACCCGTCAGCGGCCTCATCGAAGCCATCGATCAAGACCTTCTCGAAATCCGGACTGTCAAGAGCTCGCTGGGATTTTCCGAATGAATAACCCGAGATGACATCCAAAGTCAGGGACGAGTATGCATGCTTCAGCGAGAGAGGCTTTTGCGAAGCTCGAAACTCCGTTATTCGTTGACATAGCTTTTCCACCCGTTCCAAGATGGTAGATGAGAGCTCGCCAACCGACTTCTTCGAGAATAGTGCATTGAGTGGCGCTCTTCTTTGCCGGTGCTTCTCATGCGATATGGTAGCGAAGACAGAGGTCGTCTCTCCCACGCTGTCCACGAACAAGAACGTCAGCCACGGTCATTCCAACCCTCAGATGTCGCTTACCTATGCGTCACAAACGGATATTTATCTCTCGGATTCCCATGACCACTATACAACTGCTCATGAAACTCCGGATCGATAACGTGCAGCTCATACGGCGAGATCCTGATGATCGGGCCGTACTTGTCATGGAGCGCTTTCAGCAGAAACGTATACTGGCCTCCGAGTATTACATCGTAGTAGAACTCATAGTTGTGCGTCAAAGCGGCGAGCTTGGGGCCAGGGAATCCGCTCAGCGGGTGGAAGAGGAGTCTGTCGACGCATTTCCAGATCGCACCGCCGATGCAAATGCCAATGAATGTGCCGATGTTTGGCTGTGTGGTGATCACGATGGCCAGCTGCTGGAGAGCTGATGGGAACGATGACAGTGATGGGAGCCATCCCACGTTATGGAGCTTTTGGCAGGCGAGTTTGCTGAGCCACAAGGCAAAGAAAGCCGCCGATGTCCTGAGTACGACCCACGCCCCAGCTAAGAGGGATATGACTGCATTCGCAGAGAGAGTCGGTCGTTGCTCCATGTTGTGTATGTGCTAACGGTGCAGAGAATTGACGGGCGAGGTCGAGTCTTACATACATATGAAGGGTGTTTCAAGTTCTTATTCGTAAACGCGAGAAACCGAGTCGAAAGCCAGGGTTGCGTTCCATCCTTCGATGAGAAGTATATGCTGACCGGTTTTGGATCCGCTTGCGAAAGGCGGAGTTGGATTCATTGTAGGGCTCGAGAGTCTTAGTAAGGTCATCCTGAGGTCGATCCTTGCGGCTGACAATTGCTGGCATCAGTACTTGTTCGCGGTTCCTCGCTTGTCTGATGGTCTCATAGTTGATGAAGCGAGGAAAAGTGTGTACGTCGAGGTGTAGAACTTGGTAAGGACGGCAAGTGAGACAGGGGGCGCCCAATGTGGAAGGAGTGAAAGATCGCCTCACCTTCCTCCGGCATTTCAAACGCATACCGGCGGCAAGCATACCGAGTTCTGCACCACCACATCATGTGCTCATTCAAAAGCCGTGTCTCTGGTCGCCGGCCTTTTTTGAACCATCTCACATCTGCAAACCCAGAATTCGACTGCAGAAGATCGACGCAACATTCAGCATCAACTTTAACATGGCCGCACTAGGGCGCCTCGCCAACAAAGTCGCCATCGTCACAGGAGCAGCTTCAGGTATCGGCAGAGCCATTGCGTTCGCATACCACAAAGAAGGGGCTCGGGTGGTTTGTGCCGATATTCGTGAGACGACGAAATATACAGGAAGCCGGGAGGAGGAACGCACCACCCACGAAAGTATCAAGGATATGGGAGGCAAAGCAATTTTCAACCAAGTTGATGTCTGCAAACCTTCATCGGTGGAGAGTCTTGTCAAAGCTGCGGTGGATGAGTTTGGGAGGCTGGATGTCATGGTTAATAATGTGAGCTTCGAAACTTCATCGTCTATTCGATCTACTAATGTTTCGTAACTAGGCCGGCGTCTCTTTAGAGGCACACGCAGGCTTCAAGCCCGTCTGGGAGATCGATCAAGACATTTGGCAAGGCACGCAAGACGTTAACTCGACTGGAGTCTTCCTCGGAATCAAGTATGCCGTGCAGCAAATGCTTAAACAAAATGCACATACATCAGGCGACAGGGGTTGGATCATCAACACCTCATCGATCCTGGGCTATGTAGGAGCAGACCACACCGCTGCATACTGCGCCTCGAAAGGAGCCGTCCTCAACCTCACGAGAGCCGCGGCTCTGGATTGTGCGCCGCACAGGATTCATGTTAATGGTATTGCCCCTGGGTACACCGAGAGTTCGATGACCGGGCCTATTTGGAAGGATGAGAAATTATATGCAAAAGTTGCCGCGAACCATCCTTTCAGGGGGCTTGGGAAACCGGATGATCTGGCCAAGGCGTGCGTTTTCCTTGCCAGTGAGGATGCCCAGTGGGTTACTGGACATACATTACCTGTTGAGGGAGGGTATCTTGCTCGATAGATCTCGACTAAATCTATACATTTGTACATGCGAGAGCTTGTCGCTCAACGACCATCACAAAATCAATCCTTGCCACGGCCACCCTCATTGCGACGGTCGAAGTCGCTCCTCAATTCCTCTAGAGCTGAGATCCTTACTCGACAACCTGGACCCCAGTAGACATGGACATTGGCGAGTACTCAGCTTCCTCCTGAGTCATCTCAAACCCAAAAACCGTCTCGTGAGTCTGGTGGAAATCAAGGCCCGAACGAATCTCCCTAGATAACCATGTCAGCAAACCCAACCAAGCGAAAATACCATCCGACTTACTCATCCGTCGCAAGAACTTCAAGACCAGGAACGCAATCGATCAAAGCAATGATAACGTAAGATCCGATGAAAGCCCACGCAAACCCAATGGCTGCCTCTACGATCTGGACCCACAGCTGCCTGACATTACCGTCGAAGACAACACCACCGGCAACTTCAACACCTCCATACGCGGCGACTTTCTTCTGTGCGAAAATCCCAGTCATGACGGTGGCGAGCAGTCCTCCAACACAGTGGGTAGCGAATGTGTCGCCGTTGTCGACCCATCTCCATCGTCGAGCGAAGTCCGTGAATTTGATCCGCAGAGCCTGGCGACAGACGAGTGCACCCACAACGCCGAACAGGAGCGAGGTGGGAAGATCGATGAAGCCCGCGGCGGGCGTTATCATGACCAGACCAGCGATGGCGCCCATGAAACAGGAGTCGATTGACCACCTGCGATCCTCAGCGAATGTTATCAGCATCCAAGTGATAGCGCCCGCTGAGGCACAGAGGTTCGTAACACACAGAGCCATGACGGATTGGAAGGTGAGACTCAAAGTTGTGCCTGCGTCGAAAGCGAGCCATGAGCCCCAGATGATAACCATGGCGATGATCTGCGAGTAGGAGTTACCAGGGCCGTGGAGAGCGATGTGAGTGGGTGTTCGGGATTTCGCTTTGCGGGAACGGAATAGGGGCCAGGATAAGTAGATGCTCAGGGCGGATGCTGAGGCGCCAGAGCAGACGTGGACGGGGGTGCCTACCCCGAATTAGTCGCCTTGACAGGATACATCACCCTCACCACTTACCTCCAGCGAAGTCAAGAACACCAAGCGTCTCCCCAAGATAACCCCCTCCCCAGACCATGTGCGCCAGAGGACAGTATACGAACGTCGACCACAGCTGCTCAAAAGATCAACACCCTGCCCCAAACACTACTCTAGCCAAGCCAACTTACAAGAATAAAAGGCACCAACGGCATCAACCTCCTACAGAACAAAAAAAAACCATCAGCATCAGGTTCATCCTCATGCCCAACTATCCTCATGCCCAACTCTCCACCCACACATCCCTCCCAAATCCAGCCCTCCGTAAGAAAGAAAACACTACTCACCCCCTCTCCGCAACCCCCCCAACAGCAATCGCACAAACCGTCGCCTCAAAAACCAACTGAAACTCACTAAACAGCACCGCCGGGATCGTGCCAACAGGCTGATCCAGCACACCAATATGAAATGCATTTTTAAGGTCGCCAAAGACTGCACCAGTTTCGCCATACGCTAGAGTGTAGCCGATCAGGAACCACTGGATGGAGCAGACGGTGATGGTGAGGATTGAGGGGAGGAAGGCTGTTAGGCCGTTGCGGCGCCAGGAGTAGCCGGAGTAGGCGATGCCGACCTGCGGGAGTTGGTCAGTGTTGAGAGGGTTTTGGGGGTGGGGTTTGGGGGTGGTGGTTACGGCGGGGATGATGGGCCAGCAGATTACGGTGCAGACGAGCACGAAGAGGGTGTCGGTTCGGTCGCAGGCTTGCCAGCCTGTTGGTGGGCTGCTTGTCGTCGCTGTCATTGTAGAACTATACATCTGAATATAATGCTCAACGAGTTCTCTGGGATTGAGACAACTAGGACAACTTCAGATGAGGTCCCTCCTCGCCAAAGCAAATCCACTCCCTGCCCTCCAGGGCTGTTGATTGATATCGAAACTTAGATAAGACTACCCTTGTCCTTCACAGTTGTGGCCAATCGCAGCGCGGCCGTTGGCGCTAGTCGAGATATTGCCCAGACTGGGCATCGCGTGGAAGGAAAAGTGGGACCTCGAGTGAGTGAAGTGTTCGACGTCGCTTCGAGGAGGATATCTCAATAGTGCTGAAGAGATGCTTGATGTCCTCAGCGTCTCGATTGGAAGGTCTTTCGAAAATCGATGGAGGCAACAGACAATGTTCCGCCGTGGAGTTCCACATCCCACATCTCACCACTCCAGATCGTACTTGACGATTCCATGGAACCTACAACAGAACACCTTCCACCGTCCCCAAACCCATTTGAAATCACAATCCCATCCTCAAGCCATCGCAACACCTTTTGTCAGCTCAAAATGCCCAAAACCAGCCCTCTGAAAACAAACACGGCGCCTCGCAACCATGATAAGTAATCCGCCCCAGCCCTGTACGCGGAGCCTCGACATGCGAAGCCCGACTGACGCACGGTATCCATACTGTCAATGGCGTTGTATGGAGACGATGATTAGAGTGGTGTTGGTAATGTCGTTCATGGTGGTTGTTGGTTTAAAGGGGCTGTGTAGCAGCAGGTCCTTGAGATTGTTGTCCGCATCGATCCAGCAACGCGCAGCACAACTTTTCCAACAGACCGAAACCCTCACCAAGACCCATCAACCCCCTAGGAAGCCTTTTCCAAAATGCAGCCTCCACTCCCCTCCTTCACCGCCGAGTGGCACAACACAAGCTACGCATCCATCTCCCCGTCTAGGCCCGAACTCTCCGTCGCCGGCAAAACCATCGTCATCACCGGCGGCGGCAACGGCATCGGCGCCCGCATGGTGCGCTCCTTCGCCGAAGCAGGCGCTGCCCGTATCGCCATCACCGCTCGCCGCGAGCAGAACCTGAAGGACGTCAAAGCCAAGACTGAGGCCGCATTTCCCAAGACCAAAGTCGACTACTACGTCGGGGACGTCGTCAATGAGGCGGACGTCAAAGCCGCCACGGCCGGGGTCGGCAAGTGGGATGTGCTGGTTTTGAACGCCGGGTATCTCTCCAAGCGGGAGGCGATCGCGAAGGCGGATTTCGGGGAGTGGTGGCGCGGGTTCGAGGTGAATCTCAAGGGGACGTTTTTGGTTCTGCAGGCGTTCACGCCGACGGCGAAGGAGGGTGCGGCGGTGATTGGGATGTCGAGTGGTGTGGTTACTTTCTCGTCGGAGATGGCGCAGACGGCGTCGTCGTATGCGGCGAGCAAGATTGCGCTGAATAAGGTCATGGAGGTGTTTGCGGCGGAGCATCCGCAGTTGAATGTTAAGGTGTTTCATCCGGGGGTGAGTTTGGACAGATCTTATGTGTGATCGGAGATTTGCTCACATCTTTTGCAGGTTATCGAGACTGAAATGTTGGCAAAGTCGGAGCTTTCAGGTCTGCCTATCGACGATAGTAAGCACAGTAACCCGGAGCCTTGAAACAGCCAAACTGATCGTATCATCACAGTCTCCCTACCCGCCGACTTCGCCGTGTGGTTCGCAAGCAAAGAAGCAGACTTCATAAAGGGACGCTTCGTCAGCTGGTCAGTATACTGAATCCTCACCCTGTAAGTCTCTTCTATCGAAAAGCTGACCTCGAAACAAAGCAACTGGGACGTGGACGAATTGAAGAAGAAAGCCGCTCAGTTTGAACAGAATCCATTGCTGCTGACATCAAACATCCTTGGCTGGTACCCTGGTCAGATTTGAGATGACATAGATGAAGCAGGATGGCTCACGAGCAGCTCTAAACGGCGCAGCCTTTTGCTCTAGTCTAATTTGATCATGAGAACTACAACTAGCCTTTGTCAGCAGCCTTCTTCTTTCCTCACAGCAGACGGAGGACGCTCACTTCGCCAAATCTCAATGCTGCCCCTGAATCCTTATTCCTCCCTTGTTGGAAACGGACCTTCTCTTCTGAGAGACAGAAGTAGTTGACTCTCGAGCTATAACCGTGGAAAGGAGGTTCAACTGGAGCTTCGTGACGCCTCGATGTCCATGTGAGCTTGCGGAAACGTCCTACGATCTGGACAGTTGGTGCAAGTATGCTCGATGCAGGACCGCCTTTCGAATGTCGTTTAACAGCTCATGTATTAGCAGTGTCCTTCTGGCGACAAAATGGCCAACAGATGCACTAAACCTGTGGCATCTCATCGCTCCAGACAGTGTCCCGGCGACCACTGATCTCTTTCTTCAAATCTTGCACAGGGTAGTCGACGGTGTATTGCGTGACACTCTCGTACCAGAGCAGCACACTGCAGATGAGAAATGCCCAGGATCCTGCAGCACGAGGTCAGTCATGCACTACTCATACCTCATCGAAACACGACTTACCCCACAAGCAGTGGATGGTGGCTTGATACTGAGCCCAATCGGCTCTGTTGAAGCCAAAGCAGGGCACCAGTATGAAACCAACACTGCCAATGAGTTTCCATAGACCGATGTGCCATCCAAGGTTGTTCCACGCAGGCTTGTTCCATTTCTTCTGACACTCAAACATGGCGAGCAGCGCCGAGAGGATGAAGCCACAGCAAGCCACCAGTTTTGGAGTCCAATAGACTGCGTCCACCAGAGGTCTCGAGAGTTGATCGTAGAGCTTGGGCAGTGCGGTAATCCCCGAGACGAGGAAGACGAAAGAGCTCAACAGCTGGATTATCGACGACCAGAATGCCACTTCGTAGATGTAGTGCTCCCTCAGCTCTTTCAAAGTCGGCAGTCGGACCGATGGCGCCCAACTCTTCAGCTCCCGCTGCTTGTGCCCCTGACCGCTTTTCGTCTCCGGCGTGACACGATAGACTGTTGTCCCAGTGTTTTCGTCCCACTGCTGGTCGACGGCCCATCCGAACTCGGCATCTCGATTGTCCTTGACGGTCTCCATCATCAGGAGAATGCTGCCGAGCACGAAGACGCAGGATCCTATGAATGCTGTGATTCCACATCCGTATGCACTCAAGCTAGGGGGTGCATTCTTGTCCATGGGCATGTAGGCGAAGAAGGAGCTGAGGACCCAAATGACACTTCCGAATGTGAAGACGATGGCGATATGCCAGCTGATGTTGTTGTAGGGGAATGTCGTGAACATATTGGAGACGGCTGTGACTGAGTTAGTTTGGATTGTTGGGTGCAGGGCGGATGTACCACGAACCTTTCAGCGTGCCTTTCCATGTTCCAGTCGCTGGCGGGAGCTCGAACTTACTGCTGCTCTCCTCGCCGCTCCTCACCACCAGCGCATGTCTGCCGAAAGTCAGTCATCATCACAGCATGTCGAAAGGGATTTGAGGCGAGCTCACCGGCCTTTGCGGAGGTCTCGAGTGGACCACTCATACTCAGCGTTGGCTGGCAGAGCATTCTCGTCTGTTACATCGAAGTCGTCCCAGCCGATCAAGTCGGGGACTTGGGCGAAGCGAGCATGCGTTGGGTTGAACCATCTGAAGGCACCGCCCGTGCTGCCTTCGATGAGGTGGACCTTGGGATCGTGGCTAAAAGGCCGCCACGAGGAGTTGAAGTTGGCGTTTCGCTGGTACATGATGACAACCCGCTCCTCTGGGTTGCTGTGATCTGATTGCTTCTCTGCTTCTGCTGCTTGGGTAGCGGTGTCTCCCGATTTTCCTGCCATGGTCAATGTTGGTACTGGGGAAGGAGGAGATGACGAGAAGAGTCGAGCGGTATGTATTCGGCCGCATGATGCGCAAGAGGTTCATTTGCATAAGTGAGAGCTCATTATGATTGGAGAAAGGGCTGGGTTTGGTGGCAGCAACTGGAAGCTACCAGTCTGCTGGGTGAGCACGACCAAGGAGCAGGCAAGATTGTTGAAAGAGCGCCGCGTAAGCCAGTGTCTTCTCTGCCCCGTCGCTGCCGACAGCAAGTCGCCATGATGCCGAAGCCGAAGCCAACGAGGCTCGGTATTCATTCGACTGGCGATGTTGTCGCCATTGTGTCGCTCGTTGGGTCATCTTGCGAGACGGTCTGAGGAGCGTCTGTCATGAACTTACACAATTTCAGGAGGAGGGTGTCCAGAGGCGAAATGGCGTTAAGTGCGGAGTCAGGCGAATTTGGTGGACTGCCACAGGGCGATACAGTTCTTTGTTGGAGAGAGCTACGTGCCAAGCCATACGCCCAAGGTTGAAATTGAGGCCAGCAAACGGAGGGCAATGATGACGACAGGCCGCTCTTTCTCCATTTGTACCACGACGGCCCCGCCCGCGACAAGGATAAGAATGCTCTTCACATGGATGTTGTCTTCTCCCATGTCAACAGCACAGCATCTCTCTCCTCCATTCACCCTTTTTGACGGCTTGAATGGCTCATGGCGTCGGGTGAAAAGGCGTCTCTTCGGGATCGAGCGAAAGCCTGGACGGCTTCGTTGTACCGCATGACAACGTCGATGGGCCATCTCAATCCGCCCAACTGTGATGGAAAGAGGCGTGATATTGGATGTGGCGATGAGATGGTGTAGGAGGAGAGACTTTCACTCATCGCGGTTGTTCCCCTTGGCGGCCGGATTCCGCGAAGGAGCGCCTTCACATGCCAGCCAATCAGAAGGGCTGACATCCTCGTACGACTGACGCTTAATGCGAACAGATCTATTGCGAATCACGCAAGTTGACCATCTGATAAGAATGTTGAGTCCGGATACCACTTCTTCAATATGAACTCCATTCTCTCCCGTTCTCACCGGCAGCATTGTCTTCGACCATGGCAGACAGGAAACAACAAGCAGTCCCTCACGCCGAAATGGCAACGGAGGCCATTGACTTGACTTCAGAAGAGATTGAGATGAACGTTAGGTCGGCCGAAGTCACCGACCGGAAATTAGATGACCCCTTCCTTGTCACTTTTGAGGAACTCTACGATCCTGACAAGCAAGTCTACAACAACTTTTGTTCATAGATGAGTGGACTAACATCGTTGCTCCAGTCCCAAAGATTGGTCTACGGCCAAGAAGTGGACTGTGACCGACGTCCTCTCCGCAACTGGCTTCAACCGCATCATGGTCAGCACCATCATGGCCCCAGCAATCAACACCATAGCCAAGGAGCTCCACATGAGTAGTGCCGAGTCCGTCATGGCCCTCTCCATCTACCTCCTCGCCACGGCTTTCGGTCCACTGTTCATCGGACCATTGAGTGAGGTCTATGGAAGGAAGCCCATCCTACACTTCTCGAACATCTGGTTCTTGATCTGGAACATCGTCTGCGGGTTTGCCAACACCAAGGGCACACTCATCGCCGCACGCTTCCTGGCTGGTTTTGGGGCTTCGGCAATTTATGCTCTTGCAGGAGGTGTGCTGGGAGATGTCTGGCGACCTGAACAGCGAGGCAAGTCCTTGGGCATCTACCTGCTTATCCCCTTACTGGGAGCGGCTGTCGGTCCGATCATTGGAGGTTTCATGGCTGAGCGTACGACATGGCGCTGGATGTTCTGGTCCACTTCAGCCTTCCAAGGAGTCATGATCGTTGCGTCCTACCTAGCATTCTACGAGACATATCCTCAGCTCATCCTTCGCCGCCGCGCAGCGAAGAAGCGGAGCGAGACTGGCGACAATCGATATTATACCGCCGCCGAGAAGCTTGACGGTGAGCGATCTGTGATCCGGATCGTTGGACGAAGTCTTTCCCGGCCAATGCGACTCCTCGGTTTCCACCCCATCGTTCAGGCCGTCGCTTGCTTGAGCGGGTTCTACTACGGCGTCACCTACATTGTCCTAGCCACCTTCTCTGATCTCTGGGTGACCAAGTACCACCAACGAATCGACATCAGCGGACTCCACTACATCGCATGTGCACTAGGAGAAATCTCAGGCTCGCAGATAGGAGGTCCACTCATGGACCGCGTCTTCGCGAAGCTGAAGAAGAAAGCAAATGGAGAGGTCGTGCCGGAGTATCACCTCCCCATGATGGTGCCCGCAGCTCTGATCACACCAATAGGCCTGCTCATGTACGGATGGTCGGCACAAGCTCACGTACACTGGATTGTAGTCGACATCGGGGTCTTCGTCACGACGTTTGGGATGCAGATAGGGGGGCAACCTCTGCAGGCGTACATCATCGACTCTTACCCAGACCATGCGAGCTCGGCGACCGCGGCCAGCCAGTTCATCAGGAGTCTGACGGCTTTTGCGTTTCCGCTCTTCGCTCCTTATATGTATCGCTCGCTTGGATATGGCTGGGGCAACACAACCATTGCTCTAGTTGCTCTTGCCATCAGCATCCCAGCTCCTCTGTTGCTGTGGCGGTATGGAGCCCGGTTGAGGGCAAAAGCAGAGGAGAGCTATTGATTGATGCATGCACATTGAAATCAGGAAACAGACTGCTCGAGGTCTTTGTGGCTTTCAGAGTCGCATATGCGGTTTAAGATTTGAGCTGCTAGTTCAGTTCCCAGACAGGCTGAGCTGGAAGGACGTCGAGACACGAGCGAAGAGGACGAGTGCCCTTGAACAGCTCACCGTTTGACTGTCAAAGTTGACCCGTCAGATGGGATGTCGTCTAATCACGCCAATAGCTGTTCTCCGGCATAACGACGGGGTTTGGATCACCTCGTAAAAGTCGTATATAAACTCAGCTCATCCCGGTCACAACGAGGAACCACGATGTATGGGGTGCTCCACAGCCAGATAGATTACATGTGAGTCTCCAGCTTCAAACTTCAATACTAAGGACCTGGCACATTCTCGTCATTATTCAACATTCGATTGCCCTCAGCTTTTCCTGCCACTCAAACTTCACCAACCCAAGTCCACAGCCGTTGATCGTTGGAGCTATCATGAACAACAATAGAGAAGACCACGACGATGCTCCAAAAGAAAAGCAAGCGCAAATCGTCCAGACAGATCAACCCACGACCTTAACACAAGACGACCAAACCGACCGCCCCAGCGCCCTCGCCCTCTCCTTCATCATCCTCTCCGTCAACCTCAGCATCTTCCTCGTACACCACCCCCAACACACCCCACAACCCCCAACCCCATCAGACTAACCAACACCACAGACCTGCCTCGATCTCACCATCCTCGCCACCGCCATCCCCCACATCACCTCCTCCTTCCACTCCCTCCCCTCCGCCGGCTGGTACGGCAGCGCCTACTTCGCCACCATCGCCGCCTTCCAAGCCACCTGGGGCAAATGCTACAAACACTTCGGGCTGAAAGGGACGTTCATCGCCGCGATCGCCTTCTTCGAGCTCGGGTCCCTGATTTGCGGGGTCGCGCCGAATAGCGCGGCGCTGATCGTCGGGAGGGCGGTGGCGGGCCTGGGGGGAGAGGGTGTGGGCGCGGGGGCGTTTACGGTTTTGGCGTTTGCGGCGGGGCCGGGGAGGTTGCCTGTGCTTGTCGGGGTTATGGGTGCGACGTATGCGGTGGGGAGTGTGCTTGGGCCGTTGTTGGGGGGTGTTTTCACGGATCATGTTAGTTGGCGGTGGTGTTGTGAGTTTGCGTGTCTTGCCCTTGAGAGTTTGATGCTCTTTCTGACTTTTGAATTGTCTATGTCAATCTCCCGATCGGAGGCGTGGTGGTCTTGATCATCGTCTTCTTCTTCAAGGCCCCTGCGGTGGCCAAGCCCCAGAAAAGTCCGCTCGAGAGAAGCTCCTGCAACTTGATCTTGCGGGATCAATGTTGATCCTAGCCGCTATGATCTGCCTGCTGCTGGGCCTTCAATGGGGCGGCCTGACGAAGTCTTGGAACTCCGCAGAGGTCATCGGAACACTCGTCGGCTTCGTAGTCATTCTTCTGGTCTTCACAGCCAACGAGATCTGGATGGGCGAGCGCGCATTGCTTATCCCACGGCTCCTCCGACAGAAGACCTTCGGGCTGGCGTCGGCGTACATTCTCTTCAACGGAGCTGGCTTCTACATTCTGGTCTACTATCTCCCGTACTATTTCCAATCCGTGCATGGCGTCTCCGCGGCACAGTCAGGGTTTGGGAATCTTCCCTACATCATCAGCACCGCGGTATGCTCGTTGATATCTGGCGCCATCGTCTCTCTCACTGGCCACTACGTCGGACTTCAAGTCTTCGGGTCTTCCCTAGTCATGATCGGCGCCGGCTTGATCTACACTCTCGACCTTCACAGCCCGAGTGGGAAGTGGATCGGATACCAGATCCTCGCGGGCTCAGGGGCGGGCCTATCCACTCAGATCCCCATCATCGTCGGCCAGACGACCGCGAAGAGCGAGGACGTTGCGAGTGTCACTGCGGTTATTCTGTTTTTCCAAACCATCACAGGAGCTGTCTTCGTCTCTACGGCGCAGTCTATCTTCGTCAATGGTCTCATCGAAGCGGTAAAGCACAACGCACCAGACGTCATTCCCCAATCCGTTGTGGCGGTCGGTGCTGCTGAGCTGAACGAAGTATTTACTCCTGACCAGCTTCCTGGGATCTTGAGGAGCTACATGACAGGTCTCAAGGACGCCAATCTGTTCGCCATCACCTTAGCTGGAGTCGCTGTGATCTTGGCCGTGGTGACCGCCGTGTGGGATCCGCGGAATTTGAAAGAAGAAAGAGAAAAGAAAAATGCCGAAAATGGTGATGCAACACCCATGCCGGGTGTAAGTGCATTGTGATAACCTCTCGCCAAATACCATCTCAAAACACTCAATACTTCACAAGCCTCTGATCCCGCCCCAGCCACCGATTCAGCCGATACGCAATCGCAACACACGCCATTGACAAGATGACAACATTCCCCGCAACAATAACAATGAAGAACAACAAATTCGATCCAATCCAGCCAAACATCCGGTTGTCCCAGTTATGCCACGTTTCGCCACCAGAGTATGTGAAGAAGACGGGCTCCGCAGCTCCAGGTCTCCCATCGGTCAGGATACGAACAGGCTCCGGCCGGTCGTCTACCTTCTCTCGAAAGTACTTGTTCCAGATCTCCGTCTCGTACCACTGGCCCGTGGCGTAGCTGATGGTGATGTACGGCAGCGGATAGTTCCAAGCGTACGAAATCAGAGAGTCGGTCATTAAGATCCAGTACGGGTGTTCTGGCTCGCCGGCCAGGATGTCGTTGCTCAAAGCCCCGTGGCCACCATCAACGACCCATGCTGGGTAGTACCGCAGAGGTTCTAAGGAGGCCTTGCAGCCGTTGTCGGCGTCCATGTAAACGCCTCCATAGTGACGAAGGAGGAAATATCGAAGACTGTCGATCCGTTGGATGGGGAATTTGAAGTCGTCGTACGTCGACAAGAACCAGGGGTATTGCTTCTCGACGAACTCCCGCGAGGTCTTGGTCGTCCATAACTACATCCACAGTCAGAAACAACCCCTCAACCACGAGCAGACTGGTCGAACCTACCCAACTCTCCCAACCCGGATTCACCTCAACACACGACCTCCGATTCTCATCCCAAATCTCAGGAAGCGCCTCATTCCCCGGATCCCTCCAATTGTGAAAAATCCGATGAACAATCCTAGGCACAAACGCCGTCTCCCGCCCAAAAGGCTGCCGAGACTCGTACGCCTCCAAGACCTCGTCCTGCGTCACCACACGCCCCGCATGTTCGCCGAAGATGTGCACGAAGGACACGATTCGTGAAATGAGATATAAAGCAGCAAGCACGCCAGCGGTCGTCGCTAGCCAGAAGCGAAGGCCGCGTTTTACTTGCATGCTCGAGATGGAAGAGAAGAAGAAGCAGCCGCCATTGTCGTTCAAAAAGAACACAAAGACCCCATTGAAGAGGTCACAACGTCGAGAAATCTCGCCGCCTAAACGCTACGGCTAGTCACCTACTGTAAGTAAGCACGACATTCGCGTCTCGCGAAACGAGCGCACGGCCTTTTTGGTGTAACATGCCACTGCCTCATGCCAGCCTCCCAGCTCATCTCGTATTGTTGCCGCAGAATGCTGTAGTTAATGATGGATGATAGTCGCGTGACGCAGCCGCAAATGAGCGAGCAGAGTTTTTCGTCGAAATAGGAGGTCGATGACGTTTTTGGGTGGTTGCGCTGTACGAAGGCGGTGGCCTAACTGGGGAACTTCGTGGACGGGCGGGCTGTGTTGGCGGCTTTGGGCTGAACGAAGTCGATCGCGAGAGGTTCGGGAGTTTTTGTCGTGCTAGTTTTGGAAATGGCGAGGATGTCATATGGAAGCACATGGGTGGACGGTAAATGTAAGCTGTGGGTTTGGCGTGGCGACTTCGGGTGATCTTTGTATTTTTTGCTTACCTCCATTGCATAGGCGTCTGGGATTTTCTAGTTCATTGCCCGTCTTCGAAACATAAGATCTTGCTCTATAGTGTATATCGAAACCCCGGAACGCCTTCAATAACAATCTTGCCTTTCGCCTGCTGCTTATTCTTCACAAACATATACACACTCGTCGTCGCAACACTAACAATCGTGAGAGCCGCCGCAGTGAAGCACGTATAAAGACCAGGTCGATAGCTGGGAGCATCCTGATGTCGAAAGGCGAGCGATCCAACGACGCCACCAACGCCACCCATAGCGACGATAGTGGCAGACGTAAACGCCCTCCGCCATTGGCCGACGACGTTGTTGGCTTGATATGTCATCGACGCACATACGTTTGAGTTCGACCCGGCGGTGATTAGATATGCGCCGACGTAGCGGCCGTAGGGTTCGCGCACGTAGCCTAGAACTGCCACGCCGATGATCTCCAGGATGCAGTTGAAGACGATGATGTGCCCCCGGATGTTGAATTTGTCGGAGATCCAGGCTTCGACCATGCCGAGTAGGAAGCTGAAGGCGTAGCACTGTATCGTGTATTAGTCAGGAAGTTAGTATGTATGGCTATCGTGCTTACTGGAGCAGTCAGACATTGAGCTTGAACGACTGAGAAGCCGAGCGACTCCCGCAAGATGATGGGCAGGAAGTATGAAACGGAGTACGTCACAACCGCAGATCTGAAGAGCACATCAACAAAGACTCAGGGGCTCGCGAAGGAACTATCAACTCACAAGCCAAAATTCGCAGCAAAGAACCAAACTTTCCAATCCTTCGCCTGGGCCAGATACGTCCAGATATGAAAAGGCGTGACATGAGCGTCCGCTCGATCCCGCTCGACTCGATCGATCATGATCTGGATCTCATCTTCCTTCAGGAAGAATTTGGTCTTTGTGGCGTCTTCGGGGAAGTCGACGAGGAAGATGTATCCGAGGATGGCGATGATGATCGTGATGATGCCTTCCCAGATGAAGATCCAGGACCTGTGAAAGTAAGAGTCGTCAGTAGATAGTAGGTCGTGGATTAGATTTAGACTGACCAGCCAGCATGGCCTTGGATTCCATCCATTTGCTGCAGGCCGTAGGCCAGGACGCCACCGAAACCACCGACGCTGTTTCCCACGAGATAGAAGAAGGCGTTGCGTTTGGCGACCTCTCGTCTGATGTACCACATCTGGACCAAGAACAGGGCAGACGGGAAGAAACACGATTCGAATGTGCCCAGTAGGATTCGGAGCCCGATCAGAGTCGTCCTAAGATGTGTGAGTACAGCCTGATGTCTTCAAGATGTAATATTTGCGTACCAGTTCTTCGCCAGTCCAAATCCAATGACGACCAGCCCAAAGGCGAGAGTGATGCCAGCCAGGAATGGACGAGGACCGAGCTTCCTTGCGAGGACAGTCGCCACCGGATTAAAGAGGACGTAGAAAGGGAAAAAGACGAGGACGATAATCGAGTATCTGTTTCCGACAAGATTGAGATCGTCGTCGAGGCCGGCAATCACACTCAAACGACATCAGCTTAGGCCTCGTAGCAAAATAGTAGAAGTTCTTACGCATTCGGCAGATTAGTCCTGTCAATCTGGTTCACGATGTACCTGGAGAAGAATATCCGTCACCGAGATCTAAGTTCGAAATAGCATGAACTCACATCAGCGCCAGAATAGCGCTCAGCCTGAGGTCGACTTTCCGCTTGATCTTCTTGACTCTGGGATCCTCCCATTGTTCAGCGTCGAGCTCGACTTCCGCTTGCTTCTCGACCTGTGCGGCCTGCGTGGGATCTTTCGAATACTCCATGAGGGACGGCAAGAGAAACAAGAGACGCAGAGCAAAGAACAAGGAGGAGAAGCTAGACCCAAAACAAGAGGAAGAGAGGCCCTTCTATAAGTCCCCATACCCAAAGGATCCGCCCCTTCCACGCGGGAATACCTTAAACGCGGTGGCAGCCCAACCGACCATTCAAACTGACTCGCCTGCGGCTATTCTCCACGTGCAAATACCACGTTGCCGACATCTCAGTGGCGGTTTGCAACGACGTGAACCTGGGACTGTTGCATAGAAGGCGGTGGCGCCAAGTCGATGGATTCGTCGATCGTTTCCAGGACCTCGGGCAAGCGAGTCTTGGAAGGCGGAGTCGAGAGGAGTGGATGCTCGTTGCTGGTGTTTGGGAGGCGATACCGCCGCTGTCGCTTTGGTTCTTTCGGTAGGTGCTTGAGGCCAAGCATGAGTAAGTCTGAGTCGGGTATAGTGGTTGATGCAGGTTGTGATGCACCACAGGGAGCTGCTCGGGATCTGCGGTTGAAGATTCAAGTTCGTCATGGGTTCTAGACGCGAGCACAAAGATCAGGCCATGTTGCTAGGTGCAGTCTATAACATCAGTGATTTGGCCTGATTGAGATTCGCTGTTGATGCTTGACGTGTGAGGTATCTACTGTAAGGTGGTAAACAAAAGGCACTCTGCTGTTCAGCCATACTAGTGACCAAAGGTCTGCTGTGTCACCTTTGGCGAGTTCTTGTTCTCTCGCTGCCACTGCTTGGAGAACCTGACTCCAAAGCCATGCTGGAAAACCTCTCGAATGCCCTCAAGTGGCATGCCCTTAACATCCGGATAGCAGAAGACAATGAAGACCCAGCCCACGAAGCAAATACCACAGTAGAACCCGAAAGCCCCTGATGGAGTGATACCTTTCATCATGCTCAGGAATGTCGAGGAGATGATGATGTTCGTAGACCAGCAGCTGACCGTATTGAGCATCGTTCCGAGAGCTCTCACCTCCAGTGGAATGAGCTCGGTCCCGATCCAAGCGATGGTTGCGACTCCTGAGGAGTAGAAGCCGACGTAGGCGATGATGGTGACCAGGACAAGAATACCAGCCCACCCGGCTGAATCAGTCTCGAGCTTCAGCGTGTTGAGGTCAATCGGGATGTAGTGGAACGAGACTGCGGCAATGAGCATGCAAATCGACATGCCAAGCACAGTCACTGTAAGCAATCGACGACGACCGAATCTGTCGACCAAGAAGAGGTTGACCAGCGAGAAGAGGAAGTTCGTCCCTGAGACAACGATTGCAACTGCAGTTGCATTCTCAAACCCGACAATGGCGAAGAGCGTGGCGCTGTAGTACATGAGGGTGTTGAAGCCACCGAGTTGAGAGATGGCCATGACAACGCAGGCGACCAGCACTGCCCTTCCGCTCGCGGGGGTATTGAAGATTCGCTTGAATGATACCCAGAGTGACTCTTGGGAGAGGCTGGACGTCGCTTCCACGATCGAAATCTCGATGGATCGAATCTTAGCCAGACGCTGCTCGGGCGTGGAGGTTGGGTAGAGGCGAAGGAGCACAGTCTCAGCCTGTGCAACATTTCCATGGGCGACAAGCTGACGTGGAGACTCTGGGCACCAGAGAAGCATGATTGCGAGGGCAATCGCTGGGAAGGCTCCAATGCCTACTGTCCCTCTCCAGCCTTCGCCGGGAACGTGTGCCAGGCCTGCGCCAATTGCAGAAGCAACGAGTTGGCCAAAGGTGACGCTCATGTTGTTGAAGGCGATCATGCGGCCTCTGAGAACTTTGTCAGTATCGCCAAACTCAAGGGCGAATGTTGCGTCTTACCTGAATTTGGCAGGAGCCAGCTCGCCGATATAGAGTGGAACGATCATGGCTGCCGAACCGACACCCAGTCCAACGACGAATCGGCCAACCGCGAACTGAGACACGTGGAATGATGCTGTCTGGAGGACGGTGCCGATAACGAAGACCAGGCAAGCCGCCCAGATTGGCCACTTGCGTCCATAGCGATCCGCCCCCAGGCCTGCAAAGACCGCACCCACCAAGGCGCCACCACTCGTGAGGGATGTGACAAGCTCTTGTTCGCTGGAGGAAAGTTCGTGGCCGAGGGAAGTGCCAATGCTGATCAGCACGGAACTGATGTAGCCAGTGTCGTAGCCTGGTGGAAGAATGAGTCTCTTGATATCTTCAAGCTCTAAGAACAGTCATACCAAAGAGGAAGCCTCCTAGTGATACAGTCAGGGTGATGAGCCACGCAGCCGTCGATGCTGCGGTAGCCTCGATTGATGACAAGGCTGTGACATCGCTGGGCACACCGGCCTTCAAGTCGGCGTCTTCAATGTGCTCTTCGGCAGCCCAGGTTTGTTTCTGCTTCTCATCCCAGTCGGCCATAGCGATGTTGCTGACGGAACTTGGTGATAGTGGCGGCGAGGGCGTGGCAATGAGGAAGGGGTATGAGTGTCGAGGGGCTGGCAGGGAGATGGTTGTGAGTTCAGCGGTCCTGGAGGCTGTATTTAACTTCCATCTGGTGAGGCACACTCCTCAATGTCGGCGCTCGGCAAGCCGCCGTCATGGAGAGCACATAGGAAAGCATGGCAGTGCATGGCGGGCGGGTATACTTCCTCGTGAGATCCCCACAAGTCAACAATACGCCGTCATCAGCCACACGCGATCCCCACGGGACAACCCCAGGTTTACGTATGTGGGCGCTGGTGCCGTCGAAAGCTGGACTTTGGTTGGATGGAGATCCGTTTCAATCGACTTGCATTGCAATCTGTGTCCGGCGGCAAGCCGTCAATTGCCGGTTACACTGCGAGGGGAAACAGCGAAGCACCTGCCCTTTTGGCCTGCAAATAGTCACTATATACGAAGATATGCTGATGGGAGAAGTCGTTCGGCATGTTTGCCCACATTGACATGAAAAGTGGTCCGGACTGCCGAGGAAGTGTCGGGAATGGTTGCCAATATTTTCGATTGCGGCTCGGAAGATTTTGCCCTAGTCAGGACTCGCACGCTGTGGGCAAAAGATCCCGCGACATGCCACTGGAACAGCGCTCGAACTGACGGCAACATACTCTTGACTCTTGCCTGCGGCAGGGGAGAGGCGTTGTTATATACCTCGCCTTGGCCATCGCAGTTCTTTGCGGAGGATCAGGCCATCGGGTGGAGCTTCGGACACAGATCAAGTTGTTGAGCTAGGTAGCCACCGAAAAGTTCGAAAATGGTGACGGACGATGGGGAAGAGGAACGACGGTAGAAGCTGGACGTGTTGACGCGATATCTTCATTTTCACGCTATGCTGTATCTGCACGCTTTACCTTACATAAGCATTATCAACAAGATAAGACACAACTCCTCCTCGTTTTGTCTCGATCCTTCTCTTCTACCTTCACCACTGCTTTGCAGAAATCGATACTTCGTTGCTCTGTTCCTCCTGACGGCCTACGCCAGCAAAGCCAAGTGCTACAATGTGCGGCACAGTTCCTGACCGGACGTACTTGATGAGCTCCACCTGCTTTCTGCGAGCTGAGTGAGTACCGACGCTTTGTCCGGCGAAAGAGTCAAGCGCGAAGAGTAGGAGACCAGTCGTTTTCGTTTGTACATCGACTGTTATATTAGATGTCGGGCTTGTTTGCTGAACGACAAGGCTGCGGCGTCACCATGTACGTGGTCTTTGATGCGAAGTCTGAGGCCGAAACGGAACAGACGCAAGAACAAGATCGAAGGCCGTCATGAATCGTATCGGTCTCGGTCGTCCATCCGACTGCCACGGCAAGTTAGCAATCAACATGCCTGGACGCACGTCTCTCGCTCGAAAGCTGGAGAAATCCAAACCCATGTCGAGCCGATACATCACCTTCGAAATGACGCCAGTCGACGTCATTCGAAGCGTTCAGAATTCATCAAAGTCTCGTATACCATCTGCTCTTAAAGCTCAATCTATCTCTCAATCTGCAGTGCAACATCAAGATAACCCACAAATCTCAAACTACGTCAGCAACAATGTCTTCCCTCATCGACAAAGCGAAGAGCGCCCTCTCGGGCCACAAGAAGCCAAAGGTCTTGTTCGTCCTGACCTCCCACGACAAGATGGGCAACACGGGCAATCCTACCGGATGGTACCTGCCGGAGTTCGCTCATCCTTACTACAAGCTCGAAGGCAAGGCAGATATTACCATCGCATCTCCCAAGGGAGGGGAAGCCCCATTGGATCCTAGCTCTGTGGAGATGTTCAAGGAGGATGCCGAATCGACCAAGTTCCTCAAGGAGAAGGAGAGCCTATGGAAGAACACTGAGAAGCTCTCCAACTTTTTGAGCAAAGCCGACGAGTTTGATGCAGTGTTCTACGTTGGTGGTCACGGACGTAAGTCACCATCGTTGTTGTCCAAAGATGAATTGCTAACCATCTCACCAGCCATGTTTGATCTCGCCACCGATCCTGAATCTCAAAAGATCATTAGCGATTTCTACGAGAAGGGCAAAGTGGTTTCCGCCGTCTGCCATGGTCCGGCAGCTCTTGCCAACGTCAAGCTGAGCGATGGATCGTATCTCGTCAGCGGCCAAGAAGTCACTGGCTTCACAAACACCGAAGAGGACCAAGTCGGCCTCAGCAGCGCCATGCCTTTCCTGCTGGAGACCAAGCTGCAGGAGAATGGAGGAAAGTTCGTAAAGGCGGAGCCATGGGCTGCCAAGGTCGTCGCCAGTGGCAAGGGCAACAAGTTGATCACTGGTCAAAACCCGGCGAGTGCAGGACCGATTGGAGAGGCTATCTTGAAGGCGATCTAAGTGTTTGGCTGGGGCAAGGAACAAAGAGATGGCAAACGTGTCTCAAAAATTGTCGGCTGACATTGCCTTGTAAATAGAGTACGATCAATACCCATGACTATGATGACGACTTCACTTCACAATTTCCAGCATGAACTGTTCCACTCCTGGCTGACAATCTTCTCACATTACGTCTACGAGCTGCCGAGGGGCCCCATGACAAAGCATTGAGGAGACACGAGTCACAATGAGAAGGATTGAAAGGTGATCGCACAGGAGTGCGTATTGCGGTTGCGACTGCCAGCCGGCCGAACTTGCTCATGACATCCAGGTCACACACCCTTACTCAAGACATGCATTGCTGACTTCCCTCACTGTCCTCGAAGGGTGAATTCCTTTCAAAGGGCATTGGAAAATCACACGCCACGCAGAATCTTCTGGCACTCCTTCTTGGTGAGCTTCTCGATGGGCACAGCGGCATTGGGAACATTGTTGACTTTGATCGCATAGGCATCGCCGATCATCTTTCCCTAAAAAACCAGACTGTGAGTAGATGCTTCTCTATCAAGGCGGCCAATACTTACGCATTGCAACGGCACCGAAACCATGCTCTGCCACCTGAGATGCTGCCACGCCTCATCCATGGAACGAGTGTTCTCAGGACCACTTCCACGCGTTACACTCTGAACATCCAGGCCTTTGCGTGCCCAGTCAATTGCCAAGTTCGCCATAGACATGATGATCATAGTGCCGTGGTTGTCGTAGATTTCGCCCATCTGCGACATCACATGGCGGGCAGCGTCTTTGTACGCTTCGGCGACACGCTCTCAGGACAAGCCCTCTGCTTCTAGAAACCTAGCAACCAGGAACGAGTACGCGGCCTTCTGCTGAGCGCTCAACGGCTTCTGGAGCGGGAATTGCTGCATACCTCGCAGCATCCTTGGATCCTCTGCTTGTTTCGGGCTGAGCGTTCCCAGGAAATCGATAAAGCGAAAGTCGACAGGCTGCATGTCGTCGAGATTGGACGTCATCACGTTGAGGATCTGCCGTCTAGAGTCACTCAGTGCTTGTTTCCGGGGCGGAAGGCGGCACGCTGAACAGTCGCATTCGAAGCCATAGTACACTCGAGTACAGATCTGGCGATGCTTCTTGATCATCTTGGTGAAAGTGAGGTTGTATGTGATGAAGACCTCTTCTCCTTTGGCAATAGGCTTCACGGCTAGAACATCCACTCCATTGTCTTGCTCCATAACTTCAGCGTTGGCGACACAGGAGTGGTTGATCAAGGAGACGTCGAGGTAGAGGCGACCCACGCCTTTCGAACCGAAAGCGTTGGCCTTGTAGATGCGAAAAGTGCGTGAGGGATATGGACGACTTCCCTCGTGAAGTGCCATGAAGCGATCTTGATCGGCCTTGCTCAGCAGACCAAACGCCTTGTCTACGTCTGTCTCGTCAATGGATGGCGGATCCTTGTTGATCTTGATGGCGACGGGATCCTTTATGATCGTGGCACCGGGATCGATGGCCTTGGAGGCGAAGACACCTTTGCCCTTGCCTGGCGAGTCCTTGATCGTGTATGATGGCTTCATGGTTTTTGGCGCCATTCTTCACTTTTGTCGATTCAAGACACCTCCGTGTCACAATAGTGTATGAGCAAGACCATAAGAACAAGATTGAACAGGCGAGAAATGGCAGAGCAAACGATATCAAACGCTACTCCATGCAGAGGCCCCTCAACAGCATGTGGGCCTTACATGGGAGCATGCACGTATGCGTGCGCCATGTCGCTTGTGTCACTACAACCCGGTATACAGCGCTCAACTGTCTGGAAGTCTGGAACGCAGGACCACAAAGGATAAAGATTACTGCGCCAATGACCACACACAGCAAACCATGCGTTTAACGAGACAAGACAAAGACTGTTCCTTGTCCTTTCTGCAGCCAATATCGTGACCTACTAGACAAACCATGCCCAAAAAACATTCGAGTTGAGACGCAAGAGACACGACACTGGACTCTAGGCCATTTTTTCTCCTCGAACAATCCATTACAAGCGGGACTCTCACGTTTCAACAACGTGATGGTGCATTCTCTTTTCCGTGGTCAGTGGTGGCCTTTGCTCCCCTTTACTTTCTACTTTGCGTACTTACAATGCTATTGTATACTCCCAACAAAGCCCCTATACACAGCCTGGCAAGAGAGTGGCCTCGATAGTCACTCGCTCTGGACGGGAAAGGCGAAGTGAATGGCATTGCGGTCATAATGCTATGTGTTATGCATCGCTGCGTCTCCAAGATGCGGCGTATATCTAGCCCGTTGGACTTGGATCAGAAGTCTCTTTCCTTTGCCAAACCAGAATGAACGACCGACCGATACGACTACCTCACCACCAACAGACCGCTTCACCACATCTCAACGAGATCCAGCACCAGCAAGCACACTACGCATACCAACACTGCCATGGAGTCCACCAACTTCCCAGACACGGCAAGCCGAGTTGCCTACCCACTACCGAAATTCACCATGGATGAGCTCTACGAACCCACCATGGTGACGATCAAGGTCAACGACTCTGAATCTGAGGACAATCATTACTACGAGCGTGTCTTCACCGTCCAGCGTGAACTGATCAGCCGCCACTCCGACTACTTTCGGGGTGCCTTCGAGGGTCAGTTCGCAGAGGGTCTCAGCAAGACGACTACGATCACTGATTTCCATCCCAACACCTTCCAGACCTTCATGGACTTCGTGTTCAACAACGAGGTCTCGCAAAACGGCGACGACCCTACCGAGTGGGGCTGGGAGTACCTTTTCTCGTGCTACATCTTTGGGGATAAATACGACTCTCGAGGCTTCCGCAACCGTGTATTCGAGGTGATTCAGACGAAGCTCTTGGTGAGGCGACCCCGAACCTATCACTTTCCCCCAGGCAAGGACTTGACGCATCTGTGGGAGAACACGTCGGCGACTGACTCACTTCGCAAACTTCTGATAGACGCGTACATCACCGAGTACGATCTTCTTTCAGACAGCGAGAAGCAGCTCCGCATCCTCGAGTCGTTCCCACCGGATTTGGTCAATCAATGTCTAATTGCCGCGCTGCGATTCTCCTCTCGGAACGAGTGTGTGCACTGCCGACGTGGTGGGGATGGACTGCCTTGTACCAGCACCACGCACACGGGATTGGAGACTACTGATCTCGCCAAGGGGCGTTGGTGCCAACATCACCAGCACAACAGTGACGAGGAGAAGCAGATCTGTCTGTGGCGTCGGGATGCGCTTCATTGGAAGTTCGTGGAGCCTGTAGAAGATGAAGGCTCGTCACACATGAGTTGAAAGTGATGAGGTATCGACTTGGAGTTGGAAAATGCACCCCAGATTGTTTCTGTGCCGAGTGAGAAAAACAAAGTGCAGATTGATCTGGGCAGATTGGGACTTGGGAGGCTGGCTTGAACGCGTACACATAGATTGGAATAGAACAACAGCATGTACATGTAACAATAACGGAAGCACAACTCTTGAATTCAAAACAACTCGCTCTATAGTCTTCAATCTCACTCTCAGTTCTTCGTTCGATAGTCCGGTCACATGTGTCCGTGGTATCACTTGATACAATGATTCCGTCTACAACCATCCCGACTTAACCACGCACCCCGGCCCACGCACCAAGACGCAGACAACAAGACAAGGCACGTTTGTTCTTTGTGCAGCCTTAGTAATGCTACTGATTTCGAGACAAGAGTCAACGTCACATTGAAAAAGGGGCCCCTGAAGACAAAGCCACGACCCCTGAATCGTTCTTGACTCACAGTACGAATGAACGAGACGTCAGTCTTGTCTAGGCATGGCCCGCTTCGATGAAGATGGAGAAAACGAACCTTCGCCTCCTTGTGCCTTATTCCTCTTCTCATTCTTCCATACAATTTCTTGCAGTATATATTCAGCACAATGTCATTGTCGATGCCGCGCTGCGGTGTAACTACAATGATTAAGTGCATTGACTCTCGCTTCAAAAAGGCCCACACACAACAACACAACAACACCATTATACTGAAGTGTTATTTATTATGCGCCGAGAGTGAGGATCTCCTTAAATAGGCCTTCTGAACTGGCATGCGACCTTTTCTTTCCTCATACCAGCCCGAGAACACAAAACCCGATCGAAAACTACAGATAGCCTCAGAACAAATACACACGCCCAGCAACAAAACCCCAAGACAAACCATCCTCGACAGCATCCGATAATCCAAGGCCATGTCTCTCTACAACATCGAGGACCCAGAGGAGATCATGGGCCGCATTGCTCATCCTCTTCCAAAGTTCGACATGGAGGAGTTGTACAACCCGACTATGGTCACCATCACGGTCAACAACGAGGACGCTAAGATGAGCTCTCCGTGGCAAGAGAGAGACTTCACGGTTCCAAGAGAACTCATCTGCCGATACTCCGACTACTTCCGGGGAGCGTTCGAGGGAGGCTTTGCTGAGACTGCAGAGAAGGCCACGATGATCACCGACGTCTCGCCAGAGATTTTCGAGATCTTCATGTACTTCCTGTACCACAATGAGGTCGCAGGCGCCGACGACGAAGAGGAGCCTGCTACTTGGGCCTGGTCGTTCTTGTTCTGGTGCTACGTTTTCGGCGACCAATACGATTCGAAGGGGTTCCGTGCTCGCATCTTCGAAGTGATTCAGATCAAGATGAGACAGCCAGCCTCGTACAACTTTCCTAATGGCAAGGATCTGGAAGTGGTGATGAACAACCTCCCTTCGTCAGATTCGCTTCGCAAATTCCTCGTTGCCGCTCTGTTGACGGAGTACGACGTCTTTGACGGTGATGATGACGAGGTGTCATATGCTCCTGAGATGCCAGCGAATTTTCTCGCGGAGTCCATCGTCCTGTCCAGACGCCTCAATTCTCGCCTGATATGCCGCCATTGCGGACCTCACGGTGACTTTGGACAGTGCCACGACAAGGCGCACAGTGCCCTCGAGTCAAGAATCGGAGGTCTGCAAGACAGACAATGGTGTCAGTATCATAAGCATGACACCGACCTTGAGCGCCGAGTCTGCGAGTGCCGTCGAGACACCTTCGCTTGGAAGTTCAAGGAGCCAAAGACGCCGACTTCCTTGCCAATGTCTTAGTCGCCTTCTGGATGAACAATGAGCTAATAACACAATAGCACTGACAATTCCAACCTCCCACGACTCCAACTCAGCAAACCAACTGCATTGAGTCAACTCCTACACAGAGGCCAGGATATGAGCTGCATGATCGAGTGACAGAGAGAGGGCACCCAGACTGTTTTGGTGCCAAGGGAAGGGGGTTACAGATTGCACACTGGGAGGGATTGGGAAGGCCGGTTTGAATGCGTTCCATCAAATTCTGAGGACAACAACACCACATGTACATGTAGAATAGGCAGGACAAACAATTAGGTACGGAACAACTCACTCTCCAATTCTCATGAATCTCATCTCAGTCTCAATATTTTTCGATCGATCGTCAAGAGCTTCCATTCAATAGAAACGACGGCAGCAGCATCAAAGTCGATTTCGAGTGGACGATCAAGACTCGTTTAGTTAAACCGAAGCTCACACACGATCGTAGACCAGAATCGGACATATTTCCCAACTTGCTCATCCCTGTCATCAATGCATGTAGTGCAATGCAGCCCTCCCTCGCTCCATCCTTTGCCCGCGAATTGGACAGGTCTCGCGAGGCAGGTCCATCCAGACCCAAACAGCTGAAGCGAAAATCTTCAACATCACACAACCCCTCAACAACAAATACCAAAATGACAACAACATCCTGAATACCAGCAACCACACCTAGCAATGATAGCAACCATCCACCCCAGCGTCGCCAAAAATGCAAGCCCTCTTCGGCGGCCCCTCCTCCTCTCAACCCTCGACCCAAGAACCCGAACCTAAAGGCCCACTGGCCAAACACCTGGAGCAAATAATAAAAAACTGCGAACAAGCCGTCAACGCACGAGACTTCTCGCTCCCATCCCCAAAAACCTGGGACCACTTCTCCGCATCCGACCTCAAAGCCTCCTGGTCGCACTCGGCGATCGTCTCGAACGCCTTCAACCACGTGCAAGGGCGGAATGAGTTTCTCGAGACGTATAAGCATTTGACGGAGAAGTGGCCGGAGTATCATGTACAGCTGACGGAGCTGGATACGCATGTGAGGCAGAAGGGCACAAGGGCGGATGTTTATGCTAATGCGGAGGTGAGGGGGGCGCCGCCGGGCGTGGTGAGGACGAGTGTGTTTGTGACGGAGTTTGCGTTTGATGAGGAAGAGAGGCGGTGGGTTGCTATTCGGATGCAGGGGATGAGTGGGATTGAATCGAGTGGGCAGGATTGAGAGGGTTGATGGTTGATGATTGAAGGAATTGCAAAAAGAAAATCGATAAGAGTGGCGATGTTCCCGGGAATTGATCCTGGGACTTCGAGCAGCAAAATGAACAGCAAAAGAGAAGTGTCCCGAGGGACCATGGAACATCCACCAGTTTCAGTTTGTGATTGGAGCTACTTCTCTGGACGTTATGTTTTTGGTTGAGACTATGAAGGTAGCCCGAATCTAGCTGCGGTGTCAAGAAAGAGGATGGTGGCGAGCAAGGCCCGGGCGTCGCCGACGAGGCAGCGAGTAGTTGAACGAATGAACGATTGAAATGGATGTGTTTCTACGAGTTTTTTAATTGCAATCATTTCCAAGCACCTGCTATAGACTTACAGTACACAATTAGTCGCATCCTCCGTACAAACCACCAGTTCTAACTCCAACTCGATCAACCCCTTCGTCACAGTGCGGCCTCATCCTTCGGGTTCCATAGAGGTTGACTACGCCAGGAGGTCTTCCAGTCTTTTCCTTCGTCCATAATGCCAGGCCACAGCCTGTTCAATATGGGGACCAGGCTCTCGTGAAGTTGTACTGCACCAACCTCTGACGGAACCGACTGTGCCAACGGGCGCGCATCCATAATCTCACCTCTGCTTTTTAAAATGCATTGCAGTTGAAAATCGTCAAGCACTTCCCGGATATCATCGAACTCCTCCATGACAGGATCCTGTCGCGAGTGGAGCTGCAAGTCTTGGAGAGGAACGCTACCCTGTGGCTTCGCGCTGGAAATAACATCCCAGATGGAGACTGCCAGGCTCTCGTCGATGGCGCCATTCAGAAGTCCCTTCATTACGTGTTCACTACGAAGAGGTTGGAACTGGAAATCGTCTCCCACGATAATATGCTCCTGTTCGAAAGCCCCAAACAAAGGGTCGTTTGGCAAGATTTGCGCTCGACGCCACTCGTCATGGTCATTTTCATTGTCACCAGGCTCGTATGGTCCTGGTTCGAGTTCGTCACAAGTCCTACAATCAAGGCACAATGCCAGACTTCGGAGGCGTGTGAATCTGCCGATTGTACGATACATTTCGTATTGGGTGCGGTCTCCCAAGGATCGTTGCACAGTGATGGTAAGGGTCTCAATATTTGGGCAACCCCTTAGTAGCTGAGTGATCTGGATCTGGTCGAAAGCGTCGCTATCTGATGCGATCCTCAGCTTGCACAGAGGAGCTCGGTCTCCCTGCTATGAGAGCAGAGAGTTGAGGTGTGTTGCGTCGAAGTCACCTTCAATTTCGAGTTCATGCAAAGGTGGTAGACCGACCAGGAGTTCGGAGAGGTGCCCAAAAGGCGAAGTTTCCGAAGAGATGGATCCCAGTCGAAGCGCCGTCAGGTTGTCGAAGGAAGGTGTGGTAAGGAGCCATTGCACAGCACCCTCGTCAACAGAATGAGCATGAAGTTTGCGCAAGGCCGAAAATTTGGTAGCTTCAGCCCAGCGTGCGAAGCAGTCAGCCGTCACGATCCCTTCGCCATCGAAATCGCAACTCAATTCCAAAGTTTCCAGAGAGTCCTGTCGAGTATTCGTCTTGGGGGATAACCCTCTCCAGGTCCTCCGAGGGCCTGATATTGGTCCTTGATTCACCAGTCTGAGATCATCTCGACTGGATCTGAATTCTTGAAGTGCTTTGACATCATGAAACAGTCGCACTTTCTTCAGCGCAGGTGCCAGGCCCGAGACCATCTCTAACGTAGCCAGGTCAGGTCATTCAGATCACCAACATCGTATCCGCCGTCCTCTTCCAGATAAGTGTAACAGGTGTGAACTGAGATCAAGTTGGGCGATGTCACCAGTTCATATTCGTACGGGTCAACAACCTCGTCGCGCAGGCTTCTGAGAGAGAAACATCTGATCTCGAGCTCGCACTTCTGCAAAGAAGAGTGCAGAACCTCCAAAAGACAAGGCAGAAACTGCTGAGCCATGCCAAAGGTAAGGTGTTCCAGCCCACGAAATTTCCTCAGCGTATCGGCCAAGGGTTGCCAGTCGAATTTGTCATCCTCTTGTATATTCCCTTCAAGGTAGGGAAAGGTGCCAGGGCTAGCGCGGCGCTTTGCATCGTGTCCAACCCTCCAAGACATTGAATAGGCTTTCTTGCCATTCTTGCCACCAGTCGAGTTTAAGTCGACTCCGTCAGGTATAGAGAACCCTTGAATGTCGAGTGAACGAAAATGCCTGAAGGCATCAGCTTGAGTCCAGGCGCGGTCGAACTTGGCGACATCCGAGGCCAGCGTGTGCGGATTTCCAATATAGAGTACGATACTGCGGTATATGGAAGGAACAGCGGCAGCCCGGCAAGCTCTGTTCACCAAGCCAAAAGACAGGAGGCTGGAGGTCTCCAGGCTACTGCCGACGTTGACCAGAGTTTCCGCCGGTAAATCGTCAAAGGACATGTCGTCGTCGTCGCAGTCTGAGATACGGTATATCGTGGCCGGGTGACGAATAGATGCAGTGAGCGGGAGAGGTCCTGCCTGCTTCATATACTTTACAAGCTGAAGGGCCCCTTCCTGAACATCATGCGAGACATGAGCCGCGCTGCATCAGCCAGACTTGGAGCCCTTGCATAACGAGTAAACCTTGTCAGTAGTCAGTCTATCAAACTTCCCGATGTATCAGATTCCCCATGCTGGCCTTGACATATTGACGTGAACTCTGTTGAAGCTAATCACCTCGCTGGCATGAATAGAATATGCTCGGTCTGGACCCGTCTACACCAACTGAAACATGGACTACTGACCACATTTGTCTCTCTCGAAAACCATCCATCATAATACTACACTCACCGTCATGATACCAGAACATCGCCTTGCCATCAAGATCTCGAGTCGGCTAATGCGGTATGTCCTCCAAGCCGTGCGACGTAGAAGCATTGTGAAGCCGAGTGAGAGACCTGGCAAGAGAGCAAGACAGCCATGTCCTCGTTATAACAGCGGACTTTCAGTCGTGTTGCTTTTCTGTCGGGTTGTCTTTGAGTCCGATGCTCGTGTTCTGTTCAAGTAGCATAGTAGACGTTCCACTTAGTGCAAAGAATGTAGTCCACGCTGCCGAGGCATATCTTAAGGCCTTCTGTGGTCGTCCAGCACATCATATCTTTTCCAGAAGATCCATCGAACAGGCTCGAAATCTGCGATTTGGTAGCAAAGTTACTGCTGCGTTAGCGGATGAGGTGCACCTCCAGCCATCCAGGCGAATGCGTATTCTTATGACCCCGGTTTTCTCCTCGTCTTGATAGCTGCAATCCGTATCATGGTTGTGTTGAATAGGGAGAGCCCTGATGTTCATGGGAAGAGGTGAAGAAGAAGGTGCAGATCACCCCACCCCCTTCGCGTAGTGTGCAGAATGTGGATCAGCTCCGGGGGTTTCGTAAACACCAAAAAGCACGGCGGATAACTGTCGCCCTGTTGGCCAGCACGATAACAGCCCACCATGCGGTCATCCTGCTCCGCCAGCGTGCGAGAGTATATGTTCTCCAGATGTTCTCGATCTCTTCGTCTTCTCATTGAAGATACCCGACCGTTGAACGAGAAACTCCAGTTGGAACTGCTTCCGTCGTCGGCGAGCTTGTTTGGTTAGCTGCTCACGCGAGCTTCGTAAAAGATGGATGAGCAGGTGGATAGACTGGTCAAGAAGGTATGGGACAAAACTCAGGATCTGCCGCAGAGTAAGAGATACTTGGTGGCTGTCTCTGGCATTCCGGGCTCAGGTAAACAGCTTCTCCCCAACAGTGGTCGAGTCGGGGTTGACAGGCTATCAGGAAAGACCACTCTCGCGGCGAAAGTCGCAGATGGCTTGAACGAGCTATGGCGTTCGAAATCTCTAGCACGAGCGTCTGAAGCATCCGTTGCGACCTTCTTACCCATGGATGGCTACCACCTCACACGCGCCCAGCTCGACGCCATGCCCGACGCTCGAAGCGCCCACGCCCGAAGAGGAGCAGCATTCACATTCGATGCGCCAGCGTTCCTCTCACTAGTCAAGAAGCTCAGAGAGCCGATATGTCCGGAGACAGGCACAATCTACGCGCCCAGCTTCGACCACGCGAAGAAAGACCCCGTAGAAAACGATCTATCTATTCGCAAGTCTGCGCGGATAATAGTCATGGAGGGAAACTATCTCTCGCTCGGCACAGGTGCAACAGAGTGGAAAGAGGCGGCGGAAATGATGGACGAGCTGTGGTTTGTGGATGTGCCTGAAGAGACGGCGCGCAAGAGACTGATAGCACGGCACGTCGCGAGCGGGATTGCAACGGACGAGCAAGATGCTGCGAAGAGGGCGGATGAGAATGATCTCGTCAATGGGAGAGAGATTATTGATGGCAGGCTGGAGGTGCATGAGATGATATATTCAAAGGAGGATCATAAATGGACTCCTGAACAGCAGGGGATTGACAAAGAGAGGGACGAGGCGAAGGACGAGAGGAGACGGAGCAGTATGCATGGTGTGATATAGCGTGAGGCGTGGAGTGACTGATACAGGTATTGCGCTGTCTCCTGCTTTGCTCGAGGGGTTGACTATAGACAATAGAGATGTTGGAATTGTTCACGGGTGTGATTCAGAAGCCTATGGCCACAATGATAGAGTGATTTCTGGAACATTGAGCAGGTGATCTGGTCCTCATGATCAAGGCAAAATGATGCGCTATGATGTACCTCGCTCCACTCACTCGAGTCTTGGATTAGGGGTGAGAGGTCACGGCGGACCTAGCCTTTAGTCCTGTGGCCATAACAGTGGCCACAGTCAGTGCCGTTGCAGCCACTGCTGCGCTCATCTCGATTATGATAATGCCACCCCTTAGCTGAAAGCCTTAGCCGGATGTAGGGTTCATCTGGGAGTATCCGAGATTATCTAAGTGTTATACAGCGGATCGTTACAGTGGGTATCCTCCAGATAAGTGTGGCTGCGGTGGACTTAGCTTTAGGGCCACTGTGGGAAAGGTGGAGTGCATCACAAGTCGGAATGGCCCAAGCTCCCGGTGACGTTTGTGGCAGCCGTCAAGGACAACAACATCGTCGTCTCTCTTCCACAAAACCTTCGCCGTCTACCGCTCCTACATCTTGGAATCGACAAACTCTGCCTCTTCCATCCTCACACATCTCCAAAACACCACCAAAACTCAACCACCACAATGGCCACTCTTCACTGTCCGTCTACCCTTCCCGCCACCGCCAGAGCCAGCTCAATTGTTTGTTTTGGCGACGCAGGCGCAGTCACTCACCGCGCATCACCCACTGACTCTCGCATCGCGCAGACCTCCCACCAGTCAAGCCATCGGCCATTGCGCTCGGCACCGTCTTCAACCACGTCGCCTCGCTCGCCATCCTCGGCCCCGTCTTCGGCGAGAGCTACCGCAAGGCCCAAGCCGCCAACTCGGCTGAGGAGTTCTTCAAGTCCAAGGAGGCTGCCTCTGCTGGCGCCGCCTGGGGAACTTCCCTGACCGGCTCTGCGCTCCAGTCGTACGGTGTTGCTGCTCTGCTCCAGGCCACTGGCACCCTCTCCTACAAGGGCGCTGCGTACCTCGGTGCTTTGATCTTCGCTGCCTCTTCTGCTCCATCGGTATGTCAACCACTTTCATCGAAAGAGAGAGATACAAAGCTGATTATGTTTCCAGTTCATTGCCCAGGTCTTCACTGAGAAGCGCCCGCTCGACACCGTCGCCGTCGGCGCCCTTGCCCGCACCTTCGAGACTGTCGGCCTGTCCCTGTTCCTCACCTGGTGGGGCGTGCGCCAGAACCCACTCAACTAGATGCGGCAGCGCATTACGTTGATGATGAGAGCATGAATAGGAAGATGGGGAAGCTGAAGATACCTGGCTTGCTCGTCGGAGAAGTCAGGTAAGGTGGATCCTACTTTTTTACAATACCTGTTTAGTAGCACGAGAGGAGGGAGGAAAACAGGATACCTTTGAAGTGTTGTATGGTAGATACCGGCAATGAACCAGTGTTTTCAGTAGTATTGGCGAAAATCGTCACCTCGCCGTGAAAGCCCCACACGTGATCCGTGCGTTTTGAGCTTTCTTCTGACTTCACCTGTCGTTTAACTGAACAGTCCAACAGCATGGCGGAAAATCTCGCGGATGGTCTCTTCGCCATCGAAGTCGATGCAGACGACTACGCAGAAACAGCCGCAGGTGACACGCCCAGCGTCCCGCGCACATTTCAAAGCGAAGCCGACTTCCAGGCGCAGAAAGCTTCATACACCGCGAAGATTGACACTGGAGATAACCTCGCAGTGTTCTTGAAAGCAGTGCCAGGCCTGGCCAAAACCACGAATGGGAGAATTGCCCAAGTGGATGGAGGAGCCACAAAACTCACCCTCACCAAGAAAGACGTCCAGCTTCTCGGATACGCGGTCGGGGAAATGTACTGGGACCGGCGGCACGAGGAGATTGTTGAGCTTTGTTGGAGGGTCAGGGAGAGGTGTGCGGTTGATGCGAAGTTGGGGGCGAGTTTGGAGAGGTGGGTTGGACGGTGTAGAGGACGGTTGGAGGGAGGGAGTGGGAGTGGGAAGGATTCTGGGTGTTGAAGGCTTCAATCACGCCAATGCCAGTGTGGACTGAAGGGGCTGCTTTGACTCTCACTGGAGATGCTGGACGGGTATGAGGGTCTGATGAACGCGGTGCCGAATGAAGATGATGAGGACCTTGAGCGATGTCGAGGATATGAGTATCGATACTCGAAGCCGCCGTCCAGAACGCCAGCAAGCTTCGTCCTTTCCGCCAGACTGAACACAGATCGTGAGCTCTAAGACCGTCGATTCGGACTGCAAGAGGCACATCATTACCAAAAGTCAACCGACCGTACCTCACAAGGTCCATTCACAAGCTCCAGGAGGCAGCCGCAAAAAGCCTAGGTCTACTGCTTTTAAAGACTTCACACAAGACAGTCCCGTCAGCGCACCTATCACCATGAATGTTCGCAAATCCTCAATGCCGCAACACCTCCGAGACAAAGGTCACCAAGCAAGTGTCACTCTTCACGTTGGTCGCACAGTCGTTATTGTGGCTTGAAGCCGCATCGTGAAAGACGGACCAGACGATCAGCCAGCACAAAACTTGCGTGAAGCATGAGGCGTGCATGCTGCATGCCTGCAAAAACATGCGCGAACGCAGAAATCATAGCCATGCGGGCAGAACAAAGACCTGCCATCGACTGGCAATCGCCAACACTTACAAACACGCAGCATGCGAAGACTATTACGCCGACAACGACATCTTCGAAACGACGTAGCCATGTCCGACAGCGGCGCCTCATCACCCTCCTCCAGCGCTCCAACACACCACGTCGAAGTCAAAACGACCCTCCTCTACGGCGTCTTCGTCTCTCACAAGAGCTACCTCATCGGCTTGAGAAATCTCATGAAGAGGGAGCATGTCGATATGCTTGCCAACAAGATCATTGGGAAGATGCTGCCACCTGAACTCATCGAGATCGTTGCCGATTATTTGTTCGAAATGGAGCGTGAAGTGGTGCGGAAGAAGTGGATACCCGAGAGGAGGGCGATGCAAGAAAACATCGCCAAGTTCGAGAAGGCGATGGTCGATTGTCCCGCGTTGACGGGGGCGAGGGAGAGGATGGTGCGATTCGCCTTCTATCATCTCCCACAAGAGCAACACTAACTTCCCTCCCACACAGTCCCTCTCCCCCATCAAAACGACCCTAGTCCAAAACTCCCGCCCCATAACCGGCCAAAACATCCGCCTCCTCGACCCCCCACACACAACCTACATCCACCTCTCCTGCCTCCGTCCCTCCCTAGCCATAAACCTCCCCCCACGTCTCCAACCCCCCGACCCCATCTCCCCCGCCATCTTCTACAACGCCGGCAACGCCCTTGTGCGCGTGCGGGTGCGTGGGAATAATGAGTCGAGAGGAACTATGCATGAGGATGAGGTGACGCATATGCCCGCCAGGGAGTCTGTGGAGACGAGGGAGGAGCCGAGGGCGGTGGGGAGGTTGGTGCAGTGCGAGGGGGTGGAGGAGGCGGTTAGGGGGTGGGATGAGGGGGCGGTGAGAAGGTTTGTCGAGTTGCTTGGGTTGAAGGTTGTGCCTTTTGATGGTGATGAAGATGGAGATGGAGATGGAGATGGAGATGGAGATGGGATGAAGCCTGGTCTGCATTTCTGGCAGAGAATCCTCGAGAAAAAGTCATCAGGAACATAGACGAAGCAGACATTAATCTTGATTTTCTTTTCCAAGCAGTATTAAGTATCTTGGATGTGTAGATATGAGCTGGAAGTTCGCTGCTTTGTAAAGACAATACGAAAAACCCCAATTCCTCCTTGCCACTTTTTTTCAAGTGCAGTGAGTAGCATTGTTGGCGATTATTGATAAATATAACAATACCGTCCCCCCGTCGTACTAACCGTATCCCCCAACCGCACGCTCCGGAACGAAGGCGAGAAATCCAGCTCCGTGTCTAGTGTGGGTTGTGGAACCATGTCCCCTAGAACATCACACAAAGAATTAGCACAAACATCCTCTTTCACTCATACACTCTTCTACCCCCAACCCCAACTCCCCCAACTCAAAAATGAAAAGAAAAAGATGACTTACACCCCCTCCCCTGCCTATACCCCCTATAAGCCTCCGTATTCGGCACGCCCTCTGTCCGTCCCCTCAAATCCAGTCCCTGCCAAAGGCTGAAATAGAAATCCAACCCGGCGTGATGGCAATAGAAGGCGTGGTCGGAGGACGAGCCGGGGATGTCGGTTTGCATGCCGCCGATCATGGTGTGTCCGTTCGGGTGGATGCCTTCGGGCGAGGATTCGATGTGGACGCCTAGGCTTGTGATATCTGTTTAAGGAGTCAGTGGGGGGTGAGGGTGAGGGTGGGGGATGGGATTGGGGAGGGGTTGGGTGGTGGGAGGTGAGCGTACCGGTGAATTGAGTGATAGTCCTCACAATCACATCATAGCTCATATCCCCCAACACCCCCGTATTAAACTTCCTCGTAATACATCTCGGATTATACCCCAACCCATTCGCGTCAGGATTATTCTGACAAAGGGCGTTCAAGGGGCCGATATTGACGACCCAGTCCGCGAAGGGGCCGCTCGTGATGCAGTTGCAGTCGTCGTCGACGACGGTGCCGTTGGCGACGCGGTGGGGCGTGCCGTTGCCGGAGAGGGAGGTGTCGGTGCCGTCGAAGAGGGGGTTTTGGGAGGGCGGGAGGTGTGCGTATTTCGCGTGGGACCAGTAGGGGATTCCTTTTATTATCACCATCAGCTATCATGTTCTCGGAGAGGGGATGTTTGTCTTACCTTCCGTCCACCCACACTCCCCAATCAACGCATCCTCCATCTGGTACAGAAATTCGCGATGCCAATGCAGTAGCAGCGGAGAATTGTGCACGTCTTTCCACCGCGTGATGTGGGTGACATCAAAATCGTCATGGCGATTTCTTACACCAGGGGCGTATGAAGTGGATGTCTGTGGAGGTCGCTGTGCGAGGCATTTCGCGGCCGCGATGTAGCGTCTTCGGTCGTTGGGGGAGAGGTCGCCCCTATTGGTTATGATCAGTGATGTCGCTATGGGTAGGGAAGAGAGATCAGTACCATTCTCGCCGGATCCTGATGTTGCCCTCGTTGCACTGTCCGCCTAGCGTTGCTCGGATGTTGGTGGTGTACGTTTGTACGATTTGCTGCAAGGCCTGTTGCCCTGACGATTGTCGCTCTTCATTGGTGATACTCCTCGCCGCACTCAGCGCAGCCAGCGCAGTCGCACAGGCGAATCGAAAGAGCATGACAGCGACGACGACGAGAACGAGATATCCTTTCTTCCTGTAGCGAACGGTGAGATCTGAAACGATTGACGACTCATGTACAAGTGTACAAAGAAACGCGAGAGAAGAAGAAGAACAAGAAGGATGGAAGCCAAAAGGTTAACAGCAGAGATGGATTTAGCAAACAAACCTCTTCGCTCCTCTTCCAGTCGCACCGAATTGCCCCTCACCCTCGATATTTCATTGCATCTGCAACCCAATGCCACGGCCTCCCATGTCGTGTACCTGGAAACTCACATCTCACAGCAACAAGGGTGAGCTTGCAAATCCGGGAGTAACAAGGCCACACGACCCAAGCCAGGACCTATCATCGCCGAAGTCAATGGCTTCTTTTCACACTGTTCAGGGTAAGACGAGCTGCATTGTCCTATGATCTGCGCTGTCACGACGTATAGTGATACAGCAGTCCAGTTCCGAAGTATGGCGGAGTACGTTCATGCACGAACAAGGCTTGAGCTTCGAAGCTTTTCTGCATGTTGCGCGAACCGGTTCTCGCCGGCTTCGTGAACCTTGGTGTTCGTTGTGTAATTTTAGGAAATGATGACACTTTGCACAGATATCCCAGATGAGATGCCGGGAGACATCAAACGACAGGTCTGGAGATCCTGGGGGGAAGCGTGGTGTTGTTTCATGGATTGAGCCGCAGTGAACAGGAACAAAGAGCAGCGCATCGTAGGGGTGTGGCTTGGCGCAGTGTGAGGATGTACTGCATCTGGTACTTTGATGCATTCCGTCCCGAAGTCATCGAAAAGCCCCAGCAGGATGCGATGACGATAGGTGTTGACAAGCGAGCCTTGCGGTTGCTCGTGTTGGCCTTGCCAATATTGCAAGCTGCTCCTTGCAGATCGGCATGGAGGTCGTGTATAAGCAATCTTATGAGTGAATCGGGATTTGCGACTCTCCGGTGGTACGCAGCTCCACCGTAGATGATTGTGGACGTGCGAGATGAGGAAGATATTGATACGTGTTGATACGGGAAGGGTGGTTGACATTGCCCTCACAACTTCGCTTTGGGAGCATCGCTCTTCAACATGGCATCTGCGACCATCCTTCGTTGAATCTTTCCGGTAGCGGTTCTGTTCATCGTTGTCAGTCAATTAAACCCTCGTGGTTTGATGTTGCACTTACTTCGGCATCACATCCGTGAAGAAGACCCTCTTGGGCACCTTGAACTTGGCAACCTTTTCCCTCATATACTCCTTTACATCCTCCTCTTTCACGCTCTTTCCATCCTTCTTAGGCACGACCGCCACGCCGACGTCCTGGCCGTACAATTCGTCGGGTATCGCGAAAGACACGGCTTCTGCGATTGAAGGGTGCTGCACCAGAACATTATCCAACTCGATCGGGCTGATCTTCTCTCCACCCTTGTTGATCAACTCCTTTATCCTGCCCGTAATAATCACATATCCATCCTCATCTTTCTTGCCTTGGTCGCCCGTCCTGAAGAACCCTCCAGCGGTGAAGGATTCTGCATTCGCCTTGTCGTTGTTGATGTATCCTTTCGTTACGTTCGGTCCTCGAATGCAGATTTCTGCTTCGCTACCCTGCGCTACCTCATTGCCAGCCTGGTCGAGAATTTTGACCTCCACACCTTGACCAATGCCTACCGATCCTGGCTTTCTCTTCGCAGGTGGGAGAGGGTTCGAGGTCATCTGGTGAGCGGCCTCAGTCATGGCATAGGCTTCGAGGACGGGTGCGTGGAATGCCTTTTCCAGCTCATGGAAGACCTTGGGCGAGAGCGGCGAGCTGCAGGAACGGATAAAGCGAATGTTAGGCATAGGCTGAGGCCAGAGGTTCTTGTTGACCAGGAGAATTTGATGCATGGTAGGAACAGCAGTGTACCAGTTCGCACCATGCTCGGTGAAGTGTGTCCAGAAGGTGGAAGCGCTGAATGCGCCAGGGACAATGACAGAACCTCCAGATCCCAATGGCGCAAGGAAACCAGCCAGCAGGCCGTGGACGTGGAAAAGCGGCATGACAAGCATCGTGCGGTCGGCTGGCGTGAGCTGGTAGGTGTTGATGATGTTATGTATGGTGCGGGTCAAGTTGCGGTGCGAGAGAGGGACGGCCTTTGGTCTGCCCGTTGTGCCAGACGTGTGCAAGACAAGAGCCGTATCCTCAGGCTGTGCCTCTTCAACTCGTACATTGCCCTTTCCCGCCAACTTGCCAGCGTCCTTGACATCCAACACCACCTCATGTGTTTGTGGGTGCAGGTAGCATTCAGCTACGGCTGCATTGTATCTTCGGGCAGCTTTCACAGCCGGCCCGTCTGATTGTCCTTGCGGTACCAACACCAACGCTGATGACAGATCATCGATATAGAACTCGAACTCGCTCTGCTTGTACGCGGAATTCAATGGCGCGGCAATGCCTCGCTGCCATGACGCGGCGAGGAAGGCGACGATAAAGGGGTAGCTGTTCGGGAGGGCGATGGACACGGCGGCGCCTGGGGAGATGCCCAGCTTGGCGAGCTTGTGCTGGAAGGTCTTGATATCGGCTTGGAGCTGTTTGTAGGTGATTTCGAGCTTGGGCGGGCCTGGGACAACGATAGCGACGGCGTTGGACGTGGACGAGAACGAGTTGGCGAGAGTCGTCATGGTGGCGGCTAAGGAGTGTGGTGAAAGAGGGAATGAGAGGAGATATGGTGTTGGAGGAACCAAAAGAAAGGAAGAACGGACTCTACCTACTCTATCTCGTGGCCAGGCTGGCGGGTGTTGGGGGTCGAAATGTCGCCATCCGATGTGTCGGTTGATAGGCGAGCAGCGTCGTTTGGAGCGCCTGTCCTGTCGTTGGTCGACCGCTTGGCCTCGGGACAGATCGCCGCCGCTGGCCGATGCTTGTCTTGACTTCCTCTCGTCCAGCCCACCTCAGCCTAAATCCATCAAACATTCACTTCACTCCCACTACGCCCGAAACTCGCATCACGTGTATGCTCGGCCTCTTGTTGAGATATTTCCTGGATACTTGGGCACTGTCATCGCGGTTCATCATGCAAATACCATTCACATGCCAGAGTTCAAGAAGAACGTCTTCAAAGTGTTTCTTCTCTGCTGCACATGGTCCTTGCGGGAGCACATGCGTAAGTGAAGCTGTCGCTGAAGGACTTCATTCACATGAATATGAAGGATGCATCATATATATCTCTCTACCTTCTCCAATGTCTCTACCTCGAACAACTCCTCAGCATCCTCCCTACACAACGGCGATACACTTCACACATTCTCATACCAACATCCATTTCATCATCACCATAGTGATATCCCTCTGACATGGCCATTCTCAAGAGCCTCCACGGCGTTGAGGTGACCATCACAGTCGACAACGAACCGCTGCAGGAATACGAGCCCAAGGAAGGAACCGACCCATATGACACTGTCACCCGCTATGTGCAGACGCAGCCAGACCAGAATTTCGAGATCAAGATTGTCACCAACCAAGGCTCGACCCGCGGCGCTGGCTTGAAATACGAAGTCATGATCGATGCGAATATCGCTGATTCTACTGTGGTCCTATCTGAACAGTGCGCCCACGACAGCATGATATGGAGGTGCGTTGGCTGGCGCGTGAGACAAAACTCTACGACCCGATTTGCTCATACAGATTCCGCGAATCCCAGCTCGGTCCGTCATTTTCAAGCTGTCATTTGCACAAGCCGTTCGAGAGTACTGACCAGATGTAGAAGAAGACGAGTACTGGAAAGAGCCACACGAAGTCCTCAAAAACTTGGGCTTGATTGAGGTTCGAGTGTATCATCTATCAAACATCGAACTCAAGGAAAGTGATCCTGCTTCTTACGACCTTCGCAACGCCCGGGACTTGATCTCGCACAAAGCGAGAAGAAAGGGCGTTTCGCACACTGTCAGGTCAGTTCTCGCCCCTCGTATTTGGAGTCGGGCAGTGCTAACATCAGAGTAGTGCATCCATCGACGCCATTGAGAAAGAAGTCGACGAGGTAAGCGTGGGTGTTGAGTACGCCACTCCTGAGCCTATCGCTAGCTTCAAGTTCATCTATCGCTCTCGGGGTAAGTACGAGCTACTTACAAGTGACCAGAAGACTGACAGTGTTTCAGATTGGCTGATGGAGGAATCATCCCTCGTCCACCACCTCCACCGGCCCTCGAAGATCGCGACGCCGCCACGCTGACGGTCGAAGACATTGCAGAGCTGCAGAGACAGCTCAAGGTCGAGAAGGTATGTTTGTAAGACCCTACCATAACTGAGGATGGAGCTGACCTTGAGAAGGACGAAAAATATGCCCTCAAGATCAAAGACGAGATCAAGCAGGAGGACCGTGAAGCATATTCTCGCCCGATGAGATCTGGTCGACCCTCAGGCCGGAGGGAGTACGTCGAATTGGACTAGAGAGATGAAGGGCACATGACTCGATGCTGTTTCTATGCGTGTTTGAGCGAGGGGTCGAGGCGAAGAGTTCTCATCCAAGGGAGGACTGCCAAGATCAAAAGCTATCTCTCGATTTGGTATGATTCATGTTGCACTGTATAACAAGCCAAACTCAATTTTGCATAGTTTCAAAACATTCCTCACGTTCGCCACCACGGGCTCAGAATAGACATTTCTCCAAGATTAACGTGAACCTGATCGGTAAGCATCCTGTGCCTTCATCATGAGTCAAGGGCTGTGTTCTGCATTTCACAGTGAAAGTACCTCCAAAAGTGCGAAGTTTGAGACACAGGGCACCTTACAGCCACTCGCAGCCACCCAACTCCACAACAAGTTCTTTACATTGACACCAGACAAGTATGATCCTCGAATATCCCGTGTCGACTGTGAAGATCTGCAGAACTTCTATTGTAAAGACTTTCACAATAAAAACTCGAGCACAACATCTGGAAAGCGACAACACGTAGTGGAGCTTTCTGGCGTACTGTCGACATCCTCCTTCACTGGCGAGCTCCTTTCACATGCCAGCGAGCGGAACACGTGAATCTCTTTGACGGCATTTATCTTGACGTTGCTGTTCTTCTCTTCCTTCTTACAATCTACAACACACAACAACATTCGAAGACTGTCTGACGATTCAATATACGATATCCCGTGCGACACGCGTCACCGACAACGATATACACCACCATCGGTCCCTCGCTTCTTTCAACACCCAGCACACTGCATTTCACAGCTTACCTCCAGACCTCATGGCCATCCTCAACGACCTTCCAAGAGTCGAAGTCACCATCCGTGTTAACGGCCAAACCCTCGAAGAGCACCGAGACCGCCATCTATCCGAAGCCCCTGAAACAATCTCCCGGTACATCGAGATTCAGTCCGGGCAGACCTTTGAGGTACACATTAAGACGAATCCTGGCGCAATCCGTGGGGCAGGCCACAAGTATGTCATTGATGTGGATGGCAACAAGGTCGACTGGGGACTCGTGGAGCCTAGACACTGCGTCGGCTCTCCCAAGGTCTCGATAAGCAAAGGTACCCGAAGGAAGGACGGGATGTTTCGACCGTACAAGTTCAATCTCTTCACGACGGGTGCGTCCAGCATCATGACCATCAGATACTGTGCAGCCGACGCTAACTCGTACACAGACGACGAAGGATCCAAAGCCCAAACCTCACAAACCAGAAATCTAGGCACCATCGACGTCTGTATCTACCAGCTCTCAACCGTCACCAAACTCCCAGAAACCCCCGATCCCGCTGCTCGGAAGAGGAGCACGTCCTCTCTGATCCTCCCAGCCCCTTTGGAGCCCCTGTCAGAGAAAGCTGTGAAGCTTCAGGAGCTGTCTCATACGGTTGGGTAAGTAATATGCTATCGATTTCGTGGATTGGATTGTTGACACTTGCACAGGTTCGCGGATGCGCTGCCCGTCGGTAAGAAGAGGAAGCATATGACGCGAGTGGTGTACGCCAGCGGTATTCCTATTGCTACGTATCGGTTCTATTATCGCTCGAGAGGTAGGTGTCCATTGATGTCCCCTGAATGGTGAAGAAGCTGACGATGATTTGCGCAGAGAGTCTGAAGAATCTGGATATCGTTGCTCGGACTCCGCCGCCGCCTATGCTGGAGGATATGCGTCCTATCAAGCGGGAGGATGAGGACTAGAGTCGCTGAGCGAAGAGACCTGCGTTTTTCGGCATCTGAAGTTGGGCACATAGACCGGAAGAAGGACGCAAAGGAGATCAAACAAGAGAATTAGGACGACCATCCACGTCCCAAGAAGGCGGCTCGTCGGTCGGGCGAGGGAGAGTTGATTCGACTAGATTGACAGACAGGAAGAAAACTTGGTGGGACATTTCTCCCTGTATGCTCTGAGAAATGAGACATGACCTTCGTTCCCTTTGTTCTTGAACATGTATAGCATCAAAAGTAAACCAGCGACTTCCTTCACAAGCTTGTGTTTCACTAGCGCGCCTGACCCCGGTCGACCTTTCATTAAGCGAGACTTCACATGCAAGCAAACGCAGCAGCGACGCCTAAGCCCGTGCACCTTCCGCTTTCTCTTGCGTTTGACGTTCGCGTTTCTTCTCACCACCTACATCGCACCTTCATCAACATCGAACAGCACCACGCCCCCACAGCAACCGAACCACTGAACAAGCCCCCGCATACCACCAGGCTCAAAGCGCGGCCATGGCGGTCACTGAAGACTTTCCCGGCATTGAGGTCACGGTGGAAGTTGACGGTGTCGCATTGAAGGAATACGAGGATAAAGATGAAGCAGAGCCGGCGAAGACTGTCACACGCTACATCGAGGCCGCGCATGGCAAGAACTTTACAGTTACAGTCAAGATGTCCAAGGGTTTCAGGTTGAGGAACAACGCTCTTTCTTTCCAGGTGTACGCCGACGGAAACCTGGCGAGCCGAAAGGTTTTCAATCAGAATGATGCAACAAGCGGAAGAACATTGCGAGTCGAGGGCTTTCATGATCTTCAGCATATCACCAAGTTCCGGTTCGACGAGCTGCACACCGGTGAGGGCAATAATCATCCAATCTCTCCGGTATCCCACTGACATTGACAGTTTCAGATGACCGGTCGATCAGGCAGGAGGCCTCAAAGCTCGCCAGCCTGGGTACTTTGAAGATCAAGATGCATCATTCCACGATCACGGGGAGCACCCCAGCAGAAGCGAGAGTGAGGAAGCAGCCGGCCACGATGGGCACCGTCTCTGAGAAGGCTCTGAAGGGCAAGGCTCTAACGCACAGCGTCGGGTAACATCGAGCTCTTCTTTCCAAACACATAAAGTGGACGTCTAACACCTAGTAGATTCGGCGACGTTGTTGCGCGCAGGGCGAAGAATATGACGAATACTCAGCGCGTTGGCGACATCGTCACGTTCGTTTACCGCTATCACTCTTTGGGTACGTATAGTCGTCCGCTGGCATGAGATATTGTGTCTAACGTGCATCATCTAGAGTCGCTGAAGGCGCTGCTCATCATTCCGCGAGATCCATCGCCTCAGCCTCTACCACTCGAGGAGCGAGACTTCGACAGTCTCAGCAGGGAAAACCTTATGGAGCTCCATCGTCGTGCACGAGAGGCTAGAGTATGTGGAAGTGAATATTTGATAGACCAGAGCTGACCATATGCAGGGACAAGAAGACACCAAGCCCAAGATCAAGCGCGAGCGTGCTGACGAGAACCCCCGGCCACGCAAAGTCTCCCGCCCAAGCGCCGGCGATGTCCAGCTCGAGCTCAACGATGAGGGCAACTTCCAGCAGTCCTCCACTGCAAGTCTTGGTCGAAAGGAGCAAGAGGTCATTGAGCTGGATTAGGAGCCTCCTGAAGGATGCCAGAGCGGTAAAAGGTGGCCATGCCATTTGAGTGATGCGATGCTCTCAGGGGGAGAGTGCCGTTCGATGCGATCCCAGATTCTGACGGTGTTGCAAGCCATGCGGTACTAGCTGTGTCTCCTTTGTCTTTGAATGAATCAATCAATCTGGCTTGGTTTCCGGGCTTTTCAATGCCAGAATCACTGGAAATTCAGGAAGGTCGAAGATCAGTCATGACGCGCAGCGACCATGCTTGTCACAGTACGGATGGATAGATGAGCGTTCGACGTGCGATGGTTTGCAATTAGGATGGGCAAGCTGTGCATCACGCACTCGTCTCACCCAGCCCAAACATGCGTATTGAATTCCGCCATGCGCTGCGAATGAATTAGCACTCGATCAATAGCAACAAACGACAGATATTGAGCACTCACGCCTCAGCAACCTCCTCCACCGGCAACCCCTTCACCTTGGCCACACACCACGCAACCCGTCCAATCGTACAAGGCTCATTCCTCCCCTTGACCATACACTCCTCATTCCACTTCTCCTTCTTCACCGCCTTGGGCAACGGCGGCGCATCCTCCACAAACTTTGCACTCGCCTGGCTCGGCCGCATTTCACACCAGGGCCCATCCGTTTCGATCTGTAGCCTTTCCAATGGAACCTCCTTCACCACCGCGAGATTCTCCTCCGTCTTGAGACTGCACCCGTTGATGCCCACATCAAAGCCGAGGTCGACGATCCGGCGCATTTCCTCCAACGAGCCCGTAAAACTGTGCACCACACCCCTCCTCGGCAAGCGCTCCAGCCTCGCCGACAGAATCCTCTCAAAATCCTCCGCCGCCGCCCTCGAATGCAAGAAAAGCGGCAATCCCACCTCCACCGCCACATCGAGCTGTTTCTCAAAGAACTCAACCTGCGTCTCCTTATCCGCATGTTGCAACCGATCATAATCAAGTCCAATTTCCCCAAACGCCCTCACGAAACCCTTCTCCTTCCCCTCCACGGCAACCTTCTTCAGCGCCGCGAGTAAAGCCTGCGGTCCATCTGGATACTTCCCGAACGTCTTCGCCGAGCAGGGATGCACTCCCACCGTCGCGTAGCAGAGTCTCGGGTGTTGTTCGGAGAGGGCTATCGCGGCGCGGGATTCCTCGAGGTCGGAGCCGGTGATGAGGAGTTTGCGGACGTGGGCGGTGCGGGCGCGGGTTAGGATGTGTGGGAGGTCGTTTTCGTGGGCGCGTTTGCCGTGGTAGACGCCGGTGAAGATGGGATCGGTGAGGTTGATGCCGATCTATTCCTGAGTGCTTCGTGTTAGTCCAGGGGTGTTTGAAGATGTGGTGTGGTGGGACTGACATCTGCGTAGCGGAGGGTTGGGGTTTCGCCGTTTGGGACGGCGCTTGTGGAGGCCATTTTGATGTTTTGAAGAGGGAGAAAGGAGCGGAATCGAGATATTTGTATTGAAGCTTTTGGTAAGGCCCCCAATCGAAGCGCCAGGCGGGCATTCATGGGTGAGTCGAAGTGGGAGTCATGAGGTGAAGTCGAAGCTCCGGTGTCTCTAAGAAGTTTAACCAATGACGTCGTCAAAGTTTGATGGACGATTTGATTGAAACCAGCAGTTCACTTCAAATGTATTCTCTATCTTCTATAACTTCGCCCTCCCAGCATACCACTCCAACCTCCGTCCCCTCGCATACGGATGCCCCTCCCCTCTACTCACCAAGAAGTCCAAATCCAACGTACTTACCAACCCAGGCTCACACTGCCTCAAATCTGTGATCCCCACCAACGCCATCGCCGTCGCGAGCTCCGTCTTGAGGATATCGATCAGATGCTGCACGCCTTCCTCGCCATAGTGGGCTGCGAAGAGGAACGGACGGCCGAGGCCAACGGCTGTGGCGCCGAGACAGAGGCATTTGAGGATGACGGAGCCTCGCCGGATGCCGCTGTCCACGAGGACTTCGAGCTGGGAAAAGATGGAGGGGCAGTTGAGTTGGCATTCGAGGAGCGTCATGATGGCGGGTGGGGAGCTGTTCATGGCATTAGCAAGGTGGACGTTAGAAGTGGAATGGCGAACTCACGTATCGAGATTCCTCCCTCCATGATTCGAAAGCAAGACCCCATCCAGCCCAGCATCCGCGCACATCTTCGCATCCTGCCAGCTCTGAATGCCCTTGGCAACGATCTTGCCGTCCCAGTGCTGTCTCAGCCATTTGAATTCGTCCCAGGTGAAATCAGGGGCGATGTAGCCTCCCATTAGTCGTCCAATCCCACCACCTCTCTGATCGTTGCTGCCCTTCATACCACTCATGGGCGTGCTGAGGTTCTCGTCCATTTTGACCCGCTCGTCGGCTTCTCGCTTGCCGGGCATCGGAGCGTCTACTGTGACCAAGACGGTGTCCACGCCCAAGCTTCGTACATGCTTCAACAGTTCCTCGCTCTTACGGCGATCTTTGTTGACATAAAGTTGGAAGAAGAACGCATGAGACCCACCAGGTATACTCTGGACAACCTCCTCAACAGGAAAGCTGGCATTGGTCGATATCCCCTGAGGCACTCTCTCCTTGATACACCCCTTCGCAATCGCTTTCTCCCCATCTGGATGAATCATCTTGACCATAGCCGCCGGAGCCACAAAGATCGGCAGACCAACTTCATGTCCCAGTATCCTCGTCGATGTATCGACGTTCTTCACATCCCGCAACAACCTTGGCCGAAACCATATCCTGCCAAAGTACTCCTTGTTCCTATCCCGCGTCAAGCAGTTCGTATCCGCGGACGAGTAGAAAGCCCATGTCTTCTTGCTGACCGTTTTCTCCGCGATATCTTCAAAGTCTTGAGCGTTGATCACGGCGGAGAGGGGAGGTTTCTCGCTGAGCTGGAGCTCGGGTGTGGCGGTCGGCGGGGGTTTCTGCCATTCTTCTGTGATGGTGCGTTTGTCGAGCTGGCCGATGTATTTGGACGGGTCGAGGTTCTTCGGGAGTAAGGAGGGCGTGTGGATGGTGGAGTAGGTGGTTGTTGCGTCGCGGCCGGCGTGTTTCCAGATTACTGCTGAAGGTCAGACACTGTTTGGAGGGGTTGAGGATGGTCATTTTCTTACCCTCAGGAGCACCTGGATGTTCTGGTGCGAACTCGGTCAAGTCCCAGACATTGCCATCGACCACGATCCAGCAGTCTTCTGGTGTGTTGTGCTTGGAGATCTCCTCAACAGACAAGAGCTTGGGGGTAGTCATTGTCAAGACAGTGTACGAAATGGAAGAAGAGAGAACAAGAACGACTTGCCACCTACAAATGCCCTCCTCATGGACTGTCGGAGCACCTCCGTACTTGTTAAGTTGGTTGATGTGCCGTCGGCGTCTGATGAGTGAGGTTCAAGGGCGGTTTGCCTTCGGTGCAGCAGTGGCCGAGAACTGCATCTGACGGCAGGCCGCACCTAACAATATCTTAACCTACATGACCTAGGCAGGTGCTCGATTGACCCTTAATCCTTGTTATTAGATAGACCTTACTTCACTTCTCGCTTTACTTAAACCTCTCTTTTACTGAAAATAATACTATTTAAACGCCTATTATCGCTCTAGTATAACTTTATACGCCGCTACCTTCGTACTCGCTTTAAACTACTCGTACTACTCGTAATCTAAAGATAATAGCGATAATAGCGAGTATAGCGACTTAAACACGGTATATACTCGCCTAAAGTGTTCGTAAAGCCGTTACTAATAATCTATATAGATACCGCCGCCCTACGACTAAAAGCGAGTACTACTCGATTACTAAAGACGACTTTAATATCCTCGTCGTATAGTACTCGTAGGCAGCCGCCTAAGTAAAACGTAACCTTAATTAGAGGCTTAAGAAGTAC